GGATGGAAGAGAGAGAGGGAGGGGGGGGGGGAGAAGAGATGAGCCGTACGGAGTAGTGGGAAGAGAGAGAGACAGACAGACACTCAGACACACTTAATCAATCGTTAATCCCGTCAGGGAACACAGTCTGTCAGGCTGTTGCCATTCGCCCCCGTCAGCATCTCCCCAATTCTCCCCAGCTGGTCGCACCTGTCCAGTCTGTCCAGGCAGGAAATGGATAGCTCACCTACGGAGTAGTGGGTGGACTATCGTGAGGGCTCAGTGGCTTGTACGAAGTCGCCGTCGAGGTTGGCTGACCGAGGGGATCCAGATTCCCAGAGTAGAGAGAGGAGAGGAGAGGAGAGGAGAGGAGATAGATAGATAGATAGAGATACGATCCACTAACAAGAACAAAGCCGCGGATGTACACCAATCAATGCCAGTTCCAAGGCATGAAGCGAAAGGCATTCCCATCCGGGACTCCATCCGGGACTCCATCCGACTAGATACTTATGTACTTAGCAGGTTGGTACCTTCGGCGACTCCATTCATGATCCCGCATGCGAAGGCTGGGGGGGGATCCCACCCAATCGTGGGCCTTGATCTCATACTACCTATGTTACTGACTGGATGACCTCTCCAACCTGCTAATTATAATCCAACCATCATGATGCCCTTTTTTTTTTTTTTTTACTCGAGCCACTCGGAGGTTGGATCAACTGGCGGGATCCAAGGGTCGGCGCTTGTTCAAGTTCAGGTTCAGGTTCAGGTTCAGGTTCAGGGGGCACTCCGTACTTCCTTCGTTCCAGTGATCCAATCCAGCCCTGGTAGATCGGCCCTGGAATGTATCCGATCCATCCATGATGCTGGCGGGATTGAGCCTCTGTAACCAATCCCCTTGGATCGTGTGGAATGCCACTCCATCAAATCCTCTCCCCCTCACGGACCACTCCCCTTCCCCTCCATGAGTCTTCCCAACCATCACATCATCAGAGTGCCTGCCTTACTATTCAGCCAACCTCATCCAGGCCACATGCAGCAGCCGCCTTTCCCTTCTGACCGCCACAATAATACCCCAACTGCCTCCCGCCGCCTCCCTGGTCATAGTAGTAGTCTAACATTAGAGCCTGCGTACATATGTACCATGTCGGTAGCCCTTTCTCTCTCTATCTACGGAGTACGGCATAGGTACGTCTGTCGCATTCCGATCGAATCGCCCGGCGTCCAGAATCGATACATCTGCACGCCAATCACCGCCGCCAGGGTTTCGTGCATTCGCCGGTGGCGCGTGGCATGATAGATGATACGCAACTAGGTTTACTTGCATTTTGCACCGTCGATCCGTCCTGGATGGATGTACTTTGGTCCGCTGATGCGTAGGATCTATCCACGCCGTTACTCGGTCCGCGCTGACTATCTACCCACGGTACTTACTAGGTACTTAGGTACTCCGTACTTTGGCATGGATCTTGTGTACTGTTGCGAGCGCTTGTCCTACCTTGCCTACTTACCTGAAACCATGTCCGCCGTCAAACAATGCTATGGTACGGACGGAGTACTGGGGGGAAACGGGGTAGTTTAATTAAGAATAGATTCGTAATTTCCCGGTCATCACTCTATCTTGTTGACTCTTGATGGATGGGAGGTGCCGAGGTTTATTGATTGGGAAGCTTGGGGGGGGGGGGGGGGGGTGAATCCCTGAGAATCAGCCTCTTCCCAGCTGGTTTGTGCTGGTTGGGTAAGACAGTACTAGAAGTGTTGCTTGGTTCAGTGGTCGCTGGCTTCCTGGAAATAGCTAATGTAGCACACCCGTCTAAGAGAGGGTAGAACGCCACTGGTGATATGTGAGATTCTCTCAAGAGAACGTTTTGGAAACAGACGGTATTTTGTTTATGAAATCAGGTGTACTCCATAGAATATTTACTAGAATACAGCTCTAGCAGCTAGAAAGAAACATCCCTCTGGTGCAACGAACCTCGGCGGTAGTGGCTGACTCGGCTGTCTGTCCAGTGTGCAGTGTGCAGTGTCCACACGCTCGCAGTGCTATGATCTGTGCTCACAAATTTAGCTGTTACTAACTAACTATAACTAACTGACACAGTTGCTGAGTCAGGATGCGTCAGGGTAGAAGGGGTTCTCCATGTGGGTCAATGCATTGCAGTGTACGGATTAGACATCAGCCCGCCCCGTGAGACCGATTTTCGAGAGTTGCGATAGCATTGACAGAGAAAGAGATAGTTCATCTGGGATTCTGTGCTGTCTCCATCGGATGATTGCCATGGATGAAGAAGAATAAAGTGGTGCCTGATAGTCTCGAAATAGAAGCACCACCGATAACTACCCAGTGTGGAAGGAACCCCAGCCACCCGCTCAGCCTCCCCCGCGGGCCCCCCTTAACGTGGTAACCCGACGGGGTCAAGCCACCTGGATGACGAAGGGACCTTCCACTTTCAGCGTCTCAGTTCTTAGGCTTCCGCAATTCCCCCGAGCGACACTACCCGCGACACTACCGACTACTATCTATCTATCGATCTACGCTATACTAAAGTCTATACTTATCCACCCCTTCAGCTCCAACTGCCCTGTCGCGCCCATCGCGCTCATCCGTGCTTCACCTCGCCCCCCCTCCCCCCAATTCCCGCCGCCCCGATGGTAGACGCCCCCCTACACGATAGCCCGGTCATAGATCCGGATGCGCCACCCTCCAGCGCTGGATCTGCCGGCCTCCCCGGAGCTGTCGAGCCCCGTTCCGGGCCATCCCCTATGACCGAGGAATTGAAGGCTCGCCTGGACAAGGTTATCTATTCGGATGTGGGTGCCCCCTCGCGCATGCCGCCCCAGGTCTCAGGGAGAGGCCCATCCCACTGACAGCTACTATAGATCGGGGTCACCACTCTCCTGACCCGGTTAAAGCAAAGTGTCTCGTCCGCCAGGGTTCGTTCACGTTTCACTCTCTAACCCCCCTCCCGTAATGGGGACATAACGGAGCACACCCCCGCTGACGCACATGCGCGATGCCCACAGGACTTCTCCACCTTCCTCAAGAAACGCTCCGCCCTAGAGGAAGAGCATGCGCAAGGCTTGAGGAAGCTGTCCCGCTCCCTCAACGATGCCGCTCATCGCAACGAGAATCGCCAAGGCACCTACGGCCAGAGCTACAATGAACTCAATCGCTTCCACGACCGCATGGCCGACCACGGCCTCCAGTTTGGCGTGTCTCTGCAGCAGATGGCCGACGACCTCCATGAACTGGCCTCGAACATTGAACGGGGCCGCAAGCAATGGAAGCAGACCGGCCTGAGTGCGGAGAAGCGGGTATTGGACGCCGAGGCCTCCGCAGAGAAGGCCAAGTCCAAGTACGAGTCACTCGCGGAGCAGTATGACCGGGTGAAGACCGGCGACAAGCAGGGCGGGAAGTTTGGCTTGAAGGGTCATAAGTCCGCCGCGCAGCATGAAGAGGAGCTGCTGCGCAAGGTCCAGATTGCCGATTCGGACTACGGCGTCAAAGTCCAGGGTGCGCAGTCGGCGCGACGCGAGTTGATCGCAACCCATCGGCCTCAAGCCGTGCAGAACATCCAGAGGTTGATCTCGGAGTGTGATGCGGGACTAGCATTGCAATTGCAGAAGTTTGGTGCGTTATGACCCTGTGCGCTCGCGCGCTCTCCTACTAACCATCATATAGCGACGTTCAACGAGAAGCTGCTACTTGGACAAGGCCTGTCCATCAGTCCGTTGAAGGACGGCACGATGAATCCCGCTCTTGCTCCAAAGAGCCTGAACGAAGTTGTCTCCCAGATAGACAACGAGAGGGACTTCCGCGAATATATCCTCAGCCATGAGAGGAATCCGGGTGCGGTGACTTCGGACCAAATCCAATATCAGCGTCATCCAGTAAGTCTGCCTGGTGTGGATGCGCCCTGCTCGTTGGCTAATACTCCTTAACCCAGACGCTTGGAGGTTCTACGCCTGCTGTTGTCCCGGCCTCTCAGTCCAGCACGCAAAACAGGCGCCAGTCGACTTTCCTTCCTCAGTCTTTCTCGACCCAGACTCTCCCGACGTCGACTCAGCCGGCTTCTCAATCGCCAGCGCCCGCACCAGCACCAGCGCCCGCACCAACAACCGTCGAGTCCCCCGCATACCCTCAAAACCCCGACTCGTACTCGTCCCCGCCTTTCCAGCCTCCTTATCCAACGTCATCCTCGGGACATACCGAGCTCCGCGTTCATCAGGCACCACCGTTGCCACCGGCAAAGACACCATTAGTGCCTGCTGGCAATGGCATTCAGCATAGCCCTAATCTGCCCCCTCTGAAGCCGGTGTTCGGTTTATCTTTAGATGACCTATATATGCGCGACGGGACAGCTGTCCCCATGATCGTCTACCAATGTTTCCAGGCTATAGAACTTTTTGGATTAGACATGGAGGGTATCTACCGCCTTTCCGGCAGTGCTACACATATCAGCCACATGAAGTCGCTCTTTGACAACGGTACGTTCAATACATCTACTCTTGCTCCATGCCAACCCTAACATCGCGTGGCAGACTCGTCACAGGTCGATTTCACCAACCCAGAGAGCTTCTACCACGACGTCAACAGCGTTGCGGGCCTTCTGAAGCAGTTCTTCAGAGACCTGCCAGATCCTCTGTTCACATCCCAGTATTACACAGACTTCGTCAACGCAGCTCGTAAGTACTACCGAACAGGGGCCTAATACTCACGCTGACAATCGCAGGCATCGATGACGACATTCAGCGCCGTGACTCGATGCATGCACTGATTAACAACTTGCCCGATGCACATTACGCCACATTGAGGGCGTTGGTCTTGGTATGTCTAACTCACCGCCTCTCCAGTACATCCAAACTAACCAATCGTAGCATCTCAACAAGATTCAAGAGCATTATACCGAAAACCGCATGAACGCAGGAAACATTGCGATCTGTTTCGGGTAAGTACCGTTCCCCTGAGTTGCACGTCGCCTGAGGCTAACCAGTCCAGACCTACTTTGATGGGCGCCGGTTCTGGCGGGAACATTGCGGATGCCGGTTGGCAGGTCCGTGTCATCGAGACCATTCTGGTCAACACCTTCCAGATCTTCGATGACGATTAGTTCCACCGATCTTGATTCCCGTCTGTTCGGATTGCCACCAAATCTAGCCCCTGTGCTGGAGAGGTCGTCACGTCTTTCGACTCTAACAGTTGCACGGATCTTGCTTCTTTTATCGCGAATACCATGTTTCAAATCTTCCTTCCATCTTTCCTTGCTGCTGGCCGCCATTTAATCCCCGAACCAATCTCCAAGTATACATAGTGCCCCTTCTGATGGGTGGAAAATTGTGCTGCTCTCATCTTCTCTATTTTTATCATCACTGGAATATCAGGATATGAGCCGTCCCAATACCCTCCCGTCCGTCCGTCCGTCGGGTCGGGGTTGATTTCATTTACCTATCTACTTACCCACCTACCTGTAGTATCCTCGGATCAAATCCTACTTGGAGATGCGTGGAGAATAATTACAAGATTCAAATTGGTCCAAACAACAGGTAACCGATTGGATATATAGTACATAGTTGCAATTGCAGACAGGTATTTGATATGCTATGACAGATAGTCCGAATTCTCCTCTCCCTCAACCCCGACAGACACAGCGGAAACAGAAGACCATCTGGTCAATGATGACCCAGACCTTATAGAAGCCAACTGCGTACCGGGATTAGGTTCGAGGATATTCGGCCTGGGTTAGGTTGGTGAGTGGGTGAATGGGTGAATAGGTAGTTTTCAATAACACATGATAGAATCAAATTGGCCGCCTCCGGCCAACTGGAGGGAGAGAATGGGGAAGGGATTGGAGATAAAGGGACGGGCGGGTACCAAGCTAGTAAGTAGCAGGTAGACAATTTTGGCGCTTCGTCACTGCGTATGCAACAGTTTTGTCCGCGGGTAGGTTAGGTATGAGCGAACATCCCCGGGTGAGCGCGGGGGGGTGGGGGGGAGAGGTCTCGCAAGGCCTCGGAATTGGCGACGGAGAAGAAGCGGAAAAGAATAGTTTATTTATTTACTTCCCATTCCGGACTTGATCGCCTCCATGCGCTCCGCAAGCGAGACGCCGGGGGCAAAGAACGGGTTGGAGAGATCCTCCATGGTCGTGGGGGTGGCATGGCCCCAGACGCGCCACTCGGTCTCCTCGCCGGTCCACCGGAACTTCTGAATGACAATGTACTCGGTGCAGTCCTGCTGCTTGGAATTGTTGGCCACGGCCAGGTTGTCCTTGTCGGACAGGGGGGCGGACGAAACTACCGTGCCCTTGGACTGCCGGCTGGTGATGCGCACCACGACCTGTCGGACGCCGGAGTTGGGGAGCTCGGGGATCTGGGTTGCGCGGTCGGAGACGATTCGGAGGCCCGAGAAGAATGTGCTGGGTCCGCGCAGGTATTTGTCCAGCTTCCAGACTACTTGCTTGTCTTCGGGGCGGTTGTTGATTCGAGTGATGAGTTGCATGGCCAGACCGGTGCAGCAGACTTTGCGGATGGTGGGCGCGTTGCCTCTGTTGGGATTGGGGTTAGTCTCGGGGGTCTGGGAGGGATGAATGGATGGAAGGCGCTTACTCGGCGTAGGCGGAGTACATCTCCCTATGGAGGGCGCGGGCAACCTGTCGACGCTCCTTCAGGCGAAGAGGGAGGCCCTTGTTGAGCCACTTGCAGTAGGCGAGGAGACTGTACTCATGTTAGTCTACGGTCTTCTTCTTGCTGTCTCGTTCGTTCGGTACGGCGAAGAGCCAATGCGGGTGAGTGAAACCCGAGACTGATTGGTTGTGCATACCCCAAGAAGTTCTGAAAGCCCGACTTGACCGACAGCCATTCCATGCGCATACGCTCCTGGGGATGCGTGAAGATGGAGGGCAGGTCTCTCCAGAGCGGCCGGATGAAGGTTCCGGGCAAGAGCCCGATGTCCTGGGGCAGATCCGCCCTCGAGATTTCCCGACCCCTAGTCTTCATGCTCGGCTGCGCGGGCTGCTTCATGGCCAGAGTCTGCGGCATGGCGCGCATGGCAGGGCGCTGGGTCGATTGCGAGAAGTGTCGGCATTGTGAGGGAGCAATCGCGGATCCAGGGTAGAGGGCGAGGGTGGAGTTGCCGAGGCGAATGGCGGAAAGGACGGAGCCCTTGGACAGGAGGGAGGAGGAGGAGGGGGCCATGATGGGCTGAGGCCGGAGGGAGAACCTCGAAAGCAGACAATGGGCGATTGAAGGCAGAAACTCGGAGCGGAGAGAGAAGAGAGCGTGAAGCCGGAAATTCGAGGCCAACAGAAATCCGCCCGGGTCACGTGCGGCACCGCTTTCTCCGCCGCGGGTTCGAGCTTTGGTCCGCTTGGGCTTCACTTTCTTTTCTCTCTCCGGACCATCAAACCGGCTGGTGCTGTGGGTGTGTGTGTGCGTTTTTGGTCTCTGTCTGTCTCGGGCTGCCTCTTGTTTCCTGTTCGGTGCTTCTTCTTCTTCCTCTTCCACCACCGTTCATCTCCAATCGCTGCGGACCACACTAGCTTCGACGATCTTCCGGCATTCCAGCATCGAAACCGTTTAGGGGGCCCGTTATCATTACAGAGACAGTTTCGCTCCTCGGCCTCTCGCAGCTCGATTCCCCCTCCCCTCCCCTCCTCCACCTCTCCGCTCCCCGTGGTTCTGCATAACGGCTGCGATTGCCGTGATTCAAGGCTGGCTCCTCCTCGTCGTGATGCTACTTCTCCGTCCCTCGCTTTCCATGCCCGGTCGTCCTCTCCTGACCCTGACCTGATTGCCTCGCTATCGGACTCGCTGCCCACCACCCCTCCCCCGCCGCTCTATTCCACCCTGGCTTCGATACTCTCAAAGGTGGATTCCCCCGACAAAGCCGTGGCCCCCTCCGCCGCCGTCAATCCGCCCTCCCCGGCCTCCTCCATCTCCCGTGCCTCCAGCAGCAACGATGCCGGTCACGCGATCCCCTCCGGTCTCCATCCCCGGGTGGCCGTCATCCTCGGAGTCGATCGGAAATGGTACCTGCCGTTGCTGATCTGTCGTGCACTGAGTACCGTGCCCGCGGCGTGGTGGGGGCTGCGATGTGCCTTCACCTTCCTGGCCGAACTTCTTCACATCCGGCCGGGTGTGGGACATGAGGGCTGGGCGGCAGCGATAGTGGGGAGTGTTGGACAACATTGGGATGTTGAGCGAAGGTTTCGCGTGACTGAGGTGGCATTGGCTATTATGTGGGTATGTAGAGAGACCCAATTCCTATTACTTACTATATTCTTGTCTGGCAGATCTGACCGTCTTTTTTCTTTTTTTTTTCTACGTCTAGTGCTGTGCATCTGCATATCTTTCCTACTTTTTTGCTGATTGTATGATGTCTCGATGGTACGTGTTTGCTTACTTCCCCTCCCCCCCAATCCCCTTTTCCCCGGATTATATATCGCATGGGTCATGTACTATAACTGACCCGTCATTGGCCAGGCTTTTAAACTATACCCCGCCAGCTGTTGTTATTCGTCTCCTCACTACGAACGGTTTGATTGCTTATATCACTTCTTGGGTCCTTTATCTCTCCGGTGCTTCTTCCGACCCTCGTCTTCTCCTTCCGGCTTGGATATCCATTACAACTGTGGGTTCTTCCTTCTCCTTTCCCCTATCCCCACTGCAACACCAATCCCTGTTGATCAGCCACCTGGCATGGGTTACACCCACTAACTACTCTCCTTGTTTAGACCCTAACCTTCCTCTACCACGCCACTCAAAACCACGCAACCATCAAGCGCGAAACAGCAGCCGCTCTCCTCGTCTTGGCCGTCGCCAGTTTCGTCAGCATGTCGTCACTCCTGCTCCAGCTCCATCTCACCCGGGAGAACGAGCCCGAGGTCCCTGTCTTTGTGATCACCCGCAAACTCTGGGACTGGGCCGTGACTATCTTCCTTAATATGCGTGTTTCGGATGATCGAGCTGCTGCTGTGGGTGCTGCTGGGGTCGGGGAATTGTGAGCGGGGGATTGGTTGGTTGGATGGTTTGTCGGTTGGTGTGCTGAGTCGATCTCGGTCAGGTTACGTGTTTCAGTTGTAGTACTACCCTCCCCTATCCTATCCTACCCTGCCTAACCTTTAGTCTATTCTTTCCTTTTTCTTCTTTCTTTGAGTATCGCTAGGCGAAACTTTCAATAGACTTTTTCGATTCGATTAGATTGCCTATTTCATGCATGTAGCTTTCATGCAAGGGAGTAAGTACTAATAAATACCTCATTAGATGTGGATTTGGGTTTAGTTTAGAGCTTACGTAGAACCTACGAAGAACAACGGAAGAAGAAAAAAAAAAGGTACGGAACCTACGACGACTACAAATTTAGTGTACGGCAGTAAAGGAAGGATAAAAAAATTGCGGTCAAGTCAATGATGGATTCAGCAAAACCATGTCGTCGGGAAGGAATGGCATCCTCGCGTACAGATACGGAAATGACAGTTTAGGACAGCGTAGCGTAGCGTGTAACAGACGGAGATGATCAGAAGAACATCGATGGAAACGAGAGATTGAGATCAATCCTCCCCAAATTGCCCGTCCCACCCTGGGACCGACCCAGGCCAAGACATGAAGACAAGAGACGTCCGTTTTTCGTACCCATGACCCGCTGGCACAAGCCCACACGAAGCCAAGCAAAGACACGACAAGAAAAGACGGCAGAAAGCAGAAGAAGTGAGAAAAAACATCTATGCAGATATTGGGTATCTACCAACGCCTCGTTCCGTCATTATCCCATTCCATTTGTAGCAGTCGAGTCGGGAAATCAGACCCACTGTGTTCCCCCTGCCGCCCGTCAATGTGCGGGCGGAAGAAGGAACAAACTTAAGAGTGCATCATTTCGACAAAGGCCCAAGTCCAGTTTACCGGGCACAGAGTGGTAACAATAGAAGACAAAAGATTAGACCGAACGACCCTCGCTGCAGTTGCGGGGGATCGCAATGCTAGGTCAGACAGAGGATCAGTGGACACATGATGCTCTCCACCCCACCACTCTGAGGGTAACGTAGACTGGGAAGAAGGGACCGGAACGGGGGCGTGGCGTCTGGCTTAGAAACCGTGGACCTTGATGGTCTTGGCGTCCAGCTCGAGACCCTCCTTCTTGTCGGTCAAAAATTCCTGGACATCTTTACGCTGGTCACCCTGCAGCTGAATCACCTCTCCCATCTCAGCGTCACTGACGATGGTGCCATTGCAAGCTGGTGGGAAAGTTAGCAGTGTTCCGAGGGGTTGAAGAAGATAGGCGGACAGGGAGGTCACATACCGAACTTCTTCTTGATCACCTTCAAGATCTTCTTCTGGTCGAACTTCTTAGGAAGACCCTGGACGGTAGTCAAGGTCTTTCGACCATTGCGCTCTGTTGGGAACAGTCAGTCTCATGAGCACGGGACAGCATGGCACCACCGGTCAGGGGTAGAGGCGGCAACGACGACAAGGGGGGGGGGGGGGGGGAGGTGGGCCGACGTCGACGAGTCCGAGCGATAGAACGTACGTTGAATCCGTATGTGGATGTAATTTTGAGACTGCTTGGTCTCGCCGGTGTCTTCGTCAGCTTCGGCGAAGGGGTCTGTGAAAGAAGAGCACGTGTCAGCCTCAGGCTCATGACCAAGATATTACCCCGCCAAACTGTGACGCAGGTCGCCCAGGAGAGGGCAGGGTGGCACATCGGAGTCCACCGCATATCACCTAAGACCGATAAGATAGACATGATCCTTTAAAGGCCATGGACTTGTCCCTAGTCCATGGCCAGCGAGACCATATCGTCATCGAATGCTGCGGGGTCCTGGGGACGGCGTCCACAGAAGGGAGGTGGCGTTCGACTCACCGAAGGTCTTGAGGTTTTCGATGGACATAAACTCGGCCTTTCGTCGTAAACGGCCCTTAAAAGCGGTGTATAGGAGATGAGCGAGGGGGAGAGAATTAGATCTCTGTGGAAGTCGAGGCGATCGCGAGTCTGGAAGACTTGGCTAGGCTTGAAAGTGGGTGCGAGGAGGTGGTTGTCGGGAAGGAAGCAGGAAGAAGAACAGAAGAGCCTTTTGAGGGGCGCGGCCTCGCCTTAGCGCCCCTGTGGGGGGAAGGCGGTGTGTCCCTGACTAAGCCGTCTCGTCGTCTTGTCGTCACGTCCGGAAACTCAGGAACTCGGGACGCTGTGCCATGGCTGGCTTCCCTCAGGGGGGCAATTGGGGGGGGCCCTGGATGATTGTTTGCTGGCCTGTTGGGGCTGTTGGGGCTGAAATGCAGGCGCTTGGGACTGGCTTGGTGGTGGCAGTCCTGAGCGGCGGCTGGTGATGGTGGCAACCGGCAACCTGGACTAGGGCGCAACCTCGCCCTCGTCCGGGTCTTCTGTCTACTCTGTCTACTGCTTACAGGAGGAACGCCTTTGCATCTGATCGTCCTGCCAGCCAGCCAGATGGCTTATCTGCAGATATACTTTACAGGGTCTTGCCGTAAATGGATGGAACGTGTTAGCGTGTCAGTTAAAGTTGGTTGTTGGTTCCGTTCTGTCAATCACTGTTCCCGCAGTAGTACAGCAGTTCATGGCAGGCCAAACCATTGGCCTTTGCCACACCAGACTGGTTCTACCCCTCAACTAACCATCAAAATGCGGGACTCTCCAGACAACACGGATATTATGGAATTTGAGGTATTAGAGTAATTCGTACAGCATCGCAGTCCCACCCTGTACACAAATGTAGCAAAGACCCATGACCGAAGGACTCCCAGATCCAACGTATGGAGTCCGCCTTTTCGGACTACTATCAATCCCACCGCTCAAACCATTCTCATCGAAGACTTGCAACCCTCATGGTATAGTAATAGGTCGAACCTTGTCGGCAATGGTATCACAAGAGCAACCCGCTCGCTAAGCGGAAGGAGTCGTGGAAGCGGCGGCGCCGGCACCGGTGCGGGCGGCCTGCGGGGGGAGGAAAATGGGGAAGTAGGTCTGGATAATGCATGTTAGAGGAACCTCCGAGGTTGGGTCGTTGGAAAGAGTTGTTCAGAATCATCCGGGGACATACAACAACCAAAGCCATCACTAGAGGGACCCGGTGGTTAGTCATTGTTTCTTGAGCTAGGGCGGATTGGGTAACGAACATGACATGAAGACGGACATGTAGGCCGGAGTGGAGGCCGTCCTCTTCTGCTCTGGAGTCTCACCGAGCCAGGACTGAAGCGAGAACACGAAGGACACCCTGGTGGAAACGATTTAGCACGCTGTTGGGTCGACGAAGGGCAAGAGGCCTACCATCCGATCATTCTGCGGGCGCAAGACTCGTCAGATTTCATAAGTACTGTGAACGGAAGCAATTATCTTTTGCTCACCTATTCCTAGTGAACATCTGCCGAGACGTTAGTGTATGTGAAACGCGATATCCGCAGAGGAACTCCAATCGCGACCTACCGCAGCCATGGGCATGGTGCTAGACATTGCGCCTATGACAGGCAATCAGCACATGCTTATTTCTGACCCATCTACTCGGCATATGGGGGATTGTCCTCGACTTGGTACATACTAGACATGTCGGCCTCATCCTTGCTCTTGGGCGGATCGATGTAGGGGACGGCTAGAATTCGGGGTCGACGTCAGTTCGGGTGCGCTTCGGCTTGACTTGACTTCACGGCCAGGAGGCTCTGGATGGGGGACAACCTACCGAGGTCCAATCTCCGCATATCCTTCTTAGACGCCATCTTGTCGGGTTGGTGCGTCGAGGACTACTGGACAGCTCTCGTGGGAGGAGGGAGCTCGAGATGCGAGGCGGTTCGAACACTAACAGGCCAACCAAGCGACGGGTGGCGCCAAGACCAAAGCGGAAAGGCGTATCGGCCCCGGCTGATAAGTGGCATCCCCATCCGATTCGTCTCCCGCTCCCCAGGAAAAACAAACCATCATCGTTAATATATCCTATCAACGGGGCTATCAATTCTGGTCGCCGTAGCAGACGGATCACGGCACGTCCTAATCAATTAATCAATAATCAACCGATCATTCATTCACCGTGGACGATGCGAACCATGGTTGCTGGTCCCCGAGATAGGTTTGCCTCGGACTTATCGAACTGTTAGCTTATTTCGCCTTCGCTTACTTGAGCTCTCGTGACCCCGTGCTGTACTCTGTATGGACTGGCCAGGCGAATATGGAGTCCGGTTCTGTATGGCAAATCGATCTTGTTGGAGATCATCTATCTATCTATCTGTCTGTCTGTCTGTCTTCGGGCTGAATCGTATCGGACACCAGGTCAGCCCGCCTACCTACGCACTGCCTTAATGTATTAACTTTCACGCGATAGGGGCGATCGACAAACAGTCGGATGGCCATTGGGATCCAGGTCAGCAGTGAAGGTGTCTCAAACACCCCAGCTCTGTCTGACCGGGCGCACAAGGGCAGTAGTTTATGCATGCACGGTGCTTTTTTGAAGACACACAGAATCCTGGGTGTCCTCGCGGCCTATCTATCTTCAGATCTAACTAAGCACTCGTCGCTCCTGTGCATGTGGGTTGTTCGTCGTGGGTTACCGACGGAGGACCCATTCCGTCGCTATCGAGAAGCCCCCGTTGCCCCTTTCTCAATCCCCGATTATAATCCGGACCATGCTTGTGTACCGTCGACGCTGTCTTCTCGACTTCCATTCGCCTGAGCTGTGACGGCCGGGGTCGCACTGCATCCTGCAGCCAGGATGGCTGATATTGGAAGCTGCTTCGTGTCCAATTCCAAGCGATCGTAGGCCGGCCTGTGCTCCTCGGAGTTTCCGGGATCACCCAACGCGCCGCAGCACTTGGGCCCTTGTTCCCGGACCAAACGGGAGACCTTTGCCAGCAGGCTCGGAGACGGGGGGGTGTGTGGGAGTTGGCGCGCCTAAAAGGCCAGAACCCACGGAGTAACGACCCAATAAATAAGTAATTAGACACAAAGGATTGTAAGATCTACAGCGCAGGCCATTGAAGATGCGGAGAAGGGTGGAATCAGACGACGGCAGTGTCATAAGTCATACGGTCCTCACAGTCTCTCCCCAGCGAGTGTCAGGCCACTGGGGAGGGGTCCCTCCCGCCGTGGGTTTGGCAGTGTCGAAGTGGTCGATGGCGGCAACAATTGCATCTGTGCTCGGGAAACGGGGGCCTCCAAGCCGATGGCTCGAAAAAATTGCAATTTGCAATGACACATGTCGAACATCTTCGGTACTGGATCTTCCCAACGGGGTTCGGGGCGCCCGGGGCGCCCAGGGCGGCAGACTACTGTCCTGGATAAATCCGAGAGGATGGGCTCCCCTGGATCCCACGGCCCACAGTTGATGGGGGAAGAAGATAGGGAAGGGAAGAGCACTTAGGGTTAGTTTCAGGTTCCATGTGGACTTCGATCAGGTAATCAGCGGTGTTCACCGTATGTTCGTCCTGGGAAAAAACTATACCCCCCCCTCTCTTGATCCCAACCCTACGACGGAGTATAGAGGAGCTGGGATATTGCACACGTATCACCCTGTGCGTGCTACTACTGTACCGTGCAGAGTCCGTGACACACAGGAGAGGAGGAGGAGAAGAAAACGAAGAAGAAGCAGAAGCAGTGGTTTCGTTGCATCCTGCACATAGATAGTATGGACCGAAGTGCATTGGGCATAGATTAAATCAATGATGCAAACATGCTGGGAACAATCCAAAGTACTTTTACTGCCCGTCGAGCAGGGATCGCCCATAACGGGCCGATCTGCGGAGTTAACCTGGTCGGGGGTGGTGGTGATGGTGGTGGTGGTGGAAGGCACAACAGAATCATCGCCCCCCTTCTCCCTGCTTTGCAAATCTGCCATCGAACATTCTAACTCGTCAGTGGCTCTGGGTTTTTGTCCGATCGGGTCGACTGGCGGAAGAATGGGGCGATATGCCGCGATATCATCAGGTAATCACGTCGGGTTTGCAGTCAAGGGACCCATCATCTGATGCCAAGCCTGCCGATTCGGGGTTCTGGAGTGGTTGGCTGATGGATTTACCGGATAGCCTGATGATGAGATGGTATATTTATTATTACTGCGAGAGAGACACTGCGGAGTATCTAGATATTATCTATTGACTTCTCATTGATGATGATGGATGATGGCTGGGGGGAATGGTATCGAGATATCCGTATCCAGCAATCTAAATCCGTAAGCAGGCACTAGGTAACTAGACACTCCGTACTAGCTAGATAGATAGTAGTTATCTGCTGCCGCAGTAATTGGAGGCAATGATCATTTGCTGAATGCGGAGTTGCTGCCAGTGCGTGGAGAGATCTGGATCCGCCCATCGGTTCGATCATGACGGGGTCTCAATTTTATGAGCAGGCCATTTGTACCCCGGGAGCATGGATGATGGATGGTGGATGGATCATAGATGGCTGAAGGACGGGGGTGATGGATCATGGATCATGGGTGACGGGTCACCTTCTTCCGTACCGGTAGTCCGTCCCGACTGGCTATCTATCCCCGTCCAGGTGTCGTCCACACAATAGTTTCGACTATGGTGGCCATGGCCATGGACATTGGACAAGCGGCCTCCGATCATCCTTTCTCCTGTCTGGACAAAGTAGGTACGGAGTACGGTAAGGTACTAAGGTACAGTAAGTAGTACGCAAGCAAGCAGACCAGCAGGTTGCAGCCGGTAATACGGCGGTACAGGCCCACACCCTCTCCAATCTCCAGGTCGGCCTCTCCAGGCCCGCCTGGCGTCGACGCCCGGTTAGTTTACCGTCCAGCGCCGGTAATGTTGCCCCCCCTCGGGCTGTTGCGACTTCCTACTTGGGTAGGTCGGTCATACAGGTGCCAGTTGGTCCTCCTTACGTTATCTGGGGATTCTTCCATCTAGTTATCTCGGCCACCGTACACTCGGCGGCTTCTTCCTTTCTCTCACTCTCACTCTCTCACTCTCACTCTCTCACCTCTGTCTTCCCTCATCCTGTCCTGGTTGAACTCGCCTCGCCTCGCCTCGAGTTCTGCCTCGCCGCTCTCTGCCTTCACCTCCGCGCCCCCCCATTGCGGAACGATTGACCGACTGCCGCTTTGCCCCCTCCCCGATCCTCTCTCTCACTTCCGCGACTGTACCGGGGATAACCCTCCGTCACTTACCATCCGCCTAGACCGTCGATTCTTATCGGCGCACGAGATTGAACCCAAGCCCTCGCATGTGTAGCAACCTGGCCCTGCCCTACCGAAATAAACGTCCAATCTTACCTGCAGGCGGTCGACTCTTTGTTGACCGTGCTATCCAGCCGTCCGACGGCGCTGTGCCAATGACCAGATCCCCAACGCTTGACCACACCATGAAGCTGGCATGATACCTCATCCCTCCGCCGGCGTCCAGCCATGGGGCCGTTCCGTGCGCGCCCTCAATAACGGCTCAGGACGTGTTGATGTTGCTCAAGCCATGGGTCAACCCGACCCTCAGTTGGAGAAGCTGTCAATGCCCGCTCCGCAACCGCTACCCCGACAGCCGGCAGTCATCGACCTTACAACAGGCGCAAGCGATTCGCAGGATAGAGAACCGCCCGCCAAGAGGCTGAAACTGGAGGTGCCTTCCGGATCAGGGGCCGCGGATGGGAGTCCTGCTCCAGGCAGTGGTGGTGAACTGAGAAGCACCCCCGGAACCGCAGGATCAAAACCGCAGCCGCTCTCCTGGCGTGGTCGACCGGTATGGTCCTTCCAGGCCTTGATTTCGGAGACAACCGGGACTGCAGAGACGAAGGAAGATGATACGGCCTCGCAAGGCCGCAACCATGCCTCGCCGCCTCCCTTGCCTCTGGTTCCTTGGAAGTATACCCCACAGGAGTCCTCCGAAAGTGACAGCGCCAAAACTGGTGAACTCCCGGCCGCAAAGGAAGTCCAGACAACTCCTTATCATATCGTGATCCCTTCTGATGCGCCGAAAGTGAAAGGAGAGAGTAAGTCATCCCCACGCATGACGGACGAAGTCCCGAGCTAATTTGGAAATTGTCATTTTAGGAGTCGCGGACTTTTCTCCATGGACCGGTAACCATCCAGAGGACATCCTCAACGAACACACAGCGAAGCAAGGCCATTATGACCGCACCCAGGTCTCCCAAAACGAGACCAATACGGCGCGTCCATCGCTCTATGCGCAGTTGAAACACCGCTCCGGCCTGCAAATGCTTTCTTCCGTCTTCGCTGCCGCCCTCGAAAAACGCCAGAACCATAACACTGTTACCGCTCCGTCGAGCTTCAAACCTCCTCCCCGGGTCACCTTGACCGATAATAAACGCGAGGCCTGGCTTAGGGATCTTGCCAATCCGTCCGTCCCCTTGCGCAAGCTGAGTCGGACAATCCCCCATGGTATCAGAGGCAAGGTGTTGCTCGACCAGTGTCTAGGCAAATGTATCCCGGTTCCTCGAGCCGTGTGGCTAGCAAGGTGTGTCGGGGCGAACGAAATCCGTGCCTTCAAACGGAAAGGCACAAGCGGTGCGCTCGCTTTGGGATTAGAGACGAAATGGGTTCGCGACTGGACATCAACTGTGCAGCAATTTCTTGAAAGTGTAGTCAGCTCTTGTGGGACGCCGGATTGGAAAATGAAGATGACATACGCGTACGTCATGCCTTGGTCCCCTGCGCTTCTGACGCGAAGATTCTAACCCACCCCAGTGTTAGCCTAACTTCTCGTCTGTTCTTTGAGCGTCTGCTTGATCATGATCAGTACCTCGCTTGGTTCTTGTTGTCGCTGGAGGCTGCGCCGTTGAATACAGTTCCTGTTTGGCTCTTGATGCTTGGAATATACTGGAGTAATATCATGCGCTATCGGAAGCGTGGTCGACGACTAGCTGAGGTCCTGCTGGAGAAGCTACGTCAGGTACGAATGCTCACGGACTGTGATCCCCTTGACATCTAGCTAACTGGCTCGACAGATCAAGCTGCCTGGACAGCACACGGCCCTGGAGCCGCTGGTTGAGCGCCTATCGCGTTGCATACGGAGAATGGTCCTAGAACATACCTCTTCTGTCATACTCCCGAATTCTTGGGATAAGTACAAGGATTTGATTTCGTCCTGCTTGAATTTGGAAGAAATGCCTGATAAGACAATGCTTCAAAATCTGGCGGAGCGCAATGTGCGAGTGCAGCTGCCCAAAATTCACCAAAAGACGGCACAGCGGTTACCTCAGCAGCATGTGATTCACTTGTTTGACACTGTCCGCTCTACACATGATGTCTCCTCTACTTCTTCTGCCTGTTTGAACGCTGTCGAGGACAAGGCATCTCTGGTTTCGAAGCTATTGGAGTGGGCAGCGACTCCATTCCGTCATGGCTTTCGCCGCGTTTACATCAGCGTTCGCCTTCTGCGAAAATGGAAAATGTCCGGGGTGGATGTTGATACCCACATTCTCGCTTTCCTGGCTAATGTTCAAGTCGCCAATCAGCTGAACATGGACAATGTGTATCACATCATCGCTGAACTTGTTCGGTCTCAGACTTTCTCCGTTGGCAAATATTTGCAATGGCTAATGGCGAAGGGGGTCACGAATGATCCGTCCGCTAGTCCACATGAGGTCAGACACCCTTTTAGAACCTCCCAACCCACAGTACTGACTTATTGAATGTAGACTATGTCGAACGATGTCCGCCTTCTACTACAACTTCCGTTGGCTCGTCTTCCGGAGTACGTGCGTAGCCTTCGCAACACGCTGCTCAACCGCGCTGGGATTCCACCGTCGCAGGAGGAGTCAACCATTGCGGCCATCAAGGCGTCAATTGCACAGCAACTCCCAAAGATCTTTGGAGCGCAGACCGACGATGCAATGTTAGCCGACCTGTCTCTTTCTGATTTGACATGGGCAGTGAAATCTGAAATCGGCCTGTGGATTCGTCGCGGCGTGACGGGGCATTTCCGCGAGCCCACAAGGTATGTGACCTTTACTTTGAAACCACCTTCAATATCTGACGACTCCCAGGAAATACGCTCATATTCCCTTGCTGGCTGATTCCGGTACCTCTGCCCTGACCGCACATGAGTTCTACAATCTTCGGAATGTTCTGGAGAGCTTTGGAGATATCTCAATGCTTGCAGACGTGCTCAAGCAGGCAACAACGTCTGGTGACAGCATTGTGTTGGCCTCTGTTGCGGACACTGTTAATTACCATTTCGACTCATTGTGCGTCATTGGTGCTGCAACCGACCTCTTCAAGGGACTCGTTGAATCGTATGCTCGTCTAAAGAGAATTGGCCTGCCCGGTCTTGACCTCATCTTCTCCTTGATTGAGCTTGGGCTACGTATGCCTAGCGAATTCAACACTGTTGCTCTCCTTCGTCAAGATTTGTCGCGAATCGAGGGAAAGTCGGCTCTGGCTGCACCATCTCCGCTCTCAGACCACATCCCTATGACCTCCGGGGGAGTCGACTCTTCATTTCAAGAGAAGTTAGATCAGATTCTGTTCTCTGGGGGTGGCCTGGATGAATCGTCGCTAGATTCTGTATTCACATCATTGACCAGGGCACTAGGAAACCATGGGCAAGATAAACTGTCGGCCAATGATATCTGCAGATACCTAGCCTACCTAAGATCCTTCCACCCCAAGCGTTTCGATGCCATGTTGGTCCGATGGGTATGCGGACTTCTGAAATCGCCTTCTCGGTCTGTAATGACTCGAATCCTTCCCCCCCTGATTGGGGTGGGGTGTGTTACTATACATGCTTTTGTCATGCTAGTCAGGAAGCTTTTGCAGTCTGAGAGGGTGGCTTCGGTCATTCCCAACGTTGCTGACCTGCGACTGAATCTACTGGAGCTCCTTGTTCCACCCGAGCCGAGCCAGAGTCGCTATGTAGATATGGTATGCTCCCGTGCACTTTTGTACTTCCTTTCCACAGGTCCACATACCTAACTATCTATTTAGGTTACGTACCGCTTTTATCTGGCGCAACAAGAATTCCTCGACAAACATCCTGAACAGTGTCTTGAGATTATTCGCGATGCTGTTCCACTGCATGATACCGAGCGCCCAGAAGCGGGTGGCCCGAGCCAGACAGACCTTTCAAACTGCGCCGTGATTTTGCTACGGACTCTCCTTACCCAGAAGCCAGAACGCATGGTTCAAAGCTGCATGCAGAAGTTCATAGGCCAGCATCCAGCTTCTACGGCAATCCTGCAGAAGGCACTCGATTCTCTTCTTGGCTTTGATCCACAAAGTACGTTTGATGTCGCGGATACTGTGTTCAAGGCTAACGATATTCTAGGCACGCCGGATATGTCTGAAGCTGAGCGCGTAATTTCCATTAACAACGATTTCTCGCTTCCTATCTGTCAACTCAAGCTCCAAATACTATTCAACGCAGAAGCCGGAAGCCAAGTCGACAATGGAATCGTGGATGTCATGTTCAAAGCTGCGATGGCCGATGCGCGCTCAAACCGGGACCATTGGTACGGCTTGGTTAGCCTAATGAGTCTGGATGCAGTGCGACAGGTATGCAGCACACCCCGCTTCTTGGTGTCTCTTTACTAATAGTCTTAGATTCGCGAGCGCGCTGAAAGGGGGTTCTTCTCTGTCCCGATGCACGACGAGTCTACCTCCGATTCTTCTGTGGCAGACAAATCAGGCTCCATTGAGACTGCGAGACTCTACCTGACGATCATCGAAAAGCTGGCGTATAGCATTCCCGAAGTCGGCGCCCAGTCCGTTGCGTCTGCCCTTGTGGAAAAAATGGAGCTGCTGCTCCAAAAGTTTGTCTCCATGCAGCCAAATTCGACAGGTGCCAGCGATGCAGGCCAAACGGCACAGGCACGCTCCAATTTCGAAAGGAGCCTTGCATTCTGGTTCTCCGCATTGCTGAGACTGATCGTCATCCATCGAGCAGCATTCAATACGCCGTCCTTGGCACCTAGGCCGACCGGCCTGCAAGAGCAAGCTCGTTTGCTGACATCGATTTTCTGCATCTCTCTTGCGCGCCTGCCAGACCGAGTTATCCGTCTCTATCCGTCGGCCAATTACTTCCCCCACCCGGTCCAGTCCGAAAACTATCGCCCTTGTCCTGGGATTCTGCTGCAGACGCATGCCCTGGATGTGGCGGCCGCGCTTATCGACACGTTCCCGGACGAGGCGCGGCATCAGTGTGCTCGCTTCCTTCGGGAGAAATGTCCCCCTTTCCTGCAGTTCCAGAACGACCCACGATTTCTCTACCTCCTGGGCCCCATCGTGGACACATCAAACCTCAACCCTACAGTCCCTGCTTCTCTCCCGTCTCCTGCTGCCGGTGCTTCCACTCCGACGCCGACGGCGAACCTCCCTGGCGGTGCGGCAATTCCCCAACAGGCGATCTCGTCAGCCCCTTCAGGCCTACCCGCTGGACTATCCGAGGGTGTCAACTGCATTGCCAGCCACCTCCGCCTCCAGTACCGTGGTCGGGTTCTTGGTGCGTACCCGGTGCGGCCCTGGGAGCTTCTCGAAGACGCGGCTCCCATTGTCGGCATGAACGACACTGCCGTGAGCCTGAAGTACTTCGACGCGAGACGCGTCAGGGCCTGAGCCGTGCCCGCAGCTCAAGTCCTATCTCCCTCCACCTATCCTCCACCTACCGTATATAATCTCTCTGATTCGATTCCCCTGTGCTTCCCTCTGCTCGATACCATACCATTTTTGCATATAGCTCTTCTCTATCTCCTGACATGTATCCGCAACGAATCTACCACACCGACCGTTTCCGTTCCTTTTCTCATTTTTATTTTTGGTCATCTCATTCATGTCAACACCACGATCTTTCATCCGCGGGTGTCGAACTCAGCCCAGGTGCACTGGTTATTGCAAGGCTGAGCGTTTCTGCACGGGCATTCGGGGCTGTATATAATAGAGTCGGGCGTTTACACGGGTTGGGCGGTCCATAGCATTCACGATTGGCATAAACTTTACAACATGGCATTGACTTCTTCTTTGGGTGCATGAGCGAGTGGCGCGCGATGTTCTTCCTTCCCTGTCTGGTCTGGTCTGGGGCACATGATACAATCGCAATGTGTCGGGCGTTATATAGTCGAATCAGACTGTAGAACAGTTATTTATAGAAGATAGACAAAGAAAGGCATTCCCGTATGTGGGGAAATCTCGAGGAATCTCTTTGTCCGTTTCAAGACTCTGGCCGGGATAATGATGATGGTGTAACGAGTCCTTTTCTCTTTCGTAAAGGAAAAGATACATGCGAAATGGTAAATCACGCTAATTGAAGTAGATGGACAGGTAGTAGATGTACGGAGCAACCATACCTGCACTAAAGCCAGAATGGCAAGTCCAGCCACAAAAACTGTGAAAAAAAAAAAAAAAAAAAAAGAAATGAATCAGAAATATGGAAAGCTGCCAGAAACATACAAAATACACAGTAAGATTGGAATAAATTTTAATCCACCAAGAGTGGCAGTATCATAGCCAGGAATTGCCAGGTATCAATCAGTATGTGAATGCTGTCTGGCCTGAGGCAGACATCTAAGGCAGACATCTAAGGCAGACATCGAAGGCAAACATCCCAGGCAAACATCCCAGGCAAACATCCCAGGCAAACATATCAGGCCAACATCCAAGGCAGTCCCAGCCTGAGGCACCCCGGCCCCGGGCAACCCGACGTCATGCTTGTTCGGGTCCTCCAGCAGCACTTCCTTCAGCAGCGCATCACCGCCGAACTTTTCCCCAACCCCCAGCCTAGACTCCCATCACCAGAGCCACCATGATCCCCACGGCACGGTGTCTCGCCGCAAAGCCCGCGGGCTTCTTCAAGCGCAGCGCAGAGGAATTGGGCCGGCTGTCCAGAATCGGTGCGCCTGCCTGCTTCCCTTCCTCCCTTCCCTTCCCTTCCCTTTTTCTCCGTCCGTCCGTAACGATCTAGCTAACTGATTGATAACGCCGCTTCTAGCCTGGAACACCGAGGCCCTCCAAACCCCCACCAAACCGTACTACCTCCTCGACTTCGAAGATGAGTCGTCTATCGCCGGCTGCAAGACCATGGCCGATCGTGCTGTCGGCGGCTACAGCACCGCCAGTCTCGATTACGTCCCTGCCGACCCGGCAACCAACAGTCCGGCCCATGCCCGCTTCCATGGCAGTATCTCGACCCAGTTGCCCCGGAATTGGCGCGTTGAGAGGACCGGTATATCCTCCCTTTTTCCTTTTTATCTCTTCTTTCCTAATTAATCTCCAATACACACACACACACACACACACACACGCATTTTAAACCCAAACTAACCCCAACCCCAAAAACAGGCTACGCGGCCTTCCGCAACCTCGACCGCGGCCTCTGGCTCTTCGGCCGTCTATACTGGGACGTCGATCCATACACATACCTCGCTCTGCGGGTGAAATCCGATGGCCGTCGATACACCGTCAACCTGCAGACGGACTCGATCGTCGAGACAGACATCCACCAACACAGACTCTACACGCGACACCACCGCGTGCAGGAAACCTCCCCCACCGATGACCCCCACCCACACTCCCACTCCAACTCCAACTCCAACTCCATCCCCTCCGCCCTCTCCGACGTCCCCCCCTCCTCCACCATCTTCAGCTCCAGCTCCAGCGCAACAACCTCCGGCTCCACCGGCTGGGAAACCATCCTCCTCCCATTCAACTCTTTCGTGCGCACGAACCACGGGATGGTCGTTGAGCCGCAGACATCCATCATCCGGAACCGGGTGAAGAGTGTCGGGATTGGGTTGACGGATCGGGTCGAGGGGCCGTATGATTTGCGGATTCATCGTATTTGGGCGACTAATGGGCTGAGTGAGGGCGAGGCGGAGGAGGAGAAGAGGATTTGTGGCGCGGAGGCGTTGCCTGTCGATGAGGGGGTTAGGACTGGGTGGATGGGCGATTTGAGTGCGCAGGCGAGGAATCGCGTCGATGGGAAGCCGAAGACGAAGGGGTTGAGGGGGTTGAAGGATGAGTGGGATTGATTGGGCGGTGTTATGGGGGGTTGATACCATCGACTAGATTGTACAGTAGTTCCTAGGTAGTTATCTAGCTAGCTATCCATTTGTTTATCTGCCTGCTTGTTTGTATATTCGGGGTTTGTTGGTATTCTTTTTTACTATAACGGACTTGGAGAAATAGATAAATACGCAGATAGAGATAGGTACTTGTGTCACACGTATGAGTATACACAACCCAGTCCATCCTAGTCCTAGTCCATCCTAGTCCATCCTAGTTATTTCCCCCCGTAATCCTCTCCCACGCCTCCTTATACTTCTCGCTCGTCTTGAGCGCAATCTCCTCACTCATCCGCACGCCCTCCTTCCCCTTGAGCCCCTCCTGCACCAGCCAATCGCGCAGAAACTGCTTGTCGAAGCTGGCCTGTCCGCGTCCCACGGCGTACGAGTCCTTCGGCCAGAACCGCGACGAGTCCGGCGTCAGCACCTCGTCCGCTAGGACCACCTCGCCCGTCGTCTCGTCCACCCCGAACTCGAACTTGGTGTCCGCGATGATCACACCCCGGGTCAGCGCGTACTCGTGCGCCGTCTTGTAGAGCTGGAGAGAGAGCGCCGCGATGGTCGCCGCGTGTTTGGGGCCGATGATTTCGATGGCTGTGAGGAATGAGTATTTTGGTTAGCTTTTTGTTATTACACGACTTTTTTTTTTTTCTTTCAATGATATGTTTTTGATACTCAACCACATTGTGAAAGAAAAAGAAGAAGAAGAAGGAGGAGGGGGAAAAAGGAAAAAAAGAGAAAATACCCTTATCGGGATGAATATTCTCATCATGCTCGCCCAACTCCGCCTTCGTACTGGGGGTATAGATGGGCCCGCCGGGGAACGCTTGACTCTCCTGCAAGCCCTTCTCGACGGGGATGCCGTGCACCGTACCCGAGGTCTGGTACTCCTTCCACGCCGAGCCCGTGATATAGCCGCGCACGATCGCCTCGATGGGCAGGATGGTCAGCTTCCGCACCTGCATGCTGCGGTTCTGCAGGACGGGCCGCAGAGACGCGGGGATTTGCGCCGGCAGGTCGAGGGTCAGGAAATGCGTGCGCAGGCTGGGGAGCGCGGCCGTGAGGATCGAGAACCATTTCTCCGTGCATAGCGTGAGGAGGATGCCTTTGTTGGGGATGCCCTGTTTTTTTTTAATATTTAATTATTAGATTGGGTTGGATTGAATTATTTGGGGTGGGGTGGGGTGAGGTTGGAGGGGAATTGGTTTCAAGGAAGCCATTAGGTTCATGAAAGACACAAAGGCAGAACGAGAAAAAGGAATGTATGTCAGTAGGGATATAAGTATGACTGTATACGCACATTCTCCATAATCACATCATAGGCGGAGATGCGATCAGTCGCGACGAACAGGAGGGTTTTGTCGTCGATCTCGTACAGGTCGCGCACCTTGCCACGGGCGATGAGGGGCAGGACGCCCTGCAGGTCGGTCTGGGTGTAGGCCTCGGACATGGTGGGGGGGAGTTGCGGAGTGTCAGAGGGAGCAGTTGAAGATGTCGAAGTCGAGGTGCAGACGTTGGCTGGTTGGTGGGGGAGTCATCGCTCCCGCCAATCGATAAGCTTGTCCGCGGCGGGGTATCGATGCCTGATCCTTCAGGTATTACATCACTCAGGCAGATATATAGATATATAGTAGTGTGGACTGGAGATGGGATGGGAGATGGCTGAAAAAAAAATGGCATCAGGTTGTGATTCGATTAGCTAGTCCTAACGTACAAACTCCCCCTTGTACCGCCAGTCACACCTCCCTCGTAGCCTCCCGCGCGCGAATGTAGTCCTGTCGCTCCACGCCCCAGCCCGGATCGACCACCGACAGCGCTGCAGGCTCACCCCCAGACACAGAGACATCAGGGTCGATGGTCCGCACTTTGGCACCTTTATGCAGACGTAGACCATGCTCCTGCAGCAGCCCATCCGTCTCGAACCGCTGGAGCGTCTCCGCGCCCTCCGGGTCCGCAACATCCTTGAGGAGCTCCCAGAACTCCTCGTCGGACATGGACCACAGCGCATCCTCGCTGATCCGTCCCCCGCGGACAAGATCCCCAATCAACTGTCCCGTCCTCTTGTACATATCCACATGCGCCGGATTGGACCACACATCGCGGTCCGTCGCCTGGTACGCCTGCGCCAGCACCAGCGCCAGCGCGGGATCATCCAGCACGAGCAGACGACGCGGCGACGACGGGTCGGGAAACGCCTTCAGCGACGCCACGACGCGGTGCGCATCGTCCTGCGACATGAGGCCGAGCGCGACCGCGTCGCGGAGGGAGTAGTCCAGTCGGTCGGCGCAGAGATGCGGCGCGGGCTTCTCGACGAGTGGGTACTGCTCCTCGTCCAGGACGGTGTGCGAGATGCTGTGTTTGGTGAGGATGGCTGCGATCGAAGTGGTCGCGAGGTATCGCGCTTTGTGCACTTCGTGGTAGCTGTCTTCTCCGGGCTGGGAGAGTGCCCAGTCGACTACATGGCTGAGCACCGTATGGCTGATGTCGTGCAGCAGCGCGGTGACTTGTTCCTCGATGCTGGCGCCCACGATGCGCACGAGGAGGAATGCTCCGACCGAGTGCTCGAATCGCGTGATTTTGACGTCCCGGGGGAGGAGGCCGAGGTGTCCGGTTACCCCGTGCTGGCCGATTCCGATCAGTCGCTGCAGGTCGGGGGATTGGAGCAGCTCGACTAGCACTGGCTCGATGATGGTGTGGTCGCCGTAGAGGACGTCGCGGATGACGATGGTGGAGGATGCGGGGATCTCGTGGGTCTGGAAGTGCCCCGCCTTCAGGGCCGGGGTCTGCGGCATGCTCATGCTGGATGGGATACAACTGGGGAAGTGGGAAGTGGGAAGTGGAATGCGAAGAAGGGGTTTATATATTGTATACTTTGTCGCTGCCGGTGGTTTACCCAGGCAGCAGCAGGCATCCGTGGGCAGGGTCACATGGCAGTCTGGCCAGTGATGATGTCGTTGTCCCCAGAGAATGCCAGTCTCCGAGAACAAGTCCTACAAGACGGGATGGAAGGATTCAATTGCACCATACGCACTAGTATGCTGTCGTGGTTTGTGTAGCTATTTGCATCTACTGCCACCAACGTCCAGCTTGGTATACGACCTGGTATACGACCTGGTATACGACCTGGTATATTGTCACACCCGATGATCCTCGTATCCCACGCGTCGGAGTGGCTGACGGTCGGTTGTAGACGGCTGCTCGGATCTCGGAATCGAACTTAGGGTTGAGGCACCAGGGGTCTATAAAAGGTTCCATTATAGGTCAACAGAGGCACGGGCACAGCACCAGAGAAAACAGGAACCTAGCTAGACAGTCGCGACTGCTTCCATCTCATCCAAGCAGCGATGTTTCGCACCGTAGGAAAGTGTGTACTGAGCTGATCCGCAACCACTGTCTGTATGCCCCTGCTGTCCCGGTGTCCCACACCAGCTCAGACGAAAGGAAGCACCGCGAGAACAACTCGGAGGGCTGTAGATCATACACATCCGAGGAGGCGTCCGACCGGGTATCTTCCTGGCAGCTGGCTGTGTAGTAGTATGCTGCCAAGTGTGCCACCCCATTATCTCGCTTGTCGAGCAGCCGTACCCCGTTGCGAAGAGCATCGCGGAGGATCCGAATCCCTGCGGAAGGTCAGGAGGGGCCATCATGCCGACGGTTCTGAGAAACGCTGAAGGAAGACGAAAGCCCACGTGGAGGCCGGCAACCAGGGATCAAACAAGGTGTTCGGGGAAATAATCCGACCCAGGCGCGCGCCGCTGCAGAAGAGTGGAGCCGTGAAGCTGCAGAGTTAGACCCAAAGATCCCGAGATAAAGAAGCCGAAGAGGAGGTACATACTATATGCCTGGTGGCTAGTGGCGAGGGAGGGCCGTCAACACCGGTCGGGACCCGTATTCGCCAGGCTGCGATGTCATGGCATAGAGCCAGGAGGGATTCCGTGGTTGGGATCGAAGCCTATGCTGCCGTCCAGTTTGACAGTTCCGGGCCCATCCAGACCCGACCGGCGCCAACCCGTTCGTCACAATGCTGGATGGAGATGGTTCTTTGTCTGCGAGGAAGTCAGTCGCGCGGAGGGGGCACCGCTGGTTGGCAGGCCGGCGGAGGGGGTCTTGACCGTCTTGTCCATTTCCGTCCCGATGGTGCCGCGTCGTGTCCATTCCGGAGCTTCCTTTGTCGTCGCTATCGGACGGTGGCTGGTCGGACGGGCCTCTGCATGGAGGCGTGGAGGAGAGGAGGAGGAGGAGAGGAGGATGGCGAGACCTGTCTTACCGCACGGTGGCTCGTCAGTGGTCGGCAGCGTCCAGAGTTCAGGAGGCCAACCTGGCCAAGGAGCCCCTGTCTTGGATGGGCGCACAGGAGAGGGTGTGTGGCGGTTGGGTTGGACTCGTTCCAGCAGTCTCTTCTTCGTACTTCGTACAGTCGATACCCCCCCTCCTCTACGATTCCGATGGCAGGCAGTGGCTTGAAGGAGAAGCAGTCCCAGTCGTAAGTTCGTGGCATTCGTCTTATCGTACTACCTAGTTCGAGATTAATTACATGCGTTCTTCATCCCCGGCCAGACAGATACAACCCATCCGCTAGATTCCTCCTCCGAAGAGAGAATACACCTTCGAACCGTCGACAGCAATGCGTTCGCTAACGTCCACTGGCCTTTCATCAAATGCAAAGATCAACTCCTCAGATCATGATGGCCGCATTGGCGACATCCAGGGTCTCTCGCGGTGCGTTGGAGTGCCCTCTTTTTTTTTTTCTGGTGTTTTTTGTTATCCATCTGTTTTTTTTTGCTTTTCTGTTTTTCTTTTTGATGAAAGGAAAATAGGAAAATGAGAAACTGGGTTATGGGGGATGTGAAGATCTTGAGATCCAGTTCTGAACACAAAGTTGTTTCGAAGAGTTCCGCAACGCAGTGCCATTGATCTTCGTCGTCTACTGATAAGACTGCGGGCACCCGAGCACTTTAAACGAAGGGAATGAGAACAACTTTACATCCTTGGAGCTCGGAATCGATTCTGCAACTCTGGTCAGAAAAATCCAGGACAGGCTTTGGGACAATACATACACTGCAGATTGTTCAACAGAGCGATGCAGGCCTTCATAGCACGATAGCCGACGCGGTGACGTTCAAGCCAGGCCCCTGATTCAAAGTCAGTTGAGTGGACAACAGTAACAGCAATCCACCGGCACTTACAGAATCTATGAGCATCCGCTGGCTGGCAACCCATAAGGCGCACAATAAGCTGTTTTTCGGCGTCGTTCAGACGGACACGTCTCTCCATAACGTCATAACAACAAGCCTGGGTATGAGCACGATAGGCGTCACCACGGTAATCCGGTCGAATAAAATTGACTTTCTCCACAATGGTTTTGCTATGACTATTAGCACTTGCAGACAAATGTACTTCTAGGTGACTTACGTCAGGTAGTACTCCTTGAGACCGACTCGGAAGACCCAGTGGTAGCCGAAGTCCTTCGTCGCCTTTGCCAAATCGTCATTCGCTTTCTTTTCAGCACGAAGAAGAGCCTGGTGGAATCTAAAAAGATCATTGTCCTTCAGGACATGCTCAATCTCAGGATCAAGGGAGTTGATGAGCTGAATGGGGTGGCCTTCAATGTCCGCAACAGAAGGCTTGATGTTGTGATCGGTCATGATCGCCTGCAAAAAGTTTCCATAGCGACCAACGCGAGTCTCAGCAGCTTCAGTTGCTCCATGGATACGGTGGGAGGGATGGATCAACTCTTCGTCCCTATTCAACGCAGTGACCTGGGCCATCAGGCGGGTGACGTTTCTATGCTTGCGGAAAGCTGCCGAAACATACATAGCTTTTTCACGTAGTTCAGGAGCCTTGCCTGCATCACCAGCGATGCCATCAAGAGTGCGAAGGAGTATCTCGGTAACAGCCGCAAGAGCAACGATGGCATCCATCGTGATGTATGCGGGATGTTGGTGAGATGAGTTTGTTATGGATTGAGACACGATGAGTTTGAGGTATCAGAGAAGGGGGAAGATTAACAGTAGGGAAATATGGGAGGATGGAAAGGTGGAAGAAGAAAGTGGGAAATGGTCGAGGGAGGGGACTTTTATGGAAGGGGAGACGAGTGAATTTGTTTATTGATGTCAATAAGTGTTTTGATACCATACCTAGGAAACGAACATATATGTGTGAATTTCCTCCAAACATTCACTATCTCTTCTAATTAGACAAAGAAAGGTACCAGCCCCCCGCCACCATCTAGAACACAGCTCCATTAGCCATGTCTGAGCCTAGTTACTCATCTTTTATTACCTGACACCTCTCTTCTCAAGTGCTGTCTTTGAGTTACTCCTGTTCATCCTCTCCCCTACACCTTCGGCTGCTTGCTTTTAATGGTCTGAAACCACATCCAAAGCTTATAGTCATCGATTCTACATCTCTCAAAACAAACAGCTTCACTTCCCTTTACCGAGATGGCCACTGTACCTCTTGCTTTGAAGGCTGGTGTTGAGTCTAAGGACAAGCTCACAGAGCTTCTGTGGCAGGATGCCTTGAGCCACCTTGGGTCTACAAACAATGAGGTTCTTCTTCCCATCAACGTCATTGATATGATCAGCCAGAACAACGTCAACAAGATCAAGACCCGTCTCAGGTAAGGCAACTTGGAATATTTGAACCCAGAATCGAATATAGGCTCACAAATAGGAATAGTGCTCTCATTGGGGCCCCGGTGGTGGCATTCGTTGATGAAACAATCAACGCGCTCCGGGTCATGCGTACTCCTGCCTTTTCGGGTACTGCAGTTTCTGTGGCCTCGCCCGAGGTGGCATCGGGCATCAAGCTGGAGGCTGCCGAAGCAGCTGCCCCAAAGAATGAGAGAACTACTGCCCCTGTGAGAACTGCGAAGGTTCCTCGTCCGCCTAATGCATTCATTCTGTACCGCCAGCACCACCACCCCCAGCTCAAGGAAGCTCATCCTAACCTGTCAAACAATGAAATTTGTGAGTTCCCAGTTACATTGGATTCTCCATTAAGTGGTCTAACGTCTCTAGCAATTATCCTGGGAAAGCAGTGGAAGGCGGAATCTGAAGATGTCCGAGTCGGCTTTAGAAGCCTGGCGGACGATCTGAAGAAGAAGCACGCCGAGGCACACCCCGACTACCAGTACACTCCTCGCAAGCCGTCTGAGAAAAAGCGTCGCGCCTCTGGCCGGCAGCAGCCCAAGACCACCGCGGAGATGAAGTCGCCTGAGCCTACCACCATCAGTACCGCAGCCACCACTCCTTCCGTCGACGCCAACCTGCAGATGGAGGCCATGGTGATGGAGGGCGCCGCCGATCCCTTTGTCGGATACAACATGGTCATGGGCCCCGACGCCGCCATGGCACACGGTCTGATGCCCAATGACATGCACATGCCTGGGCTGGGAGGAGACCAGTTCCCGCTCGATGCCGAGACTCTGGAGACGCTCATCCAGCAGGCTCAGTCCGACTATGGCAGCAAGGGCGCCAACAACATGGTCTATGGCTCGGCCGCCGCCATGGAGGGTCCCTACGCGTTCAACGACAGAGCCGTGGGCGACTCCCTCGAGTTCTCTGACTTCATCACCGATCTCTTCTGATCTGATCTCCATCTACTGACTTCGGTCTTTTTTCCTGCGAGCGGATATCCTGGCATCTACCTGCTTTGGGGCTTCCATTTTCTCCTCCTCATTGTCTTCGCACTGGGACACACACATGGATGGTCTCTGCTATGAGCGTTGCTTTCTCTTTTCTAGGGATTCTGGGAGTCGAGATCTATCTACGGACGGATAATGGTTGTTTCTTTATTTTGTTTCTTGTTTCTGCTTTCTTTTTTTCCTTTCCATCGACTGTAAAAAAACCCCCCTTGCATCGAGCTCGAGCATGCGGATGTATTCAACCTGATGTACCTACTACAACAGTTCCCCTCTTGTTGATCGGTGATCGGTGATCGGTGACTCGGATGTCTTTCTTCTCTTTGTGTTCTTTTCCCTCCCTCTACCACTGCGACGATAAAGTCGGATAATGTCTCTTTCCTTGCCGTCTCATATCAACCCGGTCCAGCAGAAGCGCTGCGATCTACGAAGCTACGACGATGAACATGATCACGAACATACAGAAAAGGGCAGAAAGACGGGACGGACGGACAGCCTAGATATGTAGGTAGTTAGTTAGTCTAGTTAGTTAGCTTAACAAAAAAAAAGAAATAAAATTGATTCTAACCCCAAAATCCCACTCCCATTGATCGATCTATCTTATACTATAGGTGTATGTGTATCCTCAAGCCCAAACTCCATCCTCCCCCATCGCCCACCCATAGCTCAGAAGTACCTCCACCAAGTACCAAAGTACCCCCGATGCTCCCTCCTCCCCCCTCCAGACTCGCTGCCAAAAATACCATACATCGCCATACAACCCAGCCCAGCCAGCCCCCCCCTCTTCTACTCCTGCTCAGCCGCTCTCCCAGTCCCCACAGTTGTTGTCTTCACTGCCCACGTCCCCACCTCCCCATGACTCACCGTCTGGAAAAGGTGCTTACCGTAAGATTCTTAATACCGATACACTCATTCCCTAGCAGGTGGAGCAGGTGGTGAGTGGGATCCACTTTCTGTTTGCCAGCGCGGTTGTAACTGTAGAGAACTGTAACTGTAACTGGCTGTGTACTGGGCTGGGCACTGGTAGGTAGATAGATATAGTAGGATGATGGGTACCTACAGTAGTGGTGGTGCAGTGCAGACGCCTGCTGGTTTCATTGTGCGATGGGATGTGCGTTTCTACTACTAGGAAGTACTTTACTTACCTTATACTCTGTAGGGCTGTGCGGGGGGAGAGGGGAGTCTGCATGTAAGACTACTACTACTACTACTACTACTACTACTACTACTACTACTACTACTACTAATAGACTATACAGACAAAAGCTTTTTTTTTCTGCAGGAACGGTCGTTCTATCTATCCTATCTACCTACAGTATCTACTATATAGGTATCCAGGTACAGGGTTTGGGGGGGGAGGGGGGGGGGGGGTACTTTACACCCAGGGGAAAGTGGTCCTTAGAACCTGTATAGCTGTACTGGAGTGTTCTTTTTTTTTTTTTTTCTGCCCTTCTCTTCTCTCCCCTGCATATCAAAACCAGCTACCTACCTACTTACCTACCTAAACCAGGGGAATAACACCGAACAGTCCAGCTGAAGCCTGTGAATCTACCTACCTACATCCCTCCCTCCCTCCTTACCCAAGCCCGTAATCGTGACTGCGCAGTAAAATACCAAGAAATGAAACGCAGTGACTGCCCATGAGCGAAATATCGCATCACCCACCCATTACGGTGTAATACCATAGCGGGGGTGAGGGGGTTGGTTCTTACAGGAGGGAATCCGTACGAGCTGCTCGGTTTCCTGGGGGAGAAGCTGGTTTCCAGGACAGTGAGCCAGTTGCCTGGGAGAGTGGAAATGGTTTCCTGGGGGAGGGAAAGGTTTCCTGGGGAATGGATTGGTCGGCTGGGGGAGTGGCTGGGGGTGGGGACTTGCTTTCACTGGGGGTGCGGTGGGGATTGGTACTGATACTGATACTGATACTGACACTGACTCACTGGGGTTGTCGCTGCCACGCTGGTGGTGAAGGGGGCTCGGTGACAGTCACTCACTCACTGCTGGGTTGCTGCCTGGGGCAAACTGGAGGATTTTCTGGCTGGGGGTGGGAGGGGAGAGATGGGCTGGGGGAGATGGGCTGGGGGAGCTGGGTTGCACCGCTACAGAGGATATCGGGTTTGAAGATGATGCTATACCAAATATCATATGGGTTCGTAAGCAACAAGCACAGGGTATCTCATTTGTATGATTCTATGTAGGCCGAGTACTCCGTAGATAGACCGGCATTGGAAGCTGCCTACGACGTCGACCCGTTCCAGTCGCTCGCCCAGATGAAGGTCGGACAGCGCCATTGCGTGCCCTTCTCCTTGTTGCCGCTCGGTCCCAGTGGCCGCGGGCAGATCCAAAACGCCCGGCCGCAGTTGATGCCCGGCTTCTTCGTCGTCAGGCTGATGCACGGCTCCTGGTGCCCGTCGCACGGGGGAGCCCGTTTCTTCGTAAAGAGCCTGGTCCAGTCTTCCTTGCTGACGATGGGGTCGATGATCCGGTCGTCTTCCTTCGGGGTGGGTGTCGTAGATGCGGCTGGGTTGGTCTCGTCTGTAGGTTCCGCTGTAGAGGTGGGTTCGACTTCGTCCTCCGGCTGTCTGGATTCTGTCATGGTGGTGGTCTGGGAGGATGATGGAGGTAGTGGCATCGTGGATGGCTCGGGGTTCTGGGTCGGACTCTCGTCGATGGGAGCACTCTTTGGTTTGAAGAATCCCTGGAGGGTCCTCTGTCCGGCTGTAGGCGGCGCGGGAGCCGAAGCAGCGACGGACTTTGCACGCTTCATAGGCGAGTTGTTCTTTTCGGGCCGTTTCCGGACCACGCCCTTGGGTTGCGTGTCTGTAGAGACAGAAGGCTTGCTGACAGCTTGTTTAGGAGTGCTCTCGAGGACGGCAGTCTCTTTCCCCGTCGACGCCGTATGGGACAGCGAGGGAGTCCCAGGCTGCGGGCTCTGCGAGGCGCTGGTGGGTTTGCGCATAAACATGTCCTTGATGCTTCGTCGCTTGTCGAACTCGGGAATCAGGCGTCCCGATGTCGGTAGCAGAAGCTTGGTGGTATATTCCTGCTGGCGCTCCCCGTTTTCGAACATCCCAGGCGGATTGACCAGGTCCCGGATGTTAACCTGTTTGTCCCCTAGGATGACCGTATCCTTGAAGTCGGCATAGACGGGGCAATGGTCAGAGCCCTGTGCATCAGTCAGCAAGCCTGTTCATAAACGAGAAGCGGTGTCGTACCATGAGCCCTTCTTGGATGTTCGAGTTGCTGAACCAGTCCTGCATGTCCAGACTACACAGCACATAATCGATCCTCGAGCCATAGTTCCCAGGACGGGCGTTGATCCGCTGCTCCCAACATGTGTACATCCCCCTGCGGTCCGGATGGAACGAGCGACAGATATCATGGAGAACAGACTGTTCCCGTCCCTCGTCTGGTGGCCCAATGACCTTCCCATCCGAGAGAAGATGGTTGAACACCCGCCGCGCATGGACGGAAATAAACTCGTCTTCCGTCAAAGCTCCTTTCCGAATCGCCTCGCCCGCATGGGCTGCATCGATCTCCCCACGGGAGATATTCAAATCCCCCGTCACGAACACCCTCTTCCCCATGGCCACCAGGTTGCGGATCCGAGCATCCATCAGATCAATGAAGTTGTGGCGGAAAGAGTCCCTCGTCTCGTCGCGGTTAGCCGGGGAGTATATCCCCAGCAGCACGAAGGCGGGAAACTCCAGGACAACACAACGACCCTCCGAGTCCAGCGTGGCTGCATCCAGCTCCAGCTGCGATAACTGCTCGATGGTCGGATACCCACCGATCTGCTGCTCTTCCGGGAGATCCCGAAACGAGACCGACGAGTTCGGGGGGCAGAGCACGCCGGTCAGACCCTCCTCTGCGCGGATGGGCGCACACGTTGCATTGCGCGTGTAGATCACGACCCCCGAGTATCCTGCATCTGTTAGCCACACAGAACCAGACCCCATTGAAACAGCCCATCCACACACGCACCTTTCTTCACGCGAGGCAGACTGAAGTAGCAGTCCCACCCGGGCACCATCACCATGTCATCGCGCAGGTCCTTCCGCTGGATTTTCGTTTCCTGGAAGACGACAATGTCTGCCTCGAGGATGTCGAACATTGCCTATAGACATTAGCCATGAACAAACATCCTGACACGGACCAATGCCATGCATACATCGAAAGTCCGCTTGCCTCTCCATGGTTCGTAGGAGAATGGATTTCTGGAACGGGTCAGCAGGAGACACAACCGTCACAGCAGACCCATAGCCACCACACACCGAATCCCATTGACTAGATGGAGTCTGTTAGCATCTCATTTCTATACAACATCCCATCCAACCAATCAGCCTACCATTCCACGTAGTAATACGAAACCCCATCCCGGCACTATAGACGCGAATCAGACATGTCCCCCAGGATTGAACCAAGAGAAGCCGTACAGCACGCACTATCGATCCAAAAAGCGCGACAACCCTCCAACGATGGCAGCGACATTCGCGTCGTCGTCGTCGTCGTCGTCCCTCCATCGCGGTCCCGAAACACGCCGCACGTGATCCCTCTATCACGTGATCTAGCCGTGACATCAGGCAATCACCCGCTGACATAACCCGCCACGCCGTGTGGCCGAAGCCAGCGAATCACGGGGACGCTAAGCGGCCTTAGTTTCGTTAAGCCGGAAGGCCCGACGTCCGCGATAATCCCACCGTCTCCCACCGTCCTACCGGTACATCCACATCCACGACCACGATAGCAACAAGCATCGATCCATTCGCCATGTTCGCCCCCCGCAACGCCTTCCAGCGCGCTGCCCAGCAGCTGCGCTCCACCCCGGTCCGCACCACCGTCCAGCGCCGGGCCAACAGCTCCAACTCCAAGCTTCCCTCCTGGGCCGCCGACAACGCTTTCAACCGCGAGAGAGAGGCCGTCAAGCACCACGCTGCTTCGACCAGTGGTGCGTCCTGCCCAATCCCAATTCCCTGCCGACTATCTACCAGATCCGGGTGATTTGCTAACCCAATGCCTGTCTGTTAGACCTCTGGCGCAAGCTCTCCATCTAGTACGTCTGACTACCACTACTACCACTATTACTACTAGGCCATCCAATTCGTTGCTTACGACCTCGTCCTTCTTTTTCTTCTTCTAGCGGTATCCCCCCCGTTCTCATCGCCGGCGCTCTCAACGCCTACAACCTCTGGGAGGAGCACTGGGAGCACTGGGACCACATGCCCCCCCTCGAGGAGCGCGTCGAGTACCCCTACCAGAACATCCGGGTGAAGAACTTCCCCTTCGGTGATGGTGACAAGGTTAGTGTTTGCTATCCCTCCTTTCTACTTTCTCAATAGTTTCCCCTGTGTGTGTGGAGTGTGGGATTGAACCAATGCTAATGTATTACGTTTGATTAGACTATCTTGTAAGTGTCCGAATATCATGCCATACCATACCTACATGTATACCCGGGCAAATGAATTATGAGTCAATGGGTGGTGGATTACTGGTTAAACGGATGAATGCTAACTATCTACCCTCCCTGAAGCTGGAACTCCAGCGTCAACTACCACAACAAGGACAAGGCTACCTAAATGCCTTTCTCGTGGTGGATTACGACCGGATGAGATGACATAGGGAGCGGAGTGGAGGGAGGGGACGGAGTACAGCTTCTTGAATGATCTCGCACTGTTGCTGGCAATCAAGGGACATGTATATTTATTTTTTGCTGCACTTGGTGCAGGGAGATAGAGCGTGTCGGGGGCCGTTGGAGGGGTGGAATGAGATGAGATAGCGCCATACAATCAATCCTGCTTATATTTCTTTTGTCTGGAGTTTTTGCTTGGGGTTTGGATGGGTGGATGGGTGGGTTGGTGTTGGGGTGTTTGTGGTTCTATTGTCAGATTTAGTGGGTTGTAGGTTGTAGATTGGATGTTTGATGATGGATGTGGTTGTGGTTGGTGATGTCTCGTCTTGGGTATGGTACAATATTATTTGCGCTTAATGAATTAATATTGGCCAGTCTACCATAATCCATAACACAATATCTAAAGCTACAACCCACAATCCACAATCCACATAGCAATACAAACACAACTAAAAACTAAGCTAACCCACCACATCCGCCCTCCCCTGCCTCTTCAAATCCAAATACTTGGCCGCATAATCATTCGCCAGGACCAAATCCCCAGTAAGATGCATCATGGTGGCCTTCTTGGCCATCATCTCACACTGCCCACTCACATCCCCAATCTTCTCAAACTGCTCATACGCACAGTCCAAATACCCCAACGCACAATTAACCCTCTCCTTCTTCAGCGGCGAATCCCCCCGTCCCTGACTCCACAACACCCCCGCGATGCCCATATTCGCATCCACGAGCAGCGAGTACGCCTGCGCCGCGAGTTCGCAGTCACTCGACTCGAGGATCTGCGGCATGATGCTCTCGATCATCTGCGACACGGCGTCGAATTCGCGCAGGCTGAGCAGCACGCCGGCCAGCGCGCAGATGGATTCCCAGAGGGCTGGGAGGAGACGCGCGCGGTGCGCGATGCTGGCGGCGCGCATGGCGAGCGAGAAGCCGCGTTGCGGATGGCCGGTTTTTTGGAGGATGTGCGCTTTCAGGCAGAGGAGTTTGATCTGCGTGTGGATGTCGAAGTTGTCTTGGTGGATGGCTTGGGCGGCTTCTTCGACGGTGGAGAGCGCCTCTGCATAGTGGCCGGACCGGATGTGTAGGGTGATGGTTAGGATGGTCAGGAGGAGGTTTAGGTCGCTGTCGGGGAGGTGGATGGCTTGGAGTTGGGAGAGGAGGTGGGTGGACGCTACTTTGTTGTCGCTGGGTTGGGGGTTGGGGGTTAGTATTGCCGGTCTGGGTGGGGATGAGGGAGGGGGAAGGGGGATGTACCGGTATATTTCGTGTCGGAGTTGGAGGATGCCGGAGAAGAAGATCCAGTATTGGGATGTTTTGAGCGAGCTCAGTTTCTCAGGGGCGATTTGGTTGATCCGGGCTGATGCCTCGGTGTAGCGGCCTTGTTGCGCTAGCTATGGGGAAGTCAGTGTCTGTTCAGTAGGGGAGGGTGAAGGACGTACGAGCTGGCAGCTTCGGAACGTGCTCTTGAGGTAGTCTTCGAATGGCGCTTTGTTGGCGTAGCATTCGCGGAATATCTCGCTGTTCAACCAGGCGAGGTGTGTGTTGCCTGGCGGATTAGCTGGGATCGGGATCATGCTGGGACGACGACGTACCTATTCTGGAGTACAGCGCGGTCTGGAGCATAAGCTGCGGACCCACAGAGTTCACGAGATTCTTGGTGGCATTCAGGTGCGATGCTCGGATGATGTTCTCGATCGAACAGGAAAGGCTCTCTCCCTGGAGGATGTTAGAGGAGCGACGACGAGCAGATGGGCACCTACATTTTGCATCTCGAGCTTCGCTTCGCTCAAGTACGTCGTGCTGAGAAGACTCCACATCTCGGTTTCTTTTGCCTTTGCTTTGAGGAACGCGAGACCTTCCTTTTCGTTGCCCAGCATGCCTGTGTTCTGCACGTCTTTCATCTGCTCCGGGAACGCTTTGCCGAAGTGATACAGCCAGCTCATGCAGAAGTTCAAGCAGTTCATGTCGTGGGATTCTCGCGCGATGGAGACTGCTTCCTGCATGGCGGAGACGGCCTCCCCGTAGCATCCAAAATCCGCCTGCAGGATGGCAAGATTCAGCAGCGCGTACTGGTAGGAGCTCCGGTCCCGGGTGTGCATCGTGCAGTCGAAGTAGCGGTGCAGGTTGTCGAAGGACGACGGGTAATCCCCTGCCCTCCAGGCGTCGAGGAATCTGAAAGGTTAGCCCCCTGTATGCGCGGATCATCGAGCAAGCATCCAGATCCATACCTAAGATAGTGTACGAGGTTGGGAACCGTCACCCCAGACGTGATAATCCGCTTTAGCTGCGCTTTCATGCCATCCGGCACTCTACCTCCCAGGCCTATACCTGTCAGCGGTGGTTTGATAGGCGGAGAAGGGTGCTACTCACTTTGTAGCTCGTTGATCTGGAATTCCAAGAGCCGCTCGACATCCTTCGTGCTGACGTACTGTTCATCCTCGGAATCACCCTCGATGTTGCCGTATGCCACCTGCGCAAGATGATCACTCGTGTCCAGATTGAGATTCAGCAGGTTGATATCCACCGGGGCCTGCTCGTCAGACGGGTTCTTCCGCGCCCACACATGATACGTCGGCAGGCGGTACTTGACGAACCCCTTCCAGAGGTTGACGGAGTCATGAAACTGCAGCCTCGTGAACTCCAGCTGGGCTCTTCTCACGAACGCGCCCAAGGGGGAGCACCGGGAGAGACGCATGCAGCCTGTCTCCGGCGCGAGACCGGCATCTCTGTCGCGGATCTGCTCATCGCGAGTCTTGACCAGGATGGCGGAGATGTCGGCGAAGAAGACCTCCAGCGCATCGCAGCAGTCAATGGACCAGATTTTCTTCAGGAACAGGTCCCAGACGGAGCGACCGGGGATGGAGGATTGGTGGGCCGTTAGAGCATCTTCCAGGTCGGTGATCGAGACGGAGCATTGCGCTTCCTTCTCCGCGGCGGGGGAGTTGGGGCCTCGCGACAAGGGACTGAGACAGGTGACGAGGAAGGAGAGCACATGGATGGCGGAGGAGTTGGGGACGACCCCTTCCGTGTAGATGGAGATCAGACACAGAAGGGCGATCTTGGAGGGGGTGAGATAGCGAGTCATGGTGGTTAGCGGTTATACATGGCTCCGCAAAGGAGGGGGGGGGGGGGGGGGGAGGGGATGTCTATGCGGTTGAGCTGGTGGACACCCTGTGCTGTGCCTGATGGACGGACTGCGCGTGTGGGGGCAACGCGTGGTTAGAATCCTGGGTTCTGGGTTCGATGCGAGGTTGGAGTGCAGCTGGGTCGGTTCAACGAGACGACCTCAGTGGTGGATGATAGACAGGCCCATCTGACATCAACAACGGCCGCAAAACGCGGCGGGTTGGAGAATGACGGAAAGAATTGGGGGAAGTCCGATCCATGCGACCATACCAAGGTAGGGTGTCCGTCCGCTCAGCCGTACTTACTTCTCCGTATCTAAAATTTGAAATCTTATTATCATTTATAGATTTATCATCACAAAATTATGTAAATAGAAAAACCATTTTTAAAACATTTATATAAATGATACTACATACTCACAAAGTATATAGGTCACTGTTGCGTGTATTTTCGCTGTTTCACCAGCTTCTTTTGATGCTCTAGTCTTCGGCAGAGAGTCTGTGTTTTGTTGTTTCGTTTGCTTTATTTCGCCATTAGTATCTTTCTTCTTTGCCCGATGTGACACGGAATCGACTACATATCTTGGCACACCAGGTCTGAGAGGACAAGGGATGACAAGGGATCTCGAACTACGTACTTCGTACCCCCTAGTCCGTCCTCTCATCATATATATGCTGACCAAGTCCATGGGTTACAGTTGAACAAACACCGGTACTATTGTTGATACTTACAGATGTGACAATCTAACCATACCGAGCCCCTGCAGGCTCATCGTCAAACCACACCGGCGGGACACCATAGTTGATCACCGTGCTCTTCAGCTTCGTGTAGCTCTCATACGCCTCCAGCCCGTTCTCCTTCCCGATGCCACTCTGCTTGAAGCCTCCCCACGGCGACGAGGGGTCATTGAGATGATGGCCGTTGATCCAAACAATGCCCGCCTCGATCTGGTCCGCCACGCGGTGCGCCTGCTTGAAGTCGTTCGTCCAGACCGACGCACCCAGTGCCAGAGACGACCCGTTCGCGATCCGGACGATCTCCTCCTCCGACTGGCACTTGATCAAGGCAATGACCGGTCCAAACACCTCGTTGCATTCCAGATCTGTCTGCGGACGCGTCTCGATGATGGTCGGCTCGAAGTAGAAGCCCTTCCCATCCTGATTCGTGGTTGGGTGTCCGCCACAGAGAACCTTCCCTCCCTCCTGCATGGCCCGCTCTACAAACGCAGCGCATCTCTCCACGGCAACCTTGGATATCACAGGTCCGATCTGCGTCCGATCATCAAACGGATCACCTAGCCGCAGAGTCTTGACTCTGTTCTCCAATAAAGCCGTGAACTCGTCGTAAATGTCCGCATGGACGAGCAGCCTGCTCCCGGTCACACAGGTCTGCCCACTGGCAATGAAACTTGCAAACAGCGCCGCCTTGACGGCATGGTCCACCTCCATACTCGGAAACACGCACACGGGGGCCTTCCCCCCCAGCTCGGCCGTGATGGGGATCAAGTTTGCCGACGCAGACGGCACAATAGCCCTGTATGTCGCCAACCCCCCGGTCAAATCGATCTTGGCCAACAATGGACTCTCGCACAGATACTTCCCGGTCTCGTACCCATATCCGTTAATGATCTGTAGAACCCCATCGGGCAGCCCCGCCTCCTGGAAGAGAGCCCCGAGCTTCAGCACAGATAATGGTGCCAGCTCCGACGCCTTCACGAGAACCGAATTCCCCGCTGCCAGGGCCGCCCCGATCTTCTTCATCGCGATCAGCACGGGATGGTTGTACGGCGTGATCAGCGCGACCACGCCCAGGGGGAGCCGGGTCAGGGTGTTCACGACGGGGCCCTTGAACGGCGTCACGCGGCCTTCGTGGACGCGCACCAGCGATGCAAAGTATTCCAGCCATTCGGGCACCCGGCCCAGCTGGGCGCGCATCTCGCGGATGGGACGGCCTGTCTGGCGGGTCTCGGATTCCACGAACTCGGGGATACGGGCGCGGAGGAGCCGGGCTGCGGTGGAGAGGACGGTGAAGCGGTCTGATGGGTCGGCGCGCGACCAGGTGCCATCCTGGAAGGTGCGTAGAGAGTCTTGGATGATGCGGTCGACTGTTTTTTTGGGGGTTGCGTCGATGGTGGCGATGGGGAGTTCCGTGGCCGGGTTGAGGACGGGGATGCGCTTTGCGGTGGCTGAGATATGGGTACCATTGACCCAGTTGGAGATGTGAGGAAGGTTAGTGGTCATTTTGAGAGTGTAGAGGGGCTTGGATGGATTCAAGAAGTGGATTGTTGGGCGGGGAGGCAGCAGGAGTATACTTATGTTGTAGAGTCAGCGGGCATCCCCGCATACCCCGCACATGATAAGCCCGCCTTGTTTATCATCCTCGCTTCCATCCGATGAGATTGTCTCCATGCTACTCTCCAACATCTACTCCAGATAGCGATTCTTCATCAGAGCTCCCTTCCCTCATGTCCCTCCCCGACAGAACCTCCTTCACCCCCCGCGACACCATCCATCACATCTGGACCGGCCTCAATCTCCCCCCAGCCACCCTCGAGTCCCTTGCCATAACTGACACCACCGAACCTGGTCTCCCCTCTTCCTACAAAGTCGGCCATCTCGCCCAAGCCTCCATTGCGCTGTCCGCGTTGCTTGCATCTCAGATTTACAGTCTCCGGACTAACAACCCTCCCCCAACGGTCTCCGTGCCTTACGAACACGCCTGCATCGAATTCAAATGCGAACGACTCTACACCCTCAACGGAGCTGCTGCTCCATCCGCTTGGGGCCCCATCGGAGGACTCCACGCGACATCAGACGGCTACGTCCGCGTCCACGACTCCTTCCTCAATCACCGCGAAGGGACCAAATCTCTCCTTGGCTGCATCCCCTCGGCCACCCGCGATGACATCGCCTCGAAGATCTCCGCCTGGCGATCCGTCGACCTCGAGTGCACCGCCGTGGACGCCAACCTCGCCATCGCCGCTCTTCGCACCTACTCCCAATGGGACGTTCTTCCCCACGCCAAAGCCATCGCCGACTTTCCCATCCTCCTCCGCCGCATCGGCGACGCCCCTCGTCGTCTCCCGGGCCCACAGAATGCAGACAAATGCTTACGAGGACTGCGCGTCCTGGAACTGTCGCGGGTAATTGCGGCCCCGTTATGCGGGAAGACGCTGGCCGCTCATGGCGCGGACGTGCTCTGGGTGACGAGTCCGCATCTACCGGATTTGCCGGACCTGGATCGGGAGTTCGGGTGCGGAAAGCGGACGATCCAGCTGGATTTGAATAATAGATTAGATCACACAGCGCTCCGTGAACTTCTGGAGGGTGCAGACGTCTTTATCCAGGGATACCGACCAGGAAGTATGGCGGCGAGAGGCTTGTCGCCAGAGGCAATTGCGAAACAACGTCAGGATCGCGGGATCATCTGTGCAAACATGTCCGCCTACGGCCCTGACGGTCCGTGGTCTCAGCGACGGGGCTTCGACTCCCTGGTCCAGACATGCTCTGGGCTGAATGTTTCCGAGGCAGAGCACTTCGGCGCCGGGGAAGCGGCTCGCCCGCTACCATGTCAGGCGTTGGACCACGCAGGTGGCTATTTCCTCGCGGCGGGGATCATGGCGGCGCTATATAGGCAGGCAACGGACGGAGGGTCCTGGCAGGTGGATGTCTCGTTGGCAGGGGTGATGAAGTACCTCCGATCATTGGGCCAGTATGAAGGGAAGAGCGGCTTCCACGACGCCCCGGACTATACCCGCACGCAGGATGTCCCCATTGAGTATCTCGAGGCGCGAATGACCGGGTTCGGGGAAATGACTTCTATCCGACACGCTGCGTCTATAGAGGGTGTTGAGATCGGATGTGAGATAATGCCCAAACCGTTGGGGTCCGACGAGAAGCGCTGGCTTTGATTCCCTCGGTCTGGTACCCTCGTGTCTGCCCCGCTGGCCCCCGCATTGCACAAAGAACCAGCAGCCCTGTTCGAATTGTGTCCAGAACGAGCAAAGCCCGCAGGCATCCAATCACAATGTCTGCCATTAGCCCAATCCCCAATCTGTGTCGATGCCCAGCAAAGCTGACCGAATCTAACGGCCGCGTTTCTTTTTCCTACTGCAGCCCTGATCAGCTCCAGCAAAGCCCCGCTGCAGAACGGTAACCTGGCTGTCAACGAGGGGCCTCTTTCAGATAAAGAGCAGGGCCCCAGAGGATGAGCATCGAATTGCTGGGGTTTATTTCTGGGATAACACCGGCTCTATGTGCACGTCATCCCGCATCAACGGAAACGAGTACCCCACGAGACTACAGCAAAGCAAATCAAGATGAAAGTCCTCATCCTCGGCACTGATATCGAGGCTTTCGTGTGCGCGATTGCCTGTTTCCGGGAGGGACTCGACGTGGTTGTTATAAATGGGAGGGATCCCATTGAGGGGGTATGCTGCCATTGTCATTTCCTATTGCCCTTCCCGCAGACTCATATCAGACAGACCATCCCGGGAGTGCACATCCCCCCAAACGGCACGTATATCCTACAACAGCTAGATCTTCTCGATGCCGTTCGGGAGAAAGCGGATATTATCGAATCGATCGATTTCCGTCGATATGCCGATGGGGGGTTGATCCGGGCGATGCCGTGCGGGGAGGATGTGTGTCGCGTGTACGGGGGTATTTGGGTGTACGTCTCCCCTTGTCTAAGTTGAAATGGCTAATGGCAATATGCATAGGACTATCCATCGAGAGGACTTGCTCCGCATTCTACAAGATCGAGCAAGAAGCCTAGGCGTGTCCATCCGCAATGCAGTGGTAACAGAAATGCTGTGCGAAAGCGCAGAAGTTATCCTAGACGACGGCGAACATATTCTAGGGGACGTACTCATCGGAGCTGACGGTCTGTTTCCATCATACAACTGTATCCCATATGCACAGTTCGACTAACAGACCCACGCATATAGGCATCAATTCCCAAGTCAGAGCTGCAATCCTGGCGTCTTCGCACCCTCTCCCCACAGCAGACAAACCCCCAGACAACACACCCAACCAGGTCACATACCAAACCACAATATCCAAAAAGCACCTGGAGGCGCTCAACAACCCCCGAATCGACGAGCTCTGGCAAAGAAAGAGCGTGACAGCCTGGCTCGGCCCAGACCAACACGCTATCCTCTACCCCCTTCCACACGGCGAGATATTCACCTTGACTATCTACCGCGCAGACTCCCACAATCTGCCTCAAGCGCAAACGATCCAAGAAACCTGTCCCGGATGGGATGATCGGTCCGTTCCTCTCCCTTTCCCTCCTATACTCAATTCCTCCCACCCCAACCCAGACAGAGATCCTAACTGATAAACAACCACATCACAGCCTCCAAACCATCCTCTCCCTTTCACCAAACACACCACCCACACCACCCACCCCAACCCAAAACCTCCCCCCTCTCCCCCTCCCCGCCTGGACAAAAGGCCAAACCACCCTCCTCGGCCCCTCCACCACTCCCACTCCAACCCCCCCCACGAAGCCCAAGAAACCGCCCTCCATCTCGAAGACGCCCTCGTGCTATCCACCCTCCTCGGCCTCCTGAACCTGCACCTGCACCTCCACCTCCAAACCTCCAGCCCCTCCCCCTCCCAACCATACTCTTCCCAGCCACATCCCTCCCAAACCAACCACCTACACTCCTCCCTCCCCTCCCTCCTCCACCTCTACTCCTCCCTCCGCAAACCCATCGCAGACCACAACATCCTCAGCGCGAGGGACACCCAGCGCATATTCCAGATGCGCGATGGGCTCGCACAGCGATTTCGTGACTGGGTTCTTTCCGGGGCGGGGGTTACGAGGGCGACGGAGATTGGGTGGGTGAGGGTTGTTTCTGCACGGGTGGAGGACAGGTTAGGGGGCGGGGAGATGGTGGTGAGGGAAGCGAGGGAGAGGTTTGACGAGTGGAGGAGGGTCAGGTTGCCTGGTTCGGTGGGGAGGGCGTCGTGTGGGATTGGGGGGTTGAGGAGGAGGTGGTATTCTGGTTGGGAGTGATGGTTATGTCATGAGGGAGGAATTGGGTGGGTGTCTGGACATCTTGGTCGAGTGGTTCTGCTTGAGAATGGCTTTGTGTTGGTGTTGGTATTGGCGCAGGCACGGTTGCTAACTACATGACATGACATGCCATCGGGATTCTAGTTTGGGAATACGTCTTGTTTCTTACGATGAATACGAAAATATGACTTCGACACCAGATTCAAGTACCATTTAGTTCTCAAAGTAGAAACCCGAGAATCACCTCCTGTATTCATGTCTATCGTAAATCTCGCCCTGAAGCCCGAAGCCCAGGCAGGCAAAGAAAAAAAAAGGGAAGGACCGGATCAAATCCGCGTCCGAGCATCGGATCAATCACATCGGTCCATCACTGCCAGCAATTTTTCCAAATAGGGGCCCTGGATATACTGCATCACGCGTCGCAGCCGCCGCAGCAGAGTCGTCGTGTCCTCTTCCGTCGTGGTCTGGCTGTTCAGACGCGCCAGTGGTCCCCAGACCCGCTACACCAGTCAGTATGGCTCTCAGAAACAAGAATCACAGCACCAAACCTACCACTTCCGACAGCGAATCGTCCACCCCCGCCGCGCCATAGACGATATAGAACTTCCAATCCTCTCCGACGATTGTGCAACCCACCACCGGCGGGGGAATCGGAGCTCCATCGCCCCGGGCGACGCTGGCGGCCGACGGCATGGACGGAGGGCGCTGGTCGAAGCCCCAGACCACCAAACCCGCCATCCACACCGCCAGTTGCACTTGCGCTTCAACCAAGTTGCCCTCCGGCGCCTTGGCTTCCAATCCCAGCCCCAGCAGTCGTTTCCCCGTGTGCGGATGGTCCACGTGGCTCAGATCCCGACCGGCCGCGTCGATGTCGATGCGTTCATACTCGGAAATCCACGGTTCTTTGGGGAGGCCCACCACCAGATCGATCGTCCGAGAGACCGTGTCTTTCGCCGTATATCGAGGCAGGTATTTCGCACCCACGGACTCGGATTGCCTAGTGTTAGCTTCGTTAGCATCGGACCGTCGGGCTCGTGGGAACATGGTTCGGCTCGGCATACACGCTCCACGATTCCAGCGACAGATCTCCAATCGCCAGGTCCAGCAAAGGTCGGACCACGTCCATCACCCAGGACCCCTCGCTGCGGAACTCGGCGGTGCAGCGACACGACGCCTGGGATATCTTCTCGATGCCATCCTGATCCCCCTCGCGGAGGGGATCGCCGCTGAAGAGCAGAAAGGTCAGGAGGTCTTTCACGGCGTCGCTCCCGGGGTCGTCGGTCTGCTGCAGAAAGACGACCTTGGGGGTGGCGGTGGCCAGCTGGGATTTGACGCGCGTGGCACTAGGACTGGACCCGGGCGGACTCGACTCGGAGCGGGAGACAGACTGGGGCACGGGGATGTCATGATTCCAGGACGGGCTGGGCCCGGAACAGGGAGATTCTGGGCATTCCTGGCGGGGTCGCTTGCCCGTGTCGGGCTCCTGGTCCTGGTCTGGGTCGGACGGGGGCTTTCGTTTGACGGAGTACGCGGCGGTGGTCCCGTTGCTGGCTCCGCTCGAAACCCTCTTCACTTCCTCTGCAAACACCTTCTCGTTCCAAATGGCTATGGCTCGCCTCTTATCACCGTCCATTTGTCAGAGGAGGAGGCTGCTCTACGGAGGATCGATAAGCGGATGGTCTTCGCCGTGCAGCGGTGACGTTGACGTTGGAAGATAAGCCCCAGGTGGATGTTGCTGGAGCAACTGCTTCCACCAATGAAAAGGGGTGGCTAATGTGTTCCGCAGGTGCAGGTCCATCAACCGAGGCTCGGAAAGGGCCTCTATCTAGATCGCAACCATGGTAGTCGTCGTCTTAGTCTGGGGATTTCTTGGGGGAAACTTCTGGTTAGCACGCGACTAAGACAGTGGATTTGGTTCGGGTAATACCGAACTCTGGGGTGTCTGAGTCGCGGAATCCGCTTGTCAGACATGATTTCTCGGGGTTCCCCTGAGTGGGCAGGTTTGGCTGCTGGACGAACGAAAGTTCATTCTGAAGCAACGTTAGTGTCTGATGGGCTACAGGATTAAGTTTGGGGGGGGGGGTTGACATCTCCCTACCGATGGGCTAGTGGTTATTTGGCTGACGATGGAAACAGCATCTGATAATAGATTGGACACATAATAAACCATTGATATCTCTGCGGTTTGAACGAATGGAGGGGATTGGATTGGATTGGGGAGAGAGGAAGAAGAAGAAGAAAGCGAAGAAGAAAAGCGAGACCCGATGGATGGATGACTCGATCGGGAAGGAGGGTCACGCCCCTTGACTCCTGCCCGGAAGAGACAGCCAAGGAAAGTGTTTCCACCATTGATTTCTATTGCCTAACTAGAGAGGCCGTCTATCTATTCAATCCCAAAAATCTCATGTCTAAACCTATGCGACATCAAGTCATCGAAAGAACATGCCATCCGACCGCGTACCATCTGCGGATTGGGCTTGAACCCTGCACCATCCCTTTCAGTCAACCAGAATGCTCTTCAGCACTCCTACCTTGGAACTCAGGGTACCACCTAATATCCAGTGTCGAACAGGCCAGGAAGAAGACTCCCAGGTTCGATTGTGGAAGACTGGTTAGTACAGCGAGACTTTTTAACATCTGCAACAGCGATGATTCGACAGCCAGTCTGCTTACTGGCACATATCTGCGAGACCTCTCAGTTCGACAAGGGGAAGCGTTTCTCCGGAGAAGACTAACTCAACGATGAGAGCGGCTTCTCTCTGGTCTGGTGAGAAGAGAATATCTTTTCCTGAAGTCCTCGGATGTCGTATTGGATATCCAATATGTATGGCTGTCTGGATATAAAACCGGAAAGCCGAGTTCGCCGTCAGAGTTCATGGAACTCTTTTTTCCAGCTCTTTCTTGAGCAATGTCATTAGGAAAATATCTCTCTCATTTCGATACAGAGGGGGGGAAAAACCTCTTTAATCTTGTTGCCACTGTTTCGTTAACGAATGACCCGAGATAGCCAGATAACCGAAGCTGATTATACTTACCTGTGTCTTTTCCTGGATCCATGATACCGTGGTATTCTTTTCATATGCAGATCAAGACACTTCTTTCCAACGAACTCTTTGAACTCAGCAGAATATAGATCATAACAGCTGAAAAATTGAAAACCCAATTGCATCACCCTAGGATCATGGCTAAATCATAGGTATCTTCTAGTTCACAGTCGGAGTGTTTTCGCACACTCCGGTGAGCGAGCCCTAATCAAGGAACTAAGTTGTCGGCATAAAGTATCTGATCAAAAGTTAGGATGATGCCATCGCAAAATCTCTAACAAGCGCGCAGGCACAGCTAACGAATCAAGTAAACGTCGATAAATTTGCACTACAGAAGGGCAATGGTCCTTCAAGACCACCGAGGCCACCTGCACGCAGAGTGCTGATCTCATGCGCTGCATAATGCGCCATTTCTCGATAAACCTCCAGAGGACAAAAGCCAAAGCGTAATTTGGCTTCCTTATTCTGCGTGAAATGGGCAGAAACTTGCAATATGACAAGCTATACACATGTCCATGTACTGGCGTATTCGAAATACCGATATATAAAACCAGCCAGTCGATGTTGTGGCAATCACTTCGTCGAACTGAGATTTGTTCAAGAATTGAGCAACCCGAGAGGGGCCCGAGGTCAAAACCACCAAGATGAGTACGGTCCCGATTCATCTTATTCCACAGCTCCAAGAGACTGGTGTTTTTTACCCACAGACATACTGATACATCAAAACATCTCGAGTCTCTCGGAGAAATGGAGGTCCATTATTCGGGTGCATTACGCCCATTCCAGAGAAAAGAGCTGAACTTTCTCCACTATCGACAGCTTGGCAATTAGCAAGACCAGTTTGAACTTGTTACCGGCATCTACCGAGCAGCAAATGTATGTTGGGCAAGGTAAAGCATAGAGTATACAGCTGGGGAGACAACTCTCTGACCAGATCCTGCATATCGACATGCTCCGCCGGATGTTCCTTCCAATGTAGTCTTTCTGCATGGCAGGGGTTCGCCAGGAAGAGCAATAGCCCACAAAAACATTTTTCCACAGTAAACAACCGCGCTGTTGTACTGGACAATCCTAGCAAGAGTACTGTAGGTTTCAGCGAGATTCGCTCTATCCACTGCACATATTTCAACTCCCCCACTGACTGAGAGACCATGCATATCTTCAGTCGTCGTTTCGGTCCGAACTTCTGGAACACTCCGTTGAACAGACCTTCAAGCAGAGCGTCAGATACACCCCACTGTCTGCTTTATTGAGAACAACCGAACCCTAAAGAGGGGGTTCATGTCGAGCATGACTGACCCTCGCCCTTGCTAAATCCTATCCTCCTCATCGCAAGAAGAAAGAAACACGTCCAGTATCTCCCAACACTGCACGTCCACCGGATAATATCCAAGGGTCGTACTCCGTCCTGCAGAATCGAATATAGGTGTTCACCCACCAACGACACATGTTGCTGGTAGATATGTGTCGGCAATGACAAGATGGTGGAAGACCACCAGTTCTCTATTTGAGAGTCTTCTGCAAGGGTCTGAGAATCGATTCTCGTGCGTCCTCATCTGTCCTGTGAAATGTATATCGGCCCATCGGACATGGGGGGCGTCATGTTGTTTCAAGATCTGTCCGTGTCCTTTTACCCCTTCGCAGCATATACTAAGAAGCCAGGGTAACGCACACTTCATAAAAGCGTTGATATAAGATAGATTATCTCAAGCTGGCCGTCTGTCTCGAACGCCAATGTGGCTTTCTCCCCTGCCCTGTGGCTGTCCTTGACTCGAATGTCGTTGCGACGACATTCGATCGACACAGACGGCGGTTTCTTCGTTTCCAGGATAGCGTCCTTGAAGAGACCGGATAACATCTCATAACCGCCAAGTTTTCTAATAACCACCTTCTTGTAGGTCCGGTCCGCTTCAACTGTTGTTCACATGATGCAGGGAATTCAACCATTCCAGATACTTTCATGAGTTTGAATCCATATATGATAGTTGCGTATAGCCCTCCCTGTCTGAGAGACGGAGAGTATTTCTATATAGTCCAACAATGTCTTGGAGTGTGCTCTTATTCGTGCCTTAAAATGTAGTGCAACGTATATCTCATATAACATATAACATATCCATGTAGATATCCAAGGTATACTCCCTCAACCACGGAAGAAGGAAGGAGAAGAGGAAGAGGAAGAGGAAGAGGAAGAGGAAGAAGAGGAAAGAAGACAGATTATATAGACCAAGATCAAAATCAGATTCACCAGAAGTTGAACATCAACTAGCTGTGTGGTGTGAATAAGTAGCTGGAATAAAAAAAAAACAATTCAATAAACTGGATTGCATTCTCATTCTGAACAGATATATCACGATCAATCAATCAATTATTAAGTGATGGACATCCACATCCACAGACAGACCTAGTATAGTATATCTACCTATCTATTACCCATCTATCCATCCAGCCATTCACCTTTTCACCTTTTCACCTTTTCCGATATCATGATGAAGGCCCATTCCCATATTTCTCAGGAATCAAAAAGAAATACCAACGAGAAGAGAAATCATCAACATCAACATCAACATCAACATTAACATTCAAACCATCTCGACCACCAAACCCAACCCGTTACAACCCCAAGAAGACACACGATCAAAAGATCAAAAACAACAACCTAAACCCAAGTCCCCCTCCCCACCACCCTCCCCAAAACCCCCGGCATCCCCGGAAACGCCTCCCGGGGCGCCACAACCCTAATCATAAACACCTCACAATCCCGATCCAACCCCGCCCGGTCCGTCCGCCAGCATCCCAGCATGAGACCATACCGGACCGGCGGGCAATCATCGGGGCAAAGGAGCAGCCCCTCTTTCTGTCTCAGGTACTCCAGGGCGTTGAGGCGGAGATGGTCCCCGTCCGGCATGACGAGGTACGTGGCGAGGAAGTCTCGGGCCTCGTACTGGGGGTACTCGACCACCGTGAGGAGGGAGGTCGGGGGCTGCCGGATGAGCATGCGGCGCCAGCTGGCCGTGGGCTCGGAGATGGCGGCGATGGTGGCTGGGTTGGGGCGTTTGGGTCCCGTCTCGCTGATGATGTAGGGGCTGATGATGGACTGGAAGAGGGGGTTGAGGGGCCGGTCCTGGGAGGTGGTCCCTGGGGGGGAGGACCGGCAGGGTTGGAAGTAGAGGGCTCGTTGGAGGTGAGGGCATCGGGTGATGATGGTTTGCCAGGTCCTGCAGACGCCCTGGGAGAGGAGCAGCGTGCGCATGTCCAGGCGGACGAGGATGAGCTCCAGCAGCTCCGGGATGGAGAGTACCAGGGCGACGGCGTTGCGATCCATGTTGATGATGGTTGTGGTGAGTTCGTTCCATCCCTCGAGTTCAGTCGAAGAGACATGGGCATGGAACAAAATCCCGGGATGATGGGTGGATGATGGGTGGATGATCTCATGTCGACAACTCTACTGTTGGTCAGGCTATATACAGTTACATCATGCTGGGAAGTACATGGACAGACACGGCTTTCTCTCTCTCTCTCTCTGGTATATCCAACAAACTAAGCACTGCCAGTCAGAATGATAAAAGACACACGCAACACGCAAACAGAATGAAACCACCACCTGGCCGCCATCCGAGCCGGGCAGACCAGCTTCCGCTCGCTAAATCCATGGCAAGAGCAGCACGCCGCCTTTGCCTTTTCAGTCCTCCTGGTAAGAGATCTTGCGCATTTCTCCCAGGCGTTGACGGGCCCGGGACAGGCTGTTCTCGAGCTGGAGGATTTCGACCTGGCAGCAACTCATTAGTCCCACTCACGCCACGGACAGAGACACCCAAAACTTACCTGCTGCTCCATCTCCTGCACCTTGAACTCGTGCGAGCTGAGCTTCGCGTAATCCACCTTGTCGCCGTCGTCCTGGTTCTTCTCCGAGATGATTTCCTGCACCTGTCGCACCAGCGTCCGGCACGCCACGCCAACCGCCTTGCTGGCGGTCTCCAGCCGATCCTGGGTCTTGCTCATGAACGTGGCCTTGACACGACTGGCAGCCACCAGCTGCGCCGTACTGGCCGCCACATCGTTACTGGCAACGATCAGCTGCTCTGGAGAGTTGCGGCCAGAGATGACCCCGTCCGCCGTCTCAATCAACGTGTTGGTCGAGGAGGCAACCGCCTTGGCCGCCGAGATCAACCCCTCGGTCCACCGGTTGTTCTTCTTGTAGAAGGCAGTCCGCGACGAGCTACCGCGGCCCTCCCGCACAATTTCCTGCTGGGATGCAGTGGCCGCCTTGATCAGTTCGGCGATGGCGGTGGTCACCGCAATTGCAGCCGCCAGGATGACATCGTTGATCCGAAGTTCATAAGTGGTGAAGCCATCGCGGGGCTTCTTCTTGAGGTTGGCCAGTCGCTGGGCCGCGGCGTCAATGGCATCGGCCGCCTTGAGAAGTTCCTGGTCCACCAGGTCACCCAGATCGCCGTTGGTGGCAATCTTCGCGCTCTTCGGCGCAAACGCATCAACCAGCTTCGACAGGGTTTGCAAGTCCCTCTGCACCTCGAGGTTGTTGTTGATCACAACATCGGTCTTTTGCAAGGCCTCCAGACCCTCCAGACGGACGGACTGGAGACCCCGGAAGAACCGCACGGTGGCCTGCGCAGACTTACGCGCCGCGTTGATAATCTGGTCCGCGTTCTTGTCGTCGTTGGTGAAGCGCGTCAACCCCTTGGTGTTGCTCAACACATCGGCAACGGATCCCGAGAAGATGGACACGGTCCGGATGATCTCCGCATGGGTGCTGTTGGGCCCGTCCGCGATGAAGTTGTTGAACGATGTGGAGAACTCCGTGGCGGACGCCGAAGCCTTTTCGATCTGCGAAAGCACATACGGGGGCGAGGCATTCTGGTTACCAGCCTGCATGGACGAATCCAATTCATACAATGCGTCGTCCACACGCTGCACACCGGTCTGGAGCACGGAATCGATGATATCGTTAATCTTGGAGACGGTGCTGTGCAGAACATGGTCGATCTGCGTGTCGAGCGCGGTGTCGACGTCACCTTGGTTCTATCGCGGAGCCCGTTAGCTTAGTGGCAAGACCATCAGCTCCTATCATTACGTACCATCTTCAGCTCCTCGAGCTCTATCAGCGCCTGCTCCATACCAGACTTGTACACTTCGATTTCCTCGTCCTTTTCGCGGAGGGCAAGATCGTGGTCCCCGGAGCGCTCCGAGTTCTTGCTGGAGATCTCCTCCAGGGCGCGAGACTTGTTCTGCGTTCACTGTTAGTGATTATCACCGAGAAGCTGCTGTTATGCTTACCCGGAGAGCCTCTTCCAGGTCGGCCATTTCCCGGTTGTATCTCGACAACAGGGTCGAGATCTCCGTGCCCTTGGAGCGTTCCGCATTCTCTGCGCGCTCAAGGGCAAAGCGGAGCTCCCGCTTGACCTTCTCGAGGTCATCCTTGTTGCTCCCGGTAAGACGATCTCTGTCGTGCAGCGCACGGTCTCTCTCGCGGATCATGTCGGCCAGCTCGAGGTTCTTGGTCTTGAGCTCACGCTCGAGCTTCTCACGGCGCTCAATTGCCTCCTGCGCCGATGCCGCCTTGAGTTTGAGACTCTTCGTCGTCTGCAACAAGTCGAGATGCTCCTGTCGGAGCTGCGAGTAGAGCTTGGCCAGGGCCTCGTACTTGGACCGCCACGTGTTCACCTGCTCCTGCAAAGACCGAATCAGGTCATCCTTGGAGGCATTCTGCAGGTTCAGGTTGGAGGTCAACTGGTTCATCTGTTCCTCCAGGTCCTTGACACGACGGTCGTACTGCTGCAGCATCAGCTGGTCGCGCTCATACTGAGCCCGAGCATTCAGATTCTCCTGCTCCAGTTCAGCCAAGCGACCCTGCGTCTGGGTCTGGTACTGTTCACGCAACAGTTGCTCCTGAGCGAGGCGCTGCTGCTCTGCCTGGAGGCGTTGCTGTTCCTCGAAGTCGAGCTGTGCTTTCTGCTGCGCAAGAAGTTGCTGCTGCTGCTGATCGTCCCATTGCTGCTGCAGACGACGCTGCTCTGCTTCATACTCCTCCTGCTGGCGCTTGGCTTCATTGGTCCAGAAATCATTGATGGGCTCCGGGTCAGCGACCGCCTTGGGCGGCGGGGTCGGCGTAGGCTCGGGCTCTTTCATCGGTCGCCTCGGCAGAGCCGGACGGTCGTCATCCTCCGACAGCAAGTTGGGAGGGTCCTGGGGCAGCTTGGGGACGGTGATCAGACTGGTCAGATACCGCAGGTTCGAGCACTCGTAGTAGAAGCGAACAAGGCGGTAGTGTTGGGCATCGTATCGGCCACGGAGGGGCTCTAGAGCCTCCGTGTCACCCGTGGCTGCGCAAAATATGAGTCAGTTCCATAGAATCGGCCTAGGGGAGACGAGCATACTCGTATGCATGGCCCTCAGCATGCTGGTGATGAACTTGTAGATACCGTAGCTCTCCTGGACCAGAGGCGTCAAGGCAGAGATCCGGCACTCGTTGTGGGTTCCCGATTGGAAATGCGAAAAGATCAACTTCTGGAAGGCGTCGATCTGATCCTGCAGCGTCATGAGGTCGCTAATGGCCTCGTATCTAGATGTCGTTAGCTGGGTGTCGTCCATTGTGCGATTATCCAGCTTACCCCTCATTCGGATCGTTGATCGTCTTCAAACTGATGTACTCCTCATATTCAAACAGGCCTGGGACCATCAGTAACCATGCGAGGGCGCAGCGTTTGTATCCTAACCGTTGAATTCGGGGTGGTTCCGGTGGAAGGTCAGCTTCGACTCGAGGTAGAAGACGTATTCGCGAATCAGAGGACCGTATCCTATCGACAGTCTCAAGTCAGCACCCTGCCTGCCCAGGTTCAGTTATCATATTGCGCACCTCGAATTCCCTCTCCTCCAACACCTCGCATCAGACTATCGATCCAATTGACATGCTGCTGCGCCTCCCGAACCACCACCGGGTGTCCTTCTTGCAAGACCTTGTGTATCGTGATGAGCGCCTTGAAGGTCTGGACTTCGTCGGCCAGGACGGGTTGGCTAGACAAACGACCGGTCAGCCGATCGCAATCAAACTAGGAAGAGCCACTCGACTGCCACATACACTTTCATGCCGGCCCAGAAGGCGGCGGACGATTTGTGGTCCCATGTGTACACGATGCAGCTCCGAACATGCTTCCCTGGGGCGAGTTAGCGAACGGCGGGTTGGTGCAGGCGGGGCAACGCGTTCTGATGCACGGGGCGAGTGAGGGGGTCAATCCGTACGTTTCGGGGCGGTTTCCTCTGTAGAATGAATGCGATATGATCAGTCACCAGAACTCATGAGGCCCGCGAGAGACACGGCAGCGGTTGGGTTGCGACTTACCAATACTCGTGGCCTTGCGAATGTTAATCGCCAAATCAGCCTCCGTGCTACACACGCGATGTCAGCATTCCATCTTTATCTCCCAATTCGGGTTGTCCGCGGGACTCATTGAAGCATCACGTACCGACTCATGCTGGCGGTTGCGAAGCTGTGGAGGGGAGGGGGAGGTGGATCAGGTCAGGGGAACAGAAGACGGAGAAGGGCGGCGGGAGCCGGTGGGCCCGAATCCGGACTGCGCTATCAGTTCGAATGTCCCTATCGGGGATGGACGGGGGGGAGGGGGGGGGATTAAAAGACAAGAAGATGTCCAGAGGGAGGACGGCGCGTGGACAGTGGACAATGGCGGTTCAAAAGGGCAATGAACAATACGGAGGGGGGGAATGCGAGGAGGGGAGGGGAGAAGAGCGACCAGGACAGAAGGAGAGAAGGAAGAGAGAGGATGACGTCCGGAAGGGAAGGCCAGAAGCTGACGCCTGCAGTCGGGCTTGGCGCGGGTCCCGTCCTTTCCTCCTTCGATTCTCCTCCCTCGTACTCCGTAGGCAGCGATCTTGTCGCCCAATCCGACATGCCCAATTGCTCCAATAGTAGTTACGTACGATCTACCACTCCCTAGGCGTCCCGACTCACAAGAGAAAAAACAAGAAAAAAAATATAAAGATTAAATAACGCTGCCTATCTACTCCGGGCCGACAGAAACAATCAATAGACCAGACCATACCACTAGATTTTGCGTGGACACCACATCACAAATGACGCCAGACTGCTGCACACGCTCAAGAACCAGCTGAGAGGGTATACCATGGGGATGCCCAGGAAGAAATGCCGTCCGCCTTGTCTCGCGCCTTCCTGTCTTAATCAAAACGCCTGCTCCGGACAGACAGCGCTCCGCTCTGCAGAGCTTGCTTTATGCGTCATCCTCTTCTATCCGTCTTGTTTCGCTCTCCGCCAGGCAACAGTTCGCTCGTCAGGGAATGATCCCGTCCGTGGCAGACAGGATCTCCATGCCGTGCTTCTCCGTATCCAGTCTAGGCTGCAAACCTGGAGTCTTCGCATCGCAGTCGGACGCGTCACGAGTCTCCTCCTCCCAGCTGCCCCCGGCCTCGGGCTCGCCCGGGGTGGACAGGGGTGAGTTGCCCTTCGTGCTCGGCGGTGCCGCGAGCCCTCCGTCCGGTGCGATGTCCACAACCGGGCTGTTGGGTCCCGAATCGTATGGCGCCTCCACCACCAGCAGCTCTTCGGGGTGATTTTCCGCGTCCTCGGGGTGGTACATGGGCTTGCGTCGGGGAAGAGGTGGCTTGGGGACAGGCCGCTTGTTCTCCTTCTCGGGCTTCCGTTCCGGCAAGGGTGGAGGGACCCCAACAGGTTTCCGCTTGGGCATCGCGGCGGAGCTCCTCTTATAGCCAAACTTGTCGGGGCGCGGCAACGGTGTCCCGGGTGGAGGGAGAGGGTGGCCGCGCCCGATCGGCTGGTCTGGAGTCCCTGCAGGGCGAGGCGCATCCTGGCCGGAGCTAGACTCGCCTCTGCCGAACATGTTCCATCCCCATTTCTTAGCGACGGAGGTGGCCGTGTTCAATAGGGGGCCTGTGGATTTGCCCTCCGAGCCGTTCGTAATGGATCGGGTCAAAGTTTCGAGCGTGCTGAGCCGTCTTGTTTTGTCGCTATTCAAGGATGCGGTAGAGCCGTTCTCCACGCCCCTAAGGTTGCTGGACGAGTCGTTTCCATGGTGGATAGAAGGCGGGCGGGTAGGCAGCTCACTGACGGGTTCATCGTAACTTTCGACGGACTCGACGAAGGAGGGATCCCGGCTCTGAGGCATGCTGTCCGAGGTCAAGTGACTGGCAGTCGGCGGCGAGTTCTCGGGCGTTTTATCCGGCGAGCCAGGAGGAGAGCGGTTCGATATCTCGATCATGGCGCTGGTGGCACTGCTCTTTTCCTCGCCCTTGGGGTCGGACAAGACCCGATCGATATTCACGTGGTCGGCTGTAAGAACCGGGTCGGCGGCGTGCGAGAAGGTCTGAGATCGAATAACCCGTGGGGGCGACCTGCCTGGCTTGTCCACGGCCGAGGACGACGCGCTGGCGTCATTCTTGGCCGAATCGCCCAAGGAGGTCTTGGATGTCTTGCGGGACTTTAAAGTGGTGTCCTTGTCCCCGGGCTCGGCGAGTGTTGGTGCGCTCATTGTGCGATCGTCTTTGATTCTCAGCACGTCCAGTGGGTCGTCTTTGGTACTTCCTGGGGTCTGGATTTGAGCACCAGACTCGTCGGGAATATCTTCCTTGGTGTCCGGTTTCGGGATCTCGCGCTGCCAGACGCCTCCTCGGAAACGCTGCGATTCGGTGTCCAGGAAGGGGATGTCGTCCCAGAACGGCAGGACAAGACTTTCCGCAACCACTTCGCGGATCCGGCTTTCAATGGTGCGCAGGATGATGCCGTAGGTTATCTGTTTCGAGCTGACAATCGGTTCAATGTCCATTTCCATGTTGGGCATTGTTTCGAATGATATCCAGATCCGGTTACTCGGAGGAGGCTTGAACCGTATGAGCAAATGGCCTTCGAGTTTCTTCAGTACCACGGCCAAGACGATGTCGACCTCTCTGGCCTTGAATCGAGGTCCCAGGTCGATGCGCACCGTTGCTGAGACTTCCACGCGGAAGTTGCCGGTATACTGGACATCCGTCTCCACGCAACAGTTCCCATCGACCGTCAGATCCTTGAGTCTGGGGTTGATGATGAAGGGCGCTTCTTCTCCCATATCAATCCTCTCGAGACCGATCTTGCTGATGAAGTTCGGCTTGTTGACACGAGAAATCTTCTTGGTGATCTTCTTCCGGATGACCTCTTCCATCTCTGGCGTTCGGTACATGGCGAGAAACAGCCTGCCCAGCACCGCATTGATCCATCGTGTCTGCAGTTGCTCTTCAGACGAATGCAGCCGCTGGACAAGCGTGACGATGTGTTTGATATCAAATGGCTGGTGCTTGGGAGGGCTGTCCGGGGAGTTCCACATCCTGGTCTGATTCTGGAGCATGGCGAAGTAGAAGTCCTCCTTGTCCGACAAATTTTCCGAGAAGAGGAAGAACGGCGGCGTAGGCCCTCCGAGATCCCCCAGCGACTCCAGCCGGCGCGACAGACAGATGGCATTTCTCTTCAGCCACAGTTCTCCCTCCGGAATCTGACCTTCTCCACCATGAATGCTCACGTCGTGATGGGCAAGCGAAATAACATATCGGACTTCCACCTGGTTCGCGTTATCGTAGAGCATCAAGTGGCCATGCCTATTTAGTCGTAATCATGAGTATCCCGAATCCTCTGGGAGGGGGGGTGGGGAGGGAACATACCGGAGAACGATATAGAATACGTTGCGTGCGCGCTTCCCGTTCTTTGGATTGTTCTTGGCGGGTTCGATGGTGGGTGCTTGCTTGCGGTCGAACAGGCTTCTATACATGGCCTGGTAGACGCTCGGGCTCTCCGCGGCGATCACCTCACCGGCCGGGGTGGTTCTCTCGGGAGGCTTTCCATTGACACCACCGGGCACATATTCACGGCAGACGGCGAAATAGCCTGCAGCCACATCGGAGTCGTGGGTGCGATGGAACTTTTCCGCGAGCTCATCGGTGCCGGATTTGAGGCTGTACTGGTCGTCGTTCGAGCGGTGGAGCGAGCCTTGCGTGGCTTCGGATGATCGCTGGGAGAGTGGGGAGGGGGATGGGAGAGTGAGATAGGCGAAGAGGAGTGCCAGCGACAGGACCAGCGGGATGAACGTGAGTCCGCCGAGGACGTAGATAAAGAGGAAACTGCCGAATGAACCCATTGGGAGCCGGTCGATCAAAGGGCCAGCGATAACAGCTCCTCCATGATCATGGGGTAACGAAAGACCAAGTGGCACCGGAGAGAACGTATCGGTCCTGTATGAGACCAGCTCGCGGGTAAAACGGAGGAGGGAGGACGAAAAAGGGGGGTAGAGAGGGGGGTTAAAGGACAAGTGGACCTCGAGGAGCGAGGAGATGGAGAGACAGGACAAGGGAGAAGCGGACGAGATGAGGTTGCGAGGTTGCAAGCAAGTTGTACTCCGACAGTCAGTAGATTAATTGTTCTTCACCTCCGCGCTTTCCGTGCGGGCCAGTAGTACCAGTAGTACCAAGTCATTACAGCCTTACAGCTGATCCTGTCATCATCGTTCGTCACTCGTGACATGACGGTATCCCGTGGGGCGGGAACAACGTTGCCCCGCCCCCCTGCAACGGCCGGTCCCGTGACTGCCGGGTTCCGTTCGGCGGTACGGAGTAAGTACAATACAATATTCCCTCTCCATCTACTGTTAGTTACCATTTACCATGCACTAGTGATTGAGATCAAATGACACGGCATCTCGGACAGCAGCTCCGGAAACGAAGCACCTACATTGACCTTGCGCCGCGGAGCGCAGTTCGACCCATTCCTTATCGTCAACGTGTCGGTGCAGAAGCGGTGGAGCTGCCACGAAACCTTGTCAGCAGTAGGACCCCAGTTCCTGTTGGAAGTCTGGAAGAGCTGAGAGTCTCCTGAGTCCAGGCACATCATGCTCGGGGAATGAGGTCACCAATCAGCGGGAGGGGACCTGGCTACCAGGGTTACAGGCAGGTTGTCATCGGGACTGCAAAGCATCCAGTGGAGGTTCTCAGCCAATGATATGCCGGTCAAGAATTCACCCCAGCGGAGAATCTATCCGACGCATTACGATCGATCCACTTTCCAGCAAACGCCTGGGTCTATCTACCAGACATAGCGGATCGAGTCGGACTGAAGAAAGAAATCTACAGGCACCCGGACTGCATCCTCGTTTGGCCCGACATCGGGTTTCAAGCCTGCCAGACAGCAACGTAACGTCATAATAATGAGCTCATCGGGGCTTTCTGCACAATACCTCGGCCAAGGAAGCGTGTTGGATAGCCGTTGTCGCTGGGACGGATAACTGAGGAAGTAAGGATAGCTTTCTTTCAGCACCTTGTCGTCTCACGGCTCGGATGCCGAAGGACATTGACAGAGGACTGGGGTGGTATTCTTTAAAGCCGGGTCACGATATGTGCTGGGCCTTTTTATACTTTATGGAGAATCCGACACGTTATGGTTCAAGTAACCCCGCACTGTTGGTGAAGACCTCCATAACTTGGGATCAATCAAATAATCGATCAATCTGAAACACCCCTTAATGAAAAGATATGTGCTTGTTCACTGGTGCCTACGCAGGAGGTCATCGGCTGGCGTCCTAACCTGGAAACAAATCATAGAACCCGGCAACTTGTAACAAGAAAAAGGTCGTTAAGGTAGAAATCTCTGTTCTGCAGCATCATGCAAACAGGGAGGTTCCCACGGGGTGGATGGCACGTGTCATGTGATGATCGTAAAAGAGTCCCCGGATTTTGCTCTCCTCGCTTCAACAACTACACACGCCATCAGTAGCCATGGCATAAACACCACCTCTCACCCGTCCACGCAAAAGGCTGGTCATCATGGCCTCCCCCGGAACTTCCTGGATTTGCAGAGCAAGACTTGCAATGCAGAAACCAGACTGACGCGCACTACGCAGTCCCCGTCCTGTAGCTAACTAACGTGCGCAGACAGAATCAGCGACTCAAATCTCTACGGGTTAACGGGCTGGGAAAAATCCCATCGCCCTACACTATCATACACTCGGATCTCGATCTGCACCAGGTGGGTCATGTCAAATCCCGCATCTTTCTGTGGCATCCACAATCTGACAGCAGCGCTGTATCGGAAATCCAAAAGGTTAAGAGCTCATACTGCAAACCAGAAGGCCGCGAATGTCTTGACTGGCGAATGCGAAGCGCCCCCTGCGATAACACGCCCCATGAGATGGCCATCCGAGATACAGCCTTAAGCCGAGTACACCAGCCACTGGAAGCTTGAATCCGGTTTCCTCGTTGCATGAATCTGCAAGGCGCGGGTTTCAAACGGGAATCCCGACCTGCATGGCATATCTATCCGACGGCTTGAGAAACAGGCCCTTTCGGGTTGATCGATCAGGGTCTTCGGATATTAGGGGCGCAGGAACCTGCCAGGTCATGAGATAGGCGCATCTTAATGGTCTGACCCGAGCAGATGGAGTTTGGACTGCACAAGCAATGCTGCAGGATACACAGAAACAAGTCGTCCCGGGCTAGGCCTGACTGGGTCGTTGCTGACCCCCAAGTCTCGAGCACCCAAGACTGATCAACCCGGACTCTACTCACTTGTATCACTGCTCTTCCTTCCCCACCTTCCGGCTATATCACGTACTTGCCCGATTGCCGTCGTTCGACGTTTACTTGCGCCGAATCATAAACGTCGAGTTGCGATATATCGGTCATAGAGGATTGGGCGTGTTATGCTCTGCAAAACATCGACCAAAAGTTCGCCCACATAGTTTAGGTTCAAAATAGATCTACGGTCCAGCGTCCAGGGCTCTTGGAACTACATACGGAGAGCTGCCACGGGTATAACGCCCACGTCAACTGCCGTCGGATTGTCCACCAACCTGCATCATTGCCATAAGTCGAAGTTGCAAGGTAGTACCGGCCATCAGAGTCCAGGCCACCTACAGAGGCCGGCCCAACCTGCACCGCCTGGTCAGAGACGAGGCGCAAACCTGCAGGTTCCCGATTGAAGAACACAAATGAATGGCCATGAAGTGATTTGCCAAAGGGCCTAACCAGTTGGATGAACCAAGTGGGTATCTAAGTCCGAGCTGCTAAGCCCGCTCCACCCCTGCCAGGTTAGCCGCCGACTGGGACTGCGAATCAGTCAACTCGGCTGGTTGATAAGCCTGGTAAAAAGCAGGTCCATCCCCAGGGATTGGTTCAGCTCCCACTGGGGCCCCGCCCTGGGGTGTACTCTTTTAACCCCAGAATGTCCACGACTGAGATCTCGGGTTGAGAGCTTTCAGCTGAGCAGATTCTCTCTCGTGTTGAAGACTGCAAGATGCGTCCATCGATTCTTTCCCTGCTGGGGTATGTGGCCTCAGCTCTCGCCGCATGCCCCTATGCCGGTCAGGCCATTTTAGGCGCGGATGACGGAATGGCAGGCCCGCACGCACACCCCGTCCTCGGCCAGCCTGCTGCCGATGACAAGAAGGGCGTGTTTTTGATGAACCGGATCGCTCCCGGAACTTCTGAGCTGTTCATTGCCGATGCCGATGGAAAGAATGAGCGGCCTCTGCTATCCAACCCCGTCTACGAATACCACGCCACCTTCTCCCCCGACGGAGAATGGATTCTCTTCACTAGCGAGCGCAACGGGGACGGCAACTCAGATATCTACCGCGTCCGCACCAACGGTTCCAATCTCCAGGAGCTCGTGGCCACGCCTGCAGTGGAGGACTCGGTCGTGCTGTCTCCGGATGGAAGCCAGGCCGCCTACGTGTCCACGCAGGGCCTCCTAGCCAACGTCTGGTTGCTCGACCTGAAAACCGGCATGCAAACCAACCTGACCGGCACGATCGCGCAGACTGCAAATGCCAGCCAGCCCAACGGTTATTTCCGCCCTTCCTGGTCCCCGGATGGGCAGTGGATCGCCTTCTCCTCGGACCGCAACACGATATGGGACGGTCACGGTCAGGAGACTTACCTGGGCAAGACCGGCTGGGAGCACACCCAGGAGCTTGCCATCTATGCAATCCGGGCCGACGGGACTGGCTTTCGCCAGGTTGTCGCAAAGCAAGGCTATTCTCTGGGTTCACCAAAATGGTCTCCCGACGGCAAGCGAATCGTCTTCTACGAGATGACCCGAGAGACGACTTGGAGCGCGCACCGTCCCGAGTCCGTTGCATCTGCCAGCTCCAGCGTGGTCTCCGTAGACTTCGCGACGGGCACTGACCGCAAGGTCGAAGCCGGGGGCTCCGGCATCAAAATATCTCCGCAGTACCTCTCGCAGACCGACATCGGCTACCTCCTCAAGGGTGGTTCCAGCGAGGGTCTCTACACCACCGGTGGTATGTACGTGAACAGCCCTGATATAGTGCGCTCGCCCGCCTGGTCGCCCGATGGCAAGAAGGTGGTCTACGAGAAGATCAGCTGGGTGATCCGCCCAATGGAAAAGCCTCTCTACAGCTGGGACAGCGACTGGGAGTACCGCTTCACGGATGTCTTCCCGCAGCTCTCCCTCCAGGACCGCCTCGCCATCACTCAAAAACAACTGGGCAACTCATCCATCGTGACGATGACCCCATCGGCCCAGAATCTCACCCTCGTCTACGACCCCCTTGACTCCGGACTAATGAGCACGACCGCTGTCAAAGGGTGCCTCGCGGGTGCGTTCATGCCCGCCTGGTCCCCAGACGGCGAATGGCTTGTCTTTGGCGTGGGATACTGGTTCCAGGCCCGCGCAGCTTCCGGCGGATGGCTGGTGCGAGCCACCGCGAACGGGTCGTACTCAGAGGTCCTGACGGAGAGCAAAGCTACCCTTGACAGCCAGACCATCAACTCGGGCTTCCCCAGCTTCTCGCACGACGGCAAGAAGATCGTGTATCGCGTGTGGGGCTCGGAGTCGACCAAGGGAGACAAATCACAGCTCGGCCTGCGGGTGATGGACCTGGAGACGAAGACTATCACCGTTCTGACGACCGAATGGGACAACCTGCCTTTCTTCTCGCCGGACGGCGAGCGCATCGTGTTCACCCGCAAGACCAGCACGACCAACTACGATGTCTGCACGATCCGGCCGGACGGCACAGATCTTCGCGTCCTGACGAGCAGCGGAGCCAACGACGCGCATGCGGTGTGGTCGCGCGACGGCCGTATTGTCTACTCGACGGGCGAATACGGGTTCCAGGACGAGTGTGCCCTGTACGATAACACCTTCCAGCCGTACGGGCAGATCAATATCATGGATGCGGATGGGTCGAATAAGCGGGCCCTGACCAATTCCCTGTGGGAGGATTCGATGCCTCTTTACCTGGCCAACAGCGTGTTCGCTTGAAGGGTATTGATTGATTGATTGCGATGCTGTAGCTTTATTAGAAGAGTCTGTCTGCATAACTCGAATTCTGTACATAGATATTGTAGACTACGTTGGACTCTGTCTGCATTAGTTGCAAAGACCCACAATATAACTACCTAACACCTTACAGGTGAACATTAATAAAACTAATATTACCCCCCAACCAGCCCAACCCAGCATAAAACCACGCAAGTACCTACAAGCACTCTAAATCACAGACCGAAATGAAATTGTATAAAACAGATAGAATACAATAAAATAAAATAATCCATGAATCTATTACCCCCCCCAGTCGAGGCTCTCGATCAACCACACAGCGGAGAGAAGTAGGTCTATACCAGCAGACGCGCCATAATAAAGACAGGAAAATATAGATACTGATAGTAGCAGTGCTGATGATGGATGATGATGATGATGATGATGATGATGGTACACGGGCCGGAGACGAGCGCCCAATATAAACAACGAAGACGACGCCGATATGTGATCCGCCTCCCTTACTTGCGCCGGTTCATGGTCTTCTCGCACATCTGGACCAGGCCGGCCTTGGCCTCGCTGTCGGGGAAGTCGGAGAGAGAGACAATGGCCTTGTCGGCGTATTCCCGGGCCAGGAGACGCGTCTGTTCGACGCCGTCGGCCTTGATCACGAGTTCACGGGCCTGTATCGGTCGGTGTTAGCGATGTCATTCGACAGGACCTCAAAGGGGGGGGATTACCTTCTGCACATCGCCGGCCTGGCTGAACTTCCGTCCCACCAGAGGACCAAGCTCCGGGTACTGCTTCCAGGCGAAAAGCAGGGGCGCCGTCGCCAGGCCCAGCTCCAGGTCGGCACCCACCGGCTTGCCCATCTCGGCCTCGCTCACCGTGTAGTCCAGCATGTCGTCCACCAGCTGGAACGCCAGCCCCAGGTTGCGTCCGTACTGGTACGCCGCCTCCACGATCTCGGGGACGCTGTGGCCCAGCACCGCGGTCGACCGGCAGGACTTGCTGATCAAGCTGCCCGTCTTCAGGTACGTCTTCTGCAGGTAGTACGAGAGGGTGTCGTCCTTGAAGACCGGGTTCTTCTCGTCCGCAGCCGTGTTCTTCAGCTGCATGAACTCGCCCTCGACCAGGTTGGTGATCACAGTCGACATCAGCTCGATGACCTCGGGGTCCCTCAACCGGGCCAGCGCCACGGAGGCCCGGCCCAGCATGAAGTCTCCCGCCAGCACGGCCATCTTGTTTCCGAATTGCAGGTTGGCGGACGTGAACGAGCGGCGGGTCTCGGCGTTGTCGATGACATCGTCGTGGAGGAGGGACGCGGTGTGGATCAGCTCGGTGATCTCCGCCAGTCGGCGCTGCGTCGGCAGGATGTCCTTGTCGCCGGTGAAGTCGTACGACGGCGTGTCTCCGCCCGTGGACGAGAGCGAGTTCAGGTCCGGGTTGTTGTCGACCAGGATCGAGTGGGAGCTGATGGGGTCGTTCACCGTCGCCGAGTTGCGGTCCGTCTCCGCCGTCCGGGGACACAACGCGGTCGCCTGAGACATCAACAGCACCAGCAGGGGCCGCATGTGTTTCCCCTCGCTCCGGGTGTAGTATTTGGCGACCTTGTCCAGCGTCGGGTGACCGGACCCCAGCAGCTGGCGAAGGTTCTTCGTCAGGAACTTGAGCTCCTTGCCCACCATGCGCAATGGGTCGACGGAGATGCCGGGGGGCGCCTTGGGCAGGCCCTTGAAGATGGTCTGGGCGGCCGTGACCGCAGCCCCGAAGGGGGAGACCTCCCTCCGTCTCGTGGGGTGGTACTGTCGCGTCTGCAGCTGGGCAGAGCTTGTGAGGAGGAGGTCATTGCGGAGGCATTGCCAGCAGATTATCGGCGAGGGCGAGGGCGAGGGCGTGGTCGTGACGCGTGACGAAAGCACCAGCCCGGAGGCCGGCACCACGCGGGCCTTCATGATCGGGGGACGGGACGGGGACGGAGACGAGCTGAAACTGGGAGGCGACGAGGGGAGCGGTTCATAACAAAGAGGACAGAAGCACTTGAGACTTTTTTGGGGGGGGAACCAGGGAACGAGTCCGGGGGGGCAGCAGCAATGGCGAGGTGGATGAATGAAGCGCAACTTTTCCAAGGCGACGGCCGAAAGATTTCGGAGTCGCCTCGGCCCGGCTCGGGGAGTTCCTGCCAAACCCTACAATTAACGGACATCCATCCCTACGCTTTCCTGCCTGCCCTGGTGGATTGGATACTTTATACAAGCACATTCCGCTCTAGTCTGCTTGGTCTGCTTGGAATTACAGCGGACAGCCCGGCTCTCACCCGGCAACCCCTCTACACGACATAGGAAACGATGCAGTCAACATAGGAAAAAAAAAAAAAAACCACGGAAGATGAAGAAGATCGAACATCACGCCGGCAAAGCTCATTCCTGCCCTGTCCTTCATACACACCCAAACGACGAACGAAACTGCAGATAAGAAGAACACAATGTGGATGCCACCGCACCGACTATAGCACGACTAACTCAGGACCCGGGGCTGGATGTTTACTAGATGGCGTCGAAGTCGCCGCCCGCATCCTCGTCGTCCATGTCGCCCTCCTGGATCTCCTTGGCCAACTCCCGCTCGCGCTCCCGGGCCTCCTGTGCGCTCTTCAGCTCCAGACGGTGCTGGTTCATGGGGAACCGCATGGCCTGGCCAGACATTAGCATTCGCACCCAGTAGTACTCCACATGTAGAACTTGACAGGCACAAAAAAAAAAAAAAAAAAAAAAAAAACTCACCTTGACGCTCTCGTCGTGGAGACTCAAGCAGGCCCGGATACGCTCGTGGAACACCTCCCCGGGCTCGCGGGTGGCGTAGATGTCGCCCACCTCCTTGCTCTTCATGAAGCCCCGCTCGTGGTCCAGGCTCGCCTCGATCACGCCGTCGCGGATCGCCTTGGCCACGATGTACTCGGCCGACTCCTCGCTGTCCAGGCCGAGGCGCAGGCAGATGTCCCGCAGCGAGATGCGCGAGTACGACAGCGACATCATGCGGATGCCCGTCTTGATGACGTTCTGCCGCAGGCGCAGGATGAGCGTGTACGTGGCATCCTTGCGGAACGTGGCGCTGTGGGTATTTACAATGTTCAGGAACCCGTCCAGGTCCCCGACACTCACCGCCTGGACGAGCAGGAAGTACGGGTGCATCGCCCGTTCCAGCGCCGCCTGCCGGAAGATGGCGCGGTCGGGGATGTCGCCCATGAGGAGCTCAACCACGACCAGCAGCTTGTGCGAGGCCTGGTAGAACCCGCGCGCACTGGGGCTGGAGGGCGACTTCCGGGTGGCTCCGATCAGGTGTCCGTGGGCCTCCGTGTACTGCAGTTGGATGGCACGGATGCGGCCCAGGTAGTAGAGGTAGCGGGCGATCTGGTTGTTGGATGCCGACGGGGGGAATCGGTTGTGCGAGATGAGGAGATCGGCCTGCGAGATGTGAGACGTCGACAGGTAGTTGCGCAGCAGGAGCGTCATCACGGTCGCCTGCGTGTCCACGTCCTTCCGGAGCACGGCCGTGCGCAGAGCAGCCAGCAGGGGCTGGCGGATCTGAGTGACGGTGGCGGCCGGGGACGGGGGCAGGGGGGCAATCTGCTCGAAGAAGAGGGAGTAGTAGAAGTAGACGCGAGCCGCCAGCGAGTCAAGGGTGCGGCGGTTGACCGTCCGCAGCCGCTCGATCAGGTTGGTCGAGAACTCCGCGCCCTTCTGGATCTCCTTCCTATCGAACAGATAGATCTGGACCAGGATCGACAGATAGGTATCCACCTCGGGCAGGACCTCCTTGGGGGCAGGCTTGGACTTGTCCGACTCGACCTCCATCTTCGAGCTGCCGTCAAAGGCGCCGGCTTGCTCGATGGCACTCAGCAGGAACGAGGCGGTGGAACTGGACTGGGGGTAGGTCTCCACGATGACCTCGGACAGCACCTCGGCGGTGACGTGCTTGCGCATGGACGATATCGAGCGCAGGACGCGGAGGGTGAATCTGGGGTCGAAGTGGGCGACCGCGCGTTCGAGGAGTGTGAAGTTGGTCTTGATGTCTGGAAGGGGGGGTTCGAGCATGTCAGTGCCGAGCGCAGAGCGATGCCGACCCGGCGAGGATGAAACAAACCTTGGATGGCCTTGACCTTGGGGTCAACCTCCGGCTCCGCATCCTCCTCGGCGCCCTCCATGGCGACGTCACCTTCTTGGTCCGCACCTTTCTCGCCGGATAGCCTGGAACCCTTGGTAGGGGGCACTACAACAGTCATCTTCTCGTCACCTTTGCGGCCCTGACTGGCGTTGAATGAAGATGTAGGCCCACCTGCCGTATCCTCTCCCATCTCGACGTCCTCCGAGCCGTTCACGCCCTTCTCTGCCGGGTCGGACCCGTTGGCCCGCGACTGATCGCGCTGTTCGCCCATGCCGGGGTTGGCGGAGCTGTTGGATGAGGCGGCTTTCGAGGGAGCGGCCGATTTGGCCTTGTTGGCAGCGGCGCGGGTAGGCGCCGGCTTATCTTTCTTGGAGCTGGCCTTGTCACCGTTAGCAGATGACGAGGTATCTGACTTGCTGTTTGATCTCAGCGAGCGCCTCTCAGCCGGCATCTTTCGTGTTTGCTGGTGTGACGTTCCGTTGTGGGGGGGGAGAGCTCAGACGAGCACTGGGGACCGCGGTACGGGAAGCCGAGGAAGGGGGGGGGAGAAGCACAGTGGAGAGAGCGGGAATATACAGATGGAAGGGAGAGGGGGGGGGATAGCGGTGGAGGTAGAGGAGACAAGAGGTGGGTGGAAGATGATGGGGGATGAGAGAGTTGGGTGGAAAGAAGCAGAAGGTTGATGAGGTGGTGATGTGATGTCAAGTGAGTGAGTGCAGCGAGAGCGAGAGCGAGAGCTTAGTCACACTAGTTAACCTGGGCGAGCTGAGCTGAGCTTACCTGCTTCTGGTCAGCTGGCGACGGGGGCGTTTGAGGCGCGCAGTCACTCGTCAGCCAGTCGATAATAGTCAATCAATCAATCAATCAATGGACGGGATTGGGGAGAGGGGGGGAAGCACAAGGATCGGGTCGCGTAGGGGGAAGAGAGACGGTCGGTTGGGCAGGGCGATAGCTCAGAATGAGAGGATGGAATTGGATTAGTTGCCCGGATGATTGCCGGGGAGATTTTGCTGGCTTCGTCGCCACCTCCCCCAGGCAGCCGGATGGCATGCAGCCTGAGGCACACACGCACACCGGCTTGGCGTGTTTACTTGCAGTCCGTCCCCATTCTTGGAGTCTTCCATCACCATCATTGTCCTTGTCCTTGTCCTTGTCACTGTCCTTCCCTCGGCACCATGTCGCTCCTCGAAAGCCATCTGGAGCAGATCTCTCTCTCCTCCAACGCCATCGCCGAGCTCCCGTATGCCCCTCTCTCCCCTCCTCCCCTCACCCTGCTTCTGCTTCTGCTTCCCCTCCCATACTAATCACCGTTGGTCCCGCTGCAGCTTCCCCCAACCGCGCATCTTCACCAATGCTCTTCTGGGCCCCCACGACATCACCTCGCTCATTCGCGATACCGAGGCCCACGAACGGGCGCTCTTCCAGGCCGACCCGTCCGTCAAACCCACCACCTCCACCTCCGCCCATCGACGATCCACCCGCTTCCCCTCCGAGGCAGAGGGCGAGTCCATGGCCAGTCGCATCTATTCCGCCCGCGATAACAAGAACCAGTCCGCCGTCGCGCGGGTCCTGGGCTCGGACATGATGGAGGAGATCAAGCGATCCGCGGGGACTGCCAGCCGGGGAGGCCGGGGGGAAGTCAACGTCGATGTGTTGCTCCGCGGCGCCGAGATCCTCTGCAATGTCTAGTGCGTATCTTTTGTGCAACACTGTGGCATATGTTCACTTGCTAACCGATCTAAAGCCCTGTCCCGGGTGCCCAGGAGAAGATTGCCAGCCTGCGCTACCGCCACCAGTTGATCGCGGAGTCGGTCAATGACCTGGAGGGGCGTGTGGCCCGGAACACCGCCGAACTGGAGAAGATAAGCCACTCGTACGGCGACGACTTTGATGATTTCGACATGGACGCCGCACAGCCCGAGGTGCCGGAGGTCCCCGACGCCGATCTGGAGCGCGAGATGGAGGAGATCCGAGAGCTGGAGAGGAGAAAGCGCGCCTTGGAAAGCCGCGTCACTGGCATGGAGCGGGATCTTGGGGGGTTGATTGGTTGAAGAACTCGCGGCATTCTACTCTACGTGCTGCGCGGAGCGGCATGGAAGCGCATCCCGGACATGGTTCAGGCCAGCATCTTTGAATGGCGGGCGCTTGCCACAATCACCTAGGATGCATATCCTGAAGACAGGCTCTGGGAGTATGCCTGGCATCGCCGCTATGGTAACTCATCCGTATAGCGGGCCCAGCGACATGGCGAGAAACCTTTACAGGGACACCTGTCCCAGTAGGCCGTCACCAAGGGCACCACCGGTCCCGGGCAGCTCTCTGCTCCATCGCCCCGGCCCTCTCCACCACCGCGCACTCTATGGCTATGTCCATGTCGATTCCCGCTAGGTATTGATACAGCTTCAGCGACGAACAACCTCCAGTGCGTCTATTGAGCCGTTGCCGCGTCCTTTGGCTGTTGCTTGAATGGAAGTGCTACAGTCGGATTCCGCAGGACCCAGCTTGGAATGAGCTAGATGAATCACTGATCTACCAGCTCAATTCTTCTACCTACAGAGGGACAAAGAGGGGTTGGTGGAATTGTGTATCCGATGTGAGGCCTTGTTGGCTGACTCTTGTGTATACAAACACCACACCACGGACAGGGTCCAGTCTTGTGTGCGCTAGAGGGTCACCACCTCACACAATCATCGATGCCAGACATCAAACAATTCCAGATATTCGTGGAATCTCATGTGTATAATGCCTCATGCCTCGCATGGTGTGGGTGCGCGCGAACATCAGTGATCACCGAACAATCCCCAATCCCGGCTGTAGCTATTCAGATTCACTCTTTTGCTGCGCATTTAGTAGAGCCGTAGAAATCGCTGAGTCGTCGCTGAGTCGACGAGTGTTTCGCTGCACAATAAATTCTCGAGTTGATTGACTTTCCTTCTCTTCTCTTCTTCTTCTTCCATCTCATCTTTGGATGCCAAGCCTGAGGCTCGGGCCATCGCCAGCCAGACTTGAACCCCCCAGCATTGCTCCTTTCCCTTCCTCCCCTCCCCTCTCCTCCACCCCCACAATCCAGCTCGCTGTCCACTCCTCCCTCCCTCGCAAAACGGATTCTCGGTAGGCCTCAATTTGCTGTCAGTTGGTGCAGTCGAGTCCGACTCTGCGGGCAGTTGGGCGAGTGAGTGCCCTCCACGTGCCCCCCCCCCGAGAATCCGTCCCGTCGAGACTCTCCGACATCCTCGACAAGTCCAACCTCAACCTCCTCTCCCCTCTCGTCTTTCCTCCATCGCCTTCTCCCCTCCTCCCACGCATTGTCTTCGCCATGGACAACTCCCAGGCACCGCCTCAGCCGCAGGCCCCCGCCGCTCCCCCCGCCGCTCAGCCGATGATGCCTCAGCACTCCAACCTCATCCGCACCGACCAGGTCCAGAAACTCCCCCATCTCAACGACCAGCAGAAGGCCCAGCACACCCAGCTGGTGCGGAACCTGTGGGATCACCTCAACAACCGGGACCCGCAGTCGCCGGAATACCAGAGCGCCCACGCGAGACTGACGCAGCTCTCGCAGAACCTCATGAAGGGCATGCGCGCGTTCCAGCAGAGTCGGCAGATCCAGCACCAGCAGATGCAAGCCGCCGGCGCCGCACAGCCTGGCCAGCCCGTCCAGCGCACTCAGTCCGTCAATCCGCAGAGCTTCGGCCAGCTCCTGCCGCAGATCCAGCAGAAGGTCAACACCCTGCATTTTTTCCTCCCTCCGAACATCAGCACCGAACAGGCCGGGACCTGGCTCCCCGAGGCCAAGCTCCGGTATGGCATCGCGCTCCAGAAGCAGGAACTCGGTCGGGTGCGCATCGCGGAGCTGCGACAGCAGTTCGCGCAGCGTCAGGGCGCAGGCAGCATGTCGCAGGAGGAGATCCAGGAATTCAAAAACCGGCAGATGGCGGCGGAGAAGCTCTATCGCGAGGGCAGTGATTTCCTGACCAAGTTCAAGGAACAGCAGGAGAACTTCAAAGCCCAGCAGCAGAGAGCTGGCGTCCAGCAACACGTCCCTGCTGCTCAAGCTGCTGGCCCCGTCGCGACCGGCCCTGCTGCTGCTGCTGCTGCTGCGACCCCCACCCCGGCCAGCGTCCCCGGCACGATGCATCCAGGCCAGCCTCCCACCCCGGCGCCTCACACAATCACCTCCGCGGTCTCGGCGGCTCGCAATCAGGCTGGACAAACGGCCATGTCTCCGTCGACCTCCCAGCCAGGCCAGACCCCGACTCCCCAGGTCCCTGGTGCCGCACCTGCCGTCGCAGCCATGCCTCAGCAGCAGCCGCAACAGCAACAGCAGCCGCAGCAACAGCAACCATCACAGCAACAGCAGCAGCAGCAGCAGCAGGCACCGCCTGTGGGCCAACAGCCAGCTGGGCCCCCAGCGCAGTCACAGCAGGGCCCACCGGGCTCGCAAGTCACCTTCACTCAAGTTCCCAACGTGGACGGCTCGACGCCCACTCCCACCGCGACCCAGACCATGGTCCAAGGCCCACCGCGTCCGTTGTCCCAGCAGGCCGCCATGGCGCAGGCTGCTCAGAACTACTCCAACAACAGCAACAACAACATGAACAACGCCGTTAGTCAGCCACAGAACATGTCCCAGGCCACCGGCAACTCCCACGCTCACCCTCAGGGCTACATTCCCAACCGCTCCGCCGACAACTCTGCGCGGAACATCACCATGGCCATCCCCAAGAACCTCAACGTGCCGACCCCCGAGCCCGTCAACATGGCGCCTGCCCGTCCGACCCTGTCTGGCGGTCCCAGCCACGGTGCCGTCGGCGTCATGAACCAGCCCGCCATCCAGAAACACCCCGGCTACGTGCTGGAAGGCGAGGGCCAACGCGTCCTCAGCAAGAAGATGCTGGACATTCTCGTCCGTCAGGTTACTGGCGGTGGCGAGGGCGAAGGTCTCACCCCTGATGCCGAAGAGGTAAACTAACTATCCTCACACCTCCTCTCCATCTCCACCCCAAATACCCCTACTAACACCACCACCACCACTTTACAGTTCATCCTACAGATGGCCGATGACTTCGTTGACGACGTAATCACCGACGCCTGCCGCCTCGCCAAACTGCGCCCCTCCTCGACCCTCGAGATCCGCGACATCCAGCTCGTCCTCGAACGTAAATACAACATGCGCATCTCCGGCTTCTCCACTGATGACCTGCGTACCGTCAAGAAACCCCAACCCACCCAGGGCTGGACTCAGAAGATGTCCGCCATCCAGGCGGCCAAGGTCACCCAGGGCAAGGCCGAGTGATTAGTTCGCTGCTTACTTGGTCGATCAGTAAATAACGAATCTTGTCTTTTTTTTTTCTTTTGCAATGATGACTCGCATGGGCTTGCTTCTTTTCCTTTTTCTTTTCGGTGGGTGGTGTTGATTGTGCCTGGCTTCGAGATGCAATGGGTCGGTGGGATGGATATCATATCTATGGAGCCTTTTCTTTCTCTTTTCTTTTTTCTTCATCAAAAAATGTCTTAACATCAGCAACAACAACAACAAAAATCTCTCGGATGGGCTTGGCTCGGCTCCCTTATGTGGCGGGCGTTCAGGGGGTGGATATCTTCGTTTTCTTCTTTGCTTGTCTCCTTGTTTCCTTGTTGTGGTTTCGCTCTAGGTAGACAGACAGTTGTCGGTCAGTCAGTCCCACGAACATCCGGCACTCGTGTCTCTGTTTCTGATTCTGATTTTGACTCCGCTCCTGTTCCCATTTCAGCAGGGAAATCGATCTTAATCCTCCATAATATCTATCTATCTATCTACTGGATATTCGTGTTTTTTTTTTAGCTTTGGCCTGGTCTTTGGACTTGATTTCAAGTAAGTGTAAATGGATAGATACTCTGCCTGCCTGTCTACCCCCCTACCTGCAATTTCCACTACCGTTTGTTTCCTCTTTTTCTCCCATCTCCGATCCTCCGCGCCCTCCTCTTTCGGGTCTTCTTTGCTCCTTTCTCTTTCTCTCTTTCTCTCTTTCTTTCTTTCTTTCCAGTTGGTAGTGGTGGCGGTCCCCGGAAGTATCCATTTAGGTAAACTGGTAGGATGGGATGAATGGGTGAATGGATGATGGATTTGAATTCACCATGGGTATGTTATGTTAGGAGTGAGTGTTCATCGTGTCTTGATTCACTAGGAGCCTTTGACACACCTAGTCCAGTTCCGATTCACTCTACACAACCCTCGAGCATTCATAGCAGTAAATACGGCACGAACATGACAGACATAACAAGACGACGATGGTATCAATTCTCTACTTGCTGGACGGACGTCTTCTATCAATCTTCTAAGGAGATACGAAGTTGGGGGAAATCAGAGAAGAGAAACACCAACACAATTAAGCCGCTAGAAACCTGCTCACGCAAACAGAGTCGCTTCTCCCATCCATGTATACAACAGCAAGCAAACAGAGACCCAAGGCACGGTGCAAGCGAGGAGAATGCCAGCCAAAGAACCAGACAATGGGGCGAGATGGGGAGGGGAGGAAACCAAGACGAGGAAGAAAAGGAAGAGAGTGGGCAAGGAAATAAATATGGTCAGTTAAAAGAGTGAGGCTGGATGTGAGCATCCACGATGAGCTATGCAGTAGTTTTCACAAAGGGAACACGACAGAAAAAAAAAGAAAAAGAAAAAAAAAAAAAAAAAAAAAAAAAGAGGCAAAATATTTGATACAGGGAAATAGGGCCGACTTGGGGATCTGGATAGTGCCAGGCAACCCTTTGTGGCAAACGTAAACAGTCAGACTGGACGCAGCTACTAAGCTAAGCTGGCTTCAACAGAAACAGTCGCAGGAGACATTGGGAAAGAAGGTGGAATGAGATAGACAGAAGGAAATATAAGTGAGTGGGGTAATTGATACAAGATAGGTTAGACATGATCGGATATTTCCTTGCCATGCTGGGCCGACGAAAGGAAAGGATGGTCAAGCGAATGATCAGCTGGTTCAACCGCTGGCCGGAAAGATGTCAAGACGTAAGGAGGTCATCCTGACGGACGGGCAGCGCCCAATGATGCAAAAAGAATCACATCAGTCGTGGTAACATGAGACTATCACAGGTGGTTGCGGAGCAAGGGCGGAAGTTGGAGGGAGAAGATGCGATGCGCACAGGGTTAGCAGGGAAGCAGGGGATCCGTGGCGCCAGGGTATGTATGAGGTGGAATAAAGCGTGATGAGCTGCAAATGAGGAGGATATCATAAAATTCGATCAAAATCCGCACCGAGGAGGCTATTGTCTGCCCGAGGAGACCCAGTCGGGTTGCCCATCTCGGGAGACTCCCTTGCCTTTTCCAGCGAAGGGTGAGCCGTTAGCCTGGGGAACCGCCGGCAGCTCTTTGTCGAGGGCAGCGGCTGACGAGGGGCGATGGCGACTGTGTTGACTGTGTCCGCCCACACTGCTGGCCTCGCCGGCCTCGTCCACGATGGGCAGGAAAGAAGGAGCCACAGTGCTGGGGTCCCCGGGGTCGCGAACGGTCGATAGCGTCCGAGGCTCGGCCGTCGAGATGTCCTTGGACGCCTCCTTCTCCGCCGCCTGCATCGTGCGCTCAACAGACTCGGAGCGCTCCGCAGAGGGTCGCCCCATTGCCCGTGCTTCCCGGTGTCGTTCCCCCTCCTCTTTGGACATGGTTATGCCCTTGACGAAGTTCACGAACCGATCCCCATAGCCCTCTGGCGGGATAGGAGAGATCTGCGTCCGGTCGTGAGAGAGGCCCTTGAAGAAGTGCTCTATCTTCTTAATAAATCCGTAGTGGGTCAGGCAGTCGATGATTCCCAGATAGTAAATCTCGTCGCCGGGCTGGCCGTTTTCGTGCGTAGCTCGGAATCCACCATCGTCCGAGTAGAAGACGTGATGTTTCCTCTCGTCCAGGATTTCGTCGGGCATCTTCGCAGTCGCTTGATCAAGCGGCACTGGGCGTTCACGCTTGATGAGCATGCGGAGCTCACGTGCTTTGCGTTCGTTCTCCAGTTTGGACGGCGTGCGCATCAGCATGTTGGGGTTGGCGTCTTCCTCGCGGTCACCCCCAGGCTGGAACACCTGCAGGGTCTTATCGCGGAGCTTCTCCTCGTTTCCTCGTTCCTGGTCATGGATTCCAACCAGGAGCGAGTAATCCATGATCTTCAGTTTCTTCAGCAATTCCACGTCACGCTTCAGCTGAGCGAGGAAGATATCCCGCTTGGACGGACCACACTGAATCTCGCGCTCCCTCCGCACCCAGTTCAGATCCTTCAACGTGGCCCGCGGGTTCTTCTCCAGGTCCTCTTCGCGCAAGTCACGACCGATCATCGAACCTTTCAAATCGAAGGTCTGGTGGATATCGCGGTGGGGAGGGAACAGGTTGTTCATGACGACGAAGTGGATTTTGCGGCCATAGGCCATCTTGACGCGGTGAAGGCCATAGAATTGCGAGATCAGGGTGTTGGGGTTCTTCTCGACGTGCCGGTAGTATTCGGGGAGGATCTTTCGCAACAGCTTGTGTTCGGAATGGTGGATGGTTTTGATGATGTACTTGTAATCCCGGGAAAAGTAGAAGAAACTTCCACTCTTTCCCGGCGAGCCCAATTCGGAAAGGATATACTTGCTGGTAAGCGACATCAGGTAATCGGCAGGGTCGAGTCGGAACTTGGCTCGCAGGTGACGGAACACCCAGGGCGCATAGTCCTTGAATTTGAAATCGTATTTGGCAGAAGGTGTCAGTTCATTCCCGGTGCTGTCGACATTAAACGTCAGTGATCACTTCAGGCACATAGACAGCGGGCAAATGGGCGCATACATATCAAACGAGAATTTATGCTTCGCCTCAAAATCCGCCGGAGTCAACTCTCGATCCATCTTCGCATTGATCCGCGATACCGTGAATCGGATTCCGGTGAGCATGTTGTAGGCTGTGACATAATTCACATGGTTCTGGTCGACCTTGGTCCCAACGATAACGTGATCTTCCTCGTCGTCGTCCCGGCGTCTTCGCTTGGAGGCCCGGCGCTGTTTGATGGCTTCCGCCCATCGGGCCGCATCTTCATCCGCAGCAGCATCGTCGGGAAATGAGTCGGACTGGTTGGTTCGGGTGGCCCGTCGGGCCAAGCTGAAGGAAGTGCGGCGAGCTCCCGTTGTGGGGGACAGACGACCACTGCTGTAGGCAGCGTCGTCGGTATGGTCACGACTACTTCGGCGGGCACCGGTCGTTTTAGGGACTTGCAGCGTATGTCGATGTCGGAGACCGGTGCCTGTCGGCTCTTGTGCGCTGCTATCCATGCTAGGCGGGACGGGGGGGGAGGAGTAACGGTGGGGACTTTTCTGCGAGGGCGACAAGCGATCGGGGTCGGGCGAGAGACGGCCAGCGTCATCAGGCTGAGAGGTCGACAATCGTGTCGCTGAGGCGTTTCCTATCGAGTCCGGAGCCACCATTTCGTCGGCGGAGGGTCGGACGTGGTCTCCGTTCACCGTCGGCTTGCCGTTGAGCGAGCGAGGGCTTAGCGTCCCATTGACCTGCTGGCTTGCGACCGACGTCGCGGGCGAGGCGGCACGAGGTCGAGTCTCCGCCGACCTCTTGGGAGTATCGCGATCCAGCGTATTCGACGGCCGCCCGCCCTCTCTCGGTTCCCGAGCCGACCCGTTTCCTAAGGAGTGCATGCTGCCGTCTTTCGAGTGCGGCAAGTCTCTGGTGTAGGAGCTGGCGCTTGACCGCGGACCATTCAAAGAATAGGCACTGCCGTTTGTGAGTTGGTGGTCATTTGGAGGGGCATCGAGATGGTTGGCGTCGCCATTGGGCCAATTTGTCCACAAGAACGTATTCCCCACGGAGTTCTTCTCGGGCGCTTTTCCTTGCGGCGAGTCGAACGGGCGAGGGTGGGTGGCGGTTGCGGTGGACGACTGATAGGCGACGTCGTTGGAGAAGGACGGCATGGTCGCTGGGGTCTGATCCGGAGGAGAGACGGAGATAGAAGGGGCAGGAAAGGGGGGGGGACAGCGACGGGAGGGGTGGCGTTGGCCTCAGGATCGGAGCCGCAGACCGTCCGGAGGGAGGCTGTTGGGAAGGGTTGATTGTCCGTCGTCTGGACAGAGCGACAGGGAGGGGAAGTAAAGAAGGGGGGGGGGGGGGTGGGAGGAGATTAATCGATCAATGGCAGAGATCGAAATGGATGTACCTCTCAGGACGACAAACAAAGTTTCCGAAGAAGCTGGGGGGGGCCAGCCGGCGGCAGAGAGTTTTAACGACGGATAGGCATGTTCAGGCGAACAGTGGGATGGAGGCAGAGAGAGCACGACACAATCGACGTGTCCGCGTACGGGGGCTTGCGTGGAGGCTGGGGAGGAATCGGCCGATGGAGGCGTGGAAGCGATGTACAATCGAATTAAAAACGGGTAGGCGAACGGGGGTATCAGTTGAAGGCAAGAGCGACGAACGGGGAAATGAAAGGAGGCGGTTGGCGGGCGAAAGGGAAGGACGGAGGGGGGAGGGGAGAAGAGGAGGAAGAGATGGTGAGATTTGAGGGGGGGAGAAGACGATTGAGGAGCAGCAGGATAAGAGAGAGACGGAGTTGAAGATGCAGAGCGAGAGAGAGTGAGAGAGTGAGAAAGAGAGAGAGAGAGAGAGAGAGGGACGGAAAGACAGAGAGGGAGAGAGAGAGAGAGAGAGAGTCAGAGCCAAGGACCGAGAGAGACCACTGGGGCTGGACAGTACCAATACCAATACCAATACCGGTATCGGTACCGGTATGTATTGCGCGGGAGGGGGAAAAATACCAACGTGGACTTGGTAGTAGTAGTAAGGTACCTGAATGATTGGTACGGGCTGGTCCAGCAGAACGGATGGAAATACCAGCCGTGGCAGCAGAGAAAAAGAGGTTTTCTTCGCCTGGTCCGTCGGGCAGGTTCCTGTGGATGGAATCACCCCTTCCCCCCCCCCTTCATGTCTCAGATGTACTTATGGAGTATCTACGCCTGGAAATTACATAGACACTAGATAGATAGATAACTAGCTAGCTAGCAAGGATTATTAACGCCTTCTGGTGCTGCAGAACCCAGTTGGTCAGCATGCCATGCATGCAAAAGAAGGGGAAATCGGGCCCGGGTGGTGTCTGGTTCCGAGGGCGGGTTGCTCCACTGCTCAGCTTTTACCTGGTGCCCTGACTTGCAGTCCCGATACTATTCCTGTCTGCTTATACGCTCTGTGATCCATCTCCTCAAAAGCATCATTATCATTATCATCATCATCATATCTATGTCAATTATAAGTAGCTCTCCTCTGTGTCTGTGGATGTACTTTACGTGGTAAATTATACGATTACGAACGCATAGTGAAGGGAGTCTTGGCACAATTACCCAGCATCAGGCATCCTCCAAAGATAAGAAAGAGATCAGGACCGGCCACCTGAACCCTGAAGTTGGCCATGCCCATGCCCATGGTCAGTCATGGTCCAACATATCCCCTGAGTGAGTGAGCTACGATGCGACCAGACTAGTCCGTACCGCGCCTGTCAAATGGCAGATCCTTCTCAGCCTTGAGGGACGACGGACACTGCGACCAGGAACCGCCCGCGACGGAACGAGCAGCAGTAAGGTACGTACGTACTTTACTTCCATCCTCCTTACCACGCTGCATGCAAGAGAATCAACACGACCACCATTCGGAGATCGAGCACGTACATACATACAGTAAAGATACATATACTATACAGACTGTTGTCTGTCTGTTGGTCTCCACCATCCATGACAAAAGTCCTGCTTCTAGATACTTCTACTTTGAGGTTCGGGGGCCCCTGATGAACTACCCAAACTACGGTATGGAGCACGACCCGTGATCTCCTCCATCAGGACTAAGGAGTAAGTAGAGCAGTCGAACTAACTACCTACTAGATAGGGATTAACTATCTATAGAGTATAGTGGTCGCAGTCGCAGTCGGGTATCCAACACCTGGCCTCTTGGGCCCTTTTCTTTCTTCGAGGGATGTCTACGATGAACTGAAGTAATAGTCTATTGTTCCTGAGGTAGACAGGATCAGCAACCCGGCGGAACCCCTGGTTTACTTCCCCTCTCCCCCCCTCCCCCCCCCCCCCTCCGCCATGAATAATATCATGTCTCTCACACAATCCATCCCTAGGCTTGGTACGGAGAAACATCAAAATCCCATTATCCTGGCCGCCACCAACCCAACCTGATTAACACTACCTATCTACTCCGTGCGGAGTCTAGGTATATCTAGGAGGTATCCAGGTTAAACACCAAACAAACAATTAATATAGCTGCCGGAAACCTCATACACTGGCCCCTCCCCTGTATTGATTCTCAAACAGGGTGCCTGGTTACTCCGTACGGGGTAGATAGTTGGCATTCATTCGATACACCCACCAGCCACCCATTATTATTAACCACCCATGTGCCACTCACTGCCTTACCTTAGGTAGGTACCTGGACTGGCTACCTGGTTACCTGGTTACCTAGTAAGTACTACTCCGTACGGACGTACTAAAGGAAGTAGTTATTCTACCTCCGTAATCCCGTCCGTGGCGTATCCAATTCCACGCAGACGGCGGACGCAGCAGTGGGTTCTGCACTACTAATGATCGACAGAGTGCCAACGTCACACTCTCCTCACCTCACCCGACACTCATCCATTCATACGACATACATACTGTTAGTTACTCCTCTCTCTCCCTCTTTTCCTTCCCAGCCCAGCCATGACGCAATGATAGGTAGTTACTCGTGATACTTGTGTAGGTACCTACCTAGATAGTCGTAGGTATTCCTCACAAAGGTATCTATCTATCTATCACCTGTAGCGAGTCATCAGACGCCAAAGGGTTGAAGTATGGAGGATATGTCAGCTACCTAACTCATCTATCTACTTACTACCTTTGGTAGATAGCTAGATACCCGAATAATCATCTAGGCACATGGGACCCGACCCTCGAGTTCATGCAGAACATGAACTACTATCTAGTATTTACTACCTACTTACCCGCCCTCAAGTCTCCAGTCCTACCGGCACTATCTAGATATATACCCTATTCATCTACCTCCAATTTTACAGAGTAGATACATACCACGGCATCTTCGTTTAGATTTAGAGGGCTAGAACTTGCCTTACTGTCTAGTGTACGTACCTTATGTATAAAATACCTTATGAATGGGGCACCATACATGCATACATACCATACAGTTATGGTTACAGTTATAGTTACACAACCCACAGCTTAGGTAGTGTACAGCCCACCCACAAGTATATACTCCGTAGTATCTAGTAAGGTATAGTAGTTATATCACCAGCCACTGCAGTCCGAGCCCGACAGGAGCCCAGGTCCAGTCCAAGTCCAAAGATACATAAGTAAGCACAACCACCCTGATTCGGCGGATACTTTAACTATATTATAATACTACCCACCCACCTACTACCTACTCCATAGCTACAATCTACTAACAGTCTCAGAAACAGTCTCTACGTACTATCTACTCTGTACACAGCAGTATCTAACAGAAAGTATCTATCTTCTCCATCGCCGAGCCGAGCAGACAGACCTGTGGATGGGCAGGGCAGGGCAGGGCAGGGCCGGGCCAGTTTACTATTTTTGGCCCGTTCAGGGCTATCCGGCTAGCAAAACCAGCTAATGAACATCCGTGTTCCGACAAAGTAAGTAGGTATCGACTTACGGTTACAGTGTGTATCCACCTTACAGCCCTGCCCGTCCTGCTCTGCCTGCTCTGGCTCTGCTCCGGTCGGCTCGGCAGACCATGAACTTAATAATACAATACTTAACTAGTTACACTGGTCACTGACTGATACTTTTTTTTTTTAATGTATGGATACATAATATCTACTGATTGATACATAACTATAGATACTAGATAAAAGTACATCATGCCCCAATCCACCATCCACCGCCCGGTCCACATCCAAGCCCTGTTGGTCCCCCCCGGGTTGCATACATCCATTAAGCTTAAAATCCCTCGAGTTCGCCATCGCCCAACCGTCCACCCGTGAGGAGTGGACTAGACTGCCCTGTGAACGGTGGGCTGTGGAGGGAGGGGCCAGCCATGCCCACGATCGTGATGTGATTGATCACCGCAGCTACCTATATAGCTTATTATGGCGATATCTAAGTACGGTTGGACTGACCTTCCTTGCCCTTGCATGGAGGTTCCATCTCCATGGACCAGACTGAGATATCTACGACTCATCTACGGCGTACAGCAGCATCTGAAAGAAAATGGACAGCAGTTTCATTTCACTACGTAACACCTGCCCTTAGACGGGTGTCCCAAACATAGCAGACAAGCAGAAAACATATCCCGTTGCAAGATCCACCGCAAGACGCCAGCCCAACCAACATTCACAGAAAACGAAAGAAACCCCGATCCGCAACAGATCCCAGAAACAGTCCCCCCATTGATCAAAAAGATAAGTGGCCCAGAGCGTGAGAAAAAAAAATTACAGCCGAAGAAAGAAAGGATGGGACACAGCCCACGAGATACACCCCGAAGCACACGTCGCAACGAAAGAGCCAAAAATCAAATGGTCGCTCAAAACGGTTTCAAGAGAGGCGGTCATGTCTTTACGCCTTCTCCTTCTTGGCCGCGGTCTTCTTCACCTTCTCGGCAGGCTTGGCCGTTGTCTTAGTCACACGGCCAGACTTGGTGGTGCCGAGGACCTTGGGCTTATCAACAACGGCCGGCGCCTGCTCAAGTTAGTATGCTATGGCCGGAGAGGAAGGAGTCAGATCAATCACATACAGCAGTGGACGCCTTGCGAGGCTTAGCGGTGTTGGCCTTGGGTCTGCCAACGGGCTTCTTAGCGGTGGTGCCGGCGGCGGCCTTCTTGGTGGTCTTGGGCTTCTCGGCCTTGTCGGCCTTGTCGGTCTTCTCAGTCTTCTTGGCAGCGGCCTTCTTGGGGGCAGCAGCCTTGGTGGCAGTCTTCTGTGTGGGGTGTCAGTGAGCAGTTCCTGATCCCAAGATGAATTGGCATGGGTGACTTACCTTAGCAGCAGGCTTGGGGCAGGCTCCTTCTTGGCGAGCTTCACGGGTCCGGACGGGCCTGGCGACAAGACGCGTCAGTCGGCATGCCCCATCAAAAAAAAATGGAGAAAATCGAAAAAGAGAAAAAAAAAAATAAAAACAGTGACACGCATGAGAGTCAGACATGCTCTTCGTGTGGCAGAGAGCATGAAGACCACGACGCGACGATGAGAAGGATAGCATGCGACCGGGAGAACTTACCCTTGGGCTGAAGGAACTCGCCCTTGTCGACACCGGCCTTGATGGCCTTGTTGAACTGGCTGTCGAAGGCGTTGGTGGAGGCGGAAGCAATCTTGTTGTTCGCCTGCACGTATTTCTTGATGGACTGGCGACTAGAAGACGAGTCAGCTACGATCGCGACATGAGGCATGCTCGTGGGCTGCCACGTCGGCGACGACGGGACCCTGCATTGGGCGGGCACGAGGGGCGACGAATCAACTTACCTGCTACCATTGCGCTCTTTCAGCTGTTGCGAAAGAAGTCAGCGACCAGCTTGGGAGGAAACAAGCAGAGGCCCGATGGGGCGTTGGGATGCACGCGGCGTGTAGACGTGTCACGGTCGGGAGGTGCTTCCCGCCCAGCGCCCGTCATCCCAACGCGCCTCGGGAACAGCGTGATCAACTCACATTCAGGATGGCATCCTTGATCATATCTATATCGATCGAATCAGCAGACGTTCGCGACAAAAACCAGCCTCGCGACATTTCGACGCGATGGCGTGGTGGGGGAAGATCAGGGCAAAACATACCACGGTAGGAGGCGTGGACGGGGCCGGCCTTCTTGGCCGAGCCGGTGGAGGAGGCAGTGGTGGACTTCTTGGGAGGCATGGTGGGAGAAAGGGGGAGGGATGGGGTGGGACTTGAGATGGAAGAAAGTAGATACAGGAGATAGATCAGACCACGAAGGGACGAGCGAGTCGAGAAGCACTTTTTTGGGGGGGGGGTGGGTGGTGGAGGATGAAGGATGGAGGATGGAAAGTTCGACGAGGGAAGAAGGGGGTGGGAAGGCCGCGGGGCATGCGGGCTTTATAGGGCAGCGGGAGTTGACACAGGATCACTCTCGTTCTCTCCCAGAATCGAGAGCACAACACGTCAGGTCGCCCTCCTCCTCTTTTTCCCTTTTTTTTTCTTTTCCTTTTCCTTTTTGCCTGGCCTCCGTGAACTGTGTCCATTTCTCTCGGCTGTCTAGTGGCTCGCGAGGATTTTAATTTATTTGTAAACCCGTTCCCAGCTGCCCCGTAGTCCTCCGTCCTCCACGTCCATGCAATCGTGCTGGCCCGAGGCGCTCTACTTTGCTGCTCGTTACGCGCATTGATTCCACCACCGCTGCTGTCGCCGTCCCACGCGTGCGGCCTTCCCCCTCCATCTCCCCCCTTTCCACCACCTTTTGAAGCCTCGCAAAATGTTCCAGGTGCATTCCAAGTGGTGCGGCTAGCGGTCTCTGGTCTTGTGAAATTTTTCCAACCGGGTTGGGGCCTCGAGAATCCCAGCCCTTGTCAACGCTGCACCTCCCGCGTCGTCGTGACGTTTTTCGAGCCCACTCACCCATCTTCACTCCCCGCGCTACACCGACCCCCAATGCCAATTAATTCCCCCAGGGACCGGATATCCCGATCAAAGACACGCTTCAGATTCGGATTCTATGCGGAAACAGGCAAAATATGTAGTGCGATCCCCGAGTTCGGGGGGATGTTTCCATCGACTCCTGATCGCGCCCGTCCGGGCCGCCCGATCAGTAGGTATCCAAGGTAGCGCTGCAGTTCGATCAAGCTTCATGGGCCACCCCCAACTTGCTTGCGCAGTGACGACACCTTGGCCGACTGATTCGACGCCGTCAGAACCCTCCCCCTTACATTCGGCCGGGTCCATTGACCTGGTCGGCGTGGACGGGCTCTGAATGGAAGCGCCATGGCGGACGTGGGTTTCACTTGGGCTTCTCCCCTCGTGCGGAGAGAGGCTCGGGTCACGAGGGGCGCCATGATGTTATGCATTTGACTTTGGGGGGGACTGGCCGTTCCAGCGCAAGGCCTGGTGAAGGGTCCGGGGATGGGGCCTATGATCGCCCGTCCTGCTCGGGGGTTCCAGTGCGCATTGTCTTTCCATCCCTGGTTCGCATCGGTTTGTTTGGCGGTTGGGCGCTTCCGGTTCGACGGACGGGAGTATGAGCCATCGCGCTGGCTGGCGCGCGTGTTCGTCGTGATGCGAAGCTCCCTTGTCCCACCTGGTCTAGCTGGTCGTGATGGGCCGGACCGTCTCTTTCGGTTTCTAAGCTTGGATTTGCTCGTAGTGCGTGGGGGAGTGGGTGGTGGTGAAAGGCGACCGTCCGCTGGCATGGTTGATGCCCGCCGCCGAGTCGTGATAAGAACGTAGTATCCCACCAGCTCTGCCAATGATCCTCGCCTGGAACCAGCCCTCGTGCGCTTTTTTACCCGGCCATCCCATCCCCTGTGGCCATCAATAAACCATATTCCAACCTGGACATGACAGCTCAAATCAACCATGTCGGGCGTGGGGAATGCCCGTCTGTCTAATACCAGAGCCATCGCGGATGGCCTCACATCGACGACACCCAGTTAGGGCCCGTTCGATCTGCGCCACAGGCAGACACTTCAGCTTAAGCTTCTAGTCCGCTCTCTTGCAGTTGCATATCAATCAAATCTCCTCCACTAAAAATGTCTAATCCATCCACCCCTTCACCTATCACTCTCCTCCGATGGTCACAGCTACACCTCCAATATGATATATATAAACCCCGCCCTCACCCGAGTTCTTCTGATCTTTTTCCATACAACGACTCCATCATCCCACCAGAACACCATCCCACCAGACCCAATGGCCTCTCTCGATGATCGAACCTCTACGCCTTCTCCCACCGAGAAATCACCGACAATCACTCGTCGACCTCCATCTCGCTAGTCTCTTGGTGACCGGTCCATCATACACAACCTACTAAGTACATACTAACTATCCGGCAATCGCATGACCCCACCACCACTACCACCACCACCACCACTCCGAGACGCTGCCACCAGCACCGCCATAATCATACCACCTGACCACCTGAAGACGGGGTATATCGACTCGGAAATAGGATGCTCCTGCCGAATGAGTCGGAATCACACCAAGCCTTTGTCTACAGTACTTCTCTTCTCACCGCGTCTGGATCTACAAAGCAACCAAGCCGGCCGCTCGGGTTGAACCCCTGCAGTTGCAACCAAGCGTCAGGCAACCAAGTTTTGCACGGCGCTCGATCCATTTGTTTGCCTTATCTACTTACTTGCTGTAACTACGGAGTACGGAGTAGTTAGATACCCTGTACACCTGGTAACTACTATCTACTACATGCGATACTTTCCAGAACACTCAAAAAATACAACCAAAACAACAACAACCACAACCCAAGTCTGATGGAAAAAAAAAAAAAAAAAAAGGTAACCTATGTAACATGCCATTTTTTGTGCATTCCGCCTTGAAACGCCTCGCCTTGCAAATAAGAATCATAACCAGAAACGCCGTCCGCCTGGATGAGACCGTCGGGACCATACACCGACATTCGGCGCCCGTGTCGATCGGGTTGACTTGGGGGGTCTTGCTTCCCGGTCTACTTCTGGCCCTGTTTCTAGGGCCAGGTCCAACGCATAGTTGCGGTCTTATTACAAAGTAGACCAGCAATCACGGGTGCCCTTCAAACGGCACCCCGAGGCTTCGACTTGGCCTCTTTCTTGGCCTTGGCCTCGTCCTTCTTGCGCTTCTTCTGCTCCTGGAGCTTCTCGTCGTGCTTGCGCTTCAGGTTCGCCTTCTCCGCGTCCGTCTTGGCCACCGGCTTGAAGAAACCCTCCAGGCGGGATTGCTGCGCGGACTTCAGGTTCTTCTGTAGACGGGCGGCACCGTTGCGGATGCGGTCCTCGTTGAACCCCTTGTCCTTGACCAGGTACTCGATCAGGCCGTCAACGTCGGGGGCTTCCCACTTGAAATCGCAGTCTGGGTGGCTGGCGTCCCTCACGTCCGGCTTAAGGAAGAGTTCCCGGGCATCTTGGTACGGCCAGTCATCGGGGATTACGAACTTCTTCTTCGGATCGTTCTCCATAAACTCGATCACCTTCTCCAGGCTCCCATGGTCCCGGATCAGCTTGAGGGCCGTGTTGGGCCCAACCTTGGGGATCGGCTCCAGATAGTCGCAACCGAGCAAGATGCAGAGATCGATGAACTGCGCGAGATTCGTGAGTATGTATGAGATGCCGGGTCGGGGAGGTTTGCGTAATTACCTGGCTGCGGTCCATGCCGAGTCCCTCCAGCGCACGGCTCAGATGGATCTCTTGGATGGGCTCCTTCCTCTGTTCGCTGAAAGTAAGGTGGCGCAGAAGAATAGGTGTCTCAAAGCACAGGGTATCCATATCCTCCGAAGCAGCCGCATACACCTTGCCGGCACGGGCGAGCACGGCGCACTGCGCCTCCGCCTCCGTGGGGGCATCGATGTACGGGATGCCCATCAGCTTCAGAAGCTTTTTACATTCGGCATTGTGTTCCCTGGTGACCCGGACTGTGCGCCGCGAAAACTTCTCCACATCCTCGGCGGTTCCGGTCTCCTTGGCCTCCTCGTGAGCCTCAGTCGCCTCGCCCCGGCGGGCAAAACGCTTGGCCAGTTCTCCGGACTTCAGCTTCGGCGGAGCACCGTCAAATACATACAGGGGCTTGATTCCGTTGTCGACCATGCGCAGTGTACGGTAGAACATACCCATCAAATGCGATGTCGTCTCTCCGGTGTCACTCATGAGCTGCTGACCCTCGGAGCGCACAGCGATGAGGAAACTGTAGATACTCATGGACCTATATGAAGTTAGACACACCGAGCGGGGGTTTTATAATCGGGACAGAAGAAGCGTACGCATCCTACGTTTTCATTATCGTCAGTCCTGTTTGCAACATACATAGGTTCCCCCGGGGGTCGAGGATGGAAGTTCACGTACAATGGCGACCTTTCGGCCGAAGTGGTTCTTGATGTCGCCCGCCTTGACGGCATCGGGGGCGTTCTCTGAAATCACCTGGTACAGGTCTGGTTGTGGTCAGCATGATGAATGAGCTCCTCCGATGAGCTAGCTAGCGGCGTTGCTGTGCGGGGAGGAGGGGGGCATTGATAATGAGACTGGAAGAAACAGCGGACTCACGTTTAATACCCATTGTGAAGGCTTGGTTGCGATCAAATGTCCGTCGAGGTGGAAATGCTTCTCAGCAAGGCTGGTTGTGTGGTTGATTGGAATAAAACAGTCGGCAGGTCCGCTCTGGCTGGGCTTTCTAGCCGCGACCGAGACGCGCCGCAGAAACGCGCCGTGCGTCATCCATTATGGGGCCCGATCGGGTCTAGCGGGGCCCGGCAAGCCGCGTCCCACGTGACGGCCCCGCGGAGGGTTCCCCGGGCCCTCTCACCTAATACTTAGTTAACTAGATAATCAGAGCTGGGCCGGTCAGGCAGCCACAGGCTGCAAGGCTGCAAGGCCGCAAGGCTCCACCGGCACGGCACGTGCACCAGAGGAAACGGCCAGAAGCGGTAAAGCGCCCGGGTTGTTAGTCCGAGACCATCGGGTCTGGCCGTCTCGGTCGAGTAAGCAAATGGCAGCGCCCGCAAAGGCGCCCGCCAGCCAGCAATCTGCCATGCCGGAAGAAAGAGAGAGAGCCAAACCCCTCTCCTCTCCTCTCCTGTCCCTTCCTTCCCCCTCCCTCCCCACACAATCTGAAGTAGCCTTTGGCCTTGCCATGGTGAACATAGCCTCCCCCCCCCCACTCCAGCAAGCTACATGATTCGTCCAAGACCATGAGCTCTTTGGCATCATGAAGCGCAGCCGTCTTCAATTCGAGGCCAATGGTGATGTTTCATCGGCTGCCTCCCCGCAAGGCCCGCCAGGAACCCGCCCGGTCCCTACCCCGGAAACCGACTACCAACAGAGCCCCAGACATGTCCCCAAAATCTCCCGCCGGATACGAGCCTGCACTGAGTGCAAGCGCCATAAGGTTCGCTGTGATCTCAGTGCGGGGGAGTCCATCTGCCAGAGATGTCACCGCATGGGTTTGGAATGCGTCGTGAACAAGAGTCTTCAGACCTTGTTGGACGACGAAACAGAGTGAGTATGCCCCCCCCCCCCTTATGCCCGTGTGGCTCCGGATGGGCGGTGCGGCTAATATGTTGGCTGAACTTTGTAGATGGAAGGCAACCATCGAGCTCGCAATGGCAGACCTGCTCCGCAAGGCTCAACTACCGGATCTCGCATCCTACCAAACCGCTGGCAAGTCATCGGAGACGCCGTCCAAGAAGAGGGACCGCCAGTATTCCACCGTTTCATCAGAGGATACGCCTCTTCCGACGGGTCACGATGCGGGACAAGAGCCCCCCGGGACCAGTGCACAAAGAGTCGCCAATGAATCTGGCGCGTCCGATGTGGCATTCCGACAAGCCTCACAATATGCTCTTGACAGGGAGGAGAACGGAACATCCTCACTGGTCACTGCCCCAATGGGGAGCCTCTACGAAGTGACCCAGTTGAGTGACATCCAAACAAACTCACCGGGGAGACACCATGCTCCCGATCGGGCTCTTGTCAGCGATTTCGTCTCGCGAGGACTAGTAGACATACGCGAAGCAGAGGAGCTGTTCTCGTACTTTGATCACGTACTTAGCCGTTATCTTTGGGACGGTATATTACTGGATCACAAGGACCTTACGTCGGTGCGGAACTCGTCCTCGATGCTCTCCGCCGCCATCCTGGCTGTGACGGCCCTTCACATGCCTCAGAAGGAACGGACCTTCGATACCTGCTACACGGAGTTCGCTAGATTGGCATCCGAGTCAATGCTTGATCGACACCATACCATGGATGACTTGCGTGCTTTGTGTATAGGTGCTTTTTGGCTTGCAGATGTCAGCTGGAAGCTATCTGGGTATGCGGTCCGCATTGCCACAGAGCGCAATTTGCACCAGTCCTACCGAAAAGCCATCCAGGGCTCACCGGAGCATATTGAGCAAGCTAGGCTGTGGTATCTTCTTTATGTACGTTTTCCCGGGTATTGTTGTTGAGGCATGACACTGACATTTTTAGACCCTAGAGCATCACTTTTCTATCGCCTACGGTCGACCACCTATAATCCACGAGGACCAAAGTATCACGAACCACAATACATTTACCCTGAACCCGAACGTGCAGCAAGGCGATCTGCGCCTGCACAGCCAGGTTGATTTATTTATCATTCTTACCCGAATATACCATGCCTTTGGGCCCGATGTTGACCTGGAGGTCCCCGACAGCGAATTCTCAACTATCGAGAAATTCGACACCGATCTCGATAACTGGCGGTCTGCCTGGTATCCTCGCTTAGGTATAGTTGATTACCCGTTCAAACCACTCGGTCGGCGTCCTGGCTAACATTGGACACAGTTGGGAGTCGATATGTTGGCGCGTATCCGTATAGAGCCGTCCACCTGCACTATCACTTTTCTCGCCTACAGTTAAACTCGGTTGCTTTGCGGACTTACCACTCTTCTATCTCTACGCGCCCTATGTCCTCTGAGCGCAAGAAGCGAGCCAACCTGGCTATTCAGTCCGCCATCGATACGCTTTTGGTCGTTTTGGATGAGCCCGATATCCAGAGGGCTTTGGTCGGTGTTCCATTGTACCTGCACAGCATGATCACCTTTGCCGCTGTTTTCCTGTTGAAGATCGCAGCCAAGGGCTGCTCAATCAACACCCCCGGTGGCCAGCACAACTCGATTGCGTCTGCCGGCCTACAGATCAACGTCATGTACGTGCGCGTGCTGGTGGGGCGGATTGTCGAGATGATGGTTTCCTGCAGCAAGCGCGCCAGCGAGCATCATCTGAGTCACCATATAGCGCGTGGCCTAAAGAAGATGCTGACAGGGCTCGAAGAATGGGAGAAAAGGAGTTCCGGCAACCAGCAATCGCTTGGACACGGCTCCAGCGACAACCCGTCCATGTTCAAACCCATTATCATCCCCGGCGCCCAGTCCCTGGGCGAAGGCGATACCATTCTCAACCATCCCCCCCCAATGTTAGGAGTAGCGCCTCTGTCTGCCGAGAGGGGCAATGGCTTTGATGCGGAAGCAGCGCAGGGGAAACAGCAGCCCGGACTCTCCGAAGGCTCCGCCGACCCTATGATGGCCGATCTTTGGGGATTTGACGAGGACTACTTTCCGACAGGGGTTTTCGATTTCCTTCAGTCTCAAATGCCTGCTTGATGCATGGCCGGCTTCTCCTCTCCATGGAGCGTTTGTGGGTGATGCAGATATCGGACAAATGAAGAGATTCACGCCGAACGACCGCTCTCCTCACATAATAATACGAGCGAATACCGGGGCTTCTGACACCGGGCGGGAATCATCCCGGGGCACTTCATTGAGGGTCGACGCAGGCCTGGGTCGTCGACTGGCAGTTGGTACATTGATGGCTCCATCTTGGTCAACTCCTTGCAATCGCCCGATGAAGAAATTAATCCAGAAGAGCTTCTTGCGACAGGGGGGGGGGGGATAGTACAATAGAGGTGGCCATGTCTTGTCCCCACCTGCTGAGCTTGGGGGCTCCCAAGACACCATCGACGAAGATATGTGCAGTTATATAAATAATGAGAAATGCCAGAGCAATACGGGAATTCACCATCAAGTCATCGTCTTTCCAGTGAAACGTAGGGTCTGGAATTAACATGGGCATTGATTGGCATTGGGCCGCCTCGCCGACGGAACGGGGAGGGGGAAGGTTATCCGAGGTCGGCGGCGGAAGAGAGAGGCGCTGCTGTCGTCATATCCTCATATAAAGCAGAGGAAGGGGGTTGGGTTCCATTGCCGTGATCTTGTTGCGCAAATCTTGATCCATGATCCAGAACCATCACCGACAGCCGATCCGACGGATTGCCGAGGTCCACCGCCGCCTCCGTGCCTGGAATCCTCCCCGCAAGTTGCAACCCTCCCCCCCCAAAGCGCCCTTGCCTCCCCATCCATTCTCGAGTGTCGCAAGCCAGGAGTCGGCTCTCCCACAATACTACCAACGCACAACACTGTCCATTCGCATCGCAGATTGCTTTCCTCCATCATGAACCCTTCCGTCCTCCGCACGGCGTCACGCCACCTCCGCCCGGCCACCCGCCTTCACAAAGCGCCCGCAGCAGCTTCGCGCAGCCCCCCCATCCGTGGGTATGCGACTGCTTTCAACTGGGAAGACCCTCTAGCGGCGTCCGAACTATACACACAAGAGGAATTGGCCATTCAAGACGTCGCCAGGCAGTATTGCCAGGATCAATTGCTACCCCGCGTTCTAGGTATGCCGCCGTCCTAAGGTGGCGGTCCGAATGGAGATGCGATGACCATTGTGGCTGACCCGCGTGCGACTGATAGATGCCTACCGGAACGAAGACTATGACCGCCGGATCCTGACCGAGATGGGCGAGCTGGGCCTCCTCGGCGCCAATATCGAGGGGTACGGTTGCGCCGGAGCCAGCACTGTGGCGTCCGGACTGATCACGAAGGAAGTCGAGCGCGTGGATTCAGGATACCGGTCGGGCATGTCCGTGCAAAGTTCGCTGGCCATGACGGCCATCCACGACTTCGGCACCCAGGAGCTCAAGGACAGACTGCTTCCGGACCTGGCGAAGGGGAAACTGGCAGGATGCTTTGGCCTCACTGAGCCCAATCACGGCTCCGACCCCGGTTCAATGGAGACCGTTGCGCGCGAGCACCCGACCAAGAAGGGATACTATCTGCTGTCGGGCACCAAGACCTGGATCACCAACTCCCCGATCTCCGATGTCTTCATCGTATGGGCTAAGCTGCAGAGCACGGGCAAGATCCGGGGGTTTGCGGTGGAGCGCAGCCAATGCCCGTCAGGCACGCTGGAGACTCCTGCCATCAAGAACAAGACCGCTCTCCGGGCTTCCATCACGGGTATGATCCAGATGGACGACTGCCCCGTCCCGGTGGAGAACATGTTCCCCGACGTCACGGGCCTCGTTGGCCCCTTCACCTGCCTTAACAGCGCTCGCCTGGGCATTGCCTTTGGAACGATGGGCGCGCTCGAGGACTGCCTGAGCCGGGCGCGGACCTACGCCCTGGAGCGCAAGCAATTCCAGGGTAACCCATTGGCAAAGTACCAACTGATCCAGAAGAAGCTGGCCGACGCCGCCACGGACGCCGCGTACGGCACGTTGGCCGCGACGCAGGTTGCCCGGCTCAAGGATGCCGGGAAGTGCACCCCACAGATGATCTCCATGGTCAAGAGACAGAACTGTGATCGGGCCCTGGCGAACGCTCGGGTGTATGTATCTCCTTTTATCTGCAAGACAGCACGCTAACCTGGCCCGTTTTCTCATCCCGCAGTCTCCAGGAAGTGTTCGGCGGCAATGCAGCCAGCGACGAGTACCATATCGCCCGACATGTCGCCAACCTGTTCGTCGTGCAGACATACGAGGGTCAGAGCGATATCCACGGTAAGTGTTGTTCATTCACCCACAACCCCCCTCCCCTTGTCTTGTGAAGTTCAAGTCTAACCCCCGGATTCAAATCAGCCCTGATCCTCGGCCGCGCCATCACCGGCGTCCAGGCATTTTTCTAAGCAGCCGATCTCTAGATATATCATCCCGGTGTTCAGTCCACCTGATGACGCGCCATCACATCACGGCATGTGCATAAGTATATATACTACACACTTCCTGATAAACCCTCATCCGCGGTCAGACTACAATTACCTCCGTCTTGCTAGGAACATGACCCCCATATCCACCTGCAGAATCAACCCAGTAACAGTAGCAGTAGCAGTAGCAGCAGCAGTAGCAGTAGCAGACAATACTCGACTCTTCCAGAACCGGCCACACACCTGATATCACGTGCCACCGAGGCCTGCGCCACGTGGCAAGCGTGGTGGTTCTTACTCAGCGTAATTTACCAGTACGGGCGTCATGTCATCGCCCGGCCTTTCCTTTCGCCTCGGCGGCGGGACTGGATGAGTCAATTTCGGGCTGGAAAGACCTGAAAGAATCAATCATGGTTATGAATATTATCATTGTCATTGTGATTCTTGTTGCTATTGGTAGTTTGCTATCACCCCAGACCACAGGAACTGTTAAAGAACAATAATGACTTTCAGTTACAAAGGACAGAGACAGAGACAGACAGACAGACAGACAGAGAGAGGGGCAGAGTCTTATCAAGTGGGGGGAGGGATAATAAACCCCCCCCCTCCTCCCCCCTCCTCCCCCCTCCCTGGAACCCTCTTTTCGAGGCTTAGTCGTCGCCACTGCCGTGACCGATTGAAGATTCAGTGGGTGGCACAGACACTATTATATGATCTAGATAGATTAAAAAGATTTAGATTATTATCGTTGTTGTTATTAAGAATTTTTCGTGGGGGTTGAAGTGGCGTGGTATGGTGTAGATGCTAGATATAAGGCCCAGGGTCGGAGGGTAGTGTCTACCTTGTACCTTGGAGAACGACGGGGTTAGAAGTTGTTGTAATGGAAGAAGTGGGATGGGGTCTACTGTCTTCTTCCTCTATCTACCTACAGTACTATTCCCACCACCACTACTGTAGCAATCGCATCAACCATCAACCATCAAATCCAGAAGGGTTGGGATGACGTGCAGTTAGAATACCGGGTAAATTACAGGGTTTGTGCCTCAGGCATCAAGAGGGGAGAAGAAAAAAAAAGTCAGACAAGAAAAAAAACAAAAGGGCTCCAGTTTCTTGAGGATGACGGCCCAGTCATCAGGCCGAACCAGCCTCGGAAATGTGGCCACCACCGGGGGGGCGGGCTGCGTTGTCGTATCGGCATCGCCGCCCGACGGAGGGAGAGAATAATAATGCAGTGGCTGGGAGGGGAGAGGGGATGTGGCGCATGTTCGGTAATACCCGGTACGAGGAAAAGAGTGGAATAATACGGGGTCAGGCGTTTCCTCTCGCTCGTGCCCGTCCACATCTCTCGCTCTTTCTCTCTTCTCCTTCCCTCTCCTTCCTCTCCTCTCCTCTCCTCCTCTTCTCCTCTTTTCGACGTAATAATCATCACCGCTCCTGGTAAGTCTCTCTTCACCCTCTCAACTTATCCTCCACCTTCCCTCCCCCCCCCCCCCTACCCTATTCCTTCTTCATACTAGTTAGTTAGTCCCTTCCCTTCTGTTCCCTCGCCTAAACTCACCCCTCCGCCTTCCTCGTCTCCCTCCCACTCTTCCTCCTCCATAACTTGACCTGACCTGACTGACCCGGGCTCGTGCTGTGCAGATTTCCACCCTCAACTTCGATACCGCTCGCTTGTCTTCAATCTTCCCTTCCCCTTCCCCTCCCCACACCACCTACACCATGGCTCTCAAGAGAATTAACAAGGAACTCACTGACCTCGGCCGGTAAGCGCTGCTTCATCCCCTCCCTGCTGGGCTGTTGCCGCCTGGTGGTGGTGGTGGTGGCACCCCCACCAACCGCCGCGGGGTCTTCCGCCAAACAGCGCAGCGCCTCTGCATATCTTATATTAAATTATCTATATGCATAATATGCATATACATATCGAGCGAGAGAGAGAGAACGACGCTAACGTGATGTTCGCCGAACAGTGACCCGCCCTCTTCCTGCTCTGCTGGTCCTTCGGGAGATGATCTGGTATGACTGAATCCCTCGTTCCTCGCGGTCGCTTCGCCGCTCTGCCGACCGCCGCGGGGCTGCCCGATGCAGATCGGCGCGACCACCCGCCTGCGACCGCATGCCATCGTCCAGAAAGCCAATACTGACCGGTTGTCTTCTTTTGCACAGTTCCACTGGCAAGCTACCATCATGGGTCCTGTGAGTTACCCCCCCTGCCTGGAAGTTTCCGGTGGCGCGCTCCGGTCACTCTCCCTTCTTTGTCCGCTGGACAAAGAGGATCGATCCTGTGTCACCACATAACGGGCAGACAGCAGACTGCGCCCGTTTTATTTTCGAGCCTCGATCATAGTGCTGACCCGATCTCTACCAGGGTGACTCTCCATACTCGGGAGGTGTTTTCTTCCTGAACATCCACTTCCCCACCGACTACCCGTTCAAGCCCCCGAAGGTCAACTTTACCACCCGGATCTACCACCCCAACATCAACTCGAATGGCAGCATCTGCCTGGACATCCTCAGGGACCAGTGGAGTCCTGCTCTCACAATCTCCAAGGGTTCGTGGCCCCTCCCGCCCCTCTCCCTTGTGTCCCGGCGACCCCCGCTAACCCAGTCCCTGCAGTCCTGCTGTCGATCTGCTCGATGCTCACAGACCCCAACCCGGACGACCCGTTGGTCCCGGAAATCGCCCACGTGTACAAGACGGACCGTCCCCGGTACGAGGCGACCGCGCGTGAATGGACTCGCAAATATGCCATCTGATCTTCGCAATTCAAGTTCCCACGGCCACCTTGGTCTTCCCAATCCGCTTCTGCGTCTTCTTTCGCTCCGTTAGATCAGATCCCGAAGCCTGGCGTACCGTGATCGTAGATCCTTTCCTTGTTTTCTCCGTGAACTATTTGCGTGTCTCTTTTGAAATTCCGCGTTTACCCCCCTTATTTGTCGCTTTCTCCTTTTGGCGGGAAATGTCATATCCAACGATCATTATGACCAACTTCTCATTATGCATTCATGGCATTTTTTATTTTACTCACTGGAGTCGGATAAATGTTACCTGATGAACATAACTTCCCCAGGAAGCGCGTGGTTTCGAATTTTTCTTCGGGTTGGTTGGGGTTGGGGTTGGGGGTGGAGGGGGAGATGGATGTTGCTGGTCCGGTCGCGAGGCTTGGCCGGAGGTTGGTGCAATGGTTGGCGAGCGTGCATGGAGAAGGGGGTGAGGAGAGGCCAGGGCCGTCCCTGTTCTGATTGATGATAACGGCGATGCTGCTGGTGGTGGTGATGCTGCGTGCTTGTATCCAGATCCAGATAGGGTTTCTCGAGCAACACCAATTCAGCCCAGTGGATCGGATCGGTTTCTGTGTAGTGAATGCGTACGTCTACTGTGTAGGTGTAACCCGAAGGAATCTTGGCGTCTGGTTTACGGACATATCAACTTTGTATTATGTGGGGAGAGTTGACTCGGACTGGCGGTGTATGATGCATGTTCCCGGCTCATGCTTCTTCCCCCTCGAGATTCAGGCACACGCGACCTCTTCCCTGTCCCAGATCCCTAGTACGTAGTCACTGGGCACCCGCAAACCGGACGGATTCATTGAGACCAGTCGAATACAATTAACGGATATCCAAGAGTGGAAACCCCAGTAGCATGTATAACATACTCCACAGTCCTCTGTAAAAGTACTACCGGCATGATGGAAGAACATCCGGAATAGAGATGATAGAGAGTTAATAGTATAGTATAGTATAGTATAGTATAGTATAATGTAGTATATAAAATAATGCCAGATGAAAACACACAAAACAACCAACCCGCAGATAAAAGAACAAGGTTAAAACGCCGGATTAATGCTTGTCAAATGTCCAATGTCCAATGTAAAGAAACATGCCGCACATACATATATGCAATATGACTGACTGACTGACTGACTGACTGACTGTCGGATGATTGGCAGATGGCCCAACACAACTTGAAGGCCGATCGGGTGGGGTAGATTATCACAAGTATATACGGTGAATGTAGAAGAGGTTGAAGAGTTAGGTAGAAGAGGGAGAGGAAGAAGTGAGGAAGGTAGATGGGTCCGAGATGGAAAACGGATCGTCCAGACCAGAGGTTGCCTCTAGGCCACCTGGCTGGCGCCCCGGCGACTGCTGACTTTCGACGCCGCTTTGGAGGGCGCAATGCTGCCGCCGCTGCCGCCCCCACTGGCCTTCATCGTCCGCTGAGAGGCCTTGGAGACGTTGGTGGAGACCTGGCTGACGCTGTCACTGGGCTTGACGGGCTCGTCGAACTTGCTCGACTGCTTGGACACCCGCGACGCGGGCTTGGAGGCATGCGACCGGTGAGAATAGGAGGATCGGCGGGAGTCATCGACTTGGCTGATCGAGTCATCGGGGGTGACGTGGGTTTGAACGTCGAAATCGGCGATGCTCTCGGGGAGGGGGATCCCGCGAGCGGAGACTCCCGATTTGGCACCGCTGCGCTGGGAAGCGGCAAAAGAGGCAATGGACTCCTCGGTGAGAGGGACCTGGCGAGCAGTGCGGGCCGAAGAGGCTGTGCTGCCCGCCTGGGATCGGGTCACGGTGTGGGAGGAGTGGTGAGACGAATGATGGGAGCTGTGGTGCGACTCTTGGTAGGCGGCCTTGGAGGGTCGGGCGGTGGAGGCAGAGTAGACACTGCCGCCGTCCACCCCTCGCGGCTTGTCCACAAAGCTGCTGATCAGGGTGCTCTGGTAGCCCCGCGAGTCGGCCGGCGGGGCGTACTCGATCGCCCGCAGGGGCATGTCCTTGGTGGAGTACACGCTTCCCTCGGATGCCCGGCGGCCGTTCTCGTCGAGATAGACACTGCCGCCGCTGCCACGCGGGACGAACTCGGTGCCCTCGTAGATGGTGCTCGCACGGGGGTTCTTCGAGGTCACACTGCGAGTGAGGCTGGGGCGCACTTCGGATCGAGAAGAATAGACACTGCGCGGGGGAGGAGCCTCGATGGCCTGGAACCCAGGATACTCCTGGACTTGGGATGGGGCCTGGGACGGGGAGATCAATTGGGCGAAGTCCCGAGGAGAATACTGGGGGGGAGGGGTCGTGGTCTCGGGCGTTTCGTCGCTCTTGGTCATGGCATATGCGAGTGCTGCACCCGCGGCGGCGCCAATCAGGGTGCCAACAATGGTCTTGGCCGTCTTGCCATCGTCGGCCTTCTGGGTCGTGGTATGCGTGGTGTGATGCACGATGTATGTCGGGGACGGAACCTGTTGGATCTCGCGAGTCACCACGGTGGGAGCCCGTTGGATCTCACGGGTGACCGAGGATGGCGCGCGCTCATATTGGGGTCTCTCAGCCGCGGTCGTGGCCTTGGAAACGTAAGACCTGGCCTCAGACCTGGGAGGCGCAATACTCTCGGACCGGACAGAGGTGGCTCTGCTGCTGGCCTTTGACACCACCGAGCCGTTTTCCAGCAAGCCCAGAGCGGGCCTGCTGACTTCGGACTTCACCACAGACCTGACTTCGGATTTGACCTCTGACCGGGCAGGGGAGGGGCTGGGGCGATATACCGCCTCGATGCTGTTGCCGTCAAAGTCAACAACGGCGGCGCTGTAGTAACCAGAGTCCGAGTCACGCTCCTTGGGCTCGCCATGGATTTTCCCACCGGCCTTGAGGGCGCTGATGAAGAAGGCGCTCACGGCATCCTTGGAGTTGGCGGGGAAGGCGACATGGGCGGCACCTGCGGGGGCGCTGGAAGGTCGCAATCAGTCGTCGTCCCAGATGTAGACAGACAGTGGTGCAGATAACCCACTCACCCTGGTTTTTGCTCGGTTATCCAGAAATCTGCGGGCTCCCCGGTCTTCTGGCCAAAGCCAATGTAGTCGTCATGGCGGCCAATGAACTGGTAGCCGAGTGGTTGTAGGCAGGAAAGGAAGAATGATGTGGAGGTGGGGAGGTGGGCAACAGTCAGGGTCAGATGGGAGACAGGCATGACTGGAGGGGGACTCGCTGAGTAGAGCCCTCGGCGAGTTGTGGCGGAAGTAGATGTGATCAAGGAGATGCAGAGGAGGGGAGGTACAGAAGAAGATATGTAGGAGATCTCCGATGGACAGATATAGATCTACCAGCGAGACAGATCGGAAAGTCGATTGCAGAGTAAAAGCGAGTAAGAGACCGGGAAGGATATATATATATACATGGGCTTTGGAGGGACAGGAGACCATGGTATCACGAGAGGGATGGAGCCAGCCAGGCGAGACGCAAGACTAGCACGTCAAGGCAAGATGCAGGCCGGGCTTCAGGACTCAGGAGCATCCCCCCCGAAATGCCCAACTGGGATCCAATCACAAGCGGTCAGGAGCTGACGCGAGACCAAGCCCATCACGAGAAGAAGACCAGTTGTTCCAATCAGGGAGCGCTGGACCGGTTATCGCAGGAAGTCGTTGCATAGACTCGCACGGCATCCGAACGATGCCCAGTATCCACGAGGCATCAACCTCGTCCGGACTCTGCAGGCTGCTGCCAAAGAGGATAGGCTCCTGGCCCCCCTATCGCAAGGCCGCCACCCCTCTCGGAAGTTGGACGACCCATGATGCTACACTTTCGGTGAAGCTAGCAACGAGGGGCATGAAGGCACAGGATCATGGATGGCCGCCAGGTCATCGTGGGGAAGAGCCGACGGACGGTGCTGTAGGTGGCCCTGTCCACGGCGGACGGGGCGCCTATCAGGAAACGGTGGGGACCCAGCAGGAGCCAAGCGCAAACGACAGCATCATGTCAAAAAGGGAACTTGGGTGAGGCGAGAGGGTCTCGGACGAGGTGGATGACGGGGATTGGTAGCAGTGGAGATGACAGTTACCAAACGAGAGAGACGCTGAAACCGCGGCAGGTGCGTAGTGCAGAATAGCCCAGTCGTAGCTACGGAGTACGGATTCCCTTTCACGACACCCACCCAGTTGACTTTTTCTTCCCTGAAGTCTGAATTCTTGCCAGGCCGGATTTCTCTTGGGGGTCACCAATCAAGAGGGAACAACGAATCGTAGGCGGGCATGTCAGCAAGCAACCGTGTTAGGGGCCACTGAGGGGCGGGCTGCTTGACCGATGGGATGTTTCGTTCCTGCTTCGGGCACATCTGCTGCTGCTAGTCGCCGGACGGTGCGATCTGACCGCCAGAGTGGCCTCCATTCCGGCGACGCTGCGGCGTGGATCAGCCCCCCTCCCCCCCCCGGCGAGGAAGCAGACAGTGGCATCTAGAACCGGAGGACGAGGTCATTTCGGGACGAACGGAGAAAGGAGGCGAACCCCCTGAACCGGGTGGGTGGGCACTCATCCTGGGTATCTAGTATTCTTCTCTCTTTTTTTTTTCCCCCGAGGCGGAGGAGGGAGGAGGGAACGGTCCCCTTCCTGGGAGGTTGCTGATCGTCCGCCAGCAGCAGCACCATGACGTCCGACTCATGCTCAAGGTAGCATCATCATCATTCATCATTGTAGCAATGGCCGATGCCCGGCGCCTTTGTCGCAAGGAACAGTTCGAGCATGAAGCCCGAACGGCCAGTAGATCGATAGTAGCACGGAGTAATTGCCTGGGTGAAGCCGAGATCCACCTGCTGCGATGGCTGCATGCCACGTCGAACAGGAGTCTCCATCCCCAGCCACCGGCACCACCCGATTGACTGTGGTGGCCTCCATCAAGCTGCAACAGGGTTACTGCGGAAGGAAGACCCCACCGAGAGACCCTGGGTGAGTCAGAGTGGCATGTAGTGGCATGTAAAGGGTACAGCGTCTGGCAGCCTGGGACAGAGGGGATGGAAGAACCCGAGACGAAGGACGAGAAAGAGAGAAAGAGAGAAAGAGAGAAAGAGAGGAAGAGAGGAAGAGAGAAAGGAAGACGGCGAGAGAATTTGGCCGCCCTTCACATAATCAATCCCCCAACAGGGAAGGAACGACCCATCTGGACGGCGGGCCTCAGGCATACCAGGTCCATGCGCGTCTTTCTGTTCTGCTGGAACTGCCTTGGAGGGTTCTATCGAGGTAACTAACTATTCAAGGTACGGAGCACTCCCCCCCAATTCCCCCCAATTCCCACAATCGTCGCGATGGTGATGATAATACGGTCTGCCCCAGACCCTCACCGAGTCTCATTGGGTCACCAATGATTGAGTTCTCACGCAATGGCCACCGGATCCCCCCCCTCCTCTGTACCTGACTAGATAGAGACCGGTGACCACTGACCAGCGTCCACCCTCTACAGACGACTACTCTACGGGACCATCCAATGGGTCTCCTACACTAGCGGTCGTGGGGACCGACCCGCTGGGCAAGGGGAAAAGGCGTCGTGAAACTACCTCGACAGCTCGTTTCCAAGCCATCCGGAACAGTTCGGTGTCCATTATGTATCTGGTGTATTTGCATGTATATATATATATATTATATATAATATATATATATATATATATGATTGCCCGACAATGCAAGGCTGCGACACTATACAACACCCTGTCAGGCATTGCAGATCACCCCCCCACCCGAAGGTAGGAAGGGGCCCGAAACCTCGTCGAGTCAATCAGACTGGCAGGACTCAAAGACAGAGGCATTTGGATCTCTCAAGGATCTGCACAGGCAACCTGTGCAGAGATCCCGTGGCGGCCCGCCGAAAGGGGGCTGCCAGAGAGGCCCAGGGCCCCGGTGGTGTGATCTTTGTTTTGATTTATCGCATCGAGCAATCGGACGGCGACCGCGACGCGCAGCGCGAGAAAGACACGAAAACTCATCAAGACGCGCAGAGAACAGCAAGCGATGCAAACCCATCGCGGCAGAGAGAAGGCGACGACGCGTGGAAAACAGATCCGGCCCCATTTCAGGTTCCGCTTCTCACCCTTCTCGACCGTGCCCGCGAATGGATCGGCGCAAGGAAATTCGTCACCTCGTCAAGTTTTTGGCCGTTTCTCGGGAGCGGGAAAGGAGCGTCAGCCGCACCGCGCTCATACGATGTCCCAGACCTCCTCCGCGGCATGGCAGAACTTGCTGCACGCGACACTGGCACTCAGACTGTAGTTGCTGATACTGATCGTGTCGTCCTTGAAGGAGTCGGCAAAGTCATCGTGACCCTTGGCCATGGCGCCGACGAAGATGCAGCAGCTCTCCTTGGGGCCCAGCGACTCGATGTAGTCCCGGGTGCGCACCACCGGGGCCTCGAAACTGAGGGTCACCTTCCGGCAGTTGGGGGGCAGGTGGTCGGTGATGGGGTTCTTGATGACCTTCAGGAGCTTCTCCTGGGAGTTGGTGGACCGGATGGAGAGGCGGTGGAGGAGCTGGACCATCAGACCCGCGAACCGCTTGAAGGTACGGGGAATGCGGACGGTGGGGTTCACCTCGATCAAGACTCCCTTGGCGGTGTGGATGAAGATTTGCAACTTGCCGGCCTTGTTGACGGGGGAGTCAAGCAGGGTGAGAAGGCACTATCATTGGAGAGTCATCAGCAACATGGCCCCGGGCTTGGGGGAGGCAGCCAAGCCAACTCACCTGATGTGTGATATCGGGACGAGCCTCGCTGATGTCCCGGTTCATCTTGCGCATGACACCGATGTGCTCATCGCTGTTGAGCAGGGAGTACTTCTCGTCGCGTCCCGATCCGTTGCGCCCGCTGGAAGCCCGGTAGGTTTCCAGACTGGCATGGGAGAGGACGACGATCAGACGCTGAGTCTCCTTGTCGTGGACGGGGATGGGCACATGCTGCTCTGCGACGAGCTGCGGGAGTTCGGGAGGCGGGCAAGACTGCGTCCCTGAGGGTTGAGTCGGGTCAGCAACCATTCCTGGTGTCGGACGGTGGAATGTGGAGTAGAGCGGGGAGATGTGGAGGGAGGGGGGGGGACCAGTCGGCGTCTCCAAAAAAGAACAACACAACAAGGGTAGCTCTGGCAGTTATGTGGCAGGAACACAGTGGCTCGGGCAATCAGGCAGGAGTGGGGGAGGGGGAGAAGAAGTGAATAGGCAAGAAGGATGGCAGGAAAGACAAAGAATGTTGATCTCCCGCGGTGCTAGAGATAAGGAAAGGAAGAAAGTTAAAGCGGGGGGGGGAGTGTGATGGTGATGATGGTGATGGATATGCAGGTGATGGTAGATGCCCCGAGAGGGAAAGCTCCAAGCCGCGCGGGAAGTTTGACAGGGGGATTGGGGGATTGGAATGGATATGAGGGCATCGACCGGGCAGAGGAGAAAAACAGCAGACTGGCTGGTAGTTCTAATTGGGCCTGGGAGCCTGGGGGTCGGGGGAATCGGGAGGATCGGGGGAAGGAAGAAGGGCATCTCGAGGGATGGCTGCACACATACTGGCTCTCTTTCTCTTCCCGGCAATCTGGAGAGGGTCCGACATGGTGACTTTTGGGATGTGTGGATGGGTGGTGGACCGTGGAGGTGGATGGTGGAAGACGGAGAGGAAAAGAAGAATCGAGGAGGAGCAGGATGCGCCGTCGGGGGGTTTTATAAATTGATTTGAGACTGTCGCAGTAGTAGGAGCAGCAGCAGCAGCAGCAGCAATATCAGCGGGTTCTCCACCGTTCCGTGCAATTCTCTCACGTTATCCCTAGCTGCTTGACCCCGGGAGATGAGGATGGAGGAAGAATAAGTCCGACGAGGGTGCTAGACACCACTAGACAGGGCACGATCCCTGTGCAAAAGTCCCCGAGCCCGAGATGCCCGAGATGCGATTGGGAGACCAGGCGGATGGGAGGGGGGGTCCGGGATTGGACAGAAGAGCAATTGAAAGCTTGACTGAGTATTCTTGCAGGGAAGAAAAACGAACGAAGAGGAAGGGGGAAGAGAGACAGAGAGAGAGAGAGAGAGAGAGAGAGAGGGAGAGGGAGAGGGGGGTTGGGTTTGTTCGGGATGGAAAAACGAGGAGGAAAAAAAAAAAGAGGAAGAAGAAGGACGAGAGAGTTTGCGGTTCCCGCCCCAATCGGGTCTGGCCAGGACGGCTGCCGGGGACAATAATGTACGTACAGTATTTCAGCTTCGACTTCTCCAGTACCTTATTATTAGTCTTTTTACTTCTGAACAATTCCCAATTACTCCGTTTCTCATGCATCCCGGTATTTAAGTATAGATACAAAATACTTCCCAGCTTCGGCTGCTCAGCTCATATCTGATCAGCAGCATTCATTACCTTCGGCCGGCGCATTCCCTCTCCAGCCGATCATTGGCCTGCCACGGGCCTTTCTGCTTTCTTCAGTCCGGGTTGGCTCCTGTCAGCCTTGCCCACCAGCCCAGCCGGATGACTAGTGAGGGCCTAAAGCACCCCGACACATGGTGCCCTTCCTTCGAGGTCGCCGTATTCGGATACGATCATGGTTCATGGATGCCTACCTACATACATGCATGTCCCGATCGAGCTTCTTACCTCCTCCTCCTCCTCCTCCTCCTCCTGATCTCCCCCCCCCTCATCGTCTCATTTTCTCGTTCAATTCTTCCTCTTGCTCGCTCTTCCTTGATTTTTTGATCTTTACTAGTGAAGATCTCCGCTCTCCTGGTCCTGCCTGGCCCTTCTTCGACGGAAGACGCCTCGTACACAATGCCTTGAGGTGTGACCACCGCCGTCGCACAGGCGTGACTGCCGGGCCACTGACTGCCCACGACCGCCTCCCCCCATCTACATCATGTCCCGCCCTCCGTTGCGCAAGACGCTCCGCACAGCGGCATCTAGCCAGATTGGATAGTGGCCGGACGCGATCTGGTCGTTGCGGTTCGGGAGGGGGGCGCGGCGGATAACCATATCCTACAGTCGGGTTCGATCTATCTACGGAGTCCGGAGTGTACAGACTACAGAGGGAGGTCCTCGGGGATACTCTCTCCCCTCTTGCAGGTACGAACCCAGCTTGGTGGGGTAGCCACCATCCCGGCTCAGCTCCTCACCCGGGGATCCCTACCCACGGGAGCGATAGGCTATCGGATCGTCCTGACCGGGGGAGGAAGGGAAGGGGAAAGAAGCAAAAACGGTAGCGGATGATGCGCGTCCCTCCGATCGGCTGCTTCGACCCGGCTGTCAGTGCCAGTGGTGGTCGGGGAGGAGGAATGCTGGGGATGGATGATGGCCGGGTCGGCGGAACGCGTTCCTGACCCTTGCTGGACCTGTTTTGGCGTGATGGCATTGATACATCATGCATACATCAGTCAGTCGTACCGTGTACGCAGTAGAACGACCCCATGGGGTGTGCACACGAGACAACTGTGAGGGGACTGGGAACTGCCCAAGAACGGTTAACACCGGACCCAAGAGGGGAGGGGGGAAGATGCAGGCAGATCAAGATCATCCAGAGCCCTGTGTAGCCCGTCACATCCAATCCCGGAACAAAGCTGAGCAATCGCCATGCAAGTCAATGTGCGGGCAGTGCCATCGGTGCCATGTCGACATGGCACTGCCTAGTAAGGCACCCCCATCGCATCGCCCAGCAAGGGCGAGGCTGGGGGGGGGGATAGGCTGTGGATGATCTGTGAATTTGCCTCCCTCGCCCTGTCGCCCTCTCGCCAGTGAGTGATGTATGCGCTGGTCCGGAAAGAGCCAACGGGGCGATCACCATTCCACAGTAGCACTGTATGTAGACTGTAGAGGAGAGGAGTGCTGCCACCTCAGCGGGCATCGACCTGTCTGTCCGTAGCCACCTACTTACGGTATACGTAGTCTATTCCGTACCTACTACTGACTGTAGCAGTAGTAGTAACACTACCACTACTGGGGCAGTGTGTTGCACCATGGAGAGATGTGGTTGGCTGGGGGCACCAGATTTCAGGAGGCGAAGGGCGGTTGCTTATACTAAGAGCAGTCGCAGCCAGTGAGGGAAGAGGGTGAGAAATCCGAGGGGATTTATCGTCGTCTGCTGCAGTGTTCCACACGTATCACCCGCACGCAATTGGGTTGGTTCGTGAGCCTTTCCCATCCCGAGACGCCACAGTGGGCTTTCTCTGTGCTCATCCGCGAATCCGTTGCGGCGGTAGGTTTAAATTGGGGTCGGGGTCGGAGTCAGAGTCATCGTCATCGTATTTTAATGACTCTTTTTTTTTTTTTCTTTTCTTCCATGAGGGAGAGACTCCGAACGACCAGACAGATCCGAGCTGACCGGTGTGTATATTTGAGTGGGTGTGGGTGTGGATATATGAGAGATAGAGAAGAGAGACATACAGAGAGAGACAGGCAGACCGAGACAGATACAGATACGGAGAAGACAAAACAAACAAACAGACAGGGTGAAGAAAGAGAAAGTTGAAAGTGTGAGTGAGTGAGTGAGGAAGTGAGTGTGTGTTGATCTGTCTGAGGTATCTGCAAGTCTCTCTCGAGTACAACAGATATATACAGAGGATCAGAAGAAGACAAAGACAAAGACAAAGAAGAAGAGTGAGTTGTGCAGACAGACAGTTGAAGACAGAGAGCAATATGACTGAATGTGGCCTAGCTCGGATCCCTCACGCGTTTCTCCCGTCGATCAGCGACCGCCGCTCCTCATCCGTTCATAATTTCCTGGCATTCCGTCAGGCAGCTCATTCCATCATCGTTCAATCCCTCCCTCCCTGCTTCTCCCTTCTTTCTTCCTCCCCCCCCCCCCCCCCCCCAATCCCATCCCCAGAGAAACAAACACTCCTTCTCTCCTCATCCTACCGCCATAGATGTTCTGCCTCGCTTGAATGCCTCTTTTACATTAGACAGGGAGATGCCGTGGACTGTGACAAATTCATTCAAGCGGTACGTGTGCTGATGCCCCTGCCCTCTCCTATCCCTTGACTTCCGCCACTACGACTAACACTTGCCTTCTGTCCCTCCCTCCCCCCCACGCCAGAGGTCTTATGATGAAAACTTACGGACGGCCTCTTTGGCGCGTCTACGACGAGGATTTGCGACCGGCCGCCAAAAAACGACGCGTCCAGTCCGCCACCGATTCCGACGAGGCCGAGCATAGCCTGCAATATGCCATCCGCGAGTCCTCGACCGCCGTCCTGTCGAGTCCGTCGCGTCGCAATTCCGTGATCCTGTCCGAAGGCACCCAGGAGGATGAGCTGTCGACCCCCCCATCATCGCCGCCTCCCCGGTTAAGTCCGCCGCCGGCCAACACGCGGAAACCCACGTTTGCCTTCCTCAAGCGTAAACACGCGGCCACCACCCCAACCACCACCCCAACCACCACCACGCCAAAGGAAGCCGCCGGAAACGCCACCCCACTCACCGAGGTCAATTCCAATAGTGTCCGCGCCTCAGTGGACCCCCCCAAGAAGAAAGCGACGCAGCCGCAGCAGCCGCCTGCCTTGAAGCAGATGCAACTGGACTTGGGTCACGAGGTGCGCAAAACCTGTGCGACCTGTGGCATGGAATATATCCCGTCCAACGCCGAGGACGCGGCGCTTCACAAGAAATTCCACGACATGAACTCCACCGGGGTCGATCTCGGCAAGGCCTTCATGCGGGCCAACGCATCGCGCTGGGTGTACGAGGCGACGCGGTTCGACGAGGGATACGTGGTCATTGTGGATCGCAAGGCCTCACCGACCGCAAAGAACCAGGCCAAGAAGGTGCTCGAGGTCATCTGCAAGGAATTGTCGTCGCCCACGATCGACGACGAGGTCCTCTGGAGCCAGACGGAACCGCCCCCGCACCTACGCCCGGACGGGACGACGGAGAAGGTGGATCGGTACAAGGTGTTTCTACACATGAAGGACAGTCGGTGCGTTGGGGCGTGTCTGACGGAGCGGATCTGGGAATCGCGGCCGATTCAGAAGTCGGCGACGGCGCCGGCCGGCGGACCGGACTCGTCGGTCACGGTGCGGGAGGAAACACACCGGGCCATCGTGGGCATCTCGCGCATCTGGACGTCCGGGTCGTCGCGGCGGAAAGGGATCGCCATGGACCTGCTGGATTGCGTTGTGAGCAATTTCATCTACGGGATGGAGATTCCCAAGGAGCAGGTGGCCTTCAGCCAGCCGACGGAAAGCGGCAAGGGGCTGGCGCAGTCGTTCTTCGGCAATGACGAGTGGCATGTTTACGAGGAAAGCTGAGGGCAGCTACATGACGACGATAGACTGACTCTTTACAACAACAACAACAAGTACTACTACTACCATCACCTTACATGGGCTGTGCATTTGGGAGGGAACGCCAGACGGCAAATAACAAATACCGCCGAGGCGATTGTTTTCGTGATACACGGGCGAGTTGATACCCAGGCTTTCTCGGGCATTGAATTGACCTTCGAGGGAGGACCACTGTGACGACTACTTTGATTGATTGACTGATTGATTGCCTACACCATTTGATTTCTTCTTTGTATAACTGGAGGTGTTTTGGGAGGGTCCGTCGGGTTCCGCGAGGCTTGGTAGTTGGCTTCGGACTGCCATACCATACCGATCATTCTTCACTGTAACATATATTATACCTTTGGGCAGGTTTTTCTTTTACTTCTTCTTCCTTTTTTTTTTTTTTTTTTTTTTTTACTACTTTCACTATTTGAACGGATTACATTGTGTCGATGGAATTAGTTATCTCACAGACAGAATGCAGCGACACAGAGTCTTCGATAGTATGTATAGTATGTACTTGCTAAATACTAGTAGGAGGGACCGACGGGCGCCTAACAGGCAGTCGCGCCGAGGAAAGCCAGACTGACTGACTGACTTGACTTGCGACTTGACGGCCTTCGTCTTTCTCTCCTCCTTTCCCCAACAATCCCTCCTCCCTCCCTTTCCTCTCCACACCTTCTCCCCTTCTCTCTCTCCCCCTCTTCTCCTGCTCTCATGGTCAGTGCTGCCCTTTTCCTCCGCGATGTCTGGATCAAATCCTTTCCGCCCTAAGAACCCCCAGAGTGAGTCCGTCCGACGGTTCCGGTTGCTGAGCAGCGTCCGTCGCGTGCTGGTCGGACAAGATGGACTGAGCTGAGCTGAGCTGAGCTGAGCTGAGCTGAGCTGAAGACCTGAACCTGAACTGAGCTGACGAGCCCCTGTGTGTTCCTATCCCAGGTTCCCTCCCCCCGCCGACCTCATTCCCCTCGTTTCCGTCCATTTCCACCCCCTCCGCGCCGCCGCCCGTGACGACATTCAAGAGCTCCCTTGCCAGAGCCCCTCCCGCATCTCTTCCCCCGGATCTCGATGACGCCGCATCTTCCGACGACCAGTCCGTCTCGGATCCCTTCCACCGGAGCTCGTATGCGACCGATGAGGATGCCGAGGAAGAGCTGCGACCGTACGTGGGGGTGGTAGACCGTGTCTCTGCAGCGACTCCCGGCGACGATGATCGCCCCCAACCGATCAGGGCCGTTCCAGACCCTGCCGTACCCTCCAGGGGCCCCGCGCTACCTGCACCCGCTGCAGCACCGGGTCAGATAGGCAACCGCGAGCATCCGGCACCCCTGTGGCAGGCTGGCCCCTCACGAGAGAATGCGCCCGTGGCCGGTTCCACCGTGTCGACCCTCTCGTCCACGCCGTACGGAGGTTTCCGGACGCCAGACAGCAGTACGACGGATGTCTCTCGACCCCCCGACTGGCGGCCAGGCTTGGGCCCTCGTGGCAGGCCAGGCCTATCCACTGCATCAGACATCGCCTCACGACCTCTTGCCAGCCGCCCAGGCAACCGAGACAGAGTCCCACCACCCCCGCCCAAGAGCCATCATGGCAAACGCATCGCCCCAAGCCCTGGCACCACGCCCTCACTCACCCAAACCACCCCCGGCCGATCCACCAGCCGGTTCTCCTTCCACGGCTCCCCATCGGAGCCATCGCATTCCCCCCGACCCTCAGTGTCGGGGTCGGACTACTTCACAGCGCGGTCAGAGTCTCAGCCCGCCCAGGCGCCGGCGGCGGACACGCTCCGACGAAGTCAGTCCCAATACAAGCGGCCCCCGACGCCACCATTGAGCAGGCGTCACAGCCAGATGCGACGTTCCAAGACTACGCTGTCCAAAGTCAACCCGGTGCGGCTCTCTATTCCAGCGGCTGAGGAGGCCTCGACATCATCATCGTCGTCATCATCGCCTCCTCCCAGCCCGGGCGCATGGTCCTTGAACCCGTCGCGGACTCGCGAGTCCCGCACCGGCGACGCATGCTCCGAGGAGCTCGGCGATCCGGCAACCTCATCCCCCCGTCCCGACTCGTCTTCCCCGTTGTCGCCCACCGAGTCATCGACCGCGATGCCAGGGCCATCGACGAAGCGATCCTCGCTGTACAACGCCCTTCCCCCGCTCCCGCCCCCGCGACGGTCTCGCGGATCCAGCAATCAGAGCAACGACAGTTCCGGTCTCAGTCTCCGACCGGGGAAACCGGCTGACCCGGTCCCGGCGGCGGCGGCGACGACGACCTCGAGCACCACCACTAAGGACCAGTTTGTCCCGCATCCATCCAACGCCAGCGACATCCTGGCCGATCTGAGCCGATTACAGAAAGAGGTAGACGACTTGCGCGGACACTACGAGGGTCGAAAGGCCAGTCAGTAGGAATTCCCCTGTGGAAAGAGGTCGGACGTGGACCGACCGGTGTGTAAGCGTGAGCGCGAGTGTATACAGACATGTGAACGAGTGACGAAGCATAGCGCTGTTTAGGTTGTTTGTTGCATATGTTGTTCTTCATTATCTCCCCTATGCCATCCATGTACGCACGTATTCCCCTCGCTGTATGATCATGACGAAGGCGTACCCTTCCTTTCCGTTAGCCTTGATGGAGGGATCCGCATTGCGATTTAAATATTGAATAAGAATACTAGGTCTATATACTTACATACTTGGCAACCCAAGTATCTCGATACTTATCTAGCCTCGTAGCACACCCACAACCACCCCCTTCCCCCAAAGTGGGAAAGGATAATAATGGAAGAGAGGGGGAAAGAAAAATGACCACCCAAATCCAGCTCCAAGATGATGATGGTGATAGTGATGATCCAACCCCAAAACAAAGAAACAAAGAACCTGTCTTTCAATATGGATGAATCTCAAGAGCGCGTCAAACGCGATCCCTCCAAAACAAACAACTGTCTTATCTGATGATCGTTCCGACCCCGTTCTCATTCCCATTCCCATTTCCATTCTTATTTCCACTTTACTTACTCTAGTAAGCCAGGGCTGTTAGTGTTGGTACTGGGCGGGTTGATGGTATGGCAATGAATGCATTCTGGTGGTGGTAAGCTATCACATTCTAAATTCTAAAAGGTGAAGTGGCGAGTATCCTGTTCAACTGGCGGGAGAGTACACGTATACAACACAGTAAAGACAGACAGAGAGACAGACACACAGTCGGGCGAATTACTTTACGTCTTACTTCCTTCTAGGCCTGTCCTGAAGACCCATCGTCAGGAACCCGGCCAGCACGGCCGCGCACCCCCCCAGCCTCATGACCCAGCCCGTGCTGGTGTCCCAAGGCTCTCCGCGAGGCTTCTGCAGCGCCTTGAAGATGAGACTACCGATGGCGCTGGAGATGATCTGCGGGAAGGAGATGGCGACGTTGTGCAGACCGAGGACGAGACCGGCTTGGTTTTTGGTGGCCTCCCCCGCCGTTTCGGCTCTTTCATCATCGCCCTGACTATAACGGGGGATACTTGGTCCTTCGTTCGTCTCGTCCGTGCTGCGGGTCGTTGGACCGCCCTTCGTGATCTCAGTTGCGATGAGTGCAAATGGGGCCCATGCTGTGGTGGCCCAGGAGATGCCGACGATCCCGGTCATCACGGACGCCTGTCCGGGGGAGGAAATGAAACAGGTGCTCAACATGCAGATGGCAAATAGGAAATGCGAGAGAAGCCAGGCGCGTCGTAGTGTTAGTCCTGGAATGCGCAGCTTGAGGCGTAGATTGCTCGAGCCCGTGCTTGCGTGAGGTTCCATTTGCTTCTCGGATGGGACCACTAGCAGGGGCAGGATTATGCTGGTTGCAAAGGAGACAATTCCATTCACGAGAAGAGCCAGAGTGCCGATGCGAGTGGCCTCCTCCCAGATCCGGTTGATCTCATCTTCCGATAGGTCCTGGTGCTGGTCGAAAATGGGGTTCACGTACAGCTGTCCGATATACGTGGTTGCGTAGAACAGGAACGAAAACCACCCGAACCACGCCGCAGCCTGGATCATGTAGACCCTGCGGATACGAACGGGGAGACGGCGGATCGACTCTCTGAGGGCCTGGAGCAGTGACAGAAGTCCCATCCGGTCAGATGTCGGTGGGGAGGTCTCGCGGGGGTCCTTCTCCGTGATGTAGCTGCAGCTGATGGAGAGAATGATGGCCAGTGCGATGCTGGTGATTACACAAAGGCCCTTGAATTCGGTGTTCCCGAGAAAGGGAAGCGTCCTGGGCAGGTCCATGCCGCCGATGATGTAGCCGAAGATGTTCCCTGCGCTGACCTGGCGGCTTGCCCAGGCATTGGCCGTCTCTTGCTGATGGGACGGGGCATTGTCCACGATGAACGCCCGGGTTGCGGCTTGGACTGGAGGGAAGGTCAGCTTGGTCTAACGAGTCAACGGCGTGGGTCAATATATCAAAGTGTACCGGTGTTAATGGCAAAGTCTTGACAGTACATCAAGAGGGTCGCCGCGACGAGCACCGTGGTTTTGGCACCGGCGGACTGCGCGTCGATGCCGAAGAGACCAACGATGCCGCCGACGATCTCTCGGACCCATGCCAGAGCTAACAGACAGACCACGAGGAGCGCACCCCCAAAGGCCATGAACGGCTTCCTCCGGCCCCAGGAGACGCGGCAGTTGTCCGATCGAAGGCCGATGTACGGCTGTACGAGGGTGCCGGTCAACGGACCTGCAATCCAGACAAAGGCCAGGAGGGCCTTGCTCATCCCCAGGGACAACAGGTATGGCTGGCACACACGAGGTTAACGATGAGTCTTGCAAGGATGATGGATCCCGATGCAGGGTAACAACGTACCGAGCCACTGGCATGCTGGATCGACCAGACAATCTGGATACTATACGAGCCGCAGGGGGAAGGGTCAACAGGGCCGGGGTGGGTGGAGGAGCAGCTCGTATCGCCATCGACTTACCCTCCCATGGCCAGGGTCAGCATGAAGAGGTATCCACTGCTCGGGGACGCCTCATCAGGGTCGCATCGACCCGAGGGCGCTGGAGGTTGTCCGGACGATGCATCCCCGATGAGAGGGTCGGCCTCGTTCCCTCGCTCCGTCATCAAACCAGGCGGTTGGGGCTCGGGGGTTCTTCTCAGCACTGGCTCGGGTGGTTGGACAGATCCACGTAGAGATGTGATGTCGAGCAGAAACATGCAATGAGATAGTATCTTGTACTCCAGCCGGATGGAGAGGCGATGAATGGGACTGACCGCCTCCAGGCCGAAAGGGGAAGCCGGGCGGTCTGCCGGATGCAGAACGATGGTGATAATTACTCTACTCTATTCTCCTCCACTCTGCAGTTTTGACTACTACTACTACTACTACTACTATATCCACCCAATCATCCGATCTTCGAGATGGACAATGACTAACGGCTATGGAAAGGATTCGTGATTTGGCTGATCGATAACAGCATCGCTAACACCAACCCGGTTAGTTGCCGCCGATGATGCCAGGCATTAGCATTCTTATGCCGATGCTGGAACCATCTTCCAGTCTTCAATTCCCCCCCGCCCTTATCATCTTTCCTCTCTCTTACTGGCACTTTCCTCCTCCCCGCGGTCATGAACAGCTGGTCGCTTGAGCTGCAGAGATAGGCAAGCTTCCCTTTTGCCAGAATCCCTCCTCCGCGCAGTCCCTCATTCCCTCGCCATTGCCGACCACCCTGCCATCTAGATATACTACTATACAGTAACTAGTTAGTTACAACGTTTGACGCCATGGCCCACAGCGACGTTCCCCGCATCACGGATGCCACAAAAGGTACCACAACCTACCCCTCCCAACATCACTAATGGACTATCGCTAACTCGCCGCAGTATGGACAACCCTCATCACAAATACTGCATACCTCTCCGGCCTCCTAACACTCGAGTACTCGCTCCGCAAAGTGGGCTCCAAATACCCCCTCATCGCCCTCTACACGGACTCCTTCCCCGCGGAGGGCCACGCCGCCCTCGATGCGCGGGGCATCCTGAAGCAGCGCGTTCCCTATCTCCTGCCATCCATGCCCAAGGACTACGTCAATGATGTGCGCTTCTACGACTGCTGGAGCAAGCTCACCCCCTTCTCGCTCGTCGAGTACGAGCGCGTCGTGCAGCTGGACAGCGACATGATGGTTCTCCGGAACATGGACGAGCTGATGGAGCTTGACCTGGACCCGCCGGAGATGGCCGGGTCCGGGAACCGCGTCTTTGCCGCGAGCCATGCCTGCGTCTGCAACCCCCTGAAGAAGCCCCATTATCCCGGTGACTGGTACGGACTGTCTCTCGTCCCCTAGGAAAACACTATCATACATACTGACCGACCCGCCCTCGTGAAGGACGCCATCGAACTGCGCGTACACGTCGCAACATACGACCCCCGATATCGCACAAACCGAGGGGGCGCCGGCCGACTTTGGCCTGGGCATCCCCAACGGCGGTCTCCAGGTGGTCAACCCATCTAAAGCCGTCTACGACAAGATCATGGCGCAGTTGGCTTCCTCCGCGACCTCGAACTACGAGTTCGCGGACCAGTCCCTGCTCTCCGACGTGTTCTTCGGCCGGTGGGTTCCGCTGCCGTATGTGTACAACGCCCTCAAGACCCTGCGATGGGAGGGGGTGCACGACGCCATCTGGCGGGACGAGCAGGTGAAGAACATGCACTATCTCCTGAGCCCGAAACCCTGGGACGAGAGTGAGGCTGTCCGGGCCGGTCGCGAGGCGCGACCCAGCCAAAACGCACCGCACGCGTGGTGGTGGGACTTTACGGAGGAGAGGCTGCAGGAGGAAAAGGCGGGAGGGGTGGATGACGAGTTCTGAGGTTGTTTCATTCTAGTTTATGATGTAGATAGATTCCTAGATAGAGTTATATCATACCCGGCAGAAGAGACGTTGTTACGAAGGCGATTGATTTGACAGGGAGCACAGGGGGCACATTGAAAAGGACATATAATTGTCGGTCTGGACATGATTCGTGTTCCATGCAGTGCTACTAGTGGTATAGAGATAGAGAGGCGTCCTCAGGCCGCATTCGGGAACCCGCGTGTTCAGGCACCCAGGTGTCGAGCCCCGCGGGGGGCGCTGATTGGCGGAGAGGGGACAGGCGCATGAGACAGTGACGTCATACGCACCGAAACGGGCAGGCCGTCTGGCACTCTGGCTGGATTTCACGTCCAGGGGAACCGCCATTGTATTGCTGCTGCTGCCCCAGACTCGACTCCCCCAGAAGATCAAAGGGCGAGCGTCAGGGAGGCAACGTCGGATGCTGGCCCACCCGCAGCCTCACTTTCATCCTCACCTCACCTCACCTCACCTTCTCTGACTTGGTCTCCCTCCCCCGTACCCACTCCCCTACATCCATCTATCTCATACTCTGCATCTACACACACCACATATATACTTTGTGCTAAAAGTCTCCTCCTGAAACGGGTACTGCAGTAACGACTGATGCTCTCCGCTGGATTCGCCGCGCCTCAACCTTAAAGGCCAATCGATCCCCCCCCCCCAAAAAACCTGTCAACCCTCCAACACCTAAAACCCCAAAACCCCAAAACCCCGTCCGTACAACATCCACTTCCCGTGTCTGCGGTGTCTGCTGTGTCTGGACGTCGACTGGTTACGCGACTTCTTCACCTGGATCCAGCTCATTCGTCTCATTCGTTTCCCCGCAGATTGTGCCATTCTCTGGGGTTTCTTATCTGACCACCCTGCCTCGCATTGGACTACCCTGGCATCCTCCAGTATTCAGCCAGCCGCGCAAGATGACCACCCCGACTCTGATCAACCTCCCTCCCCCGCCGTCTGACCCAGTCACTCCCTCAGAGATGGGGCCGTAAGATCTCCTTTCCTCCTGTCTATCTGTTTCCCTCAAGCCTGATATGACAAGTTCCGCTGACCGTATGCTTCCCCGGCTCACCAGAGGGACTCCCAATTCCGGCACCACCTCTCTGTCTGCATTGTCGACCACCGCCATCAAAGACGGACATCAAGGCCACCCCCTCCCACACGGTCGCCATGCCCACCACTCCCCCTCCACCTCGAACACGTCCACAACGACCCTAGAGGCCGAACGAGCCGATCGCATCTCGCGCCTGGCGGGCCTGGAGCGGGTGGCCACGGCCCGAGCGGGCGGCACCCCCCAGCCCAGCGGTGTCGCGCCGGTGCCTCAATACCCGGGCTACTTCGACAGTGGCTCCGGCATCAAGGAGCGAAGCACCGTGGGCAGCGCCAGTGCCACGGGCAGCGTCGGCGCCCGCACGACCTGGGCCAGCGGCAGTGACGCCTTCGATGCGGACAAGATGAGCGAATACCCGGAGGATGGGACCTCCAGTGTGGGCAACTTCAGCGACGAAGGGGACGCCAGCCTGGTCGCATTTGGCGAAGGCGCCAGCACCCTCAGTGGACCGATCTCCAACCCGCGTCTGAACCGCACGTCGTCGGGAGGGCGGCCCAGTTCCTTGGGCAGCCCCGGCGTGAGTCGTGCGAACCCCGTGGCCTCCCCCCTGCAGCACTCCGGGGACGTATCGATGTCGCAGTCGACCCAGTCGCCTACGGGATCGGTGACGCCGGAGCCCACGCAGGATGCGCGGATGGTGGACGGGGTGACCTATGACCCGGATGTGATTGATACAACGGTGAGGACCCCGCGGCTGGCCACTCCCGCGCAGGGTGGCGACCCGCTTAACGAGTAGTCGGGCCGAGGATCATTGGGCGAAAACGGACCAGGGGCGTTTCTAGGGGGGTTCTAGGCACCATGTTTTAAGAAGAGCGCCAGGGGAGTGATCTTATTTCTTTGGCTTGGGATTGATTGGGATTGTAATTGTAGGGACCCGATTCGGGGCCGATGGGGGTGGCGGAGGGGGGGGCTCGGAGCCATTTATGATGCAACATGGAGGATTTGTAGGATTTGTAGGATATTCTAGCGCGCGTGCGGCGAGTAGCTTCAGGGAATTTGTCTCAAATTGAACGGCTTGACTTCTATCTAGTGATCTATCTCCGTGACTCGGTCTAGGCGATCTCCCTCCCGACCGGATGCCGCCCGGGCGATGACGAATCGGGGGGGGGGGATTCCTCAAGTCCTCGATATTGTCTTCTTCAAGCCATGGCGGATCTAGAATCTCGACGGACCCGACGGTTCTCCACGGTTCGGATGGTCGTAAAGAGACAAAATCGCGAGGGTATACATAGGGTGTCCGGTAGATGGAAAATAAACAACCAGATGCATAGAGGGATGGGGGGGGAATTGAAGAGAAGGGCAAAGTTGGAGGGCGAAGAACTGGGGCGACGGGCGCGCCCAATGGGAGGGGCGCAGACAGTTCCAGGCTCCTCAGGCTCTTCTGCCTTTCTGCCTTTCTGCCTTTCTTCTTCCCTTCCTCTTCTTCTTCCTCTTCCTCTTCCTCTTCTTCCTTTGACCCTACTTCTGCTCCCTCTCCCTCTCCCTCCTCGCCTCCCCCACCCCCCCCGCCTCCCTCCACGACCCCGACTGTCTTCCTGTCCCTGTCATTGCTGGCATTGACTTGTCAAGCATCGAGAAAACCTGTTGGACCGGAGACTCGACTGAGGTATTCGTTGCCATCTCCCCCCCCCCGCCAAGCTTCGCCGCCCATCCACGGTCTTTGTGTGTACCTCCACAAACCAATTATCTGCCCACGCCTCGCTGCTCTGCCAATCCACCTCGAAATATATTTCCTCGATTCTTCACACTCGTGATCGCTCTTCTCGATCGGTAGTCACCGCCTCGTCTCGTCCGATCTTCAGTCTTGACACTGCCTCGACGCCAACTGCCGTGGTCCGTGGAGTTTTTTTTTAGCTGCCGGCCTACTATCGCAGAGGGACCGTCCCATCAGCACTAAGACCTGGGGATTTTGAATTCCTGGACTGTCGCATTTACTCCTGCGTGCGCATTCCGCTACTACTGTAGCTTTTGTGGATACGTGTTTCGTCCAATCTAGAGTGTACATTGAAAGATTCAAAATGGCAGCTCCTACACAGCTTGCTTGTAAGTATTCTCTCCCCCCCCCCCCCCACCCCCAACAATCCCTCCTGCAAATCGCAATTGTGCTCGAAACAAAATTCAAAAACTTGCGTTCGGAGGTTGGGAGCCGCGAGAGCATTGCATTGCTAACTGGTTACAGGCCGTACGGTCAAGGGCATTAGCATCTTGGATGCTGCCCCGGTTTATGAGCCTTTGTCGGGGTTTGAAAGGTATGCTTGGTCATTGGACAACCCCGGTCAATCTCTTCATTGTGGAAACGATTTCTAACTCATTTCCTCTTGCGACAGACCCGAGGGAAACCTTCGCTGTAGCGCTTATTCTCCTTGCGGCCGGTATTTCGCCTGGGCCTCTCCGGACAAGTATGCGATCCGATCCCCACAAAAAAAGAGGACACCTTATTGATCATCCACCAGGGTTACCATCATCGATCCCTCTGTCGGACATATCGTTTCGACCATCGACGCGGACAACGTTTTCGAGCTGGGATTCTCGCCCCTCGGGACTTACTTGATCACCTGGCAGCGCCCCACCAAGGATGCCAACGGCGATGCTGTCCGGAACCTGAAGGTCTGGAAGGTTGTGCCGTCGTCGCCCGAGAGCAACGGAGACGCGAATGTGGTTGTGGGCAGCTTCGTCCAGAAGTCGCAGACGGGCTGGAACCTGCAGTACACCTCCGACGAGGTCTACTGTGCGCGGGTGGTCACCAATGAAGTCCAGTTCTACCAGAGTGAGAACCTCTCTCAGGTCTGGAACAAGCTGCGTGTGGAGGGAGTTGCGGACTTTGCCCTCGCGCCTGGCAAGAACCACTCGGTGGCCGTTTTTATTCCCGAGCGCAAGGTATGACGCACAATGAGATATTAATGTATGGTCCCAGCTGATGGATTGCGTGTATAGGGACAACCCGCTGCCGTCAAGGTCTTCCTGGTGCCTCAGTTTGGATCCTCCGTCTCCCAGAAGACCTTCTTCAAGGGCGACAAGGTGCAGCTGAAGTGGAACGACCAGGGAACGACCCTGATCGTGCTCGCGCAGACCGATGTGGATCGGTCCGGCAAGAGTTACTACGGCGAGACCACCCTTTACCTGCTTAGCGCCGGTGGTGGCTTTGACTCCCGAGTGGACCTGGGTATGTGGCATGCCGATACAGCTTTGGTGGAAGATGGCGTATACTAACCTTCGGACAGACAAGGAGGGCCCGATTCACGATGTGACCTGGTCTCCCAACTCCAAGGAGTTCGGTGTCGTGTACGGTTACATGCCGGCTAAGACCACCATCTTCAACTTCCGCGGTGTACCCAAGCACACTTTCCCTCTGGCCCCCCGCAACACTATCATCTTCTCCCCCCACGGGCGGTTTGTGCTGGTGGCTGGTTTCGGTAACCTGGCTGGTCAGATGGATCTCTACGACATGGACAAGAACTTCCACAAGATCGCCACCGTCGAGGCGTCCAACGCCAGTCTCTGCAACTGGTCCCCTGACGGCCAGTACATCCTGACGGCCACCACCAGCCCTCGCCTGCGCGTCGACAACGGCATCCGTCTCTGGCACGTGAGCGGTGCGTTGATGTACAACGAGGAAATGACCGAGCTCTACGATGTGGCCTGGCGCCCTCAGTCGCTCATCCAGCACCCCCTGGGTGACCCGTTCCAGGTGCTCCCGACTCCCCACCCGTCTGCGGTGGCGTACCTCAGCACGAAGAAGGCTCCAGTGAAGCCCGCCGGTGCGTACCGTCCCCCGGGTGCCCGTGGCCAGCTCACCCCCCTGGCGTTCAAGCGCGAGGACCAGGGTGGTGCGGCCTACGTCCGCGATGGCGCGACTGGCGGTGCCTCCATGAATGGATTCGGCAGACCGCGCAGACGTGAGATCCCCGGCGCCGAACCCGCCGAGGAGTATCTTCCTCCGGGAGCCGCTCCTGGAGGAGGCGTTGCTCTGCCCCCCGGCGCCGACAACCCGGAGAAGCTGTCCAAGTCGGCTGCCCGCAACAAGAAGAAGCGTGAGGCCAAGAAGCAGAAGGACGGTGAGGACGGCGAGCCGACCCACAGCCCCGACCGCCGCGGCGAGAAGAGCCACGAGCGCAAGAACGAGCGCAAGAACGGCGGCCACGCCAATGGTGCCCCAGCCCCTAAGGCCAACAACAACGCTGCCGCCGCCGCCGCCGCCGCTGCTGCTGCCGCCGCTGCCGCTGAAGCCGATGCCAATGGAGCGCCCACCGCACAGGAAAAGAAGATCCGCGGCCTTCTGAAGAAGATCCGGGCGATCGACGAGCTGAAAATGCGCCTTGCCGGTGGCGAGAAGCTGGAGGACACGCAGATGAAGAAGATCCAGACCGAAGAGGCGGTGCGTAAGGACTTGGACGCCCTGGGCTTCAGTGGATAGACATATCCCCCTTCCTTCCTCTTTTCTTCTTCCCTTTCTTCTTCTATTTATCTATCTACTCCGTTGGTCATGGATACAACATCAACCACCACCACCATTACAGAATTGAAACTATCATAACTTCCGTTTGGAAATATGCTCTCTTCATTGGCAGTCGTGACTCTGTCTTCTTCTTCTTCTTCTTCTTCTTCTTTTCATTCTCGTATTGCTTCTGCCCGTCTCCCTCTGCCTGTACATATACTTCCCTTGTCTTGCTTGTTCTGGTCTGTCTGTGTCTGGCTATCTATCTATCCTCCGTCCGTTGTATGGAATCTTCTCCGATCTCACTGCTGATGGTGCTGATGCTGATTGTGGTGATGACAATCATGTCCAACATTCTCTTCTCTTCTTCTTCTTCTTCTTCTTCTGCGGTGCTTTAGAATTGTCTGAACGGGGGTTTTGCTGTCGGTGTGGCTGTGGCTGTGGGTGGAGTGTATATTGTATATACATTGAAAGAAAAGAGTCAAGAAACGAAGAAAGATGGAAAGACTTAGTTAGTTCGTTAGTTTAGGAAAGGAAAGAAAGACAAGAAGAACAAAGGAAAGAAAGGAAGAAAGAAGGGAGAGAAAAAGGAATAAATGAAAGATCTGGTGCTAGATATGAATGAGAATCCTGAATTATATGTGTGTGTTATTGGTGGTTTTGATATGATACTGTAGGTAGGATGGTAGTGATAGTAGTAGGTATTCCTACGTTACTGGCTGGCGCCATTAAATCATGAAGTTGTATCAACCGGTCCGGCCGGTCTGCACGCCTCTCCTCTAATCAGGTATTGCTCTCACCGATTGGTCGTTCATTGAGTTGGGTACTGATTCATTCATTGATATGCATCCATCCCAAACAAATAAACAAACAAACAAACAAACAAATAAATACAGTACATGGTAAGTACTACACACCCTCGCTCATCATCCATCTACAAACCTACAGCATCCATCCATGCAGACAAAACATCAATCTCCTACAACCCTACACCAAAAAATGAAGTAAAATGAATGTCCCATCACCCTAACCCAACCACCCCCACCCATCACCCCCTCAAACATCCAGTCAATCGGCAGCCACCCCCTCACACGCAATAAATACTGATGTAGAGCATCATCCAGGACAGTGACAAAAAAAGCCAGCAATCCTCGCCTAACGGCACGGACAGATCAGCATTCATCGCGGGAAGGGAGATGGAAGGAGCAGGGACTCATTCCGACTGGAGATGCCGGGGAGTTGGACGTATAACGGCCCGATGGGTGGGTGGGTAGGCTAGATAGATAGATAGATAGATAGACAGACAGACAGACAGGCCCAGAGGACTGGAGTGACTGTCTGAATGTCTGTCTTCATGGTTTGGTGTGATATGATGGGTTTGATGTCTCGCAACCGATACAGAGCTTATCCCGCCCGCTACCTTTCATAGCCACGGATGTGGGTGTGAGGGTAGGGAGGGAGGGATTTCAAGGCATGGACCTCGCCTTGCGCTCCACCTGACAGTGCGAAGTTGGGGTTACGGGTGATAGAGAAAGGGAGGGAGAGGGAGGATGGAGTTGGCGGTGATGGGTATCTCTGAACTTGATTTCGAAGTTATTGGTAAGGACATGTAGAATGTGGGATGAGCTGGTAGTGATTGGACATGCGTGCCGTGTAGGAGTGACCTAGTGAAACAGCGGTCCGACCCAGGGCAGTCATCTGTCGCGATCGTGCTGTCCACTAGGTGAAGATTCGGGTCCGCTTGATCGGACTTCCCATATGGAGGGAGCGTTTGGCGCCTGCCATGCCGCTCAGTAGCCGGTCCATTCCATCCACGTCAAGCTCGCCCTTCCGAAGCATCTGCTGATCCGTCTCGATGGTGGGCATCTCCCTGCCCGGTGCGCGTGCAGCAGGCAAGGCCTCGGGTTCAGTCAACCTCGGGGCGAGGATCATCACCCGGTGTTCGGCTGTGAGCAGTATATCGAATTCTCGTCCGCGGGTCTGGCGCGAGGCGGCAGGAAGGTGGCCGATGCCTCTCAGGCGTTCTCCCATCAACGCGATGTCCTGGATGGCCGAGACCCGACAGCGATTGGAGGAGTCGAATGTGCCGCTGGCCTTGACAGCGTTGCGCCACAAGGACAGTAGACTGGTGATAACTGCGGTCTGGTTACCGTGCTGCAGCAGAATTGACTCATCGGGCAGCGGGTCCTTCCAGGAGTTGGTCTGGTAGGCAGAGATGCTTCCGCACAATGACGAAGGGCTGGCTGCTCCAGTAGTGGCACCCTTCAGCAACGTATCTTCGCGTAGCCGTTTAGTGGAAGGCGTCAAAGGCGCAAACTTGGGTCGTTGTTCAAACGCAGGGCCGCCTGTCTCCGAACGACTGGCAGGCAAAGGGCTCAAGATCCGTCCGCTGACGGAAAAGGCCGTGATGGCGCCACCGGTAACACCCTGGATGCTGGCTTGACGCTCAAGCGGGCCTTTAATGGTCCCAGGGCCTGCCCCTTCGATATCCCAGACGCCCCATTCGCCGTCAGACATGAGAACCATGACGGCACGCCCTCCAAGTACCCACTCTGCATTGATGATGGTCTTCCGCCGTGAGAGCCCCGAGGGGGACTGCTCAAAGCCGGGATAAAGACTGATCAACCACTTTCCCTCCGTATCCGATGTCTCAAAGTCACTCTGAGGCCCAGACGTCCTTCGTGAGGCTTTGGAGAGCTTCATGGAAAAGCAGGAGTATACCTTGACACACCCACTATGGAACGCGACGAGCAGTCTGGGGTGTCGCGTGGAAGGGTAGCCTGCCGGGTTAAAAGATATGTTCACGGCAGGCGTTGGCAGGTATCGTCGCTTAGTCTCGATTTCGTCGTCGCACAGATGGTAGGCAGGTCCGCTGGCATTTTCCTCCTCCAGGATCGGGATCCGATGGATAATGAGCAGTCCCGAGGACTCAGCCGAATGCGTCGCGACAAGAAGGTCCCATCTTCCTGTCGTGGAGCGGGGTGTGTTCTGGTTTCGAGACCGTTCCTTACCCTTCTGCTCAATCTCTTGGTAGGTGAATGTAGTGCTGATCCCCCGGGGGTTTCCTGGTGAGAGACTCCGCCACTGATCGAGACTGTGTGGATCTTCAAGTCACTCTGCGTCGGATGGGGAGGAAGCAAGGGAAGAGTCACAATGCGCGTGGAGTAGTCTGCGCACACCGCGGAGACGATGATGACCTGCTTCAAAGCTGGGGGGAAGGGATCGAGTACGGAGCGCGCGTTCTCGGGAAGAACGCGCGGTACAGACAGCTCCAGGACTCTGCTTCCAAGGGGTATATCGACCTGGCGCAGGACATGCTCGAACGGGAAGGCGGGGTCCACCTCGGGCTCTTCCTCGTCAAAGTGGGCGTTCGACTCATCTTCCTCTTGCAGTGTCTGGTGAGTTTCTGCTATGCTCTCATCGTCGGAGTCAATGATCATGACCGCGTCATCGTTGGCGATCGGAGCTTTCTGCGGTTTGTCGACCTTAGCAGCGGCAGGCTTCTCCGCCGCGAACGGCCGTCCTCCTCGCCACACCACTTTTAAGCCAGTCTCGTAGCCATAGACAATGATCGAGGAACCATTCGGGGCGAGGATCGGATAGGCTCGAGCTGTGTGAACGCGGTGCGGCAGCTGGTAGCTAGATAGAGAACACTCGGTAAGCACGGGGAATGGTAAACTTGAGATCTTGAGATTTTTGAGATTTACCTTAGCTGCAGACCATCATCCCTGGGCCTGACCAGGGGCTGTGACGGAAAAGAAGGCATTGCTCCGATGGCAACGGGGGTGTAACGTTTAGGGAAAGGAGCTGGCAGGGAGCCCAATGCCACCCGACGATGAAGGGAGTGTGACCAGATTTCGAAAAATAGATGGAACCAGGCGAAGGGAACACGGGTCAATAGTGAGGAATGAGATGGAGAGGTTGGGGGGGAGGAGGAGGAGCGAGTTGTTGTTTGGGGAAGAGTTGCGGAGGAGGAAAAAAGCCGCTGTTGCTCTTGTTGCTTGATTTGGCCCGCTCCGCTTTGGAGCCCGCCGCGTCCAGCGCGTCATTCATTCCTCCACACTTGACACTGACAATACTACTCCTCCTACTACTCCTACTACTCCTACTACTCCTACTACTCCTCCTTACTATTCACTTCTCTTCACCCCACTCCACTTACATCTCTCCTCCTCTTCCTCCTCTTTCTTCATCCCACCCCCGTCCATCGTGCCGGTGGACAATGGACATGACATGATCCCGCATCTGGCCTCCCTCCGATAATACAATGGCGACAGTTCGGTCCCTCGGCCTCCACGAGCCCTCCGCCATCGCATTCCTGGTCGCTGAAGACCTCCTGCCCCCCGATCCCTCCGAGGACCTCTACTCATGGACCACGACCGTCGACAAAGATCTGAACGGCCCCATCGAGGATGAGATTGTCTGGACAAAAAGCTGCGCCGTCTGGTCCCGAGCGGGGGTCATCAAGAGGGTGTTTCGCTTGGATTTCGAAAAGGAGGAGATCAGACACGCTCTGCTGACCACCTTCTCCGTCGGGAAGATCAAGAGATCATCGGACACGAGTGCCTCGGGATCCAGGGCGGGAGAGAAGGCGCAGGCAGGCAACGATGCAGGCCGCAACCGGGGTTTGCATGATCAGAAACTCAGCGGAGGATCCTCGAAGAGCTCATTGTTGTCACTGGGTCAGGATGGCGAGCATGTCAAAGCCCCCCCGGGGACCGACCCAAGCAATGCGCGAGCACTGGTCGTGGTCCTCAAATCCCAGGCGCACATATTCTTCCTCGTGGGCAACAGCCATATCGTTCCTCTTCCATTCGAGGTCGATTCCGTGTTTGCAACTCCCAGGGGGCTTCTGATACAGAGAAAACTCCACGAGGAGGAAGCCACGAAACCCCTCCCCATGGCGCCCCCGAACTCGTTTGCTTCTGCAATACCCGACTTCCGTGCATCCCAGTCGTTGGACATCCCTTCTGGCAAATCCAAACGGCCGTCGTTGACGATCTCTCTTTCTCTGGCGCCGAATGCCGGGCTGAAGGCACGGCAGAACAAGCAGGCCGACATGCCCCGAGTGTTCTCTCTCATGGACCCTCACTCCGAGATGGGGCTGGTTGTGACCAACCAGTCTTCTCGTTGGCTTCAGACTAGTGTCACGGCGAGACCGTCGGGGTTGGATGTCCTCGATCCAGCCGATGCGATTGTCTACGTATCCCCAAAGGATGAACTCGCAGGCTCCAGTAGAAACCCAGCCATGGGCCCCTTGATCCTCGTGGTCACTGTCAATAACAACACCGGGTTGTATACCCTATGGACCGCACGGTACAGAGAAGATGAAACAGCTCCCTCATCAAAGAGGAAGGAAAGAAGGGAGACGGGAGGAACGCGCTCCAAGCGGCGTAGCTCGCACTATGGAATGACTACAGGCTCGACGACCCCCGCGGCTCGCCCGTCGGCTGCCAGGGAGAGCTTTGGTCCGAGAAGTGACGGCTGGAACACGTCCGGTCTGTCCCTATCACAGTACTCCGTGGAAGGCAAGGGAGATGAGGACGATCTGGCTTCCAAACTGGGCCAGGATTTCGGGGACATTGGAGTGCCGCTCAAGACATCGAGACGAGTGAGCTCTCTACTTGCCCGCGCGGACCTGGCCACCAGCCAGGATAGGATTACATTTTCCGATCTAGCCACAGGCAGTCAATCCAGCTCCATGCCCCATGGTGGTCTGCGTCAATCTCTTGGAGCTGGTAGCACGCGGGGTAGCTTTGGCTTTAATCCAAGGGGCTCTCTCCCCCCTGGCAATGGCTCCGTTTACAGCACAACCAGCAGTTTCATTGATGCGCCCGTTGATAGACTTCTCGAGGAGCTGAATAATGAAAGCCTGTTTGAGGGGTTTGAGAACATGGACTTGAATCATTCCGCGTCAGGCCTGCCCGAGGAGGTCCTTCTTACCAAGGTTGAAAGCTTTTCTTCCATTTCTGTCTCCTTCCATACCCCAGTCAAGCCCAAGTCCTCATCTCGGAGACTGAAAATCATGACCCTGTGTCCTTCGGAGTGCGGGGCCACACAGAGCGGAAACACCGCCACGTTGGCTCTTTACCTGGTAGATCGAGATGCGAGATCGATGACTGTTCTCAACCTCCAGGTCGACCGGGTTTCGCTTCCCAAGAAAGACAATGTCTTCTCCAAGAAGGCGAAGAAAAGAACGCCCTCTGAAGAGCGGCCATTACTTGTCCAGGCCTCCGGCATACAGCATTTCTCAGATGTATGGGACGCTTGTAAGATTGTTGATGGGGAGATCTCCCGGGTTGTGACTTTGAAGAAAGCAGAGGATGACCGTCAGGTGCTGCATCTACAAACCCCCTGGAGCAGACCGACCACCATTAGAATCCCCAGCAAGCTTATGCTCCATGAAGCGTACGGGGTGCACCCCAACACGCCTGGGAATCATCGACGGGAAAGCGGCGTGAAGCGACTGATGACCGACTCGTCCATCACCGTGACTGGCTTCGATCACTCGGCGGCCAGAGGAAAGTTCGATGTGATTGACTCGGCAAATAGAAGAGTCAAGCTTCAGGTTCAGATGGAGCCCAGCAATGAGCTGGTGAAACGCGTGCTCAAAGTCTGTCGGTTTGCCATATCCGATGAGAAGGCCAGGGACGGAGTGTTGGCTGCCTGGTGGGAGACCATGAAATGGCTGAACCACCGGGGAACCGATGAAAATGACCTCGAATGGACAGCAATGGTGGTAACTTTGTTCTCCATGGCGATTCCGTCGATTGACGGCGAACAGCCACGACCAACAGCCCAGCCAACGCGCCGGAAGAGGAGCCTGTTGAGGTCAAGCAGTGGAAGCTATGTCGACCTGGAAAGCTGGGAGACGATGCTGGAGCAAGAGTCCGGTTCTGCCGGCGTGGTAGCACCGTGGATGGCCAGCAGCTCCTGGGCCTGGGTGGTCGAGCAAGATGCCGAGGAGGGTGCCGTGAGCCAGGGCAAGCAGTCGCCCTCCAGTCGCTCCACTTGCCGCACAAACACCTATGTGATCCGATGCATCGCCTTGGCCCGGGAGTTCCAGAATACCAGCTGGGGTGATAGAGCCGTGGGCTCCAGTGGCTACCTGCCCACCGCGCTGTCCTTCAGTCAGGGCATTCGGAGCACTTCTCTATGCACGATCCTAGTTGCCTTGCATCTTTTCCGCGAGGAGCAAAAACTTTCCATTTGCGATAGCGAGCAATCAGGCAATCTCTCGGGTCTGCTTGCGCCAGTTCTGGCCCAAATCGGCGGATGGCTCGGATGGCAATCCTGGACATGGGCCCAGAACGCCTATTATGGCATGGAGATGGCGAGCATGGACCGCTGGCAATTTGAAGAAACCCGCATCTCCATGCTCGAAGTACCCGACGAGCCCTTCTCGCCCCCTGCGATCTTCTCCCACCTGGAAAACGCCTGGCGTCAGCCCTCGTCGCCATTCTTTACCCTTCTGAACCTGGTGGCCGGCCCAGACCGGCCCCCGAGGAAGGGCAGGCTGTGGCAAGAGTGCTTTGCGCTCACCCCCCGAACGATGGCTCTGGACGGGTTTCTGTCTGAAGTGCATACCCTTACGACGCCCCTGGACCGGATCAAGCTTCTGCATCGTTGGGGGTTCACAAGAAGCACAATTGAGTGTTTCCCGGAAGGTGTCAGCGCGCCTCTGTACGAAGCGATTATGCAGTCGCAAATGCATGCTTCGACGTCCTGGAACTCGACGCTGCTGGAGCTTATCGACCGAGAGGACCTCAGCGTTTCTATGATCAAGCGCAGCTCGTTGCTTCCCCCTCCGTCAGTGCCGTTGCAGTCTACGGTGTCCCACGATGCGATGCGCGATGTACATCATATTGGTGTCTCTGCGCTCGAAATCGATGCAATCGCCTCATTTGAAGCATCCGCCGAACTGGACCGGTTTACCGTGAGCCGACTGATCTTCCGCGAAGACAAGCGCTACGTTGACGCGGCTCGATTGCTGAATCAGTCTCGAGCTCCTATCGCCGAGTGCATTCCCGAGCCAGACTGGACCGACTCGGATTTGTTGGAAGCTCAGAAAGAAGTGGTGCAGCTGGTGACCCTGAGGACACTCTCCACCCCTGCGGGTCGCGCCATGTTTACCTTTAGCAGCCGACTGCCCCTGTTGACGGAAAAGCTTCCAATTCCTTCATTTTCGCTGCAATGCGTCATGAAGCCGTCCAACGTCACGATCAGCGCGGATCGAGCCTCCTTTAGCGAGGAGAAGGTGTGTTGGGCCTTTTTCCACAACGGCGTTTCCACCGGACTTGCCATCTCCAAGAACTCCAAGGGGATCGATACGTCGTGGATCTTGTTCAACAAGCCCCCGGAGCTGACCAACCGTCATGCGGGCTTTTTGCTGGCCCTGGGCTTGAATGGACACCTCAAGTCCTTGGCCAAATGGGTGGCTTTCAAATACCTGACGCCCAAACATACGATGACCTCGATCGGCCTGTTGCTCGGCCTGTCCGCCTCCTATCTGGGTACGATGGATACACTGATCACTCGGCTTCTGTCGGTACACGTCACCCGCATGCTCCCTCTTGGTGCTGCTGAATTGAACTTGTCGCCTTTGACGCAAACGGCGGGCATCATGGGCATTGGCCTCCTGTACTGCGGATCCCAGCACCGGAGAATGAGCGAGGTGATGCTGTCCGAAATCGAAAATGTAGAGCAGGAGGAAGGATCTCACGAGGACTTGCGTGACGAAGGATACCGCCTGGCTGCCGGTCTTGCTCTGGGCTTTATTAACCTGGCCAAGGGGAAAGACCTGAAGGGCATGCGCGACATGCACATCGTGGAGAGGCTGCTGGCTGTTGCAGTTGGCAACAAGAATGTTGACCTTGCACACGTCCTGGATCGGGCCACCGCGGGCGCGACCATTGCCTTGGCCATCATCTTCATGAAGACCAACGACGAGATCCTGGCCCACAAGATCGACATTCCTGATACGACGGTGCGCTTCGACTACGTCCGGCCGGACCTGTTCCTCCTTCGCACTCTTGCACGGCACGTCATCATGTGGGATAGCATCCGTCCGACTCTCGAGTGGGTTGTGCAGAGCCTTCCCAACGTCTATCGCCGTCGGCATCGCCTGACCGGGGTCCGTCGACTGAAGAGCGATGACATGCCGTTCTTCAACATCATCGCCGGTCTCTGCTTCACTCTTGGTCTTCGCTATGCGGGCTCGGCACAGCCGGGTGTGCGCGATCTGCTACTCGCCTACCTGGACCAGTTCATCCGCATCTGCAGGCTTCCGGCCATCAACTACGATGCGAAGCTCACGCGGAACTCTGTCCGACACTGCCAGGACGTCGTTGCACTTTCCACTGCCGCCGTGATGGCTGGCACGGGGGATCTGGCTCTTTTCCGACGCCTGCGGTCTCTGCATGGCCGTGTGGATGCCGACACGCCGTACGGCAGCCATATGGCCGCGCATATGGCCATGGGGCTGCTGTTCCTGGCCGGAGGCAGCCACACGCTGGGCACGTCCGACCTGGCCATCGCCTCGCTGATCTGCTCCCTGTACCCGATCTTCCCCATGACCGTCCTCGACAACAAGTGCCATCTGCAGGCCTTCCGGCATCTCTGGGTCCTGGCCGCGGAGCCGCGCTGCCTGGTGCCTCGAGACATCGACTCTCGCCGCGCCATCTCCATCCCCATCACCCTGACCAACCAAGATGGGATCAGCCGCACCATCACCGCGCCCTGCCTGCTCCCCGATCTCAGCACCATCACGAGCGTCGAGGTCCGCAACGCCGACTACTGGCCCTTGGTCCTCGACTTCGCCAGCGACCCGGACCTGCGCCACAAATTCCGCCAGGGCGACTCGTCCGTCTGTCTCCGCCGGAAGGCCAGCTACAACCCCACCGGCTCCTCGGTCTTCGTCTCGACTCTCTCCGGCCTCAGCGAAGCCCAGGACGTGCTCCCAACCCCCATTCCCACCTCCAACCACGGCAAGGGCCTCCCCCCATCCGCGATGCCCAGCCTCGCCACCCTCCTCTCCTCCGGCATCAGCCGCACCCCCACCGCCCCCTCCCAGAGCATGTGGGACTGGATCTTCAACCTGCCCTCCCTGGCCGGCCTCGACGTCCGCGAAAAGGCCCTGGTCCTCCCCTCCTCCTTCCCTGCCCGCACCCGCAGCGCCGGCCCCAACCTCCTCTCCTACGCCCCCTGGCTCCGCCAGTCCGCCGTCGACAGCAAGCTCGTCATCGACAGCATCGTCAAGAACGCCGTCCAGGCCGCCCGTGGCCGCGGCGCTGATCCAGATGAAGTCCGCGATCGCATCTGGCAGCTCCGTTTGCTGTTTAACTGGATCGATACGCCCGCCGAGGAGCGCTTCCTCGATGATGACTCCCATGGCATCTCGGATGAAAGCGTCTTGTCGAGGGTCGTCACCCCCTCCGATGGGCTGTGGCTACGTAGGGATTATATTGAGGAAATGCGTTGGAGGATCTGGGGCGTGCAGATTGGGGATTGTGATTGAGTGAGGGTAGGTAGTAGGTAGTGGGAGTGCAATGCTGATGTGATTACGACTTGGCTGGAGTATTTATCTTATCTTATTTTTATTGTTTGTGCTTGTGGTACGGTCCTGTGTGTGGTGAGGTTGGGTGATTAGGTGGTTGTTGTTGTTGTTGTTGTTGCAGCTGCTGCTACGGCTGTTTTACTGTTGCAACTGCGTGTATGCCTAACCGGGCGAGTTCATGTTCAACTGCACCCCCATGGAGCGCGCGAGTGATTGTGGAGTGGGAATGTGGGATGGGAGTGATACCAATCCATTGTCTCATCATAGCATAGCATAGCATATCATATCATATCCATCATATCGGATTATATTATGGATCCGCAATGCATCTATGCCGAAGAAACATAAACCCCTGCCCAGCTGGTACCAACCAATACACACGTCTTTTATAAGAGTGGAAGCAAGCAAGGAAGTAATCGACATCCCTCCCCCCCTCACTGGGACCGAATAGTATTTTCCTTGAGAACACCACGGTCCCCTGCGCCGCCCATCTGCCATAACCAGACGCCCTCGACAGCCCACGCCGTGGCACTGGCGTGCTGTCGACGTCCTCCTCCGCTCGGCCCCGACTCTTCCTGTCCCTCGGCCTTTGTGTCCTTGTCCTTGTCCTTGTCCTTGTCCTTGTCGCCTCGACGAGATCCCGATCCGCCCGTGGACCCGTCCGCTTCCGCCAGCATGCCGCCCACGACGCCTTCGTTTTCAATAACGGACCACAGTCCCTCGACGAGGGGGCTACCGCGCTCACCGAGCTGGCCCTTTCCAAGCCGGAAGAGAATCCGGCCGAGAACCTGCCACGCGATGCAGCGCTGCGCCGGGAAGGTGGATTGGCTCAGGATCGCCAGCTCGGGGATCGTGTAGCCGGCGGCGTGCGGGTCCTTGCCGTGGTGGTGGAGTCCCAGGGTCGTTGGGAGTGAGAGGGATGTAGCTGGGGAGAGGACCGTGCCGAGGAGAGAGAAACGCAGGTTCGCGGGGTGGATGGCCTCGGCGCTGCTGGCGGGGTGGTAGGCGGAGGTGGCGTCGGGGTCTTCGGGGTCGGCGGAGGGCGGCTGTAGCCAGGAGAGTGCGGCGGGGTCGTGCGAGATGTTGGGGAAGTAGTGCGCTTGGAGGTCGGAGAGGAAGGAGGGGGAGGATGGGTCGAGGTTTGGCATCGGGGAGGTCTGTGATGGCGGAGCTGGGAAGTGTACGCTGTCGGTGGGGGGGAGGTCGGCGGCTGCGGGGTGCAGTTCTGAGGGGGGCTGCGTGGGTGGGAGGTCATCTTGGGAGGAGGGGGCTGGTGGAGGTGGTGATGCTGGAGGGGCTTCCTTCGTCTCTTCTTTGTCTTGTGTGCTGGGGCCAACAGGCTCTGGCGGTTGGGTGGTGGTGGACGCCGCAGCGGCCTTGCGGGTGGAGGGAGGCGGGTCGTCGATGCGGGCTCTGCGTAGGAATCGCTCGAGTAATGACGGGTCCAGAGATTCCATCAGCTCCTCGCGCTCATGTTGGATCTGCGCATCCGACATGGATGCCAGCTGTTGCGCATTTTGCTGCGCGATGGCCGACTTCTCGTCTGTCGGACCGGGTGCGGTCGCGGAAGAAGCCGAGGGTTGGGTGGATGCTGGGGCGGAGGCCTCTGGAGCTCGCCGTTGTTTGAAAGCCGAGGGCTTGTTGCGACGGCGATGCGCCGGGAAGCCTGTGGTGGTGGGTTTGAGAGTCGGCGGGGCAGGCGCAGCGGGGGATCGTTCACGGATCTCGCCGATCAGACCGGGGATGGTGATGGAGGAGGACTCTTGCAGACCATCGTGGGTATCAACCGGGGCAGCCTCATCGTCGGAGCCGAGATCAAGGACGAAACGCTCGCCGCGGAGGGCCATGGTGCTTTGGTTGAGTTGGGTGGGGGGTTGGCCGGGAGGAAAGCGGGCGCCCAAACGGGACGAGAATTGAAGGTATCCCCGGCACGTCTGGCTGAGTCAGCCCTGAGTCAGCCCGCACGGGGATGCTGCACGCTGAGTCAGCATGCGGCTCAAAAGCTAAAATGGGGACTGCTAGGCCCGGACGGGACTAGCCTCTCACCTGATTGCCCTACCTGATTGGGTAAGGCACGTTCAATCAGGTGACCCCATCTGATATCGAAAGTTGTAGACTGTCGCAGCGCCCCTTGACGAAGGCAAGAAAACCGGTTGTCGGGCGCATTGGCACCGGTCTGAAGGTGTCTGACGAACTCGAACTCGGGGGAAGTCTCCAAGAGCCGAGCACCGGTCTGGGCTCTTGCTGGGGGGTGGAGGGGGGAATCCGACCGGGCGCGAAAGCAGGCGAATTCCTGGGAGCCAAACGCCAATATTACGGCGATAACGAACCTGCAAAAAGGCGTGTCGGATTGTAACACGAGAGATTATTTATATCATCAGGTATAGCTCATCGTTAATAGATATAGATAGATCGAGCCAGCCCTAGATCCTCTGTACCCTGCGGCCCCTTTTCTTGTTGGTTGTGCAGTTGTTGTTGTTGTTGTTGCTGCTGCTGCTGCAGTCTCCGCGTTTTGCTGTTTCCTGCCCTTCCATCTCTGCTTTCCGTTCCTTTCCTTTCCTTCCTTTCCTTCCTTTCCTTCCCTTCCATCCATTCTCTCTCCTCATCTCCTTCCCCCCTCCAACTCTCCCACTCTCCCACTTCATCACCACCACCACTTTCCCCCCTCTCTCCATCTCCCTTTGTTCGTCATCCAATTCCCCTTATTCCTCTAATCTTTGTTGGAGTGATTAAGATCGGACGCATCCAATATCATCGCCTCCTTCACCACCACCACCACCCGCATCGCCTGTCCACCGCCAACCTCCTCTCCTCCGACCAACCCCAACACCTTGTCGTCTCACTCGATGCTACAACGTCTTTGACCTCTCTCCCCCCCCCCCCCCCCCCCTCTCTCCTCCTTTCTTCCCCTCTTCAACATGTCCACTGAGCCGTCCATATACTCGGCTTCAGGTGAACACGAGTCGCGCTCCCCCATCGACTTTCCCGCCCGCGAAACTCGTACCCGACGGTCGCGTCGCAGAAACCCCGACGAACTCGACATCGACCGTAAAGAACCCCCCAAACCCGTCAAAGCGAAAGAACGAGAGAAGGAGAAGGAAAAGGAAAAGGAAAAGGAAAGAGAACAGGAACCGGAGAGAGAGACCAAACGGGGCAGTCGTCGCCAGCGAGAGAAGTCCACGTCGACGCCGACCAATCCGTCCTATTTCACCGCGCCTCACGCTCGCAAGAAGCCCAAGTTGGAGGCTTCCACCCCCGATCAGAGTCCCCAGCTGGCTCCTTCGCCAATCCTCGTCCCTGCGACGAGTGCTCCCTCCGTTCCCCCGGCGGCTGCTGCAGTCTTAGCTGCAGCTCCAGTGCCAGCCCCGACGCCCGCCCCAAGCACTCCCATAGCCAGTCCCCGGGCATCTCGAATCGATCCTCAACCCATCCTACAGCAGGGTCCGGCTCGTCTGATCAACCTGTCGTCCCATCCGACACCGCCACCCGTGGCTCCGGCCCTCCTCGCCTCCTCGTATCCGACCATGATGCCATCCGCGCCTCCTCCGCGGCCGCAGTCCCAGCCGCCCGCCCCCCCGCCGCAAAGGACCAGCGGCCAGAACTTCGATCCCATTCGGTCTGCCTTTGATACGGCATCTCCAGCGCAAGCCCCGGCCCCAGTTCCGGCCCCAGTTCCGGCCCCGGCTCCGATCTCCGCCTCCTTCAGTCCTCCAACGCGCCCTCTCTCTCCGCGTCCGACCTTCCGTGCCAGTGCCTCTCCGGCCATTGCCAGTATCATTGATCCTCCCACAACCTCATCGCCGCCGATCTATGCTCCCCGTCCGTATGGATCTCCGATTCACGGCGCGTCCAGCTACTCCCCATCCCCCGTGGGGGCACAAATCGCTCCCACACCGCCGCCACCACAACCACAGCCCATACCCCAACATCAGCCTCGACCGGTTTCACCCTATGCCCTTCGGTCTCCGTATGCGCCCATCCCACAACCGCATCCCATCCAAGAACCGCCGCCTCAAGCGCCGCCCCAACCTCCTCAAGCTTCTCCTCAAGCTGCGCCTCAAGCTCCGTCCCAAGCTCCGCCCCAAGCTCCGTCTCAAGCTCTGCCTCAAGCTCCGTCTCAAGCTCTGCCTCAAGCTCCGGCGCCACAGCCCCTTCCTGCGCTTCCCCCTCCGGCCCCCGAGCCGTTGACCCCAGCGCCCTCGAATAACCGACCGCCCTCGCCTGGTCCGACGCCTATGGACATCGAGCCAGACCCACCGGCACCCTCGACAGTGTCCAAGGTGATCAAGAAGGATAAGGATATAAAAACCCCCTCGGCAGCAGCGACGCCGAAGGCTCCGTCTCCCAAGCCGCCTCGGGCGGCGAAAGAGACCCCTCAGCTACCCCAGGGCTCGGGATTGATATCCAATGCGCTCTTCGGCGTCGATGGCGGGGCGTCTACAGGCGACTCGGACAACCGCCGCGTGCCTAGCATTGTCCTGCATGTCCCGCTCCAGGGCACCGGGAATCAGATCATCAACTTCGCCCGCTTGGCTGAGGAACAATATGGCTTTGCCGCGTTGCATCCTCGCCTCGCAGCACACAAGGAGCGGCTGGCGCGTGTTGCGGCGGCCGGGGCTCTCCTGGAACGAAACGACAAGCCTGGTGGCCGTGGGCTCTCCGCGGGGGAAAGTGCCGATGAGGATCTCAGTCTGGAGATGGATCGTGACAGCGACTTGGAGGGCGAGGGAGCGATGGGAGGCGCAGCACGCCCCAATGGCGCTGAGTCGGAGGGGAAGAAGAAGCGCCGCAAGAAGAAAATGGAGGAGTATGACCGGGATGATCCGTTTGTGGACGACAGTGAGTTGGCCTGGCAGGAACAGGCGGCCGCCAGTAAGGATGGATTCTTCGTCTACAGTGGGCCGCTGGTGGCGGATGGCGAGAAGATCCAGGTTGAACGGTGCGTATTAGCCTTTGCCGCCTGGGTGACAGACATGGGTTTACTAACATGGCATTGATCTTTAGGGCCGATGGGACGATCAAACGTGGCCGTGGCCGCGGACGTGGTGGTCGGGGTCGAGGGCCTTCGTCGCATCAGCAGATGGCGTTGGCCTCGGCTGTCCCGATCTCGCAGGAGACCGGCTTGCCCGTGCGAGGGCCAGGCTCACGAGGAGGCAGCACCACTCGTCGACCGCGCATCAGCAAGGCCGCCCGTCAGCAGGCCGAGCAGGACAAAGCCGGCCATTCGCCCGCAACCTCGCACGGCCGTGGCGGTGGTGCGGCCGGTCGAGGAGGCAGCAACAGCACTCGCGGAGCCAAGAATCCCATGGTCGAACTGGCTCCACGCCCTAACCTGGCGCCTGCTCCCCCGGCCCCCAATCCTGTGGGTGGATCAGAGATCGCCATGAAGTAGGACTGTTCTCCAAGCATACGATGGATCACGACCTCCTTCTCCTCCTCCTCTTCTTCTTCTTCCTCTTCCTCTCCCTCTCTTACGACGGTACCGCGTTCGGTGCCCATTCATCGGTTTCATGTGTTTCTTTCGTCCGTTGGCGTTGTCAGGTCCGGGTTACAACAGGGGGAATGATGAAAGGGCATTCGTAGAATGATTAAGTCGGATGTAGGGCCAGTGTTTGTGCCATAGTGTCATGGCTCCTATCTCATTTTATTATTATTATTATTATCTTTTTTTTTTTTTTTTACTTTAGCTTACTCATTATCATTACCCTTGATGTGATGTGATGTTTGTGGAGTCATGCGATGTGATGTTTGTGCTCTTGCTCTGCTATCGGCCATTCGGCGTATTGTTGTTTGCTTCTTTCCTAGCTATTCATCTATCCTATCCTATTCCATCCTATATCTCCCTCCTTCCTATGGTGTGATGGGATTCAATGGTACTTGCCAATTGTTTTCCTCTCTCGCCTGTATTGCTATCTCTTCTCTCTGTACCGGTGTACCGGTGTACCTGTTGTTGCGTTTGGTCTGCGGCTGATCCTCCGGGGGATTAACAGTCTCCCAATGATTGAACATGAAAGGATGGATGCATGCATGCATGCATTACGGTCTTGCTATATTCCTACATCCCACAAGTACCTTACCCTAATTGAACCAAAGCGGACATACTATCAACAAGATATACCTGTCTGGGTTCTTGTTCTGTATGTATTTTTCGATCGGGTTTGTTTTCGTAATACGATACGGTTTTCTGTCTCTAACGGTCTGAAAGTCTGATGACTGGCTAGCTGGCTGGCTGTAAATTTTGCGAAAGTTCCCGGGGTAACTTGATATGCCGTAGATTGGAGGGTCTGTACTGAGTTTAGATAGATCAGAATTTAGGGTAGATCAATACATATATGGATGTGTATGCAGGTAGGTAGATAGGTAAGTAGATAGATGGCATCCGTCATGTACAGGGGTGGGTGCTCTGCTCTGCTGCATTGGGTTTATGCCTACATGACATGACAGGAAGTCACTGCTATCGAACAATGACATGGGCATTGGGTGGTAGAAGGTTTAAAGGGGAAAAGAAAAAGGGAGAAGAAGATACACAAAGTGGGTAACATATGCAGGATGAAGTAAGATCGGGGAAGGAAGTATCTGGCACATCGAAGATAAGATAGATAAGATAGATGCATAGTTGAAGGAGAATGAGAAAAAGAAAGAAAGAAAAATTCTGAAAGGGCCAATGAATGAATACGCCTTGCCGATGCAAAAGTGTCATGGACATAAATGGGTCGGGTACATGGTCAAGCAAGCAGCGGTGTAGTCGGGCTGTCCGTCATCCACCATTCCGGTGCTAAGTAAGAGGGGGGTGAAGAGTTGGTTGGGGGAGGGTGTAAGAGCCGACACGAGGTTCAAGAGGAGAGATTAGGGCTGAGAGATGTCGTGTCGGTTGAATGCCGCGTCTATTGAGATTCTAGACAGCGCCGCTCATGTGGTCGCCGCGCATGGAGTTGGACGGGCGTTGCCACGACCCGCCGCTGGGAGGCGGAGGCAGAGGACCGCTCGGGGGAGGCGCCATCCGAACGGGCAAAGCCGCCGCCGACTGCAGAGGCATCCGTGACTTGGTGTTGTGCGAGCTGGCCGAGCGAGTTCCCATCCCGGGGTGCATGGGAGGCTCCAGGCCGGAAGACGCACCCCCAACGGGAGTCCGACGACGGCCGGATCGGTATTCGTCTTCCAAGGAGAGATGCTCGAGGGAAATCGGCGGTGAGCGTGTGGTGCGCGAGGGCCGAGGCGACGGGTTCGCGGGGAAGTAACTGTACTGGTGGTGCGAGGGGGCGTCGTGGCCCACGTTCAAGGGGATGTCGCCCGAGGACGGGGCAGGGGCGTACTGGGGCGTGCGCGCGGGCTTGGTGGAATGGCCGGACTGGCTGGACTGGGGCTTGGGAGACGGGTTCGAGACCGGAGGCTCTTCTTTCAGCGACTTGGGAGGCGGCGGAGCCAGGTATGACTTGCGGTTGTGACGCTCCATCATGCTGATGGCCCATTCCTGGAGATCAACCGGGGTCCGCTTGGCGGCCTGCAGGAACGCATCCTTGTCCTATATCGGGGGTCAGTTTAGCTCCCTCCATCGGAGCACCAGGAGCGAGGGGATGGGACATACATAAAGTTCCCGAGGGGTCGGGCGTTCCTCCGGCTTCTTGACCAGACACTTGGCGACGAAATCGTGCAGGATGGGAGGGAACGCGTCGCTCTTGGGCAGCTTCGGGGCCGGCTCATGCACAATCTGCTGCAGCAAATCCAAGATGCCCATCGGTCCCGCGCTGGCACGGTCGCCCGCCGACGAGTCCGACGTATCGAAGGGGAACCGACCCACAGCCACTTCCATCACCGTCAATCCAACACTCCAGACATCCGAGCGGACTGTGTATGCGCCACCCTGAATCCTCTCCGGGGCCATGTAGGTCGATGTGCCGACGAATGTATCTGCGATCGAGTTGACCGTCTCGGTTGCGACGCCGAAATCGCAGAGCTTGATGTTACCGCGCGAGTTGACGAGGATGTTTGAGGGTTTGATGTCCCGGTGCATGATGCGATGCGCTTCGTACAGATAAACCAGACCCGCGAGGACGGACTCGGTGATCTTGCCCAGTACGTCCACACGCACGGGGCCGAAGTCCTTGGATATCCGATCCAGCGAGCTATGATTTAAGGGCACGATTAGCCCCAGGCCCGGCTGAGGTCCCGCGATCCTTTGCGGAGGGGGGGCTCACTTACCCGCAATCCATGTACTCCATGCACAGCACGATATCTCTGGCTTCATTCTGGAAGGCGCCGTAGAAGGTGACGATATTGGGGGAGTTGCAGTCGTGTCCGACCTGGAGCTCTCGCAAGATCTGCTTCCTCACGTTCTCCTTCGCGTCGACCCGGATGATCTGCGATGCGAGTCAGTACACGAGGGATCTGCCGTTCGACACGGACGCGGAGTGTCTCTGGGAGAGGTACCTTTCGAGCCATGACCACCTTGGTGGAGGCGTGCATGACTTTGGAGACAGTGCCACCGTTTCCGGCCCCCAGTTCCTTCAAGGGAACCAAATCTTCGCTACGCAGGTCGAGACGAAACTCTAGGCCGATCTCCAGGGTATCGGTGCGGTTGGAGTCGCCATTTCCCGCGGCGCCGGACGCCTGAGCATCGCCGTCGGAAGGGTTGGAGGTAGGTTTCGGGGCAGCGTTCAGGGCGAGGCCCTTGACGTTCTTGCGCTTAAGCGTTCGCGCCTTGAATTGGTCGGCCATGGCTGGGCAACGGAGGCGATGCTGCCACGGAGACTGGGGAGGATAGAAACGGGGAGGGGGGAGAAGGAGAAAGGGCGAGGGAGTGAGTCGATGAGAGTGGGAGGAAGACGGAGACGGGGACGGATGTATCTCAGAGTTGTCCGCCCAATTTGTGGACGAGCTGCCCAGAGGAGGCGACTATGCGGGCCCGTGAGACAGGAGAACGGACCAGTGTCTGACCGTCGGGCGTGCAGCGGGCGGGAGTTATTGGACGCTGAGACACCGGATAAGCGCCGTGAACAGGTGGGGGGGACGGGGAAGGGGGGGGGGGATGGATGGATGGATGGATGGATGGATGGATGGATGGATGGGACTAGATAGTAGATAGTATAGTATCTTGGAGGTAGGAGATAAATCCCCCAAGAGGAGTGGAGGGCCGAGGGAATGGAGAGAAAGAAAAGATCGTGAGGGTGGGAGTTGGTGAAGGAGGAGAGGAAGAGAGGAAGAGGGGAAGAGGAGAAGAGGAGAAGAGGAGAAGTTGGGGCGGAGATGCCAGAACAAGCAGGAGCAGTAAGGAGCAGTAACTTAAGTAGCAGTACGCTGCTGCTCTTCTACGAGGCTGGTCTAGCCAGGTACTACTTTATCTACTACTACACTAAGTTCTGCCCTCAAATTTCCCCCGAGGGATTTTTTTTTCCCGAGTTAGGGAGAATCCGAAACAAAAGAGCAGCACTGAGAGGGTCCTGTTGTTGACGACCTATGAAACAAGCGATGGCGTCGACTAGACGATGGATGGATTCTTTGTCTACAAGTCTGGGCTGGACAGGTGCCACTGAATCCCACAGACACTGACATCCATCCAGACACGAGAGACAATCGTACCAACAGTACTTGCACCCTATTGAGAGACTACTATTTATATATATATCATATATATAGATATATATTTGTCTAATAGTGTGGTGTTGTGGTGTTTGGTGGTGTTTGTCCGCCGAGGGGCACCGCAGTCACATGACGCTATCAACCTGCGCCTCTGGCCGGCTTTCCCCTCCGTATCCACTAGTCCCAATCCGGGCCTGGTCCTCCCACGTGAGCAGCTGCACCAGCCACAGCTCAGCTCCGGCGGGCGGTGAAGGCGGACGGCGCCACAGCCGCCGGGTCTTTGCTGGGATCTCGTCTCGGCCATCCAAGCAGCCCATTCTATCCTTTCCTTTCCTTTCCTTTCCTCTCATCTCTTCTCTCCCCCAGCCTCTGTGCGTTACCACTTCACTGCGGCGGTCCCTTCCCTTCGCCTGGTGTTTCGTTTCGAGTTCACTCTATCCCCCTCAATCCCTCCATCCCTCCCCGCAGATTCCTCTTCCGACTATCCTTTACTCGACTCCCCGACGTCTGACACCACGCAAGCAATCCTAGACCGTCAGAATGAGCGCCCGTCATTTGCTCGAGGGGGAGGCCATGGTGGATGACGATGAAAACGATGAAGAGCTTGCCGATGACTACGAGGGGCAAGTTCGCGAGGGTGCTGGCACCAATAACAACTACGACTCGAGTGAAGAGGACGAGGATGATGACGACGATGAGGAGGCTGCCCGCGCTGTATGTCTCCCAGTCACTAATGGAGCGCCCATACGCTCTCGCACCCGTACTGACCCGATTCCCCACCCCCTCCCCACAGGTTCGTGAGGGTTTTATTGTCGATGAGGATGAGGAGATCGAGGAGCGCGCCGAGCGCCGACGGGAGAAGAGGAAGCAGAGGGACCGGGAACGTGAGGATGAGCATTTGGATGACGAAGATCTGGAGCTCATTGGCCTCAATCCCAACTTCCAGTCTTCCTCCGCCACAGAAGTATGTCTTGGCTTTCATTAACCCCCCCCCCCGGTCTTCGCTCCATCGCGCGTGGCGTGTCTAACTATCGCACTAGCCCAAGTTTAAGCGCCTAAAGCGTGGTCACAAAGATCGCGATACCCGGCAAGCTTCCCAGGGCATTGACGACATCTTCAACTCCGACGAGGATGAGGAACCGGCGGGCGACTACGGGAGGTCCGGTCATCGGAGACATATGCACGATGAGATGGACGACTTCATCGAGGAGGACGTCTTCTCCGACGATGAAATGCAACGAGAGCGCGAGGACCTGGAGGTTACCCGTGCCTCCAAGGGAGGACTGGGTGTTACCGATGCGACCGGCTTGGACGAGAATGCCCTCGAAGACATGCGCGCCGCGTTCGGAGATGGCAACGAATACCTGTTCGCGTTGGAGATGGAAGACCAGGAGGATGAGCAGGAGGAGAACGAGGAGAAGCATCTGGACTTGAAGGATGTCTTCGAGCCGTCACAGCTGGCCGAGAAGATGTTGACGGAGGAGGATAACCAGATTCGTCTGCTGGACGAGCCCGAGCGACATCAGATTGCCCGCAAGCCCTACCGAAATGTCGTCCTGACCGAGGAGCAGTTCCGTGAGGAGGCGGCCTGGATCTCCAACCTCATGCTCCTGAAGAAGCGCCTCGAGCCCGAGCTACGGGAGCCGTTCCAGCGCTCGGTGGCCAAGGTCTTGGAGTTCCTCATCACCGACGACTGGGAAGTGCCATTCATTTTCCAGCATCGGAAGGACTACATGATCCATGCGGCGAAGGTGCCGACGGATGAGGTGAGCGATGACGCCGAGGCCTCTCAGTACACCATCAAGGCGGAGAAGCTATTGAACATGACCGATCTGTGGGACATCTTTGATCACGATCTCAAGTTCAAGGCGCTCGTGGAGAAGCGCAACACCATCCAGAAGGCCTACGACAACCTCCAGAGCCTCTTCAGTGTGACCGACTCCATTGTGGAAGAAATGCTCCCGGTGGCAGTGACCATGGAGGAGCTGCAGGACATTCAGGACTACATCCACTTCCAGTACGCGTCCCAGTTGAGGGACATGAACTTGATGAACGGAGAAGCGAACGGGGAAACCCAACGGCGGAAAGCCTCGAGCAAGACTTTCTTCGAGCGTGTCCGGAATGGCAAGGCGTATGGGTTCGTCCGTGCCCTCGGTATCACGGCGGATGCATTCGCGCAAAACGCGTTGAAGGAAGGCCGCCGCCAATACACTGAAGATCCTGTGGAACGACCCGAGGAGCTGGCGGATACGTTCGTAGACGCCGACTTCTCCAACTCTTCGCATGTCGTCAAAGCGGCCAAGACCATGTTCGCGGAGGAAATCATCCTGAGCCCGAAGATGCGCAAGGTCGTCCGGCAGGCCTACTACATGAACGGCGCGGTCGACTGCTTCCGAACGGAGAAGGGCCTTCGTCGGATTGACGAGCAACACCCGTACTACGAGTTCAAGTACCTGCGGAACCAGCAGCTTAGCGACATCGCCCGTCGGCCCGAGCTGTACCTCCGCATGCTCAAGGCCGAGGAGGAGGGCTTGGTGGATGTCAAGGTTCGGTTCGAGAACTTCGACCACTTCCGCCAACGCCTGTATCAGGACATCGAGTCCGACAACTACAGCGAGCTGGCGGACGTGTGGAACCGCACCCGTCGGGACGTCTTGGATCTGGCGCTGGGTAAGCTCGAGCGGCTGATCAACCGCAGCGTGAAGGAAAACATCCGGCAAGAGTGTGAGAACCACGTGGCGAAGGAGTGCCGCGAGGCGTTCTCCCAGCGCCTGGACCAATCTCCTTACAAGCCCAAGGGCATGATCCTGGGAACGGTTCCCCGGGTGCTGGCTCTTTCAACGGGCTCCGGCGTCGTCGGTCGCGAACCCATCCACTGGGCCTACGTCGAGGAGGACGGCCGCGTGCTGGAGAACGGCAAATTCACGGATCTCTCCATCGGAGATCGCGAACGTGGTGTGGCAGATGGCAAGGATGTTGACGCCTTCCGAGAGCTTGTGCGCCGTCGCCGCCCCGATGTGATCGGCGTCTCCGGCATGACCCCCGAGACTCGTCGGCTGTACAAGCTGCTGGCGGAGGTGGTGGAGCGGAAAGACCTGCGCGGCGCGCTCTATACCGACGACCGGGACGACGAAGTCAGCGATCGTCTGGAGGTCGTCATCGTCAACGACGAGGTGGCGCGCCTCTACCAGCACAGCGACCGGGCCAAGAAGGACCACCCCGGCTTCGCCCCGTTGACGCATTACTGCGTGGGTCTGGCCAAGTACCTGCAGAGTCCCCTCAAGGAGTACGCCTCGCTCGGCCGGGACATTGTCTCCATCCAGTTCAAGCCGGGTCAGCAGCTCGTCTCCCAGGACCTGCTGTTGAAGCAATTGGAGACGGCGCTGGTGGATATGGTCAACCTGGTGGGTGTCGATATCAACGAAGCCGTGTCGGACCCGGCGACAGCCAACCTGCTGCCCTACGTCTGTGGTCTGGGCCCGCGTAAGGCGGCGCACCTGCTCAAGATCGTCAACATGAATGGCGGCCTGGTCAACAACCGTGTCGAGCTGCTGGGAGTGAATGCCCAGTATCCGGCGATGGGCATCAAGGTGTGGAACAACTGCGCCAGCTTCCTGTACATCGACTTCGAGAACGCGGACCCCGACGCCGATCCCCTGGACAACACCCGTGTGCACCCGGAAGACTACGACATTGCGCGCAAGATGGCGGCCGACGCGCTGGAGCTGGACGAAGAGGACATCAAGGCCGAGACGGATGAGAACGGTCCGGGTGCCATTGTGCGCAAACTATTCCGCGAGGAAGCGCAAGATCGTGTGAACGATCTGATCCTGGAGGAGTACGCGGAGCAGCTGGAGAAGAACCTGAACCAGCGCAAACGGGCCACGCTGGAGACGATCCGCGCGGAGCTGCAGCAGCCGTACGAGGAGCTGCGGAAGCAGTTTGTCTTCCTGAGCACGGACGACATCTTCACGATGCTGACGGGCGAGACGGCGGAGACGCTGGCGGAGGGCATGGTCGTGCCGATCTCGATCAAGCGCATCACGGACGACCACATTGACGGCAAGCTGGACTGCGGCATCGACGCGCTGGTGCCTGAGTCCGAGCTGACAGACCGCTACGACATCCCAGTGCGCGCGCTGTACCAGATGCACCAGACGCTGCCGGCCAAGGTGCTCTTCCTGAACCGCAAGAACTTCCTCTGCAATGTGTCGCTGCGCGAGGAGCAGGTAAGCCGACCGGTGGCCCGCACGCCCGATCGGCTACAAGGCGAGTGGGATGATCGGCAGGAGCGAGAGGACCAGGACGCGCAGCAGGAGAAGACGCAGAGCGGCGGACGCACGATGCGCGTCATCAAGCACCCGATGTTCCGGGCCTTCAATTCGACACAGGCGGAGGAGTTCCTGGGGTCCCAGAGCCGCGGTGATGTGGTCATTCGGCCGTCATCCAAGGGGCCGGACCACCTGGCGGTCACCTGGAAGGTGGCCGATGGCGTCTTCCAGCACATCGACGTGCTGGAGCTGGACAAGGAGAATGAGTTCTCGGTGGGCCGGACGCTGAAGGTAGGCGGAAGGTACACGTACAGCGATCTGGACGACCTGATCTTCAACCACGTCAAAGCCATGACCAAGAAGGTCGACGAGATGATTCTGCACGAAAAGTACCAGGATGGCAATAAGGACGCCACCTGTGAGTTTAGGAACCCCCCCCCCCCCCCATACCAATACTTATTACCATTTCTTCGAATCTTCTAACCCAAGCCCACCCTTTAGACTCCTGGCTAGAGACGTACACCAAGGCCAACCCCCGACGGTCCGCCTACGCCTTCTGCATCGACCCCAAACACGCGGGCTATTTCTCCCTGTGCTTCAAGGCGGGCGAGAACGCGCAGCTGCAAAGCTGGCCCGTCAAGGTCATCCCCCAGGGCTATGAGCTGCAGCGCAACCCCTACCCGGACATGCGGGCCCTGTGCAACGGCTTCAAGTTGATGTTTACCAACATGCAGGCCAACAGACGACGGTAAAGAGAGGAAAACGGAAAGTTCTTTTTTTTTTCTGTATACTGTAATATTTCTCTTCACATGTGTTTTTCTCTCTTTTCCTCCTCTGGATGGGTCCGGATGGCCGGTTTTCTTTATTGTGTATTTCCCCCCCCCTTTTTCATTCTTACGCACAGCAAGTATTAGCATCCTCTGGCATGGTTGCGGGAATTGAATCTATGATGGTTGTTTGATTGGTTGGCTTGGCTTGGCTTGCGCTCTGTATGTGTATGTTGTATGTATATGTGTATGTGTATTTGATGTAGCTTCTCTGGTGTATTCTTGATCCATAGTATACTTATGGTTGTGGTGGTGGTGCTGGTGGTGGATCACCCACTCCTTAGAGCCCTAAAGTAGACAGACAGACAGACAGACAGACAGATAGACAGCCTGACAGCTCTGACGCTGTCGCCTTGCTTTCTACTACTACATAGTATATATAGTTGCCGAAGAATTATAGAAGAGGACGAAAAGTAGAAAGTAGAAATTATGGAACAAGATTTACGATGTATGTATGTATGTACTCAGCTTTTGGGCTCTATCTCGGGGATAGTTGGGGGTTTCTCGTCTGACTGTCGGTCTGTCTAGACACATTTCTCGGGGACATGGTTGAAACATGGAACGTGGCACATTGGCACACAGGCTTAGAGACAGAAACAAGAAATAGAAAACAAAATGAAGCAAAACAAAACCAAAGGAAGGAAGAAGGCAGAAAAGCGAGAAAGTAAGGGAAGCCAAACACAAATCTAGCAGAACGCCAGCAATTACGGGTGTATCAAAACCAAATCATGAAGCAGCAGGCACGCGTGTATATCCAGTTTCATGCACGTATTTCTTGCTTCCTGTCCTGTCCCTCCATCCACGAAGCGGCACGCACTTAATAATCCTCGTCGGACTGCTCCTGGACTGCCCACCGGCGACTGTTGCGAGACTTGGCCGCGCGTTTGGCAGCGCCTCGGTCGGATGTCGCGTCCATGCGCACCATGACGGGGAGGCTGTCCAGCACGGCTCGGTTACCTTGGAAGTAGTGCGCTCCGAAGCCGCCCTGCAGGACTCGGCGCAGAGAGTTCAACCGGATCCACTTCCACCAGCGATCGATGTTCATCACTCCCTGTCGTCCGACCTTCACCGTGAGCTTGCTGCCGTAGTGGCGGTTCGTTTCTTGGTCGATGGCCGTGTTGTACATCGGACCCCGGCGGGGATTCTCCACCGTCGTAAGGATGGAAGCGAAGTTGCTGTGCAGGCTCTTTTTGTCGCGCTTGCTAATGCGCTTCGTGTGTACCGTTGCCAGCGACTGCAGTTGTTGCTCGAGCTCGTGCGTGTTGTGGTAGGCATTGTAGCGTTTGACCAGCTTGGGACCGTCGCGGCCACCGCTGGAGAGGAAGGATTCCTCCTCCTCTTCTTCTTCTTCATCCTCGTCCTCTTCTTCATCGTCTTCCTGCGGGGTGTAGCTCTTTTCGTACAGAAGGGCAATGTTCTCGCCGGCGGCAATCTGCACGGCGGAGTTGCCACTCTCCAGCTGGTCCATGAAGATTTGCACAGCTTCCTCGCTCTCCCCTTCGAGATCGTCGATTTCGGTCGCCAGCACACCCCATTCCTGCAGGGCCGCCGTGACACTGTCCACGTCGTCGCTGGCATCGATGGACTGCCCGTCCGATGCGGCAATGTCCAGGAAAAAGGTCATCTGGTCCAAGATCCCGTCCTGGCCGGCCCCTCCGTAGAGGGTGCACACGCCGAGGCAGTGGATCGCAGCGGCCTTGGCCGTGACAGAGGTGGAATCGCGGATCGTGCGGGTGAGCAAAGACTCGACATTCTCGTAGATCGTGTTGTCGAACGCCGACATGGTCAAGAGCTCGATGGCACGGAGGGCCAAGGTGGTCTCGCGCACGCTGTTCTCGAACTTGATGCTTCGGCCAAATGCGCCCACGAGGTCGGTGACGCGACCGCGGATCTGTTCCTCGACATGGTGGTATTTTGCCAGACGACAAAACGAAGCGTATGCATCTTCTCGACTAGAGACGCTACTGCGCTTGCGATCCAGAATATCCTGGATGACATCCCCGAGCTCCTGGGGCCAGTCATGGTTGTTCTCCAGCTCCGGGTTATCGGTGAGGTCATCCAGCGAGCCAATGCTGTCTCATTGAAAAAGGCATTAGTAACGGGCCCGAAAACTGGCTTGCAGGGCGACGATGACATCATGCCGCGTGCGGGAGGAACAAAGGAAAAAGTCGCGGCGCCTGGTCGATCGATGCCAAAAAAAAGGGACAAACTCACCTGAGGGCAGTGTCATCGCTCATGCTGCCAGTGTCCTCGTCGTCCGAGGGATATCGGCTTGCATTCCGGGAGGAAGGACGCGAATTCTGGGCGGAGTTGGTGCGCGACGTGCGGCGCGAGCCTTCGCGCGAGGCGGCTTTGCGAGAGACGGTCTTGCCGCTCTCCAGGACTTGACGGCGCAGGTCGGGCATCCTGCGAGAGACAGACGGGAGGCGTGTTTGCTAGGGAGAAGAAAAATGAAGGGGCTTGCGGGATAACACGGGGCGATGGATCCGAGGGTTGGATAGTGAGATAGCCAGGCCGGTGAGAGGTGGTGGTCGGGAAGTTGTGGAAGGAGAGGATGGTGCAGGTTGGCCAGGAAGGCTAAGCGAAGGGTATGCCGGTGAAGATTGTTGTAGCGAGCAAGAAGAATGTTTCGAAGACGAATGACATGGTAAGTAGGATGAGGAATGGATGGCAACGATCTTTCGGGGAGTTGAAAAGAAGAGAGTGGAAGGGAAGAAGACGAGAGGAAGAAAGAAAGAAAGAGGGAAAGAAAGTCGGCGCCACCGCAAGGCAGCCGGTCCAACAGCAGTCATGGGATTGACGACCACCATCTTCCATCTTCCATCTTCCATCTTCCATCTTCCATCTTCATAACTCGCATTCATTATTTCATACCAATAAATTGCGCGTGTTCTCGCCACGTGATGCGGGGTCTGGCCTTTCATCGTTGTCGCATTCAAAGAAAAATGATCAAGTTGAAGGTGAAGGTGAAGGTGAAGCTGGAGTTGAAAGATAAACACGGAGGAGATGGCCAGTCAGGGCCCACTACACACTACACACTACACACTACACATCGTCGCAGAGGCCTGAACCTGTCCATTGCCCCGGGGGTATCGAATCTCTTGTCGAGCCAGAAGAGAAGTACGTGCGTGCGTGATCTACTTCTGCTGCAGAACCAAGTCCAATATCCGGCGCCCTTTGCTGCCCTCCAGATATTCCCTGCCCTCCCGACCCCCTTCCTCCTCGTCATCCTCATCCCCAACTTCCAGATCCACCTGTAAGCTGGCTTCGTAGGCCCCCATCACCGTCTCCTCGTCCACCCGCACCCCGCCGTTGACCAGCACCCGGATGCACTGGGCCAACCGGGCAATCTCGCGGCGGGTCTGCGGGGGGATTTCGTCGTTTTGACTCGAGTAGACGGAGCTCGACACCATCTCCTCCATGCGCGTGATGGACACATTCTCCGTCGTCGACGATGCCGCCCCCGTGCCGTCCGTGTGCTTGGAGATCCAAATGTAGCCGTTCACCCCGAGGACCACGTCCACCTCGCCGCCTCCGTTCGCGGTGGTGACCGTCCAGATCTGTCGCCGCGACCGCGCCACTCCTCCAACGCCCGCCGCGCCCGCCGCCGTAGACCCCGCCCCAACGGCGCCCTTGACCGACGAGCTGGACGCTCCGCTGCCCCCTGTGCCGGTCACGGCCAGGAAAATACCGTTCCGCAACTTTCCGTACTTCAACGACCGGGTATGTAGCGAGGCGCCTCCATCGGAATGTACGGTCTGGACTTCGGCGACAACCAGGTCGCCCTCGCTGAAGAAGGTTCGGATCTGTAGTTCATCGGCACTGGTGCGTCGACGCAGGATACCACCGGGAAGGTTGATGGCGGAAAGGGGAAGCTGGGCGAGAAGGGGGGCGGCGACATCGACTTTCCACCGTCGGGACTGCACTTCGACAATGCGTCCGACGACCAGGTCACCGATCTCGGGGGTGTAGCGGGCCCGCAGGGGCTGGACGGAGAGCAACTTGTTGGTCTTTTGGACCGTACCGGCGACGGTGGCGATGATGGAGGTCGAGAGGGGGTTGGTGTACGTGCCATGGCCTCTGGAATCTCGTCAATGCGCGGGCCTATAACGTAGCACGCAGGGGGGAGCCAACCTCATCCATTGCGGATCATCCGTCACCACTTCTCCGGGGGTGAGAACGCCCGCGCCGATATTTGTTCCTGCCACCAAGCGAGGCCGCTTCGTCGGCCTCGAGGAGTCTCCAGCTGCCAGATCGACTCCTCCGTCCGAATCCACGGACATCAAATCATCGTCGGAGTCGGGGTACGGAATGTCGACATCCTCCACCACCGGAGGGAGAATCGTGATGGCCATGCTGGAGCGGGTCGACGCAATACAGGGGAGACCAGTGGCCGGCGATTCAATGAAGTCTCTGCTCTGTTCTGGCGAAAGAAGTCCGACGAGATGGGCGGGGGAGATCTTGCATCGGAGAAGACTTTCGGATGGCCGAGCAAACCAGACAAACCGGTGGAGACCCACGTGAGGAGTCCTCCGTATGTAAGTACGTCAATCACCAGCACAGCCGGTGGAATTTACTGGAATTGATGGAGGATCAACGATTAACGGAGTATTTATTACACGCTGGTGCACTGCCTCTGGCTCTTGCCTCCCAGGCCGAAATAGCTCTGGAAGCTCTCGCTCGCAAACGCACAGAAGAAGTACTAGATAATGGCGACATTCTCCAACACTGGAGACATCAAAAGGTAGCAGAAGGGGGGGGGGGGGGGGGGGGGGAAAGGGAAAAAGGAAGCAAAGGAAACAGTGAAGCTATGACGCCTCAAGAAACAGGCCCTGCGAGAACATCAATCAATCACAGAGCACCTCAATCCCTCCATGGGTTGGGTGGAAACTGGCTATCCGCTGGGCTCCTGATGGGTATCGTTCCATATCCACTGAACTATTCAAGGACATACAAGGGGGGGAATATGTAGTAATACACAAATGAATTGCAAACACTTGATCGCGGAGTGCTCAAGCACCCATGCCGGAGGATCTCTTCGAAGGGCGCTTGGGGGTTGCGGTTTCTTCGTCTTTCTTCTTCCGGCTGGAACGACTGCTACCCCCCTTGGGTCGATAACCGGCATCTTCGTCGCGCTTGCGTTTGCCCTTCGTACCGCCGGAAGTGGATGCAGTGTCCGCCAAGATACTGTCCTCTTCGTACAGGTCCTCATCTTTGCGGGACTGTGCGGGGGCCCTCTTGGACGTGCGCAGGTTCGAGGGTCGCATGCCTGATTTCTCCGAGGCATTTTCATTATCCTGCAAGAAGATTTGGGGTTGATTCTGACGTAGCCAGTTATGCACCGAGACGTGGCTTCGTAGCGCAGCTTCTCTCTCGCGGTCGGCTAGCGATGGCTTCTTGGGAATGCAGACAAGTTGCTCAATGGCCTCGATGTCGCCCAACTTTGCATCCAGGGCGAGGTAGTGCTCAGCCTCGTGCTCTGCGGTAAGGAAGCCAAGTTCCTGGGAAGGATTGTAATCGTCCGGGTTCTCCAGCTGTAAAGGCGCAGAATGGGGAAAGTCCGCCAGAGAGCTGTAGGACATTTGCGGCGCGAAAGCCTTGCTGCGCTTGACCTCATGCTCGACATCGCGGTAAGCATCGCCTGACATTCTGCCAGCAGCCACTCGGGCCTTGGCGTCCTTGAGTATTGAACTTGCGACGTCCGGGTCATTGTACGAGTTTGGAATATCTCTTTCGGGGGGCGAGTGGAATGAACCGTCTTCCGGCGCGCTCAGGTCATAGCGTAGACTGGGAGATACATGGAGGCTGCCGTTGAACTCGAGAAGGACTTCCAAGAGCTGACTACAATCGGGTTAGTGGCAGGGCATCGACAGGATGTTGTCAGATGGGGTCGCATACTCGTTCTGTTCCTGGATTCTCTTCGAGATATCCTCGATGCGCAATCCTTCGCGAACGAGCGACTCGCTCTCTCGCATCTGAAGCTCGAATTGGACCTTCAGCTTGGCAAACTTCTTCCTGCCATTCCGTGAGTCTTAATCTCGCCAACCGCGGTTCCAGGCGCGGATTGGGTCACACTCACTTGAACGACCGGTAGGACTGCCTGGTCGCAGCATCCGGCAGGCTTTCGGCCAAAGATTGGGTGTCGTCCACGGTAGTCGACATGTTGGGGAACGGCGCAAGCAGTCAGTTAAAAAACAATAGGGACGTCTCGCGTGGCAGATCCAGGAAGAGCTCAAGGGGCAGGAAAGGCGACGTGGGAGGGGAGAGGCGGGCGAGGAGAGAGAGGAGAGAGTTGAGGAGAGCGAGAGGAGCGCAGCGTGTTTGGACGAGCGCCTGCCGATCATCAGGACGGATTCCGCCCGCGCCTGGATTGCAGGCGGAGTGTTTCTGCCCGCCGTAAAAAAAAGTTTCCCTCCGCAGTCAATCCTTTCCGGCCTCTCCATTCTTGTCTGCCAAACATCTACATAAACCGATTTACTGTTACACTACCCGCCTTACCCCTCAAGCACCATGGCTGGTATCGGCGAAGAGAACCACAAAAAGCGCAAGCTACAAGACGCCACCGAAATCGAAATCGATGTTTCGGCGCCTGAGCCCCCGTCTAAGAAAGCCTTGCGAAAGGCTAAGAAACAGGCCGAAAACCCATCCAAGTCCACTACAGATGAGACCGCAAAGGCGTCGGCTCCAGCAGAAAGCGCGGATAACAACCAAAAGCGCTCCGAATATGGCATCTGGATCGGAAACCTACCATTCTTCGCCACGAAAGAGGATGTGCGCAAGTTCCTGATCAGCAACGGCTCCTTTGCGGAGACGACCATTACCCGAGTCCACATGCCCAAGTCTGGCGACAAGCATGGGAAGGCCCAAAACAAAGGATTTGCCTACGTTGATTTTTCCACGGAGAAGGCAGCCAAGGAGGCGCTTGGCCTCAGCGAACAGCTGCTTACTGGGCGTCGCGTGCTGATCAAGGATGCAAAGAACTTCACCGGCAGACCGGACAAACCTCGGGAGGAGGGCGCTGCTGGGGCAGCAGCTGGCAATGCGCCGTCCAAGCGTATATTTGTCGGTAACCTCAGCTTCGACACTACCAAAGAGCTGATTGAAGAGCATTTTGCCCAGTGTGGAACCGTGGCAAGCGTACATGTCGCGACATTTCAGGACTCTGGCAAATGCAAGGGTTATGCTTGGGTGGTGTTTGAGGATCTCGCAGCCGCCGAAGCAGCGGTGAAGGGCTTCGTGATGGTTAAGGAGGACGATGAGGAGGAGGAGGAGGAGGAGTCCGAGTCGGAGAGTGAGAAGCGCAAAAAGTCCAAGAAGCCGCGGCAGCGCAGAGTCTGGGTCAACTTTCTTCTTGGTCGGCGGATGCGGATGGAGTTTGCGGAGGATGCGACGACACGGTATAAGAAGCGGTTTGGCAAGGACGGCGAGGGCAAGAAGAACAACGCCGACAACGGTGAGGCAGAGCCGACAGAATACGGCTCTACCGGGGAGCCACTTCGCCAGTCACGACCTGCAAAGGCTAAGAAACCAGAGTATACACGATACGACAAGGAGACCGTGCAAAAGCTGAGCGGTGCCATTGTCGAAGGTCAAGGAAAGAAGACCACCTTTGATTAGATATGCCTGCGACTACGAGAGAGAGAGAGAGAGAGTCGGTCATTGAGGTGTGAATCCTCCTTGCTGGAAGGACAACGCTGGACTAAGAGGCGCTCCACAGCATAAAGTGACCACTTGAGGTCACTGCCCTTGTAAGCTATGAGCTGTGAGCTGTGAGCTGTGACATAAGCTGTCCAGCCCTTGCATGGAAGCCACCCACAGCTTGACCTTGGGGGTGGGGAGGGGGAAGATGACCGATATAGAAGCATTGAGGATGTGAGATCCTCAGTACACAGATACCCCAAAAGTCCCTTGTACAGTGCCGCATGTATGTATGTAGTAAGCCATGAAGCAGCATGATTCTCCCAGATAGATACCAGGCCACTGAAATGTGCTGTGTGTAACAACTGTATAGTAACTATAGTATAGTACTGGATGGTTACACATGCCCGCGGGGCTTAGTCAGACATGTAAACAGTAACTAGCAGCGTCACGGAACTGCTCTGGAGCTTTGCTGGGAGGCTTCCAAAGAACTCAACAACTCGGAACTCAAGTCCCTCGAGTCGCTTCCGTCCTCGAGGTCCACGGGCGATCGGCCAGCCACTCGGAGCCGCCTCGTGCACCGCAGAAGGCCCCCTGGGGACCGTGTCAGAGGGGCGCGGAGGACGATCGAGCAGTTCTAGAATCGCTGAAGTGGTTAGGCGGCGCTAACCGGATCGGGGCGGTTGACATCGAAAGAGATGTCATGGCTCATGCTGCTCAAAACCACCAAATCTCCCCCCAGCTCTTCCATCCCGCTCAACCTGCCTGGCCCTCGCTCTTGAGGTGCATCTCCTCCCTCTTTCTTTCGCCGCCTCCTGTCTCTCGCCCCTCGCCGATCGCCATCCATTCCTCACCCACCGCACACTCACCTCGAACCATTTGGTTTTCCTCCTGTCCCCCCCCCCCCCGGTCCATCCATCCATCCATCCATCCATCCATCCCTCCACACCCACCCTCGTCTTCTAAGCCGCCGCCGCTCTCGCCGCGGCTGGTCGGTCCACCTTGATCCCTTTTCAACACCCAACCACCCCCATCTCCCTGGCCTTCTGCGACCCCGAACCCGACCCGCGAATTTTCACCTGTCTGCCCCCTTCTTCCCCCCGATCGCTCCTTTCTTATGGCTCCCCGTCGACACAACATCGGTGCTAGCCGCCGCCGGAGAAGAGACGAGGGCGAAGATGAGGGCTCGCTGGATGGAGAACTTGAGGAAGACTCCCTGAGCGAAGGATCCGTCATCAGTCACCAAGACGACGAGGATGCAGATGGAGAAGGCAGTGATGACAGCGGCGATGAGCACTCTGTCTCCCAGGCAGCAGACCACCATTTGCGGGCGCCGCAACCCAACGGCCGTATGCCCGCAGTACCCCAGAAACCCGGACGACGCCATTCCGCCTCGCCTGGGAAACGCCACACGGCCACCGCGATGTCAGACACGGAGGCTATGATGAACGGGATGAAGCTGTCCGACGAAGCGACCGAGGTGGCCGAAATCCATTTCGATGATATGAAGGGAGAGCTTGGCTCGCAGACGGGGAGGACACCGTCGGCGCCTCCGACAGAACCGAAACGAGAGTCTATTGCGGAAAAGAAGCGCCGGGATCATGAGCAGTATGCGAAGGAAAAGGACGAGAACCCGGCTTTTGTGCCCACCCGGGGTAGCTTCTTCCTCCACGATAAACGTTCCACCGAAACCGTCACGAACGGGTACAAGGCTTTCACCAAGCCGAAGTCGCGGCCATACGGTCTCATTGTGGATGGCAATGTACGCAAGTATGTTTGGACACCAGCGTGGCTTCCCTCTCCTGATTCTTTGTCCGCGACCTACGGCTAACGCATTGTAGAAACCAGATCAAACCGGATGCTAGTGAAGGACAGTGGACACACGATCTGCATGATACCGTTGCTGGAGATGAACCAGCGGCCCCGAACCCCCCATCGGTGCCTACAACTCTCTCGCATTACCCTCCCAAGCCTGTTCCCACAGCTCCTAGATCGTTGCCGCCCAACAGGTCCTTCTCGAGCACCACGTTGATCGGGAATGTGCCTGTTGTGGTCTTCTTGCCGGGCATGGCGCAACCCATCTCATACTCTGCGGTTTCCAAAAAGCAACACACTCGTTTACCCCATCATCGACCTCCTCTACGTCGCGATAAACCTGTCCGAATCTCGCTCCCAGGGCAACCTGCACGATACATCTTCCCCGCGACAGATCGATCCTTCATATTCATACCGCGAGCGCTTCGGCCTAACCAGCAAGCGTTTCGTGGGCGTCGGGGCGGATTCTTCGGGGGCGGACGACGGCCCAGTATCTATGCAAGTTCGACTTACACCCCCAGTGTCAGTATCAGCAGACGGTCGTCGTTTGGCAAGCCGCCATCCCAAGAAGGATACCATTCCCCGGCCGGCTCGGTCATCTCGAGGCAAACCATTGTCGGCGCGGATAATGGCAAACCCATCGTCCGCCTCCCTCCTTCTAGACCCCCTGTAGGGGTACCACCCGCACCGACTGGCCCTCCGTCAGCGGTGCCGCTTCTCCCTCCGCAACCTCAGCCCCCCATGTATCGGGAGAGCCGTCCGGCGCTCATACACATCCATCAGCCCCGCCCCCAGAAAACGGTGTCGGTTGCGGATATTGAAACCCCGGCCAGCTTCCCCTTCAACCCCCCACAGCCGCAACAGGAGCAGCCGTTCCACCACCAGGTCCCGATGCCTGGCAGCGGGCCTATCTATGCCCCGGACGCTCCTGGCCACCCGTCGGCGACGCCGCTGTCCCACATTCCCGAGCGTGCGATCCATGCTCAACCGTTCCAGCCATACGGATTCCAACAGCCGCAGACATTCTATCCTCCTTCCTATCCCCCCACTGCTGTATACTATCCTGTCTCGACGTCGGACTATCCCCAGTACAATGGCGCGGTAGGACCTGGCACATCGGTGGCCCCGTTCCCTCCTGGGCAGCAAGCCCCGTATATGATGCCCGGTGCGCATACCTCGGCTGAGCAAGCGTCCCAGCAGAACACCGTTGCACACGAAGCGGGGGGCACGGTGTATTTCTACGATAGCACCCAGATGTATCAGAACTCCTCCTATGGAGTGCCGAATGCCCCCGGGCCCGGAGGGGTCGTGGGCATGGGCGGCATGATCACCCCCCCTGGCACAACATACTACTATGGGCCCCCGCAAGCCGGGGTCTACTACGCCACTCAGTGAAACGAGCATTATGGATAATACGTCGCCTTTTCTCGCCTGCGTCTTTCCATTTCCCGTGAATTTTGAAAACCTCCGATTCTTCTGTCATGTTCATTTTGATAATCTGCCTCCTTCTTTCCCCAGCTCTTGTGCCTTAGCTTTTTCCAACCTGCCTGTGTTTTCTTATATTTTATTTCCCTCTTCCTCTTGATCCCTTCTCTGTTCTTCTTCTTCTTCTTCTTCTTTTTTTCCCCATCTTTGTTCTTTTTTGACTCCTGCAGTCCCCCTACTTCGTCCATTTTTCTCCCATATTCTGCTGTTTGCGTTGCCCACTCACGGCCACACTGCTTGTTGACCAAAATATGACGACCTCTCTTTTCATCATAGCCGGTGCCTTGCCTTTCATTTCGAGGTCCCGGGCCGCCGGGCCTGGTCCTCTTCCCGTTCCGCCTCTGATTGTGGTTAGATAAGGATTCTATGCATTACTAGCGATTGTCTACGTTACCGTTCTATTTTTACGCGCCTCCCTTTCGCTGCTTGCTTTTTCTTTTTCTTTTTCTTTTTTTCTTTCACTTTTTTTTTCTTCTTCCTTTTCTTTTTCTTTCCCCCCCCGACTCCGGCTTGGCTGTCATGGCCACCAGTTGTCCGTTTCTCGAGCCTGCCCGGCGATCCGCGATGTACGAGCAGCACCACCTTGTTCGATACACTCGTATGATGTTTGAATGGCAATGGTCGAGAGCCGGGCCGGGGGTGGAAGGGGGGGGGGCTTGTTACTGGGATATAATGAGTTGACGTCTCAGCCGCGACCCGGCTTCTGTTCGTAATGCGGTGCTCTCCGGTGATGTGCGATGTTTGTGTGGATGTGTGTGTGTGTGTGTATGTGTTTCACTGCCCGTTTTGAGATTCTTGCTGTTGAGGGCCGAAGAAGGGGTGGGCGTGGGGCGGTGGCGCGGCACCCAGTCTACAAAAGCAATAAAACATCATCCAAAAAAAAAAGTAGTTGACGTGCGCAGGCTGTTTCTTTTCGATGTACGGAGTAATGCCGGCAAGTATTATTTAGTGGTAAGTAGCACTAGTTACGGCTTAAGGCGGAGGTGTTGCGTGACGTCAGTTCCAACGTCAGTGCCGCGGCTTACCCACGGCTACTTACCTGGATAGTGTCGAGGGTGTCGAGGGTGTCGAAGATGTAGAGTTGTGCAGCGTCGAGGAGGGCCATGGTCTCCGTCCAGAGCCGTCACGAGGAGCCGAAGGGCAGCAGTAAGCACCCTGATCAGCCAACAGAAGAATCTCGGGGGTACTTGCAGGAAAGGGAATTGAGGGGAAAGGCGGATCATGTATCTAAGTACTGGGGACTCAGGGCTGTTGCAGTGATGAACTCATCCCGTCCGAGACCAGGGTTCCAGGGTTTAGGCACCTAACTCACTCACTTACGTAGCGGACAGGCCCTCATCATCCTGCAGAAGTTTCTCCACTCTGTATGAAAGAGGGAAGGGAAGGGAAGGAAAGAAAAGGAGGGCGGCTTAGAAAGAAGGACTTGGGGGATACGGGGGACGCCACGGTCACCGCCGGGGAAAGCGAAGTAGCTGCGGTGTATCTCGTGCTAGCAATTAGGGGGATCGGGGCATCCGGCGGGCGACGAGGCGGGCAGCTTCGCAGTGCCGGCCGGGCTGACTGGGCCAACTGGGCCAATGGCCGCCCCCCCAAGACCTGCTTCACCGCCTCGGCCGGATGCAGCAGCGCAGCCAGTGCAAGCAGCTGACCTCCAGGCAGCCCTTCTTTAATCTCCTCATCCTCTCTCTTGCCTTCTCCCTCTTCCTCTCCTTTCCTCTCCTCATCCATCCATCCATCCATCATCCTTCCCTCCATCTCCTCTTTTTGTATTACCCGTCTGACATCCCCCCTCTCCCCCCCTTCACCCCCCACCCTCCACACACACGCGTATTTATCCCCTCTCTCCTTTCTATCATCATCATAATCATCCTCCTCATCAAACTTTCTAATTCTCCGTCATCAAATTCTCCTTTCTAATCATCAACACCATCCTCGTCATCCCTCTATTACTCACCCTGTCGTCGAGCTACACACCGCTCGGTACTAGCGTGCCTTTTCCTTATCTCTCGTCGGGCCGTGCTCAAAAAACCACGCCAGGACAGACAAGCACTCAACTCACTCCCTGCACACCATGGCTACTCCATCTCCTCCTGCGCCTCCCGTGGGCCCAAGTACCATGATCACCGTCAAGGTGCTGTACAATGAAAATACTCGCCGGTTCAAGCTGCCGCTGAGAGAGCTGGGAGCTCGCACTCTACCCCAGAATGTATGTCCGTCCCCACTCGAGCTCCGACCGGAGCTACGGGCCCTCCCAGGCTCCCCCCATCAAAAAGACCCCCCTTCCCCCGCACGTGCTTGTCTTCTCGCCCTTTGGAGGGTTTGGACTTTCTATATCTTTGCACAAGAATGCTAGAGTCCAAATCACCGAGACAGCATCAACATAGGGAGAAAGGGGAAAAAAAAAAAAAAAAAAAAAAACTGCTGCTGCTGCTGCTGCAGAAAACTCCCCATCTGCATGACCGTTACTGACATTTTCACTGCCAACAGCTCCGCCAACTCCTGGGTGTTCCCGACGATGTTAACGTCATCTTCGAACGCTATTCCGACAGCGCCGGGAGCTACATTCGCCTGGATGGCAGTAATCCCGCCGTCTACAAACAGCTCTACCGTGCTGCCAAGGCCAAGCTGAAGCTGCGCATTAAGGCCACCACTGTCGAGGATCCTGCCGCCTCCCACTCATCCCTGTCCGCGGATCTCCCCGAACAGCAGAACGCGTCAAGGTACAGTTACCTCGAAACTGTCTTGGGTGCTCCTCTCCCTGAGGCTCAGGTTGAAAGTGTTCCCCTTAGTGCTTCCGGCTCGGCCTCTGCCCTGCCTGAGAACCCCATCGACTCTATTCCCGCGGTATCCCAGTCCACAGAATGGTCGGCCCCCGACAACACTGCTCAACCTCAGTACCGTGATTTCGTCTTGAACCAGGACAGCCTGGACATGCCCGTCGTCTCGCACACCTCGCCCAACGGGATCTTCTGCATCGATTGCAACCACTGTGGCCGGTCCATCGCCAACGAACACTACCACTGCGGCATCTGTGATGAAGGCGATTACGACCTGTGTCTTATGTGTGTCGACTCGGGCGTGTCTTGCCTCAACGAGGAGCACTGGTTGATCAAACGTATTGTCCGAAATGGTCTGGTTGCCAACAGCATCACCGAAACAATTGCACCTCGGAAGACTCGCGAGCAGCCACAGGAGGTGCCTGAGGTGCCTAAGGAGGTTCCCGAAGTGCCTATGGAGGCGTCCGAGGAGGTGCCCGAGGAGAAGGTCGAGCAGCTCGAGGAGTCCGTTCCGCAGTTGGTCTCAGAGATCACTCCTGAGCCTGTTTCGTCTGCTCCAGAGCCCTCTGAAAGCACACAGGAGCGTATCTGCAATGACTGTCTTAAGGGTACGTTGAACTACCTCTCTCGCACCGGGGTTCTCTTCTAACTCATTTGGCAGAACTCGACGAGACTAAGATGGTTTCTTGCGTGGACTGCGACGACTATGACCTCTGTATTACATGCCTCCTGAAGAACACGCACGGCCACCATCCAGCCCACACCTTCTCGTTGATTCACGACCGTGCCTTCTGCTTGAAGAGCCTGGTGGAATCCCGCTGCAAGCCTGGACGCCATCATCACCATGCTGCCATCTGTGATGGATGTGAGAAGGTTAGTTCTGTGCCCTTCTTCCTTCGTGTCCTCCGTGCTAATATGACCCTAGCGTATCATTGGCGTCCGGCACAAATGCCTGACTTGCCCAGACTGGGACTACTGCTCAGAATGTGCTCTCATGGCGCCCCAGATCCATCCTGGTCATCGGTTTGCCCCTCTCTACGACTCGATCGCCGAGCCTTTGCAAAGCTATGAGTTGCACTTCGGAATCTACTGTGACGGGCCGCTGTGTAGAAACAAGCCGTGCCAGAGCTTCATCACCGGGGTTCGTTACAAGTGTTCCGTGTGCGACGATGTCGACTTCTGCGCGAAGTGCGAGGTCCACCCGATGAACACCCACAACCATACCCACCCCTTGGTCATGCTCAAGACGCCTGTACGCAACGTTTCTGTCAGCACCGTCAATGAGGACCGTGGTGGATCTACATGCACACTTGGCGACCGTACCCAGAGATCGGCCTCCACCCAAGCCACCGCTCCTGCTGAGCCGGAGAGCGTGGTTCAGGAAGCGCCTGAGCCTGAGACAAAGACGGTCGAAGACCTCCAGCCCGTGGAGCAGCCTGTCTCTGTTGCAGAGCAGCCGCAGGCCGAGGCTGAATCATCCGATCCCGCTTCTGACTACCAGGCCTTCTTCATCCGTGATACTGTTGCGGATACCACCACCATGCCCCCTAATCATGTCTTCCAGCAGACGTGGACTCTGTTCAACCCCGGTCCGCTCGCCTGGCCCGCTGGCACTGATGTCCGGTTCGTCGGGGGCGATTCGATGTTCAACCTGGACACCAATCACCCGCTGAGCCTGGATTCCATATCAGCTGCCATGGAGAGCAACAAGCTTCCCGAGCCTCTGGAACCGGGCCACAGCGCCGAGTTCACGGTGACTCTCAAGACCCCAGGCCGACAGGGCACCGCCATCTCCTACTGGCGCCTGAAGCTCCCCAACGGCATGCCTTTCGGTCACCGTCTGTGGTGCGACGTTCAGATTCGCGATGAAGTCCCACCTCCCGCCGAGGTTGCGACCGTGCCGGAGACCGAGCAGCCCGCCGAGGCCCCTGAAGAGAAGGAGGCGGAGGCGGTGGGCAGTCAAATGATCTTCCCCAAGTTGGAGAAGGAGTCCCCGGCCTCGAGCACTCACGAGGCCGCGGCCACTGCTCCGGTCGCTCCCTCGGTGTCGACCCGCTCGGAGCAGGAGATCTTTGACGATATGGAGAGCTTGACCCTGGGCGACGAGGAGACCGACATTGGAGGCTGGACCGACGAGGAGTACGATATTCTGGACGCCAGCGACCATGAGTATCTGGAGGCGAAGCGGCATTAACCGACGGGTTGGCTCCACGGTGGCCATGAATTACGGACCTTTTGGGGCTTGGCCTTGGACTTGGGATTACGGCGTTTCGTTAGGCAAGGATGATGAAATACTCTGCACTTGCTCTTTGCATCTTGTTTTATTTACCCCCGCCCGAGATCGACTGGGGAAGACTGCCTGCCTAGTGCGTGAGGGCCGGTCGCCCAGCTGGCAAAAGTTATCGTCACCAACCTGTACCAGGCCCGAATCTGGGGACTATCTGCTGTAACTCTGCTCTAGGCTTCTGAAGTTGTATTTTCTCTCTTTTTCTTTCTTTCCCGGACGACAGCGCCACGCTGTAGATAGCCGAGGGAATATCATGATCGTGTAGTATGTTCTCGTGCTGATCGACCGCCGTACTTGTCTCCTCCTTCCCCGCATCTCTTGCCCATATTATTAATCATGATGATCCCAAATATCCTCTCTCTCTTTCTCCCTTCTCCTTCCCTTTCCCTTTCGATCCCAGCTAGACCAGCACCGGTAGATCACCATGGGAGGCCACTACATCAACCTATCCATCATCGCCATCCTGGTATCCACCCTCTATGGGCCGATATCTCACGAACTCACCGTCCTGGGCGTCTTCCGGACCGCGTCCAGTGCCGTGAACAGCCACGGCCAGGACCGGCGTCCCATCCACGCCGTCGAGGATACCCTCCACTGCGAGGACCTGCATTACTACCCGCCCGCAGACCAGATCTTCACGGCCTGCGAGGATTCCGCCCTCTCGCGCTTCAAGTGGTTTCCGCCGCTGGCGAATTTCGACGGTGAGGCGGATACCACGGGGTCGATTCATGTTATTGATCCACGGGTAAGTAGCTGAATATGAGATCCGACGGGGTGGGTAGAAAGAGAGATGGAGGGCGAAGGGGGCTAACTGCGATTCTCCATGAATGCGATCCGAGTAGACACTGATCTCGTCGCGTCTGGCCTTCGAGAACTTCTCCGGTCCGTTTGTCACGCATGGCATCGATCTCATCCCCGATCCGGAACGGGAGGATGCCGTGTATATCTTCGCGGTGAATCACTTGGGGAACCCGGAGTATCCTATCCGTGCTTCTCGCCGTCGTCAGGAAGAAGAAGAAGAAGAAAAAACATATCGGAGACACGAGACCGGAAACGTCCCGCGAGCTCGCTCGCAGATCGAGCTCTTCCACCATGTCCTGCAATCCGGCAACGCGAGACACGTCCGCTCCATCCGCCATCCGCTGATCACCACCCCGAACGACATCTACGCGGCCTCTCCGCGTTCATTCTACGTCACCAACGACCACCACAGCCGCGAAGGCTACAAGCGCATGGCGGAGGACCTGCTCCCCGTCGCGAAATGGTCCAATGTCATCCACGTCCAGCTGGACCGGCTGCCGGGCATCTCGGCCGAGGGCGGCGTCGATGCGGTCGTCGCCGCAGACGGACTCCGGAATCCCAATGGCCTGGGACACGGCCAGTCGGAGGACGAGGTCCTCCTCACCAGCGCCATCGGGGGCATCCTGTACCGCGCCCGTCCCAACCCGCTCAACCGCACCGTCACCGTCCTGGACCACTTCGCCTTCGACAGCACCATCGATAACCCCAGCTACTATCGCGATCCGTATCGGACGTCCGACGATGACGCGAGCGGGTATATCCTGGGCGGGTTGCTGCGCGCTGTTGATGTCGCGCAGACGCATAACCAACCGCACGCTAAAGAGGGGGTCATGGTGTGGCATCTTCGTCGCTCGCCAACAGCAACAACCAGGGATGCTGATAGGGATAGTGACAGTGGGTGGGAGAAACGCCTCATCTTCGAAGACGACGGCACGCACATCCGCACCGCCAGTACGGCCCTCTTACTCCCCATCCAGTCGGAGGAGTCATCGAAATCGACATCGGAGAAGAAGGCCCGCTTGTTCGTCACCGGCTTTGTCTCGGAGGCCGTCATCGCCGTCGAGGTCTCCCTGTAGGGCTGAGTCGGATGTCCCGATGGCGATAGTAATCAATATACAGTACCTCATGAACCTATCACTCTATCATCGGTCGATATTAATTAATTAACGGTTAGCGGGGCGCATCTGCCATGTACTATGCATGTGCCATGTATGTCATCTGGATTAGGAAAGTAATTACGCGTTGATGTCTGGGCCCCGCTATCTGTACTTTGTACTTTGTACAAGTGTTATTGCGTAGACAGGCATCCGCCTAACTAACACTGCTTTATATATTGATCCATCGGATCAGGTTCTCTCGGGGGGGGGGGGGGGAGACGAGTGGGCCAAGGTGATTTTGGTTGTCGTGACTGTGGGTGTAAGTACATGTCAGTCGGTCCGTTTAAAAAAAGAGAGGAAAGTGGAACAGAAAAGGCCTCGAAGACTGTCTTGATTCATTTTGACGGAGATATATGCAGAGCCCTATACATCTCTCAGTTTGAGATGGAATGAACATGACGGTCATCGACACCTTGGCTTTCGATCTTTTTCTCCCTCCCTCCCTCCCCTCCTTTCCTTCCTGCAATCCAAAAAGGACGCCACGATCATACTATAATATCCACGTCAGGCTCAACAATCAACCCTCTGACTCGAGTCCTACTTCGGGAACCATCTCTCCCCTCATCGCAGAGATCAATTCGATCCTGCCTCACTCACCCCCTCCTCCTTGGCACTGTCCCGATGTCTGAACAACACCCACAGCAGCACCGTGGCACCCCCCATCAGCCCAGTCATAATGGCATACATCGTAACCAGCTTGGGGTCTACCGTGAGCGGCGTAAACGCCAGCGCCAGGCAGCTTCCAATGCCCGCCATCGCGAGCCAGATCGCCTGGACCAGGGTCTTCATACTGTCGGGCGCCCGACTGTAGGCGTACTCCGTTCCCGTGGTCATACAGAAGACCTCGGCCACTGCGCCCGTGAAATAGGTGGGAATCTGCAGGAAGGCCGAGATTTGGTTTGGGACGGTGCGGTCGTGGGCTGCAGGACATGCTAGAGGGTAGTCATAGCAGGGTCCAACACTGTAGATGAGCTTCTGAACCACGGTGGTATAGACCATCGACCCCGTCAGCACGAGAAACCCGACCGCCATGCGCGCAATGGGAGCGAACCGCATGCGGTGTCGGGTCAGAAACGGATACAGTCCCTTCTGGATGATCGGGGCGACGACGACGCCCGAGAATGCCCCGGCGATCTTCATCATGTCGTTGGGGATCCCGTACGTTTTCATCTGCCCGGCCTGGGAGATCAGGTTGTTGAATGTCTGGTTGAAGCAGAGCCAGTGAATTGGGAATAGCAGCCTGCGTGGAGATGAGTCGGAATGTTGCAAGGAAGAGCCCGTGGGTTTATCTATTCACTCACAGAACACGACAGGTGTGAAGACTTTGCTGGATATCTTCGATGAACGAGTCATTCCAGGGCACTTGTCGGCCGTGCTGTGCCAGCTGTACCTCCGGCTGTGCGGCTTCCATCTTGAAGCCGCCCGCAATGCCATATTGCAGGGCAGCAGCCACCTGGGGCATAATGTTGGCGGGGGGTGATGTTCGAACTACACACTTGGTCAAATTTCGATCCACGCAGGCCGTCGAGGGTTCGACTAACCAAAGTGGGATCTTCCCAGAAGGAGCGGAGTCAGCGCCAGCCACATCATGCAGCACGGAATCAGGTAGGCCAGCCAAAAGCCGACATATCTTTCGAGAAGTGGCGTGCAATCTGCGATAAAACAAGCAACGTTCACAGCCCTGTGTTGTCATGTCAGCCTCGGTCGTATCCAGCAAAGAGGGCTACTGACCAGTAGTACGCATTGTAGATATACGTGATGGTCAATTCACGGCTGGTGACGACCCTTTCTCCTGTCTTCCGGGTCCGGACTCGGAACTCGGTTTCGACGTACTGGTCGGCTGGAGAGAGAGAGATCAGTATAATGACTGCGAAGCGGAAGAAGCCCACAACATACCAATGAAGGGAACCACGGCGGTCTTGAATGCTCCGGAACCCACCCCCATAAGAGCGCAGGCGGCGACCATTCCACCCAGAGCAGCCCCTCCGTGGATGGCGGCTGGCATCGACGTTGCGAACAAGATTGTCGCCCCAAGGGCCTCGATGCTATTGCCCCGTCAGCCAGGTAAGCAACACAGGGGAAAGGGACAGCAGAAGGAGTAAATGAGAGCACTGTACATAGCAGAGTACAGCATCGTCTTGTAGCGGCCAAGCCAGCTATCAGTGACAATGGCAGCCGGAATGGGGACTAAATACGAGGCAATCGTCAACGCATTGATGACATCAGACGCAGTCGCTTCTCCGAGACCCAAGGCACCGGGAACTTCGCCGCCAGGGGCATTTTGCAGGTAGTTCTCTGGAGAAAGATCAGTCTATGAATCCTTTCCAGGTATCACGGGGGAATGGAGAGAAGAGGCACGTACGCAGAGGAGCCGTCGCCCCGTACCACACAAAGCGCTCGAAGATACCTGCGAGACACGCGATCCAGAGTCGGACGGGGATCTCGTCGACCACATGGAGAAGATCGCGGACTTCGTCTTCGGTAGCGATTCGACCGTCGTCCGAGTCGGTCTGGATCGAAGACACGTCGGGATGAACGGAGAGCTGTTTCTTAGAAGGCAAGGCAGATTGTTGGTCTGCATCCACCGAAGAAAACAAGATACCGATATTAGTATCGTTGGCTGTGGGGGAATTAGGAGAAGCCAACACCAACCGTGAGGGTAAGCTGGGCTCTGCGGTAATCGCAGAGCCGTGCGCATCAGTCACTGGAATCGGCATTCTGTTGTCTGTGTTCGAGGACTGATATCGTTGGGTGTGACTTGATACCTCTCATTCATCAATGGGGAAGATCTGTCAACGGACGAAGCGACCTAAGGCTGGCGGGGGTCAGGCTGGGATTAAATAGATTCCGGGGCTTATCACTAGGGCTTACGTGGATTCCAGCAGGCGATTGGACTGCCAGCGCGAGGCCTGATTGATCCCCATCATGAGATAACGGATGAATCCTGCCTGACAGGATGGGGCTGGCGTGGAGGGATGAAGGCTGGATGGGAAACGGGATGGAGACGGAATGGAGGAAAAGAAGCGTAGTTGGTTACATAGTTAGTTAAGGAGGGGACTGACTAAACGGGGTACATAAAAAGTATCTGGATGACGCCGTCGCCTTAGTGCCTAGATGCCTGAGCATCCTCCAGGCATCAAATTACCCCATTTGGAGTGATGTTCTTCCCCGACATTTCGCCTTCGCCTTCGCCTCCGACATCTTTCCTCCCTCCTCTCTCCTCTTCCCATCCCATCAGCAATTGAAATCCTCTCTCTCTCCCCCCCCAATAAACCCCCTCTTTTCTACCCATTGGCGCCATGCCGTCCGCTCTCTGCCCTCACCGGGCCCTCCTCCGTCCACCCCCTCCCACCTTCGCCATCGTCGCATCTCTCCTCGTCCATCGCCCTCACCCTCACCACCACAACTTTCGCCTCTCCCTCTCTCACGCATATTCCTCCCACTCCTCGAAATCACACACCCGCCCCTCCTCCTCGACGCAACCCTCTACTACCTCCTCCACCTCCACAACCTCGACCTCCTCGCTCGCCCACGACATCAATCCGCCCCCGAGCACCCGTCCAGCGGACCTCAACCTCCCCGCGACCCTCCCCAAAGACGCGCCCCCAGCCTCCAAACTAAAACGCTACATCGCCGTCGGCCGCGCCTACCTGACCTTCTACAAGACGGGCCTAAAAAACGTCTACCACAACTACCGCGCCGCGCTCCCCCTCCGCCGCTCGCTAGGGCTACCGGTCTACCTCCCCAGCTCCCCGCCGCCCGCAGCCCGCCATGCCGCGGCGTTTCGCAAGTCGCTCCTCTCCTCCGACCTCAGTCGCTCGCAGTTCCAGCTGCTCCGACGCTCCGCCTACGATGTCCGACGCATGATCCCCTTCGCGCTGATCCTGATCGTCTGCGGCGAGATGACTCCGCTGGCTGTCCTGGCGCTAGGCAATGCCGTCACCCCCTTGACTTGTCGCGTGCCGCGCCAGTTGGAGAAGGAACGCATCAAGCGGTCTGTCCGTAAGCGCGATGCTCTGGTGCCAGTGGGCTCCGTCACGGCGCCCACGGTCGGGTCGGACGCTGAGATGAGCGCCTTGCGTCGGATGGCCGATCCGGAGTGGATCCGCGACGCGGACGATCACGCCGTGCTGCGTGCTTGCGCGGCCCTGGGCCTGGCCAAGACTCATACGCGCCCAACCTGGTGGGTGGGCCTCATCTACCGCCCCCGGTTGAACCGGTATGCGGAGTATCTGGATCTGGATGATGGGTTGATTCGCTCCTGCGGCGGCGTCTCCAGGATGGAGGCGTCCGAGGTGCGTATGGCTGTGGAGGAACGCGGTCGGGTCGGGGTCGGTCTGACGGGGGGGGAAGACGGCTGGGAGGTGGAGCGCGAAGAGAGGCGCTGGTTGGAGAAATGGCTGGCCGCGCGAGAGAGAAAATAGATAGAGATAGAGTAGGCGGGGAGGTTACGACTGGCCTGCTCCGGCCGACGTGATATGATGGATGATTCCAATGGGGGTCGGGACACGGCAGTGTGTCCCCTGTATAGTATTATTAGAGCTTGCTACTCCCGGATAGAGAGGCGCGGGCATATGTATGTATGTAGACAGACAGTATGGATCATTTCGACTCGTCACCTCGCTTGCGACGGTAGCTGCAGGCCCATCCCCATGCCTGCCTGCCTGCCTGCCTGCCTGCCTGCCGAAGGAGGCCTCATCATCCTCGCCGGCCGTTCTAGTATACACTGTACAGGTCAACTCCGGTTCACATCACTCCCGCGGCCCGGACCCCTGCGCCCGCATGAATGGGATGCATATTCATCCGTTCCATCGTGAGACTCATCATTCTAACCCCCTGCCCACCACCATTTCGCCATCCAAAACAAGTAAGCAATGCAATTCCCAGAAGGGGGGGGGAGACAAATGTCATCATATGAGGGCTCAAAATACGCGATCAATTAGGGGGAGGGAAATGGCTATCCAAGAAAAAAGAAACCCGGGAAAACAGGGGGAAAGGAGACCATCAGGCACCAGCGGCCCGCGCGGCCGTTTGGGCGGCATTTCGGACTTGCTTGGCCCATCGCAAACCACAACTGTTGCACAGGTCCCGGTTGCCGCTGGGCCCTCGGCGCCATTCCGGCGTGCTCTTCGCTCGGCACATCACGCAGCTCTTTTCCACCATGATGGTGCTCTGCTTCCGCTTGCGCTTCTTCTTCCGGGTGAGCAGTCGCTGTACCTCGTCCGACAAGCTGCGGTTCTGCTTTTCCGTCTCCCGCAGCTCGAGCTGCCAGCTGGAGCCGCGCGTCGGGGCCAATTCCGTGAAAAGGCTGTTGCCGCGTAGCAAGATCACATCCTGGTTCCCGGCCGGCAGCTGGCTGGGTCCGATCATGCTGGAGACATCTCGACTTGCGGAAGGAGCCGCTGCGGCGTCGGCGGGTTCCTCGGGACTGCTTGAAGCTTTGTGGAAGTGCAGCTGCGCGACCAGGAAAGAAGGCCGCTCCCCTTCTTTGCTATCCCCCGGTATTAACGTCGTCTGCACTGGTATCATATGGCCCTTTTTGTGTCGAATCTTGTGCGTGAACGAAACTTCCTTGCCAAAACGAGCCGTCTTCAGCGCCTCCAGCGCCTGAGGTCGCGTATCGGCTCCCATCAGATCTTGTATGCTCTTTCCGACCAACTCGTCCGACACACGGCCCAAGACCGGTCGAGATTTTGAGGAGATGAACAAAATGATCCCCGACATCGAGAGTTTCGCCCAGACATCATTTTCCGCCAGCAACCCGCGCCCAATGATCGCGGCTTGATCCAGACTGTACACTGAACGTGTTCTCCCAACCAAGACCATGTGTTGCCGTCCCCGGTCCGTGATGTGCCATGACCCATGACTCTCAAACCAAACATATCCACTGTGTTTCTTTCGGATTCGATACACCACGCTGACCGGCTGGGTGGAGATGCAGGCACGTAGATCGCGGATGACGGGGCCGATGTCACTGGGGTGGCAGACGGTCGACAACCCCTTCCCTACTAGTTCAACCGGTTCGTACTCCAACACCCGCCGACAAGATGGGGAAAGATAAAGAAATTCGCCTTCGAAAGACACAACATGGATGACATCGTCCATGTTCTCCACAAGGATACGGTCAAGGTAGCGTCGGCATGTGGGCTCCGGGCCCACCAAGCTCTCGAGGACGGTAGACACTTGTTCGTGCGCAAAGAAGGTGACCAGATCCGGGTTGGAACGGTAGACGTCAGGATCCGGGACCATATAATTAGGCAGCTGGCTGCGTTGGTAATTAATCATGTAGGTTCCATCTGCACGAATTGTGGTCAGAAACATCAGGACAACACCTCTCGACAGAGAAGGGGCCATACTCGGATTTCTCCTGGTCACAGCATCGGGCTTCTCGACCAGATCGACCTGGAACCCCACGTAGAACCGATAGTCATTACCGCCCCAGCGGATGGGAAGCATGGTGATCAGATTGACGAAGGGCTGTCCGCCTTTCCGATAATTAATGATGCTGGCCTGTATTTCCGTTCTCTCTTCTATCGTCGATCGCAGGCGAAAGGCGGTGTTGTCGTCGACAAACTTCCGCTGCATGCCCTTCTGGACCAGGCCATCGGGCCCTTGAAGGAAGCGACAGTTCTGTCCCACAATTTCGTCATTGGTGTAGCCCGTAAGTCGTTCGAAGGCGTCGGAGACATAGACGATGGGGTGGTCCTCTTGAAGGATGTCACAGAGCACAAAGGCGCATGACAGATCGACCGCGCCGATGTTTATCTTCGGATCCGGCCGAGACACAACTTGAGCCTACACAGAGGGGTCAGCCACGAGCACCTGGACGTGGAGGTCGCTCCACCCTCGTCGACGGTTATGGGAATGGAAGCGGCCGACCAGCGATCAACTTACCAGAACCCCCATAATGTCAAAGCCACTATTCGAATAGATACTGGCATACGGAGCCTCTTCTTTGGGCTCCACTTTAGCTTGGGGTGGGAACGAAGCTTTTGAACGGAATAATCCACATCAGCCTTCCGGACAGTTTCAATTTGGATAGGAGGAAGACCCACGCTTCGCCGGCGACGGCCTCTTCGGCTGAATGAATCGATGGGGCACGGGCGGGTTTGCCGGTTGGGTATATGGTTGGAACTCTTGGGGTTGGCTCTGTGGCTGGCTCTGTGGTGCCGGTTGATCTCGAGACGGTCCGGGTATATGCGAAGCAAAGTCCCCCGTTGGTTGGGATACGGGGACGGCGGGCTGCGCATGGGGAGTCATCCCTCGGATGGTTTGCTGACCCCAGAAGTTGTTTGTCACCGTCTCCTGAGCCTGTGCGACCGAGTAAGCTACATTGGGGTCCAGGGGGATGGTCTGCGAGTAGTGAACATGCTGGGGGCCCGGATGCTGTTCCAGACTCGGGTCCAGCGGTCCCGCGGAGGACCCAAAGGCGGCGGCGTCATACGGGAAGGGGGTCCCCCGGTCCAAGCCTAACGGGATGGCATGTGCGGAGGTGGATAACGGGTCGTAGGCGTGCATGGGATGGGCGATGCTGGCGGGATGTGGAGGCGCATGGTGACCATGATGGGCATGGTGGGCATGGTGGGTATGGTGGACATGCTGACCATGATGGGCTGGGGGCTGCATGGCATATCCATCGGGGTGAGATGGGAGGAGAGCACCGGACGCACCGCCGACCAGCAGATCTTGGCCGTGGGACGGGTAGGGAAAGGTGCCGGGATGGAGGTGCTCGGAACCGGGATAGGCCATCAATTGGGAAGGAGGAGGATGGGCATTGGAGTACTGCGATGCGGGGGGTCCCATCTGACGGTCCGGCACAGGGTAGTGTGCCTGATAGAAGGCATCGTCGAAGCCTTCCATCGCGTGGTTGACCACCCGACGATTCAGCACCGATCGATTGGAGATGAGGCGGCAGGCCAATAAGGAAGAAGCATCGAGGCCGCGGGGGAGCGTATGCGGTGTGCCAGCCAAGCAAACGAGAGGGACAAACAAACAAACAAACGGGGGAGGGATCCGATGCACTGTTGGTTGGTTGGTTCGAGCTCGGCGTCAATGCGAGCAAGCACTGACGAGAGATGGATGGGGGATGGGGGATGGGGGATGGGATAGGAAATGGATAGGCAAGGTAAGGTGGGTGTGGACGGGCGCTGGAGGGTGGGAACTGAGAAAGAGGGAAGGGAGGGGAAACGGAGAACAGAGCGAGAAGTTTGAAACTTGATTCAACTAGTCGGGGGTTGCCTTAAACCATGCCGGGCTTAATATAAGTTATAAGAGTGGCCCGGTGGGAGGAGGAGGTGGAGGTGGAAGGTGGAGAGGTACTTTTTTTTTTTTTTTGGCTTTGGTTTTTCTTAGGGAGGGGAGAGAGAGAGAGAGAGAGAGAGAGACGGAGACGGAGGCGGAGAGAAGAAGGCTTCACAGTTAGAGATCACTAGATAGATATCTAGTTTAAGTAAAAACCCCCCTCCTCTCGAAAGTCGAGCGAGTTATTATCTATCATCAATGGAGAAGTCGGCGCACTAGTCCAGGGGCAGCCGGAGCAGAAGGGGCAAAAGAAAATGGATGGATGATGATGATGCAGCGACGAGGCAAAAGACCGAGGATGGGAAAGGAAGTGACAAGTGACAGGAAGTTGACGCTCTTCAGGTTCTGGGCCGAGGAGGCAAGGACTGCGCCGCTCCTGATTGGTCCGTCACTGTGCAGGAGGGCGGGGCCGGCGGGGCGGGCCAATCACGGGCGGATCGCCAGATGATTCCGGGCTGATGTGTCAACCAGGCTCAGTGTGATCTATTCGATGTGAGATGAGATGTTGCAATGTTGCAACATGGAGTACTTTGTAGGTTATTGTTATTACATACTCCTACTATCTGGGTAGACACAATCAATCTAGGTATAATACCCTGGTCGGGTTCGGTGCCAGAGATCCGCCGTGTCGCCTGGCCGGGCTGAATCCGAACCACAACAAAGTACGGAGTTCGTTACACGGCAGGTACCTGAGGCCCTGAGGGACCAGGCCCTCGGGGGAGGTACCGACAATGTACGGACTTATATGGGGGTATGTACTTCGTACATGGAAGAATCTCTCCGCCCATCCCATGGGTCGGTGACGGCCGTCAACCACCACCGCAACCACCGCAACAACACCAAACAAACACCAACACCTGCCTTTTATATACTCCGGACTTACTTTCGCACTTCCTATTATTGGGTGGAATTGATCGATCCACCATGACGGCCACCTTCTGGTCCTTATCAATCAGCCCAAATGAGATCGCCCCCCCCAATCACCGCATTTGCCCCCAGGGGCCACCCTTCGCTCCCGTCAGTGTTTGAGATTGCTGGGCCTTGGATTCCCTCCTAAAATCCCCCTTACTCCCATTTGATGATGGTCGCAACACTGCAAATGAGCGCATTCCTTCCCATTTCCCTTGGGAGATTGGGGCCCAATCCCTCGGTTTTCCCTTGTACCTTTTGTGTGGCCACCCTGTCTCTTCCTCCCCCTTGAGTGCTGCGTGCCCCCTCGGGTCAAGGGAAACATTCAGGGTTCCCCTACACAGGACCCTCGCTCATTCACTCTCTGACTCGCCCAGCATCCCAGCTTTGTTTGGTTCCTTCTCATTTTTTAATTATATCATATCCCCCCTGACGCTTGTTACACGGGCCACACACACATCCCAGTCGATTCTTGAGTCCATACGCGCTCTCTTTCGCTCACTACAATACACGCCTCCTCGGCTGGTCGCGCGCGCGTACATCCCCCGTGCCGCCCCTCCGGCGCGACACGCAATGGCGGATTCACCGGAAAAGGTCTCCATCACAATATGCGGGGATGGTGGATGCGGTATGTTGTGCAACCTCCTACTTCTCATCGAGGCCACCATTGTTCTATCGTCATTCCGGCGAGCAGAATGTGGGGCTACGCGTGGGTGGGCGCTGATGGTCGGTGGTTTCCATAGGAAAATCCTCCATCACCCTGCGGCTGGTACGCAGTCAATGGATCCATGAGTAAGTCGCTGATCGGCGCCGGAGAATACGTGGGGAAGAATGTCCAGATCCCATGCTAACCGGGCGCAACGTGGCAGATATGATCCTACAATCGGTACTCCCTCCCAGAGCCCCTGCCCTCAACAACCTCGGAACGCCCCAACCCGCTAACTTTTGGGGTGCCCCCGTGGCACGCCTGCAGAGGATTCGTATTCAGTAACGCGCGTGGTCGATGGCTCCCCCTACTTCCTGTCCATCACCGATACCGCCGGTCAGGAGGAGTATCGCGGACTGTGGGCGGCTTCCAATCTAAAATCGGACGCCTTTCTGCTCGTCTACGACATCACCAGCCAGTCCAGTCTGGGCGCCTTGGACTATTTCATGGACATGATCGAGATGGAGACCGAACAGCGCGCGGAGGACAACGATCGGCTGAGAAAGGAGTTGGGGGCGAGTGCCGAGGGCCTGGATGTCGGAATGCCACCACCGGTCAAGATTGTGGCCGGGAACAAGTGCGATCTGAAGAACAGCCGGGTCATCGGGGCGCGCGAAGGCCTGGAATATGCCCGAAAGCATGGTTGTGGGTTTATGGAGACCAGCGCCAGGGAAATGGTCAATATTGAAGAAACTTTTGCCCGTAAGACCCCTCTCCACTGACACGCGCAGAACCGCCGGAATCTGACTCTCCCATAGTCCTGGTCCGTCGGGTGGTCGAAGCCCGCCGAGTACACTATCAAAGGAGTCCTCCGACAGCGGCTCCTGCTCAGGTCGGAGGATCGTCCTCAGCTGCGACAGCTCCTGTTGAAGCGGATGTCAGCAAGGAACCCACAGGAACGCCATCGAAGCGCTCGTCACAACGTCAGAGTGGTTTACGCGGGCTCTTCAAGGGAGGGAAACAGGGCCGTCAGAGTCCAGACCAGTCAGACAAGCTTAAACCAGACACGCCACTTTCAGGGCATGAGAAGCGACCGGAGCCTGCAACGCCCAAAATATGGAAGCGTCTGTGGTGTTGCTAAGTCACCGGCTCTGCCCATTGCGCTTTCCCACCCCTGTTAATATCGGCACTTCACATATACCCCCCTTTGTATACTTACCACACCTAACCCACGTCTGCATAAACCTGGTTGCCAGTTATTACATTGACGATATGCTCCGTCTCCCGGGTTCTTGCCCTGCTAGTACCTTCTGTTCATTTCACATGTGCATGGGGAGAAATGTCGAACGCTCTAAGGAGGTTGAAGAGGTTGCGGAGGGGTCCCGTGACGAGGAGAGGGCGATTGTCCCGGCAATGTTGTCCATCGGTAATGATAATGAGGTCATCGGCAAGCTCAATCCTTCCCTTGCGGAGCGAACGTGATTACAGCGAGACACGCTGTGCCTAATAGTATCTTATCAGCACCCTCTGGACGCCCAGCCCAGGCGCATCCTTTACGGGCCAGATGGCATCCCGACGGGAGTTGATGCTGAAAGCATCCACCGTCGTGGTAATGGTGGTGGTGGGGTCATGTCCGGTAGAAGGACGCGGGATGACGCGATGCTGGCGCTGCAGGCGCTGCAGGACGACGGTCTAGGCCTGTTAGGCAAAACACGTCCCTACGATCTGTTATCGGTTTCAGCTCCCGGGGATGGTAAATGGCCGGATAGCTCTGGGTCTATTGCTATTGATTTCTTTCCGAAGCCACGCCCACGCCCACGCCCTGGCAAGGTTCTTGATGGCATGGCCGCCTCAGCAAATAAGCAACCAGCGGCCCATTGATGCAGGAGGGGGGAGGAGGAGAGTCCATAGAACGGGGCATGGATCAACATGCGCCGATAGATAGTCTAGTTCCAAGGTCGTTGATCGCTGCAAACCTAATCTTCCACTGGAGCCCAACGCCACGGCGCCAGCATGAAGTCAATCCCCAAGCCATTGGCGACTGACTCCCAGCCAGTTCGGGAGGGGGGAGGGGACTTCAAGAACGTGCAATGGACGGGGGATCGCACCATGGGGACCGCGACAAGGGCTGTCATGTCAAGTGAGAGAGAGAGAGAGAGAGAGAGAGAGAGAGACGAGCCAGGGGCACGGCCAAATCATGCCGGCGGCCGGGCAGTGGCATGGTCGTGTACAACGTCAACGTCATGGACTCCAGCGGCACCGAGTCCCGGTTTAGCCTTGCATGGAACGAGGGGTGCAGCGAACGTTCTCTCGCATGTATCGAATCGTTGCTGGTGAAGCGATAGCCAGCGATGGGCTGGCCCAATCATTATTGGACCGGCTCGACCTCGAGATTTCCCTGCTTCATCCCTCACCAAAGTGGCAAGGACAATCCGAACAATCCAGCCGGATTGCCGTTTAAGCTTCCCAGAAGAACGACACCAACGGCCACGGCTCGTGACAGATCAACAGGGCCGGGTGAAACTAGTTGAGGTTCGCGATAGTGCCGTTGGCATTAGGAAAGAAAGCCCTTCTGCGATCGCTGATTCGACCCCCGAACGATGATGATGATGATCATGGTCATGGTCATAATAATAAATAATAATATGACCCGGTCATGTAATGTTCAGAAAGCATCTATCTATCGATTATCATCATCATCTCCATTCTATCCCTCGACCCTTCGCGGAATCGCTCGACATTGTGAAAGTCCCGCCCGTTCGGCATGGGTTTGCCGATGCGACGATGAGAAAGGGAAGGGAAAAGTGGGCACCAAACAAACCCAAGCTCTGGCTCTGGTGTTGTGCCGTAATGCCGGGCTATGCAGACGGGAAATGTCATAGTGCATGCGGGAATTATTCCGTGTTTTGGAACGGTTTTGATATCCCAAGAATATCTTGTCTCCTAACCTCGTTTAAAAACAACGGTAGGGTTGGGTTGAAGATTTTTTTTTTTTTCCCTACTAGTAGTGATAGCAGTAATAATAGTTCAGTCAATCCCTACGGCGTATTTGGGCTTTGCTTCCTTCCTGGTGAGGACCACGTATGCTCCCCTCCCCTCCTCCAAAGGTCTTTTCCACCACTTATCACCTACTATAGTACTAGTAGTGGTAACCGTGTCTAGCCACCGACCTAGGTACCTTACTAAGTAGGTAGATGATTGATAACTACCTCGTACTAGGTAGGTATCTTATTCTTTACCAGATAGATAATACCACTACCTACTTGGCTGGAGACTGGAGACTGGAGACTGGAGATACGGATACAAAGTATCTACTACGGGGACCCTCAATCGGAATCGGATATACGGCTCGAGATGAGCGGATTCCATGCCGACTCCACAGAAGGTTATTGAGTCAGAAGAAAGACACGAGAAAGAAAGTAAAAAAAAAAAAAAAAAAAAAAAAAAAAAAAAAAAGGGCACGCGAGAGGGGAAGGGTTGTTTAATGTTTAGTAAGGGTAAAAGTGTAACTAACTAAGGGGAGGGGGGAAGAAGAGCCGAGAACAGGAAAGATGGATGGATGGGTCGAAAAGCGAAAAGGATTTAAACGAGACGAGACGAGACGAGATGAGACAAGACAAGACAAGACGGATCAGGTAATCCAGGCTGGATGGGGAAATTTGGGCAAACCCCGTGCCGGAGACAAAGCAGGAATTTGGCACCTCCGAGGTCCGAGTCTAGCAGTCGCAGCCCGCAGAAGAACTCCGGCGCCGATTCAGGCAGTCAGCACAAGGCAGAGCACAAGACTTCCGTTATCCGTCCACTCGAGAGGAGAGGAGGGGGGGGGGGTTCCAGGTAAAGTATCTTACTAAGGTATTAGGTACTATACTTACCTGACGGTCATGACGTAGGTATGGTTACATTGTATGGAAAGTCTATGGGTGTACACCTGTAGGTATACCACCCTACCTACTTACTACCTTACCACTTACCTCCTAGAAGGACTCTACTGTAGGTAAAGCAGGATGTATCTACCCAAGACTGGGAACTCTTGATTCCCTGGTAATCTACTGCAAACCCCGAGCCAGGAGGGTTTCGTCACTCACCGAACGTTTTCCCGCCGTTTTTCCGCTGTGGTCCCCAGGCACCAGCAGAAAGAGCGAGGAACGAGGACGAGCAGACGAGAGCAACCTCGACTGTTCGAGGAGCATACAGTAAGTACGGATACGGGGAGGAAGGAAGCCCCACCGGGTACTGTACTGGAAACCGGTAACCGGTAGTAACCTAACGTGACCAGACAGACGTAATTAAGTAAGTTCCGATGGGATGACGGGCCCGATCCGTCCTGACTGCGTCAAATAAACCCATCCCAAGGAAGGGTAAGACGGCGTCCATGATGATGATGATGATGATTTAGATTTATTAGATTTATTATTATTATTATTACTATTACTATTATTATTTTATTTTTACGATTTCCATTTTTTCTGTCTATTATTATTTAATCAAATCGCAGGGACTAGACTCGACTAATCCGAATAAATAATAATCATCATCCTGACTTTACGTCGTCCACTCCATCATTCTAGTTAAAAAGCTTCGGCCCTCCTCCATCTCTCCCTCTGACTTGACTCACTTGCTACTGTCGGGACCACTGCAACCCTAGTAGTCTCCAGTCCCTGGGTCTCTTACATATTGCTCCCTCGACTGCCTCGATCAGGGTCTCGCATTGGTTCTGGGTCCCCGAACTCTACCTTCTTTGCCTTTTACCGTCCCGGCCTCGTTTATATCATCGACCAACCTTACGTATTGTCGATCCCGGACCATTGCAACACCGCATTCGAAAACCCGAATAGCTCTGGGAAAAGTGAGGGACAGAAGGAAAGAGAAAAAAAAAAGCAAAAGAAAAAAAAGGGAAAAGAACCAAAAAAGCAAAAGGCAGCTAGTAACCTACCTACCTAACCAAGCCAACCATTGAGACGGAGAGAGGGTCGCATTCATTAATCATCCGAATTCGTCTCCTCTCAATTACTTGCTCTGTTTCTCTCTGACCAGGAGCTCCCGTTCTTCGCCTTCTCTCTGCTCTCTTAACATATCACCATCGCCACATCCGGCACCATGACGGCACGCCAATCATCACCTACATCAGACCACTCCCATTCGGACGGCAATGTCCGCAAGAGGGTATGCAAGGCATGCGATCGGTGTAGACTGAAGAAATCCAAGGTAAGCCCAGCCCTGGCGCAAGCATCAGCCCGGCCTGATGCACTGACCCGGTGCAGTGTGACGGATCCAACCCATGTGGCCGGTGTAGGACGGACAACGCCATCTGTGTCTTTGGCGAGAGGAAGAAGGCTCACGACAAAGTGTACCCCAAGGGGTGAGCTTACACCTTGGCGCCGATTATCTGCTGCGTTTCACTGTCCGGGATCCATGGCTAACGCGGCTTTCCGCTGTGCTACAGATACGTTGAGATGCTCGAGCAACAACAAACATGGCTCGTCTACGGGCTGCAGGAGCTGTATCGTCGCGCCATGGAAGGGGAAGGCTGGCCAGGCGAGCCGTTGAAATGCGAAGCCAGCGGCCACCCGCTCACGCACGACCTCCTCACCCGGTTAGGAGCGCTGGACCAAGCCAAGGGCGAGCACTTCGAAGAGAACCCCGAGGCGATGCAGCAGGAACTGTGGAGGCAGAACGCCGGCCATATGCAGCGCCAGGAATCGTCCGACGGCAGCTCCGAAAGCGCCCAGTCGCCCATCATCGCCTCTCGCTTCCCCGACCCGTTTGCGCGCCAGATCCCGAACACGCCGTCTAACTTCAGCACGCCGTCTCGCGCGCCAGGGCCCGCCATCAAATCCGAGCCCCAGATGGCCCCGACAAACCCCGCCTTCGTGGCGCCCATGTCCATGCACGGCGTGGTGAACCCGCTTGCCCTGCAGGCCCCGCAACAATGGCCCGGCAACAACTTCGGCTCGTTCGAGGACATGGACCTAATAGGCGCCTCCGAATATACGAATCTGTCCTTCGATGACCAGGTCCCGTCGCCCATGTTCAACCGCCAGATCCCCATGAGCTGCATGCTGTCCTCGTCGGCGTACATGGACACGAAGGGGGATTACGAGGATATCAACCAGTTCCTCAACGCGAACCCGCCGGAAATTGCATCGACGTGAGCGGTTCGATCCCTTCGAGTCGCCGCCATTATGCTTCTCTTCCTTTGTCGGATGTTCCTTGCATACGCTGTACGACGTCACACATGTATATTCTGCATGTTCGGCTGAAACTTCTACCATAACCATAGTTCTTTTCTCGGCATTAATATGGGATTGATGCCCCTCCCCCTCCTCGGACAGCTTCCCCCCAAGGGTAGCTGACAGGCTGTATAGTGTTGGGTTTCTTTGTGGGTGACCGGTATCACAATCGTTTGCGGGGAGGTTGGTCTGGCTTTTTTTTTGGATTTTGATTCAATGGCGAAGGCGCCATTGGGGTTTTGGGAGTTGGATTGGAGTTTCTACAAAACATGGGACGGGCTTCTCACGGGCGAGAAAGGGTGTTTTATTTTTTTTTTTTTTTTGTTTTTTTCTTATTCTCTTCTTCTACTATTTCTATTTTGATAATCTACGTGAATCCTCTCCTCTTGGAGGGTATATCGGACGGATGGATGCGTTGTGGTGGTGGTGGTGGGAAATTCTAAATGATGTAGATTACTATATTATAACAGTCTGGGACGGCCGAGCGACGGCCGAGGCAGGGCCGGCGAAGCGGAGGTCGGAGGCCGACCGCCGCGGCCAGGAACGAGCGAGGAGGACGTCATGGCGTGACTAATCCTGCGGTGGAGGACGTCATGAAGGCTTAAAGGCCGGGGTCAGCTTGGCTTATCTCCGGCGGCATCTTTGGCTTTGCTTGTCTGCTTTGCTGGGCCACTCACGAGCTCCCCGATGGGGATACGAGGCAGATCCTGACACGTCGAGTCAACCCTACTCCCGTCCAAGGCAAGAAAGAGATGAGATGGGATGGGATGGGATGGGGGGAAAGGCCAGACAGACAGGGAGGCTGTTGTCTTAAGTCGCCTGTCTCGGTGGTCGGCGACTAGATACTCGCGAGCATTTCCAGGCTTGGGTTGGTTCTATCCCCGTGGAAGAAACGAAGAGGGTCCTCACTTGTCTCCACCCTTCGATACGACGGAGCCAGTCCACCTTGGGGTTTTTTTTTTTTTTTTTTTTTTTCCTTTCTTTTCTTTCCATCCCAGCCCACAGAGCTCTCTCTCTCTCTCTCTCTCTCTCTCTCTCTCTCTCTCTTTTTGTCGGTGGGTTTTTTTGACACCTTCCGTTTCCTTTGACTTGAATGGAGGGAGGGATCCGTCACGCACAGGCAGGCCGGCCGAAATGCCGACCTCCCGACGGCGCGGTCGGTGCCTTGGAGGCATCCGAGGGTTTGAATCCATCGGATGGGCCTGAAACCTTGATTCGATTCTTTCCCCTCCGGATTACGGAGCAATCTGAGTGTGACTGAAGTATATGTCTTATGGAGTATTTATTGTCCACGTGCGGTTTCATTCTTTTTTTTTTTTTTTTTTTTTTTTCTGTCTCCCTTTCTTTCTACCCTGTAGATAGATAGTAGGTATGTAGGTAGTAGTTACTTACCTATCTAGTTAGTAGTAGATATGATTTAATCCCTCCCCTTTTTCTTTTTCTTTTTTTTTTCTTCTCGCTCCCCATTGGATCTTGGGTCTTGGGTCTTGCATCCACCTGCCTGTCGTCTCCGCCTCGCCTGGGCCTGACACACTCACACTATTGGCATTCGGCTTCTGAGTATGGGAATGATCGGTTTGCATGTCGGCACTCAACTGACTGTCCCGTTCAGGCCTCCCATTGATGCATGCTCTGGCCATGTCAATCATTGGATCACTAGTAGATGTATCCTCTCAAACGGGGAAGGAAGGAATACCTACCTGGCTGTGGCTAGCCCTACTTTTCTAGACCTACTTAGTCGCACCACAGCTACACACATCTAGTACCTACTTTACCTACCTGAGTACATACATACATATATTACCTAGTTAGTAGATAACAGGAATAGTAGAACAGCACAAGATATCTCTTACTACTATCATCATCATCATCATCATCATGACAATAAGAGGTAGATAGGTAGGTAGGTAGGTATGTAGATAGGTAGATATCAAGACCCTGCTAGGCTAGGCCCACCGGGCCCTTCCCCAGCGCTTCTATCTGCATGCAGCATCGACATCAGCGTGTGGTAATGTTGGTCGCTGTGAACCACCACCACCACCGCCTGATTTATAATCCTGACCTCAAAATGAATTCAGCAGGGGCCGGCCGCATCGACAGACGGCTGGGTCACCAGATGACACGAGACGTGGGTGCAGCGCTTCTCTCGGAGTTACTGCTTTGGCCCCGGCATCTGCTCCCTTAGGGCCAGGAGTATTATTATTATTATTGCTGCTGCTGCTGTTGCTGCTGTTGACCTCAAGGTTGGTACTAATCCCTACCCTAGGTTGTTTCCCCCCCCCCCCCCCCCCACCAATGCCGAGCGCCGAATTCAGCGATAGCGACAGTAACGAGAAATAAATGTATAGTAATATCGCTGCTCTACTGTCTAGATACCTATACTACTTACAGTTATTATTCCCCCCTGTCATATGCATTTACGCGCCAACCGTACTTAGTGATGAAGTAACTAGTATCATCATCTAGTGACCAATGCAAGTGTGGTACGAGGTGGGCGGTCTTAACCATTAACTATCTTCTACTAGGTGAGCTTCAACTGCGACTAGAATTCAAACTACTCCGGACCTAGATACCTGTCTACCTATTTAGGTACCCCGTTCGTTTGGCTGGTACTCCGTATAGGATACTTACCACTGGTAAAATCGCTGATTCAGCGGACGGAGCCACCACTGACTGACTCGCTCTCGGCACGGAAGCCAACGCTCTCCGCTGAGGCCGACCCGAGGTTTCTGTTCTCCGGCTTAACTCCATGGGCCCAATCTGAAAGATCGAGACCGTCCGGTATTTACGGTATTACGTATGGTATTGACTTGATAGTACAGTACTATACTACCTTACTGACACTTACTGCGATCCATACCTGTACAGTCAGTCAGTACCTTCTTGGTTACTGTCGGGAGTCCTCCGTGCTTAAGTAAGTTAGTTAGTTAACTAGTTCACTATTTAATTGTGCTGCTATTCTAAGAGTAAGGAAGGAGCTTGGTCCCTGCAGCCCAGGTCCAGGTCCAATCGCGGATCTCGCAACCTCATCCCCATTTGTCATTCTGGGTCGGTAGTTAACTATCTACTAGATACTCGGTAGCACAGTAGATCACTGGTCCACGAGATCGGGGGGTCGGTCGTATACGGTCGTGAGAACTCCTCCGGATGCCGGATCGCTCGTCTTCCCACGCCACATCTAACGGCTTGGTGCATGGGATCACCCTGCATGGATGACCGGGCCCTTGGTAGTACACCAATGCTTCATCTCAAGTCGTAGATAGTACGGAGGATTACTCCCTACTCCAACGGAGATTGATATCGCATCCCGCAACTGCCTGCCTGAGGCACCACACCATTGGCCGGAGGTTTACCCGATTAGGCAGATCGATCATCCACCCGGAGGGAATGAAATGAAATGAAATGAAATACGGTGGTGCATCGGGTGTCTTTCACCGGCTGGAGACGACCTGACCACCATTAACTAAATTATTCCTTCCTGAGTTCCTTCAGCAATCATAACCTAGCTAGCCATACGCCCAGAGAGACACAGCCACGCTCCGGTCGGTGTTCTCCGGGGTGAGCCAATTGCGGGGTAAGCGGGACAGACAGACGGACGGACATTCTCTTTTAACCCCCCAGTGTTGCATCTGCTCAATCCGTCTACTTTCAAGACACAAGCAGTACGCTCGTCAAACATGGGAGACCAGACCTCGGCCAAGTTCTCGTCCCTGGGTGCCATCATCCAGGAATTCAACGTGGACGGGCAGAACATCGTTCAGGGGTTTGCCACCAAGGACCTTTACGAGAAGCACAATTCGCCCTGGTTCGGGGCCAACATCGGCCGCGTCGCCAACCGGATCAAGGATGGGATCATTCGCAATCTCAATGGTCGCGAGTACCAGTTGGAGATCAACGACCCGCCCAATGCTCTCCACGGCGGGAGTCGGGGATGGGGCCGCTGTGAATTCGACGGCCCGACGGTGCTGAGTCGCAATGGCAAGGACACCCTGCTTTACACATACCGGAGCCCGCATGGCGAGGCCGGGTACCCGGGCACGGTCGAGCTGAGGGTCTTCTATACGGCGAGTGAGGAGATGGCAGCCGGCAAGACTGTGTCGGTGCTGAACATCGAGTATGAGGCCGAGCTGGTGGGCGACGAGTGTGAGGAGACGGTTATCAACCTGACCAATCACAGGTATGTTCGGTCGCACTCTTGACTAAGACCACCGTGATGCCGATGCTGATGAAAATCCGTTCGGGGCAGTTACTTCAACATCGGTGGGGGCGCCACAACCGAAGGCACTATTGCCAAACTCGCAACGCAAGAGTATCTCCCTCTGGAAGGCGGCATCCCCAGGGGCTCCATCGAGCCCTATCCCAGCAATGTCACCGGGGAGTTCACCTTTGGCCCACACAACCAATTTGACGATGTGTTCGTGATGGAGCGCGAGATCGCCCGCGTGCCACTCGACACGCGCGGGCAGCCACTCAAGCTCCTGGCGGAGTTCCAGCACCCGGACTCGCGCCTGCAGCTGCAGGTACATAGCACAGAGCCTGCCTTCCAGTTTTACACGGGCCAGGGCATCGACGTGCCCGCGGTCGACGGGAACCCTAGCCGGGGCCCGTTTGCCGGCTTCTGCATCGAGCCCAGTCGGTTTGTCAACGCGATCAACGAGCCCGCGTGGCGGCACACGGTCGTGCTGAAGAAGGGAGCGAGGTACGGCAGCCAGATCGTATACAAGGCCTGGAGGGACCCGAGGTGAACTGCCGGCAGGACGGCACCGTCCGAATCGGGTAATGTCATGCCATTCATGGATACCCGAACTCGACCATCTTCCTATCATCAGCGGCCGATCGGTGGACCTTGGATCTCGGCATCATGGAAGTAAATAACTGTGTATCTAGGGGAGAGGGACGAAGACGGTGCGGAATATTCTCCGTGCCCTTATTCACCACTAGCCTTACATAGATAGCACTCACTTGTGTGCCTTTTGTTGCGTAATCTTTTAGTCCCCTTGGCGCAAATTTTGACGACACGTTTTCTGCCCCTCTGCTCTTGCTTGGCGCATCATCCGATTTACCCATCAGACGGTGTGTGCCGATTATCCTTATCACCGTGATATGTATCCGAGGGCGGGTCTGGCTCGATCACGGCGTGCCAGTGAAATTGGGACCGTGAGGAAGATGGGTCCAGCGGCCCACCAGGAAAGAAAAGTGCACGAAAAAGCCTCATATGGGAAGTCGGCGAGCCTGCCACGAGCAGGTTCCACCCGGTTCAGTGTCCACCGCCCAGATCGAGGACTGTGTTCTTTGGACTTGGCAGCCGCGGGCGAAAGGGGTCCATGATGCCGATGGAGCAAACTAGACCAGCTGCGGCGGCCTCCGCGAGGTTCTCTGAGCCTGCACTGTTAGAGCCTTGCCGGAGGGAACGTCGGATTGGACCGTTAATTCCGAGGTGGCTCGCTCTGGGATCCGGAGTTCCATGCTCGAAGTTTCCACCCCCAAGGGCATTAATAAGCGCGGATAGTAGGAGATAGTTCGCAGTGGGTATATAGTAACGATAACATGAGGGAGGTTGGGAGTCGAGCGAGAGTTCAATCGTGCTCATCCTTACTCATTCCTCTTGTTGTGCCTGACGCGCCAAGGGTTTCTGGAATCCCCGCCATTGCTTCTAGCGGCTGGAGGCGGAGGAAACTGTTTCCAGGATAGATGCTGATCTCAATCGAGGGGGAATATTATCTATGTGCACAAATGTTGTGCTGTGTGATCGGGAAGGGCCGCTGTATTGATACTAGACATATTAGTAAGGTAAGGTATGTACTATATGTGAGGTATTGTATACGGTTCCGGTATTAGGTACTTTTTTATGTATACAATACCAAACCAACCGTGTGTATGTGTGATATACTTCGTAATACGAGACCCGCCCCAGCGGATCTGGGGAGAAGCGGTTCGAGACTGACGGCGTAATTCTCAGACGTTCAGATTCCCGGGCGAAGCTTGGCATGGCGATCGACACGCTGCAGTCGGCCTGGGCTTGGCCCGGCAGGGGCTTTTATGTTGATAACTTTATACCGGACCACTGCATTATTGACACCACGGTGCGGGGAGGAGGCGTCTCGTGTATAGTTCTTTGGTTGTATCCCCTAGACACCAGTCTTCAGTCCAAAGGCATCACCGCATGCATACATAGGACAGGGGGCTGCCTCGAACCAACACTGCTTACTATATTATATACCCACCCTCAGACTCTCTCTCCCTCCATACTATGCTTGGTTGAAGTCTATCACCCGATCCGTGTCGAGGATACGGCGGACAAAGACATAAAGCACAGCCTGCCTGGCACCCGTTGCATGCATCACACGAGCAGGTGCAGCCCATGAGGAGTGATACACTCCTTTTCAGCTTCCAGTCGCGCACGTACACACACGCGTGTACACACACCCTCACCGTATCTTGTGCAACCAGTTTCCATGCGGATGGAGTGGTCGATCCCAGTCTACCCCGCACATCCGTTCAGATTTCGGACTGATAAGATGGGTGTCCGTTGTCCTTGGACTAGGGTCATTGAGGGGGAATGGAGGGGGTGAGAGGGAGGGGTTTTGACTGATGCCATGGCGGCAGTTGTATGGCGTCTCAAGGGTCTGAAGCATTAGACTGGTCGCATGCATGCATCCTCCATCACAGTGCTGTTGTAATTCGGACCATCGAAGGAGCTTTCGTGCTCCGGATTCCCTGTCCATTGTCCACACTAGATAGCTATGTAACTTCCGAGCTTGCAGCTCTGGATTACCAGTAATACCCAGCCTTGCGGGGTATTATAACTATGACATACCTACTTACCGAGTACATAGTGGTACTCCTCCTTCCCCGGGGGTTGGTTTCCCCTGAATATAAATTCTGCTGCCTGCGGCATCCACCATAAGATTTCGGGCCCCAAGAACAAGGCAGTGCATGGGCATGCAAACGGAGACCGACGCCAAAGCGATGACGCCAGCATTATTTCATTCGGAGTCAAGGATGCCAGTTCACCGACGGTGCATGAGGCAAGCTGCACAGCTGCCGTCCAAGCTCCTTTCATCCGCGAATCCTGGGCCCCTGACGTCCTTATAGTTTGCCGATATGCTGGAGCTCGGATCGATCGCCCAGCCTGGCCGGCAGGGCTGTGCTGAGTTGCGGATGCGAACGAGGTAGCGACACGTCGTACGTCGTATGGCGGAGTACCCGTGGATCGGCTCGTGTTCGTATCCGAGGTTGTTTCTGGATAGTAACCATGGCGAGGCTCTCACGGTGGACGGAGTAAATTCGTAGTAGATAATGCGCTGCGGCCACGTGACCTCACCCCGGCTGGACCCGAGGAGGAGACCCGAGTTGCCCCGCGCGGGGTTTGACATCGTCACCGCGACAACATCGTCCCCTCGTCACCTCGTCACCTCGTCACATCTTTCCACACTTCCCCCCCCCCATCATGGCTTCTACCTACGGCGACCTCCGTCACCTTCTCCCGGGCAATTACAAGCGCCTCGTCACTGCCTGGCTGGAAGAGGACTGTCCCAGCTTCGATTATGGCGGCTTCGTGGTGGGGGAGTCTGAAGGCGAGGCTCGTCTGCTGGGCAAGAGCAAGGTGTTTCTCCCCTATCTTGAGATCTTGAGGAGCGGCCTCGAAACACACTCGCTGACGTCTGTCCTCTCCCCTCCTCTCAGGGTATCGTAGCAGGTGTCCCCTTCGTCGACGAAGTCTTCTTCCAACTCGGTTGCTCGTACGTCCATCATCGACTGACACCGCCCTCAACTGCCCCCGCCCGACTAACCCCCGCCAACCCGACAGAATAGCCTGGCACGTCAAAGAAGGTCAACCCATCACCCCCATCACCCACTGCGCCACCGTCCGCGGCCCCATCCGCAAGATCCTCCTCGGCGAGCGCGTCGCCCTCAACATCCTCGCCCGTTGCTCCGGCATTGCATCCAAGAGCGCCTCGCTCGTCACGGCCCTCCGCGCCCACGGATGGCCCGGCACCCTGGCCGGTACCCGCAAGACGACCCCGGGCTTTCGTGTCGTTGAGAAATACGGCATCCTGGTTGGAGGCGCCGACCCTCACCGCCACGATCTCAGCTCTATGACCATGCTGAAGGATAATCATGTCTGGGCGTGTGCGAACAACCGCGCGGCTGCGGACGGGGGTGCCAGCGACAACGCGGAGCAGCTGTCGTCCATCACGGCAGCGATTCCACGGGCCGTGCAAGCTGCCAAGGCAGCCGGGGGGTTCGCCACCAAGGTCGAGGTCGAGTGTCGGGATCTGGAGGAGGCGGACGCGGCGATTGGCGCGGGCGCAGATGTGATCATGCTGGATAACTTCACCCCCGAGGGCGTTTGGGAGGCCGCCAAGAAGCTCAAGCAGGATTGGGCAGGGAAGGGCCGGTCGTTCCTCGTCGAGGTCAGCGGCGGGTTGAACGAGACGAATGCCGCTTCGTATGCGTGCCCCGACGTCGATATCATCTCGACCAGTTCCATCCACCAGGGGACCGGCATCGTGGACTTCTCTCTCAAGGTGTCGTTGCGGTGATTCGGGCCTAGTGCATGCCTTCTTGACGAAATGTGTATGTCTACGTAGATTGTATATCGTTTCCGGCGAGTCCGTAGTTGCCTGACGGCTCCGTCTCTCCACAAAGTAGCATGGGCACCAAGACTGTTCCAATACCTGCCTTCTATGTACATGGCTCCTATCCCACCCGGTCCGATGTATACTGCACACGCTCATTTCCCCATCAGAACCGCCATAAACAACACGAGTTCGAGACCCAAGTAAGCCAGCAATACCCACGGGGGTGGGCAAAGAGTGAATCTTCCGAAAAGAAGACCAGAACAAGACGAGAGAACCGAAGGGTATCTGATACATGCATGAATGCGAACAATGCAACCCAGAGTCTGATGATCAGACAGCTGGATCTGAGAAGGGAAAGTATTCACTGTAAGAATAGGTTGAGCCGGTAAAAATATCCGCTGAAAGCCGCGCAGCTCGAAAAGACACCGAAATACTCCATACAAACAACCCATGGTCAAAGAAGCCGTACTGGCCACGCCTAAACCTCAATGTCAACGTATATCCCCTCCCCCTCACTTGAACTAGGCTCATCGTCCCGGTGGCGATCGTATCCGTCACTCGTGCTCTGATCGGAGCCCTCGAGTCTCCTTTGCATCGGCGCTCGACCGTGCCCGCCGCCATCTTCATCGGCCGATGTTTCCGTGGAGGCTTCCTTGCGCAAGCTTTGCCTCTCGAGCTGGGCTCGCAGTCTCTGATTCTCGGCATCTCGCTCTTCCAGCCGCCGCCGGGCCCCGCTTCGGTCCAGCAGGCGAGCCTCTCGTTCCGCCTTCAGTCGCTTCTCCAGCTCGTGCAAGCGTTGGATCCACTTTTCGTTGCTGCCCGGATCGGTGGACATGTGCCGAGGACGAGAGCTTGGCACCATGGCACCTGTCCCGTCAGCGAGAGTCGTGGTCGTCGAAACATGAGATGGTTGGGGGATGCCGCTGGTTGAGCTCCGCGTCAGGCCTCGCTCCGGACGTGAGGGAGCACCGGCTTTCTCGACCGCCGAATGGTGGCGGATTAATGATTGTGGCTCGGCATCCAGGCCAGATTCTAGGCTCAGATTCCGGGTGGGCGAGCGCGGCGAGTTGGGCCGGATTCCCGCCGCGACGGCGGCTGCTGCTGCTGCAGAAGAGGAGGAGGAGGAAGTCGGCCCTCGACTGCGTGAATGAGACTGGAGCAGATTCAGCTCAGCCTTCAGGAGCCGGTTCTCCCCCCGTAGCTTGGCCATCTCCGGCGACGTCCCGGACTGGGTCCGACTGTGCTGTTGGGCGCGCATGTTCATCATCGATTCTTCGAGGCGGTCGAGCTTCTTGACGCGTAGGCCGAAGGTATGCTCCAGCATCTGGTATTGCTTGGTCAGGTCACGCTCGACGCCCTTGATGCGGGTCTTGAATCCCGAGATGACGCTCTCCAGCGTCTTGACGGCGAGCAGGAGGTTGCGGCTGAACCCGGGCCAGAAGAGAATGTTGCCAATGACCTCTTGGCTGGGGAGGTTGCCGTTGATCAAGCTGTTCGAGTGGGCCCAGTCCGGCCCGCACATGGTAGACAGGCGCTTCCAGATGTTCAGCAGCATCACGTTCCTCTCGCTCAGCTGGTCGCGGAACTGCTGCTCGAGAGTCGTGAAGCGCTTGCGATCTTGGTTCCGGGCCCCCTCCAGCTCCGAAATGCGCGAGTTGTTCTGCGTGATGGTCCGAGACGCCTGGTGGTGCGACTTGAGGGCCTGTTCGAACGACTGCTTGTCAGCGCGGCGGGCGTGGCGCTCGCGGTCGAGCAGCTCGGCCAGCTTCCGCGACTCCAGGCCGTGACTCTCCAGCAGCGCGTCGCGGTTGCGCAGCAGCGACTCCTTGTCGTCGAGCTTGGACCGGGTGCTCTCGAGCTCCAGGGCGGTCGACTCGAGCTCCTTCTGGAGCTTCATGATGTTGGAGATCAGGCTGGAGCGACTGCCGGTGAGATCACCCAGGGTCTCGCGCAGGTTGTTCTCCAGATCCATCAGCCGCTCTTTCCAGGTGGCGGCCTCGATCTCCTGCGCCGACAGGTTCTTCCTGAGCTTCCGAGCCTCTTCTTTGGCCGCCGACGCCTCCCGGTTCAGCTCGTTGACGATCCGCTGGACCTCCTGCTTCTCCTTGCTGCCCACGACCTCCCGCTGGTGCCGTTCCTCGGCCAGACGCTCCTCGAGGTCGCGGGCCTTCTCTCGCTCGCTCTGAAGGCTCATCCGGTAGGTCTTGAGCTCCGACTCCAGATCGCCGATCTTGATCTTATCGCCGTCTTGCTCCTCTCGTAGAAAGGCGATCTCATTCTGACTCGACTCGATCTGCACAGTGAGCCGCTGGACTTTGGTGTTTGCTTCGTAGAGGCCCTTCTCCATCGACTCCATCTCCTGATTGCAATCGTCCAGTTCCTGCTGGACTGCCTTGTGCCGCTGCAGGTTGTTCTGCGCATCCTCTTCGAGTCGGACGATACCCTCACATGCCGAGCGCATCTCCGCTTGGAGGGCCCGGAAATTCTCTTCCTGGTTCCTCACCTCCTCTCCCAGTTGCTGGCACTCCTCCACCTTTTGGTAGAATTCGTGCTCGAGTGATTCAAGGTCGTCATGAGCTTCGGCCTTGACAGTCTGTAACTCTTCATCGCGGTCGTGGGCCATCTGCGCCGCCTGGTCGCGTTCCTGCTGTAGGGCCTGGATCTCTACTTGCAAGGCCTGCATCTCTGCTTCTATCTGCTCTACATCGGCCGTCCAGGCCTTATCGAGGGCCAGGTTGACCTTATCGACGGCCTCCCAGTTCTGGGCAGCCTCTTCCAATTGCTCCCGGATCGTTTGGTTCTCCAGTTTCAGGCTAGAAACCTGGTCACGCAGCTGGCCAACCCGGGCTTCTAGGTCGTCCCGCTCTGCATCGTCGCTTGGGGAGTGACCCGTACCATCACTGGCCCGCGAAGAGGGTCTGCCATAGGCCCGGGACGCTGATCGGTCGAGGATACTATCGCCCGCGATCGATCGGTTGCCATCGCGGCGTTGGCCAAGCTTCAGCTCCTCGATCTCCTGGTACAGTCGCTCCTTTTCCTTGTTGCGGGATGTGAGCATCGAGGTCTGAGCGCCGACTTCCTTCCTCAACTCCGCGTTTTCTTGCTTGAGCAGCTCCAGCTCCATCACGAGCGTGGAGCTGGAAGAACTCACGGTATTCGCGTTGCGGTTGAAATCCCGGTCCGAGGCGCCGGAATATGAGGCCATCGAGCCTATTCGGTCTCGTTGCCCCGTTCTCGCGGGGACCACAGAGAAGCTCATCTCGCTCTTGAGGCGCAGGGCTTCTTCCCGCAACTGTCTGTTCTCGTCTGTGGCCTTCACCCGAGCCGCGGTCTCTGCGTCCAGCAATTCCTTCCACAAATCCTGCAGCAATGGCATATCAGCATGATGGATGAACCCAGCGGGGATGAAACACGCAAACTCACCCTCTCCTCCCTTCCTCCCACGTCCGATCCCACCAGCCTCGCGTCACTGAGTGATTTCACCATCTCGGCGAGCCGTCTCTTTTCGCTTTCCCTGGCGATACTTTCCGATCTCAGTCGCTCGACCTCGAGTTCATACGTCTCCACCCTCTCCCGCATATAGAGAATCTCCTCATTCTGCGCCGGGTCACGGTCCTCATCGTCCGATCCTTCCGGATCATGGTTGAGCATGGATTCCTTGTCTGACTGCTGGTCTTTCAGCTGATTTTCGAGATCGCGGATCTTCCGCTTCAGACTTTGGCTGTCCTTTTGCAGCTTCAACTTGTCGGATTTTAGCTCGACGTTTTCGGAGATCATCTCTTTTATGCCTTCCTCGGAGCGACGGTTCAGAGCTTCATTGAGAAAGTGGATTCGCATCTTCAGGTCGAAATTCTCCTTCGAGAGACGATCAATGGTGCTACTTTGTTCCTTTAGCGTCATGGTACGGCCGCTCTTGGTGAAGGCCGGAGTAGCGCTCGTACGCTTGTCAGGCGACAAGCCACGACCACCAAAGTCTTCCCGGAACTGCTTCACAAATGCACTGGGCAGCTGAACATCTTTAACACGCTCGGCGATGGCAGTATCTGTATAGATGCCGTGGTCTTGGGGCCTCGCCCTTGGCGTCATTGGCGCAGAAGGGACCGACTCCTGCTGTGGGCGCTGCTCTGATTGCTGCTGCTGTTTATGGTACGATGACCCAGGACGTGACTGGGAAGGACCTTCTTCTTCATCTAAGGTCTGTAGGCCCCCTTCTGTTGCACTACTAGCATTCTTTCTCTCAAAAAGGTTTTCGTCGCTGTATCCTGAGATGCCTGATGCCATACTCCCCAAGCTTACTGACCGAGCCAATGTGTTACGTTGTCCGGCTTGGGGAGCCCCGGGGTTGCCTGGCGCTGCACCACCCGATTGAAGAGCATAGTCCGCGCCCAGCGTCGCATCGCTATTCGTTACCTCCGTCCCAGTACTTGTTACTGAAGAGTACGACAGACGATGAGCTGATTGACGACTAGTCAAATACCTCGGCCTATTGCTCCTTCGACTGCTTGTGCGTGAGGCAGCTTCCGCATCATTCGCCTCATTGTCATGGAACAGTCTCGAAGGCCCGGGCGACAAGCTGCGTGACGTACTGCGGGCGTTATAATGTGTTGACTGCAGCGACTGGTCTACATCGGGGATTGGAGATCGGTCGAAAGCACTGCCGTGAGAGATCTGGCTAGTATCCCGTGGATTTTCAAACGACATCGACTGGTTTCGGTTCACCGTTCTTGCCGCCGCTGCCGCCGAGGGTGATGAAGGAATAGCTTCAAGTATTGTAGTGTTATCGCCGTGTCGCTCGGAGGAAGCCGCGGGCGTCGCGTTCAGATCCACGGATTCGTCCCCCGTAGGTCCTTGGACAGGGGTCTGCGGAATGGGAATATCATCCCCAGCCGCCGTCATGTTACGGCTAGACTCTTCGGGCGCCACAAAAGATATATGTGCGTGCTCTAGCCTGGGGGGGGTTTGAGGGTTGTCATCATGGATCCCAACCAAGTACGTATCGTCGGCGCCAATGGTTCGATTCGCAGCTGCGACTTCTATCGTCGAGGGCTCTGGCAGGAAGCTGGATTCCATGTCCATCAGTCTCCTTCGCATTTCTTTTTCCCTTATAAATGTCTGATCATCGGCGCGGTCATGGTCGTCGTCCTCGACGGACAAGAACAGGCTGTTATCGTCGTTGTCGGGCAAAGGGGGTAGGGTCAGGTTCGAGTCGTCCTGGCGATAATCTTCCACGGCGGTTTCGTCAACTGCGGGATCCGGCTGTTGGGAATGATTGAGGGATGTTCTTTCTCCATAGCTCTGACCGATTCCACTGGCCCGACCGGGGGCTTCCATGGTGGTTGGGAGAAAATCCCCCCGTGTGTCTCCCTCCACCATCAAAGGGACTGAATCGCGAAAGACGTCTTCCAAGGCCGGGAGCCCGTCTTCTTCGGGGTGGACGCCAGCGGGGGCAGGGGAGGATGGGAGGCTGCGCACCGGTTGCGCGTATTCGCGCGCGTGGAGGGACTCGGGTGAAGGAGGAGAGGAAGAAGGCGGGTGTGTCGAACCCGTCGACATGGTGAAGGGGGGGGGAGGAATCAGGGCCGGGTGTTTTGTTTGATCCACATCTGCCATGCAATCAATCCACTAGACGGAGCGGCGACGAAGGCGGCGGCGGCGGCGGCGTCTAGAGTCTAGACGGACTAGGCCTCGTCGTGCTACCCACTTTGGCGGGCAGCCTTGGGAGGTTGGGTAGATAGCCTTAGCCTTAGTCTTTAGCGTAGAAGAGTAGCTGGGCGGGTCGTCAAGCTGTCAACGGTCGACACTACCCAACACCGGGAGGCTTGACGAAGAGGGAGCGTTGGGTGGTCAGGATAGAGGCCCGGTGATTGTATTGAGGGGAGAAACGGGAAGATCGAAAGGGGTGTGGAGGAAGGAGGGGAGACCGGGGGAGTTTGGGAGGGGGAGGCATATACTTACTATACTGTGTACGGAGTACTCCGTATAACTATGCAGGCACAAAGCCTTGCTGAGTCATGGTTCCTGATAGCCGGTGCCACGTTGATCCGGAGACGGGCGGATGACATAACGACCGGCAAGGGAACAACAGCGTGAGCTGGAGATTCAGAGGTACACAGCCCCATCCCCCTCCTGACTCCATGTCCTGACAGGATTCCCGGGGCTTTCTCGCCGACACTCTCAACATGAACCCTCACATATCTGTCCCCCGCCAACATGCCAGCCCCTCGGCTTTTGGCGGCACCACGCCAGCAAGCCGCGGGTCCAGTATCCGGATGCCGCGATTCTTCAAGAGGTACGCTTCATCCGCGTCTCCACGGCGGCCATTGAGCGCGCGCGATGCGCTCATCCAGTGGAATCCGATGGCTTGCTTCCCTCCTCCGGTCTCCCTGATCTGTTACTGATCCCTTCTGGCGGTGTTTCCAGGATGTTCAAGTTCCCGCAGATGGACTTCGAGATGGCCATCTGGGAGATGACATCACTCTTGATTGCCCCAAAGAAAGTCTTCAAGTCGATCTACTACCATGTGAGTGTGACTTGGCCCCGGACTGAGCTCCCCCCCCGGCTTAGTCTAATAAGTGCTAACCTCATCCCCGAACTCCAGAAACGTACGTTGCCCAACCTCCGCACAGCTCCCTTCTGACCCGTCCCGTTCCCCATCTGCGTCTGAACAATCAACCGGTACTAAGAAAATGTATAGAGACCAAAAACACCTGGCATCGCCCGGACCCCTCATTCACGTACCTACTCTCATTCTTCCTCCTGCTGACGGCCCTCGCGTGGGGTCTCGCCTATGCGCCCTCCTTCGGGGCCATTGTCCGGCTTTCTCTATTATTCATCTTCATCCACTTCATCGGATCTTCCCTGCTGGTCTCGACGATCGGATACTTTGCCATCCCCCGACTGTTCGGGCCGAATGGGGCGGCTGCATCTCTGACGGGGTTCCGAGGAAGTCGTGGCCGGAGACGCGGCGCCGCGCAAGGCCTCTTCACGCAATCCGGAGAAAAGGACCAGTTGGAGTTTGGATATTGTTTCGATGTAAGTGGGCTCAAGGCTTCTCTCCGGCGAAGGAGGCTAATTGCGGAGATTCCAGGTTTCGAATCGGGCGTTCTTCCCTCTGTATCTTCATCTCTACGTCGTCCAGTTTCTACTCCTCCCCCTCCTCACCCGCAGCCCGAGTGACTTCCTCGCCACCTTCCTTGGAAATACCCTCTACCTATCGGCCCTAACATACTACACATACATCACCTTCCTTGGGTATAATGCGCTGCCGTTCTTGCACAACACCGAGCTACTCCTGCTTCCCATCCTGGCATTCGTGGTCATGTGGCTGGTCAGCTTGATTGCGGGATGGGGAGTCGTGATGCAGGGACGGAGCGTCGAGGGATTGTTTTGGGGCGCATGATCCCGTTCCACCTCGGGTTGAGTGTCATGTATACCACCACCGGGGTGTTCGTACGCCGACTTGTCTTGATGACTGCCGTTATCTATAACCCCACTTTTTCTGATTCGTTCTGGCGCCGGTGCATATGGTGATCTTTTGGTAATAGTCATTTTCAGCTGGCTTGTGTTATGTCGGTCTCGATTAAGGGAACCGATGGATTCAGGTAGCATTCACGTCGTGGCATAGGTTTCTACTGTTCTTCTCTTCTATACACGGTGGCCGTTGCCCATTGCTTGGGCACGGAACTTCGTTGTACTGTACAGCATAGCTGCGAGTTATATAGGTTTCATACATAGTTTTCCAAAGAGCCTACTCTGCGGGTCTCAACTGGCAGGAGGACACCAGGACCAGCCCTACAGTTCAGCCCGTTGCCTGCCTGTCTATTACGTGCTCACGGCATGTATATGCAAGCTAGTCAACCCACAATGGGTATCGCCAAGTCCAGCCAAAGGCAAATTCTTTTCGATGAAACAGCGGTTTTCTTAATCCATTCACACCAACATTGTTGGGGAGGGAGGGGGGGGAAGCCAACTGAATAAGTGGAGGTATTTGCTAAACAAGAAGGAAAGGAAAGGCCAGATGCAGTTTATTTCTTCTTTGGTGCCCCTTTTTTCTTGCCACCCTTCGCATTCTGCAGCCTCGCCTGCAATTCTGCAGCCCTCTGCTTCGCCTGCTCGGCCTTTTCCTCTTTCTCGGCCTCCTTACGAAGCCGGTCTGCCTCACGCTGCTCGCGGACGAGAGCCAGTCGCGCCAGATCCGCGCGAGCCTCATCCGTCTTCCCCTCTGCATGGAGCTTCATGTATCGCTCCCGGGCCTGCTGGGCCTCAATCGCCTCACGCTCCCGCCTCGACAGCTGCGACAGGTCTCCCGCTTTCGGCTCCTCGGACGAGGGTTCGCTCAGCTGAGAGCGGGATTTAGCCGTGTGGTTTGGGTTGGCGGGGAGGTCCTCATCGTGGTCCTCATGGTCGTCTTCAAGGTCCGATCTCTCTGAATCGGATGACGGCGGTAGATCGCCGGGCTGGGCGGCGGTTTGCATCCGCCTCGCCTGTGCGGCCTGCTTCTTGGCTTTGGCAGCTGCGCGCCGTTCTTCGCGCGTCATTTCGGCGCCGGGAATGGAGGAAGAGGCAGACGGGCCAGGATGAACATTGTTGGCGGTGCTCTCGTCCTCGGAGGATTCGTCGGAGCCCGATTCTTCGGAGTCTTCTTCCTCTTCGGATAGTGAGGAGGGGCCGTCATGGTCGGGTTCCTGCAACGGGTTGCCTTCCGGTCAGAAGAGGGCAACTTTCGGGGCCGAGCATGTCTAGGCAGGAAGAAGAGGAGGAGGAGGGAATAACGATGCATACCCTCCAGAGACCAACAGGGTTGCCATCTTTGTCGACGGGCTGGGTATCGCGACTGAAGCGTTTCCCCCCTACGCGTGTGAGCACCATCAGTCCATCATGATGGAGATGAAGGGGGGTTGGACTGTCAAGCCAGGCCGTGGTCACATACCTCCTCGAGAGGGCTTGGAGAACTTTCCGCGACCGCGAGGGGCCATGATGGGAGAGGGCGTGGAGCCGCGGGGGGGGGGAATAGTAGTGGGGAGGATAGTAGTGGGGAGGATAGCGGCACAAAAGTCCGTGGTGTGCTATGTAAACAAAAGATGGAGGAGGAAGGGATAAGGAGGAGAGTGAAGAGAAGGAGGGGGGAGGGAGAGAGGGAGGAAGCGAGGAGAGAAGGAGGGGAAGTGAAGAGAAGAGAGGGAGGGAGAGAAGGATGGAGCGGGGCGTTTGGCTGGAGTCGGTCCGAAGCATGTTTGACTAAGTCCGCGTCGCTGATTGATCCATCGATCTATACAAGGATGATATATAGTGAACATTCCTCCTACTGGATAATAAATCAGTATAAAGATTTACACACACAAACTCTCTCTCTCTCTCTCTCTCTCTCTCTCCTTCTCCACTTCGGATACAGATGTGTGTATGTATATAGTATATCATATATATATGCGCTACATACCCACACCCAAAACACGGCTTCTTCTCAAACAAATCGATCTCTAACCTCTCAAACCCGATGCCAGATGAACCCGACCTTCATCACCCGTGCTACGAGCAATGTCAATGTACCAGCAAGAATGGCACTGCCCATAAACATCTGCGCATACAGATATTGCCGGTCATCCCGCTGCACCAGCGCTCCGGCAATTGGAGTGCCGATTAGGGCGGCCACGGCAACAACGCTGAGCACCATGCCCATTCGCACGCCGGTCTTCTTCAGATCGGTGGTTAGCGTGCTCAGGGTGGCCGGGAAGAGGGACTGGATCCCCGCCGCGGCCAGACCGTAGAATGCACTGAAGGCATACAGCTCATCATAGGTGTGGACGGCGGCCCAGCAGAATGCCACTATCCCGGTCACCAGGCTGAAGGGGATCAGCATGTTCAAGGGTCCCGTATACCGGTCCGCCATCAGGTTTGGGATCAACCGGCCCAGCAACCCGATCCCATTCATGACCAGGAGGACATCAATCGAGGTTGACTCTGACACCCCAATGATGCCGCGCGCGAAGCTGCCGATATAAAAAAACCCCACGTAGATCCCCCAGAAGTTGAGGAACATCCCCAGCGCAAACAGGGCATATGGGGCTTCCCTGAACGCACCCCACTCGACCAGGGGCCCGCTACGATGTGGAGGCAGCCTCTGCTGGAGGAAAACCAAACAAGGGATCAGCGTGACCAGTGAGATGAACCCCAAGGTGCGCATTGTCCACCCATACCCGACCCGGGGTAGGAGCCGCATCACGACCGCAGGGAAAACCAGGCCGCCGGTGGCGGATCCCGACGCTGTAAGCCCGATTGCAATCGCCCGATGCTTGGTGAAGTAGGTGGGGATGAGCGCAATGGTTGGGCAAAACATGAGTCCGCACCCGAGGCCCTGCCCGACACCCTGGGCCAGAAAGAGCTGCCAATATTCCGTGCACAGAGAGGCCATGAAGATGCAGAACAGCTCTAGCACAGTCCCCACGGTCAAAATGGCCTTGAAGTACCCGGCATCCGTAGCGCGGCCAGAGAAAGTGCCGACAAAGAAAAGCAAGAAGATCTGGATGCTGCCTACCCACGAGATATCGGATGGCGTACGCCCGAGTGTGTTGGTATAGTATGTCTGGAAGACACCGAAGCTGTTGATATAGCCCCAGGTGTTGAAAATGACGAGGTGTGCCAGAGCCACTTGGGACCACGCCTTGAATCCACCATCAGGAGGAGGGCCCAGGTCTTTGCCAGATTCTCGGGTGCGCACGAGGGTCAAGGTTCTGGTAGCCAATGCACTGGCATGGCTGACATTGGTGGGGGCCTGCGACAGCTCCTTGTCTCGCCCGTGATCGAGGCCTACTTCCTCATCCCGGTTGTTGGTTTGTAGAGGAAGGACCTGATCCGTGGCCACATCGGTTCTAGGCTGTTTCGACTGTCCCTTTTCGGCATCTGCCGACACGAGCAAGTCCGGCTGATCATGATGGGACGGGCTGTTTGTCATCGTGCAGAGAGGCAGAAACTTCAGCAATTCGACCAGCTTGAGTCGGCAATCTGTCCGTCCTCTCCAGCGAGACCACAGGCGAGGAGAGGGCTGGGTAAAAGAAACCGGATGGGAGGAAGTCTAGTCCGGGAGGAGACACGAGGGTCTAGGGGAGGTGAAGGCGAATGATCGGCAGAGGGAGTGTGTTTGAAGGAGTCGGGCTTTGGCATGAAAGGACGTGGGAATGAATCATTCAGACCAGACGGGTAATGGGGGGGTGATGCAGGTAGATATGACTCAGGAAGTGACGGAGGGTCCAGTGGATGCGGATGCGCATCCGTGACGAGTGCACGGAGGATGGAGGACTAAAAGCTAGGCAGTGCCTACTTAGTTAGTAGTTAGTAGTAGTAACTAAGTAACTAGACGTTCGCACAGAAGACCGACGGTCGGGAGTGGAAGAGGAAGACTCGAGAAAGGGCCGGCAACCTGGGGCCGACCCGGCTAAAAGAAGTAGAGACTAGCCCTAGGCGGGGGAAGAAAGTGCGGAGTAGTAGTCATTATACCTAATGGATACCTGTACGTATGGATGTATATAATATGTACTATCTTCAGTAGCCGTGGGCTCCTCTCCCCGAGCCCGGTCTCCAGGGGAGCAAGGGCCGTCCGTTGGTTTTTCGTCGCTCTAGTTATACTCACTCCCTCTACTCTAACGCGTCAAAGGGGAAGAAGAAGGGAAAACAAGGCAGAAGGCAGTCGGCTGCACTTCGGCGTCCATCTATATAGTCGTCGCTTATCAAAAACCCATCAACAACCAACCAGGCTCGGCGTCGGGAACGGCAAGACAGAAAGCATTCATTGGGGGGGGGGGTTGCATTGCAAGGACAGAAAGGAAGACTTGGTGCCTCAGATTCCAATCCCGACCCCCACGCCAATGCGCCTCCCACTCCTGGACAGCTTCCTTTCTACGCCCGAGGGACAAAAACAAAAAGAAGAAAAGAGACAAGGAACGAAAAGGATACGGAGTATATATCAATAATCACAGCAGCTAAATCGGAAAGGGCCGGCCGCCGGAGCACCCGTGAACCTCAATACTCTTGCGAGCACGAGCTGCTGTTCAGCATCGAGATGGTTTCTATCACATCCGCAGGCTCCAGGAGGTGCCAGCTGGCGGCCGTTTGCTTCGAACTTGCCCCGACGGTGACCGAGTAGACGTGATCTTGTGGTAGGTCGAACTTCTGTAGGGCCCGGAACATATCTAAAGAGAGAAAGGGGAACGTCAGCCTTCCGAGGCAAACAGGCATATATGTTTGCAGGCATTCCAAGGGGATATTACCTTCGTCTGTGAAGTCATCTCCCGAGCAAAAAATAAACTCGGGGGCCTTTCCAGGCGCGGTTCCGTACTCATTGACGAGGCGGGTTGCGATGAACCCCTTATTGACGAACGTCGGCCGAACCTCCAGATTAGCTTTTCCAGCCATCACTTCCACCTCCCATCTCTTGCCGACGGTTTCCTCGAGCTGCTTCCGGCATTCGCGAGCCTGGAACGCCCCGTATTCGGGGTCCGCGCGCCGATAGTGCCACGTAAGAGCCACTCGCTTCCTCTCGATAAAGGAACCCTGGGTCCGTTCGGTGAAGTGTTGGAACACTTCCATGACCTCCTTCTGCCAGCCCATATTGCTCCGTTCAGCCAAGTTCTCCCAGTCGTCTGAGTGAGGCTTGCGGATGAAGCACCCATGTTCGGCACTCAATCCTAGTTCGGGAATATGACCCATCCACTCGTCCAGAAAAGCTTGATCGCGCCCACTGATGATCCAGACCGCATTCCGTGAATCTGCTGCCAGGCTCTTGAGGGTTCGTAGAACGCGATCTGATGGGATAGCGGCTTGCGGGTCTTTAACGATAGGGGTGAGTGTGCCATCGTAATCGAACATGAACAACCTTTTGCGAGCCCGACGGTATTGCCTCACAAGCTTCGCTCGATCGAGCGCTGGGGTTGCCACGGACTGGTCGAACGAGGAGAGGTTCGTGAGGAGACGAGTAACGAACTGTTTAGACCAAGCCGAGACGGTGTTTGCAGTAACATGCTTGTAAAGCTTTTGATGCTGCGACTTCTTCTCTTCGGGGGTCATGACTAGGGCTTGATTGATGGCACCCGCAACACCGACAGTATCCCATGGGTTGATGTGGATGGCACTGGACAGTGTCCCCGCGGTACCAGAAAACTCAGAAAGAATCAGAGGCCCATAATTGTTCTGCTGGCAGATAATGTACTCCAGACTCGTCGTGTTCATACCGTCTCGGACCGTCGTGATCAGACCCACGTCAGCTACACGCAGCAATGCAAAGTACTCGTGTGGGGACAGGTACTGCGGGTAGTATTTTACGGGTGAGAAGCTCAAGGACCCGAATCGACCGTTGATAGTGGAAACCAGGTTGGAGACCTGGCTGGCGAACTTGTTCTCCTCTTTCTGCTCATCAACGCTCGTTGGGCTAGTCACTTGAATCAGGACGACTTTGTCACGCCATTCGGGATACCGCTCGAGGAACACCTCGAACGACTGCAGCTTCTGCGCAACACCGCGGACACTGTCCAGTCGATCACGGCCAACGATGATTTTCTTCCCGGCATATAGCTTGCGGATACCCAAGACGGCCTTTTCGATGTCGGCGGATCCGAAAGCCGCGTTCTGAATGGCCTGGGTATCAATCCCAATGGGGAAGACATCAACAGCCACATGGGCACCGTACGCGTCGACCCCAGCCGAGTTGGAATCAAATCCCAAGACCCGAGTGCAGCAAGATGAGAAGTGGCGAGAGTAAGAAAATGTTTGGAAGCCGATCATGTTTGCACCCAACACCCCTGTAAGGACCTCTTTCCGCTTGGCCAGACAGCGCATAAACTCACTGCTAGGGAATGGAGCATGCAAGAAAAATCCGATGTAGACGTTAGGAATGCGTTGGCGCAACATACTAGGCACCAGGAATAAATGGTAGTCGTGGATCCAGACAATGTCTCCTTCCTTATATTCGTGCGCAATCCGATCTGCGAAAAGACGATTCATGCGGACATAATCCGCCCACCACTTGCGCTCCGATTTTCCATCTGTGGGACCGTGTTGCTTGTAGTGAAGGAGCGGATACAACTCCCTTTCCGCGTAACGCCTCCACCTCCCTTGGTCCTGCAAAAAAACGGAGTCATCGGGAATTTCGGATTCACCCGACAGCCAGACAGGTACAATCCTTCCGTAACGACTAGAACTCAGCTGTTCATCCAGTCGTCTTCGATCATCTAAGCCTACCCCGAACCCTTCTAGAAGGGGGTGACTCGGCAGGCGTTGGTTGGCATCCACGGGCACTGGTGCAGCCGCTTTATTAATAGGTAAGGCAGATGTGCCGTTAATAGTGGTGGGTAGCTTGGCGCTCGTGTTGATGGGGATTTGTTGTAAGGGTATCGTCGTCTCGTGGACCGGTTCGACCTCGCCAGTCCAGCCGACGAGGGTGTGAGACCATCTCGATTCATCAGCACCCAGGTAGGCCATGGAGTCAAAGAGAGCAGATGTTCCCGGGCGAGGTTTGAGATCCTAAAAGCCTGTCAGTCGACCTTCTCATAATTCTCCCTAAGCTCGAGGTGCCTGGGGCGAGAGAAAGGGGATCGGAATATTGAAGAGCGAAGGGAGAACCTACCCAGTCAGAGCCAGATCGGAAGTACAGCTTGTAGGGAATACAGAATGCAGCACTGATCACTCGACCGGTGAGATTCAAGCCCGGATACTGCTCACGGGGGTCGATGTCGACCATCGTGGGCGTCCCCATCAGACTCAAACGACGTAACAGATCAACGCCCGACTTCGCGTCCTTGGCTGCCTGAGCTGGGGTGTTCGGGGCAGCGGTAGTGGATGGGTCTGGAGAGGCAATGTTCCCAGGCAAGTCAGAGGAGTAGGGAGGGGTGTCAGAGGGTATGGGAGGTTGGGTCTGCGCACTCCGCAAGTCCGGAGTGGCACTCGGGGCCTTCATAAAGACCTCTTCACCTAGGGCATTGGCGATTGATCCAATGGGGAGCGGATTGGGCTGACCATCGGGCACACCAGCGGCAGTTTGTTGTTCGGAAGCCATGACGGAAACGGACAAGACGAGGGGAACGCAGGTGACAGCAGCCAGAACGAGGTCAGTCGGCAGTGGGTCTGGAAATTCCCAAATCAGTTAGACAAAAAAACATAGTTCTCTTGGTTTTTTATTTGCATGCGCAACGATGGAAAAAGGGGGAGGCAGAAAAAAAGGAAAGAAAAAGTTATAATAAAAGACAGACAGAGAGAGGGAGGGAGGGAGGGAGGTAGAGAGGAAGAGGAGAGGAGAGGGGGGGGAATCCCCCGCATGGGCAACTAGGCTTGTTACTAGTAGAAGGGCTTTTTTGGGGGGGAAGTCGAGGGAACGGGTAGATTTGGAGGGGGCGGTTGAGAGATAAGCTAAAGTACCTGGGAAGTACTCCGGACGGGAGTACTATGTAGTGGCAGTAGTTTTGGCAGGGAGGGAAGACGCCGACCAAAAAACAAGCCTGGGTGACCTAAGCCATGGAGGAACGAATGGATGGGGACCAAAGACAGAGAAGAGTGATGGGATAGAGGGTTGTTGAGTGGAATAATCAAGTCAATTCCCCCAAACGCGCGTGTGTGTGACAGAGAGGGGGGGAGGGGGAGTGAGAAGGGGAGAAAGGGGAGGGGAAAGGGAAGGCAATGGGTGGGTTTGAAGTGGGAGAAGAGAAAGGAGCGAGGAAGCAGGAGAGCAGGAGAGTAAGAGAGAGGGGAGAGAGAGCAATAATAATTCGAACTGGGCGGGGGAGAGGGGGGGGGGGAGAAAGAGGGAGGGGCGAGTGCCGGACGGAGCCTGAGAGTCTGAGCCTGAGAGCCTAAAGCCTGGAGGCGGTGAGGCGGGGGAACAAAGTAGTTATCGGTGGTATCTACTACTGAGTACTCACGGATCTCGATACTGGTCATGCACAACAGTTTGAACAGGCAGGCACTGGAAGGAAAGGAAGAGACCGGCCGGTGAGGGGCAGAACCCAACCGTTATCGGGAAGATGGACTGACCGTCTGAAGAAGAATCGGCGGGAAATTATCTCAGCTCCTCTTCACCACCACGGGGTCCGGAACCCTTCTGAAAACTACTCCCGGAATACCAGCCAATCACCCCGATCGTGTAATCAAGCCAGCCAGCCAGCCAGCAGGTCTAGCAAGCTGGCCCGGTGACCGTCGGCAGGCTTCGCTGCCAAAAACAACCAATCCCTCATGCACGGGTTGAGATAGAAGGACACCGAAGGGTTGTGAGTGGAAAGCTTTGGCGAAGCCAGACGGAGGAGGGCCCAAGACGGTCCAGGCTCGGCGATGGATGATAGCACTACGGAGTACGGAGTACAGCGGTACCTGCCCAGTGCCCAGGTACTTGACGTTGTACATCGATATAGTACGGAGTACCTACATAGTACGGAGTCGATCACTATCTATCAGAGAATACTTCCAATGAATTTTAATTTTAAACTGCTTCTTACAAAGTAAACTTGGTCATAGTACCTGGTTTCCGTTCCCACACCGTCCGGTCCGGAAACCCCCCCCTCCACCCATTACCTACTACTACGTCATGGTCCGAGAATAGAACAAGTAGAACAAGGCGGGCTCGTAGGTACCTACCTATGTACACGGTAGGTACCTAGATGCCGGCGACTACACTGCTAGGTGTAAGGTAACCTGCACCTGCTGCTAGGTAGATAGGCTAGGCAATAACCCGGGAAGTTGGGCGCGGTCGCTAGGCGGACATCAACCGCCTGTCTGAGAGCGTGAGCCTGACTGAGCCTGAGACGGCGGGGAGACCGTGTGACATGTGAAGACCTACTTAGGGCTTTCCGGATCACGCCCCCCTTCCCACGTGACGGCCAGTTTCTTGTCCTTGTAAGTTACCGGCCCTCCCGGGAAGCTCCTTCTTGGCCTGGGGCAACCCGGCCGGCCATCTGACCGATCGGGATCTTGTATCTTCTTCACCCTCCCACCCATCGCCCTCGCAACTTTTTTTTTCTCTACACTACCGTCCATCCATCTCACTTACTGATCGATTGTGGTCGACCTGGTTTACCCTCGATCCCCCGTTTCTCCTCCATCGGACGAGGTCCAGTTTATGCACCGGATTGCGACGCCTCATTCGCAATGCTTCCATTGCCTTGCTGAAAGCGCGGCCATGCGCGTCCTATCTTCTACATCGTTCCCTTCTCGACTCGCCTGCCCCGCGACCTTTTTCAGGGCGCGCACTATCTCCTCTTTCTCGAAAGCTCGATGCTTCCACCAAACCCGCGCGAACGATAAAGATCTCGCGATCTTCAAAAACAGCCTGCAGAGAACACTCGATGCCCATCGGTCTTCAAATCAAGCCAGTATAATACGTCGAATCCCCAGTCAAGTAGACCCCAAGGACACGCCAGAGGATGCTACAAAATCCCAGGATCCGTTGGTCGTACCGCCGACCGCAGGTATAACTTCGCGACTCTCTGCAGCCCGGAGAGGTTCCAAGAGAAAATCCCGCTCCTCGGGCAAAGATGTCTCGCCTTCGCAGCCTACAAACTTGCATCGGCCCGTACAGTGGGTCCCTGACCCCCAGCGCGACCGATCAGAACAGTGTCCTTGGCTGAACAATTTGGATCCAGCCCACGCTTTCGGCGATGGCCTCTCGCAGCTTGATGCGGAGATATGCGCGCTCGAGAAATACGTGGCGCCCACACTGCCAGAGGAAAGGCAGGTCCATCGGATTGCCGCGGATATGTCTCAGTTATTGGAAGGGACTGTGCCCCATGCACCCCTGATAATCGGATCATGGCAAACTGGATTTGCTATGGGTCACTCGAGTCTGGACCTCCTTCTTCCCATTCCAGACGCAGTACGTTCCATCGAAATTATTCGAAAGCCAAGCGCTACCCGCCCAAAGGCCCTCACTCTACGTCGGGGCCTGCTACGCGATGTCAACGATATACTCCAGAACTGCCCCCTCTTCACCGGTCGGGTAGATCTATCAATCGAGCGGAGCCGCATCACCGCTGTCGAGGGCCGTACTGGACTCCAGATGCACATCTATTGCGGTGAAGGGTTACCTCCAATTCTTGAGTATGTCAGAGACTACCGTGCGGAGTACCCCTCGCTTCGGCCTCTCTACATGACGGTACGGCTTATCTTGGAATCCCAAGGCTTGTATGGCTCTCGTATATCGTCCATAGGGTCAGAACCACTTCTTATGCTTGTCGTGGCTTTTCTGAAGATGAACCATGGCCGATTTCGACGATCGGACGGCCTGGGTGAGAGTCTCCTTGCATTCCTCCGCATGTACGGTACACAGGTCGATCTCACAACCACCGGGGTCTCTGTTGACCCTCCTACTCTGTTTAATGCGGAGACCCTCAAGCTAGCCAGCCGAATGTACAGTCCAGATAATCTACCTGCCCATATACGTGGCCAACGTTCTATAATGAACCTGAGGAGAACTGCCGCGATCAGAGGCAACGTGACTACCGCTACACGGCTATGCCTACAAGATCCAACCAACTACATGGACGACTTGGGTCGTACCTGTATACAGACCAGGGGGCTCCAGTCCGCCTTGGCGAGCGCCTACGAGCGCCTCAGCACAACCCTTAATAATTGGGAGAAAGACAGGCCTAGTGAACCGGTTTCTAGCCTGCTGGGCATTGCCCTCCGAGCGAACTTCGATGATTTCGATGATGTGCGTCGCCAGCGTACTTTGGGAGAATGATCTCGACATGGCACGCAGTAGGGCGGGCCATTATGATATAAAGCTGAGCCCATTCAAATGACCTCTTACTCTTTTGAGCCAAAACACATGGAAAAGTGCTTGCTTGGCCCTTGCCGGTGTATACATAGACTTTCCCGGCAATCTATTGACGTCCAAATCTATAAGACACGCTCGATGCCTCCATCGCCTCCAAAAGCACCGCATGGGTAGGGAAGAAAAGGAAAGCAAAGCCCGAGTATAACGCCCGCTAGCTATGCAAAAGCTGCCGAAGCCATTCATCCTTGCCCGGAACAGTGCCAAAGACACTTTAACCGCAGGAAAACTCCAATAAAACGACGGATTAACACGATCCAGGGGAATAGCAAGACAATAATTGTTCGATGGGGCATAAGAAGCGCCGAAACCAGTGGGTAATGGGACGACATGTTGGCCTGGCCAGAGCCTCGTGTCCAGGCCGAGAAAGCCAGTCGAACATTGGGTTAGTTGCTACTCGAGAGTTAGAAAGGACACGGCGCAGATGTTTCAGTTCAGGAACAGGCTACTTACTAGATTTCTAGCGGGGAGATCTGGTCAAGCGTGTAAAGCCAATTGCCGCCCTGTTCTTCCTTTTCAAGCCTATATATATATACCACACCGTCGGTCAGTAGCTGTAGGGTTGACAATCGATGTCGCAATACGCGAGGCAGGGGGTTGACCGACCAATCGTAGGGCCAAAGAATAAGATGCCCCTGTACTTGATTCAAGAGATCCTCCGCCCGCTGCTTGTCCATTACCTCGTCGGACGCATGGAAGTCTCGTTTCGACCCGAGCGTCGTCGCCCTTCGTCTGCGCCGCCGAGATTGGCCTGTCGCATTCCGATTCAAGGCCTCGGAATAATCAATAAGCGGCGGATCGGACCGCTGTTTCTCAAGATCCTCTCCGGACGAGCCACTTTCTTCGTTTCGTCCAGTCTGCACGTGTCCCGGTGCTGGCCCGTCAACCGCCCTTCTCGCGGATTTCTCGTCTGTAGGCTCCGGAGTCGCCAGGCTAGGCTGCTGCGCATCGGTATTGTGACTGGGGTCTGCGGTCAGGACCGCAGGGCTTTCGACGGGCTCCTTATGATCCGCCTTCTCGCCTTCGGTACTCTGACCCTGACCATGGAGAGGAAGGCTGTGCTTGAGGCCGGCAGCTGTTCCAGCGAGGCCCGATGCTGTACCAGGTGGGCCGGTCTGTCGCTGGCCGGGGGGTTGGAAGGCCTTGGCACTGGATTGGCTCTGCATCTCAGCAAAGCGGTCTCCATATGCGGCGTACTCTTTGTATTCCTTCCACGATTTCACCTCGTTATCGGGCATGCAGCGGAAGACGCTCCGGTAGATCTTGGTGTTCTTGTCGGCTACCGCGTGCCACGTGTCCAAGTAGAAGAGGTCGATCACAGGGTCCCTCATGCAATCCTTGTCAATGAAGACGTGTTTCACGTCGGGAGCGAACAAGTGGGAAGGCTTGGTCGTAGTGTCATGCCGATCCCGAGGGGACGCCAGGCCGCCACTATGGCTACTCTCGGTTTCGTTCTCCGATGGTAGCGCAGGGTGACGGACAGCTGACAGCCCTTCCACCACCTGCATCGCGTCATTTTCCGGGCCAGTAGGGGCGCATGTAGCCCGAGGGGTGTCTTTGTCACCACTACGTGACGAGGCATGTTTCTTCGGCTGCTGGACGGTGCCCTTCCCCTCGGAGGCGAGGGGAGAGACCAAGACTTCCGTCTTCGCGTTCAGATACTCGGAATCGCGAGCGTCCCCCAATCCAGCTTCCCGAGCGGTATGAAGATTGTCCGGGCCAAAGCCGTCCACATCCTTCCTGTGCTCGGCGTTGGAGGTGACTCTGGGGTCGGCGGTGAGCTTCCGGTTCGACTTGAGGTTAGGATTGTTGCCCTGCTCCCAGTCAACATCGTGGTTGAAGCTATGCATGTCTTCCGACCGGGAGAGAAATTCGTCCTGAATGCGGTGGCGACGCTCGATCATGTCTCTCTCGTCCTTCTTCTCTAGCATCAGAGATTCCGAGTCAGGCCGCTCATGGCTTTCGGGTGACTTGGACCCTTCTTCGGCGATCTCGATCCTGCGGAGTTCTTCCTCGGTCGCCATGGAGTGCTCCATCAGTTCATCAACATCGATGCCGAGGTGCTCTCTCATGAGGCGCATGCGAAGGGTGTGTGGAAACCGTCCAACGAGGAAGGGGCGACCATTCATGGACGACCATATCATGTCCGTATCACGCACGACAGCTGCTACCTCTGAGTCTCGAGATCCCAGCATAGAGCGTTCGTTGATGTTTGCGGACCCAATAATGGCCGCTCGATCATCGACAACCATACACTTGGCATGTATGTAAAGCTGCTCGGTGACCAACTGCTTCTGGGGGCCGATCTTCCCCCAGGATCGAAGGCTGAAGAACTGGATATAATCTTCAGGATCAATCCCCAAGGCCCGGAGCCGCCCAAAGATTGAAGTCTCCCCGCGGCAGATACTACGGTACTGGCACATCATGATCAGACGCACACTCGTTCCACCCTCGCTATCCACAGTGTTCTGGAAGCCCGGGATCAGGGGGATGACGATAACAGCACGCCAGGCTTCTTTGTTCTTCGCCGCTCGAGTGATGCGTTCCACGAGTGCATCGCCGATCAGGTTTTCGATTTTTCTTCCATCGATCTCACACGTGCTCACAAAGAACTGGTTCTCAATATAGACGAAGTGCTCGGACTCCTCAATCAACTTGACATAGGCATTCATGATGCTGTGTTCCGTAATGTCAGGGGTACCGGTCGACCACATACTACTCGAGCGCAAGATTTGGACCTCGCAGGTGCCGTCGAGACCAAGAGCTTCCAAGTCCGCCTCCTCAAAATCAGGTGGGGGCAGTAGGAACGGCGTGGGACGAGTAGGTTTTCGCTGGCGCAAGATATAGTTCCATCGCTGGACAAAATGCCGGGTGAGGTCTCGAGCCGGTTGGCCGACCACATGCATCGAGATGTCATGCCACGGCATTCTTGGGACAACATTGCGATCGTACATCTCCTCGTAGGGTTTGTCTAAGTCATAGAAGTCCTGTACCCGAGGGTTTGAGTAGTCCTTGCCAGGCCAGAGCTGGCAGTGATCCGCATCTTTCGGTCCATCCGGTGTCTCAAAGCCGGTGGGCTTGTCGTCCGTGAGAAGATGCTGCGGCGTATCCCAGCGTCCAAAGCACAGATCAATCCCCCCCACGAAAGCCAAGGTGTGGTCAATGATGCAAAGCTTCTCATGGTGCGCCCAAAAGAAGGTGTTCTGCCTGAATTGGTTCGGAGACCGTTGCACAAAGACATTGGGATGCAGATCGAGAAGGGAAAACTTGGAATATTCTGAATCGATGGGGATGGCAGAGTTGATGTTTCGATACATGATGACAAAAATCTTGACTCCTTCGCGGGCTTTTCGCTGGAGCAGGCGATCCAAACGCCATTTCTGACTGATGGCCGCAGGGCGGCGCATGTAGAGCTCGGGGCTCAGCCACCAGTCATGGATGTAGATGACATCCTTCGCTTGATTGATGGCGCGCGACACAACCCACATGTGATCACGCGCATCCACCAGCCACTGTGCGAAACACTTGTGTCTGACCGGGGCGTAGCTGTCGAAGCGGTTCGGTCTTGCCCAGGGGGTGTTGTTGACCATGAATCGAATCGAGTCTTCGAACTGATGAAGCTGGCGCTCGTTTCTGGCTAGCAGTCTAAGCTTTCGCTCCGAGTTCTCGAGCCTCAGCGTGTGGTGCTGTGGGTGCCTGGCTGACTCCGTGGCCGACTTCGCGAAATCCTTTGCCTTCTGGTTTCGCAGGCTGACCTTCTGGGTTTGGAGCTTGAAGAAGGCGTCGACCAAGAACACATCATAGATGTTCATCTCCTCTGGGGAGTCGACACAGACGACATAGCTGTGTCTGACGAGGAACCATTTGGGTGAATGCCGCTTCTTCACCATCCCAGGAGTTAAGGCCCGGCGAAAGTCCAGGCCCTTGGATGACTGGATGACCAGGAAGCCTTCTTTCCCATGATAGCTACCTTCCGCCGCAAGTCGGACACCCAGGGCCGACAGCTCCAGGAACTTGCAAAGACGATTACTGTCAGGCTTGAAGATGAGGAACCGAATCAACTTCTGCAGGTAGGATTCGAGCTTTTTCCGTTGTCTTTCAGGGTAGCTCTCCTTTTTATTCGCTTGCCCTGCTTCCACGGGGCCAGGAGCCCCAGCAGCACTCTCCCCCTCCGGATTGGTTACGCTCGACTGTCTCCGAGACAAGCCACCCCCCGACTGGCGTCGTTGTGCTTGCTGCTTTCTCCCACCCCTCTCGTTGCCACTGGTGGCTTCCGCTGCGGTCTCATAGCCACCGTCATCCTCTTCGTCTTCCATATCACTTTCCAGCCCGCGAACGCCTCGAAGGTATGGGAACGCACTTCGAGGAAACCGCGGCAGGTTCTGCGCGCCCTCGGTGTTCCGTAATTGTATATACTTCTGCGTTCCAAAATGCAGCTTGTACTTCAAGTGTATGTTGGCAAAATCCCTCAAAGTCCGGTAGATAATCCACTTCATCCGTGTCATGCCGCTTCCGTATTCCAGTTCGATACGGAAGACGAGATGGCGGTCTCCGGAGTGAGAATCGATCTTACTATCGGTGACCCGCACCTTGAGCTGCTCCAGCAGAATGGGAATGCGTTTACTGCCGTGTTCATCCCGCTGGAACATGCTGGCCAGAATCAAGGCGGCCGGCACTCCCGAGGTTAGCTCGGCGAGCAGTTCCGCCGATTTTGCATGGTCGACTGTATTGTCAACTTTGCGCCGTTGTCCGATCAACTTGAGTCCAGCCTTTATCTGCCGCCATCTTTGAGCACTAAGGCTGGAGCCACGATCGGCCCGGTGGCGCCTCCAGGGCGGCGCTATTCCTTCAGCATTCTCGGAGGGTCCAGCTAACCCGGTTAGTCGTCGCAGGTTGCTGGGTCTTCTCTCATCCTGGGTATTTTGAGTGTCCAGCTGGCGTCCGCTGTAGGTAAGTCCACGAGCATTGGCAAGCCAGGCGCTTTTCCGCCTCCATGCAGTATCCCTGTTTAGACGATCGCGGCCTTCATCTTCCGAGACACCCTCGCGGTGTTGAGGAGTGAAATCTCCGGTGCTACCCCTTCGGGGAAAGAAGTTCGAGCGATAGCTTTCGAAGGGAGTGAACGAGCTTGGTAGATGAAACGACGGGCGACTTGTAAATTTGGGTGTATTTGGCTGTGTTGGAGGCATCGACTCGTCCCGCTGTCGCCGACGTGGCAGTTTCTTCTTCTTCTGCTGTTGGGCCCGTTGTTCCCCCGCACTCTCTTCCGCGTCGGCATCAATGTCGCTCCCCTCCTCTTCCAAGGTGTTTGGGAAGCGAAACTCACCCCTCTCCGAGCCAGGGGTGGCCAGGTCATTGTTGGCGTTCCTTAAGTCGCTGAGCGTGGCGCCACTGGCTGAACGTGAGTGAGAAGCGAACGAAGGCGAGACCGCAAAGGACTTCAACTTCGTAAGCAGAGATTGTCGTCCTTTTAGGCCTGGATCCGCATCTTCGCCTTTAATAGAGGAAGGCCTAGAAGGAGGCTCCTCAGCAAGGTCGACCTCAGGAGTGTCTCGGGTAAATTGCACGCTGGGGCGACGAGGCGACGCAGAGGATCCCAACAATGGAGTTTGTGGCTTCCGGCTTCCGGAATATTGCAGATTTCCCGTCGCATCGTTTGGTTGTCGAATACTCAGTGACGCCGGTTTATCGGGGCGATTGGTATCCCACGTTTCCTCCCAAGAACCGTTGGTGTGTTCGGCGCGCGATTTTCCTTTGAGATCATGCTGGGCTTCCCTCACACCTTTCACCGCGACTGTATCACCCATTTGATCTTCTTCGTCCACTTCATCCTTTGTCAACGAGGGGGGTGGAGGCGACGAGGACAACCTCGGACCGTTCAACGACATTGGCCCAGGCCCTGTTGAGTAGTAACGATTGGGGGTATTCTCAGAGCCCCCCACTTCCGATGGATTGACCGTGAAATCGGACATGCTACTGGAGACAAAGCAATGGCATCAGTAAGCAAGCTGGATGGGTTTCAGGGGGGGAAGGGGGAGTAGGGGATCAAGACGCACATGCCGATCGAGAAGACCCTGTTGAAGCCGGCTTCGGGTCTCAATAATATGCAATCATTCTATACCACACAGCAAGCAAAATGGAGGAGGGGCAATCGGCTAGCTCCAACAGAATGCAATATTATTAAGGGAACAGACAGCTAGATAGACGACGAGCCCGAAACGTTTGGACGCGAAAGGAGCGTGTGGCTTCGCAGCGACTGTCCCTAGCCGCGGTGGAGTCTCCGCCCCATAGGAGAAGAATCGCAGGACGACTAGAGACGGAAGGCCCGCTTTGGCGCAGTCGGAGTAAAGGGGCAGTCGATCCTTGCGGAGGATGTCTGTCCAGTTGATACTAGCAGATGGACGGATAGATGCAGACAGGACTCGAGGCCAGGCAGGAGAGTAGATCTGCCTATACTGGTAGGTAGTACTAGTAGTACTCCGTACCTAGGTACTATGCCAGGTAGTCGGACTCTCCAGGATAGGTAAGGAATCAATTGCGCTGTGTGCAGTACGGAATAGTAGTAGGGTACCTTAAGGTACTGTTAGCTTCAGTAAGGTACTCCGTACTTCGTACCAGGTCCATCCATCCCGCCCCGTTGAAAGTCCCACCGGGATTGCGCAACCACTAAATAACATAAAGTACCTACCTAGGTCAGGTAGATACAGGTTCCAGGTACCTGAAGATGTTACCACCACCATCATGAACAACTGATTTAGTACCTTCTCTGCAGGTACTCCTCCGTAGGTCACCTTACTAGGTACTACCTAGGTACCTAAGGTAGGTAGGTAGTGTAACATGTACGGAGTAAATTACATGAAACAAATGGTCACCGCCCAGCTCACCGCCTGGGAAGCTAAGACTTACAGGTACGTATTACTACTACTAACTTATCCTCGGTAAACTTGGTCCTAGTACGGACGGGGGAAGAATCCGACCACCCCTCTTGTTCACCATAATCCCCATCATCGAACCGACGGAGAAGCCAGGGAGAGTACTATTGAATGACCGACAAACATGGCAGACGCCTCGAAAGAACTCGATGCCTCTGGATCCTCCAACCCACCGTCCCTCTCCCGGAAGACATATCCTATTGCCGGGATTCTCACCTCGGTCTTTGGTCTCGATGAATTGCCGGAGCAAACTTCAGAGGTAGCCTGTTTGTGGCTATTGCATCAGAGACTGTCTACCCAAGAACGCATGGAGAAGGTTGCTACAGCTGTCATTACGGACTGGAACACTAGGATCCGGGAGAACGGTGCCAGCTCCAGCCAGCCCGTCAAAGGCCTCATCGCTGTCGCGTTCGATCAAAGGAATCATGGGACAAGGCTGGTGGACCCGCTAGGAAACGAGTCATGGAAACAAGGAAATCCCCGGCATGCGCAGGATATGTTTTCTGTCTTCCGTGAGTGTCGTGCAGCTGGCTCGAGAGGCTTGAGGGGAGGCTAATCTAACAGCGAGTTGCTAAGAGGGGACGGCGCGAGATGTGTCTCTTTTGATTGACTATCTTCCATCCTTCTTGTTCCCCGAGTCCGACCGCAAGATCACCGACAACCTCGTACTGGGAATTTCTCTAGGCGGGCATGCCGCATGGAGCTGTATTCTGCATGAACCCCGCATTAGCGCCGGAGTAGTCATCATCGGCTGCCCTGACTACGTGAATCTGATGGCAGACCGTGCAAGGCTGTCGAAGTTGCCGTCCTGGACGAACGGTGACCCCCCTGGCTCCCAATTTCTAGGCTCTAGAGATTTCCCCCCCTCTCTGTTGGACGCCGTCCGCAAGTATGACCCTGCAGGCCTGTTTCTCAATTACGTGGATACGAAGGCGGCCATCAGTCCTCTGCGCACTGGGCCTTTACCGGAGCCCACTGAAAGCGAGAAGGTGGCATTGCGACCACTGTTGGCTCGTTCCATAGCTGGGAAAAGAATTCTCAACTTGTCGGGTGGTATAGACAAGTTGGTACCTTACCACCGGGGGGAAGTATTTCTGAGCTGGCTGAAGCAGGCTGTTGCGTCTAATGGTTGGTTTGCGGATGGAGCGGTCACCTTTGAAGATATCATTGATGAGAACGCTGCACATGAGACGACCCCCAAAATGGTCGATGAAGCGGTTCGATTCATTCGTGATACCCTGGATGCCAGTAGCAAAAGTCCGGAAACGCTGGGTTCCGTACGCGAATCTAAGATCTAGGCCACGTTACTCCCAGCCTTCTCGGCTTAACAAATATACTCAAATTAGTACCCGTACCCCGTACCATTGGTTCCTTGGGCCTTGCTTACTCGAAACCAGTAAGACCTGCATATCGGATAGGTATCGATGATGTATACTTGCCGTAGTCGAGAAAAAGGGAAGGTGGCCCCGAGACATGAACAAAGGAAGTGACGACTCGAGTCCAATCTGTCTACTCTACAATGATGAAATGGCTGCCTACATTGGCGCTGTCGACGCAAAGTTTTCGTGCACCGATTTTCGTTCGTGCTTTTTTTTCCTTGCAACGTTGAGCCAATAACATACGAAGGTTAACGTGGCTGACTGGCTGGCTGGGAGCTCAAATCTGACGGGAGGAGTGTCCGGCCAAGAGGCGTACAAGGAAAAGCAGATTTGAGAGAAAAAAAAAAAAGAAGTCGTCCTTTATGGTATTTTGATGAATATGATGAGGTCGTTAGGGCGTCCGGAGGCCATGCTATGCTCATCACAAACGAAAACCCTTTAATTTGTAGATACACGGACGAAGGTGCCCAATCCGCGGATCCCACTGTGAAATCCTCATTTTCCGGGAAGAATTCGACTCTATTACACTGGACCGTAGCCAGTGCAGCATCACCTGTCCCAGTTTTTATCCTCCTAGTATAGCCCAAGACTTTCACATTTAAGCAACCAACTCAACAACACCACCGGCCTCCTTGATCTTCTGCTCAGCATCCCGGCTGAAGTAACGAGCGCGGACAACGATGGGGACCTCGGGGAGACGGCCCTTGCCGAGAACCTTGGAGTAACCGAGGGAAAGGAGATCGATGACGGGAGCGGTGTCGGTCTTCTGGCCGGTCAGGTAGGCTTCGCGCTTCTCGGCGGGGACGAGAGACCACAGCTATATCGAAAACAAACCAGTCAGTCAATGCAATCCGTTGCAACATAAGTCCTGGGTCCCACAGCCCATCTTTTCCTTGCCAAGTTTTGCACCATGAGACCCTTCAACCCCGTCTTGCTGCCGTGGAAAAAAGACCCATCCTGCCGTTTACTTCAACCCCCAGCTCCCATGTATTAAACGTACCTTGTCAAGGTTGATGGTGGGCTTCCAGAACTGCTGGTTGGTCTTGTGGAAGTATCTCATTCCGACCTTACCGAAGTAACCGGGGTGGTACTTGTCCAAGTTGGTCCGGTGGTGGTGCTGACCACCGGCCATACCACGACCACCGGGATGCTTACGGTGCTTACCAACGCGACCGTAACCGGCGGAGACATGACCGCGGCTATTGAAATCAAAGGGATCAGCGTCAGTTCTTGTTGTTCTGGATATTCTCGACGTGGTCATCCGACGAGGGCAGAGTCTGTCGCAAATTGCTGCAACAAATAGGATGTTTGACGACCACCAGAGGCGAAGGGGAAATGCAGTCCGACTCACGCTTTCCTTGTCTTCGAGAAACGGGTAGGCATCTTGTCGACGGTGCTGAGCTCGACAAGACCGGTCTGGGAGTTTGGCGATGAGGGGGATGCGGTCGTGTATACGGCTGGCTCAGATGTTGAAATCAAGGCTCGGGCCCGGCTAGAGTGTGCGCTAATTTGCTTGCCCTAAGTTAGGGTCAACCCTTCTAATTCCTTGGCGATTTGAGCGCCACAATCACGTGCGTTTTACCGCCTCAGGCAAGATGATGACATAATACATTTGATGGTCTAACCAGTACGGAGGCATCTACAGTTATCGAGTAGTTCAAGTATAGACCACCAGCCACGTCGATGATACATTATTCCCATGCTCACCCAGCTCTCTTGCCCTTAAAGAACTGGGACAGGCTCTGTATCGCAGAGCCTGCAGGCCGTCGAATATCACTGCCCGCCATGCTCTGTTTAATCCAGGCAGGTAGCTTTGCTTGTACAGCAGGTTTATCATACCGCCTGTCAATCAAAACAATGGCTGCATAATCTTCCCGGTGCCTGATGGCCCTCCCAATGCACTGATTTACTGCTCGCATGCATGAATTTTCATAGTAGTCCCTACCGGCGGCTTTTGCCGTTGACTGCCGGTTTGCCTCGGTGCCCAAGGTCTGCCTATATGCCTTCTGCTCCACATGCTCGATTTTAGCCCGCCAAACCGCACTTCGAATATTCGGGAATGGCAGACCGACAATGAGGACACCCCTTCCGAGTTTGTCCGAGAAATTGATGCCCTCCGACAGCTTGCCACCCACCACAGACAAGAGGCATGCACCTTTACCTGAATCGATGGTATTCGCATACGTTTGTAGCAACTCCTCTGTGGTCAACGTCATGTCTCTGGACTCAGCAAACATAGCTTTTTTCGTCCCGATCAAATCATATATGGTTCGGCGTTGCTCGCCCGGTGTCGGTTTCTTCCAAATGCTCAAGACTCGGTCGAGGTAGTCGTAACTGGGGAAAAACGCAACCACGCCATCTGGGATAACATGGCATAATGTCGCTACTGTCCGCCCAAGATCAAGTATCTGAATGCTCGTGGGAAAAATTTGGCTCGAGTCAGAAGATGCGGCATGTGTAGGAGGGGGAATCGCTTACTGTTTTCTCCGAATCCCGAGCATCATAGGTAAAGTCGAATTCTGAACCTTGGACACCCCGGACCAGTGTGTGGGCGATCAGGTTCTCGGGTGGAATAACATGGCCATAGCTGAAGGTCCTCAATCGATCAGCTGGGACATAAGAGAAAAGATGGTTCATATAGTCTGTCATCTGCGGGATTCATTAGACGGGACAAGGGTCAAAAACTGGTGAATCAATAAGTGCCCACTCTTACAGGAGACATGGTTCCACCGGCTAATATGACGGCCCTTGCATCTTCGACAATCTCTCGGAATTGATTTGTCGGGTCAAGAAGCATATACTTCAAGTGAATCTCACTTTGGCTCTTTGTATAGAACAATCGCCCTTCAGCAGAGGGATTCATTAACGCTAGGAGGAACCCATGTATATGAAATAGTACAGGTGTTGTGCGATCCTCACTCGTCTGTCTTTCCGTTTTATTTTTAGAGAAGTCAACGTATCCATCCACTTTCCTCGCCAATTTGCTCTCCTGTAGGTAGCGGCTTAATTTGTAGGGATTGATTTGATCGACTCCTTTTCCTGACATGAGAGAAGAAGGCAGGACAGCACCCTCAGATGCTTTTTCGTTCTCCAGGATTGACCGAAGATGTTGGAAAATCGAATTCAGTAGCCGTATAATCTGGGCAATGTAACTTCGGTTTTTGCCTTTCAGACGAGTCTTGAACTTGCAGGCATAGGTGGTCAACTGAGCTATGGATGTCTCCAGTTGGGAGAGTGTCACTGTTACCGAATGAATATTAGACACTGCATCCATAAGATTATGTGCTTCGTCGATTATGACAATATGCCCTTTGATCGAGATATCAAGAGCCTCTCTGGCTGAGCGTTGGAGCAGCAAGGGATATGGAAGCGTTACGATCTGTTCCCTGTTAGTTATAGGGTTCAGGAAACTAGTCCCAAAGGCAACATACCTCGCTATGTTTCACCACTGAACGGGAGGCATAGTAAGGACAAATGCCGATTTCCTTGCCGAGTTTCCCCATATCTTCAATATCTTTTACTGTAGCTAAAGCATGATCACGGAATTGAAGGACTTGTACCTCATCTTCCTTCGATGGCAGAAAAGGACATTTCTGCTGAGGAGTCGTTCCAGCTTGTTGTAGATCCAAGCAGCGTTCATTAATCGCCGTCGCATTCTCTAACGTACTAACTCGTGGATTGATGCACAAATTCTTCCGAGAGCCAAGAGTGACATGTTTCACACGCTCAGTCAACTCCTGATCCCTGGTTGGATTCACATTTATTTCTTCGGGCATACTCGACGGCATGGTAACACGCCGCAACTCACTGGCAAATTGGGTTAACTGGGAGTGCGTCCTCGAGCAGTAGAAAATTTTGACATCCTCATCTCTGTGATCTTCACCTGCGGACTTAATAGTTGGAACTTGTCCTTTAAACCGTTCCAGTAGCTCTAGTGTACGAGAGGAGAGATCGCTAGTAGAAGAGTCGAGTCCCTTTCGGGGAAATGTATCCTCTTCTCTCTCGCTGTCATAGTCTTCCAGTGCAAATTGATCTTCCATTTGTTCATCCCGACAAGCTGATGGGGTACTAAACTTCTGCATCGATAATTTACCTTTAGTAAGACTTGCTTAATGTCAATTGGTGTTTTCTCGCATACCTGTCTTTTCCGCGGTCCTTCAAAGCCTTCCGATGCAATTTTTAGTTTCTCTTCTTCTTTCCTTGTCTTTTCCAGTCTCTCTTCAAGCTCTTTCATCCTTTCGGTTATCACGCGTCTCGACTCACGTTTTGCAAAGTCGAGCATCCATTCGGGTTCGTCATCATCGCCTAGAGAACTATTAGAGACGAAATTGAGGTAATTTCGAGCTGGAAGTCCCAACACGTAGCACCGTTGACGGTCGCTTGGAAGGCGGACCGCTTGTGATCTCGTAACCACGTCAAAGAACCGCATATCATACTCAACGATTTCCCCTAGGACAAGACTTTCAGTGGCAATTCAATGCGCTAAGACCAACATGAGGGGCCCTTTGGACTGTTCCACATCGATACAGATACCTTGGGAATGCAATGTGCAATAGACATCAAGAGTGCCTGAGAGCAGAGCCGAATACATGATGCTGACATGAGATGAATAGTACTTACAGTTCCTGGAATAGGCTAGGTTACTGGCAGTTCCATGACAGCTAGAGCGGATATTTCACTTACCAGTAGGCGACTCAAAAACTGCAACATTGCCCTGCTCTAGACAAGTGTACAGGGCCCGCATTAACTGGAGTTGGATCTCATAAGGCGCATAAGGATGGTGAAAATCCTCTGCCTGGAGATCCATTGATAGTGTCAGGATCTGGAGTAACCCAGGACCAGTCCAGACAAAATGAGTGGTTGTGCAAAGTATTGCGTAGAGAACGCTAGCCAACAGGGTCTTTGTATTCACTTGAGAGAATGCCAACGTCGGACCGACCTATAGCAGATTCAGCACAGTATTTCACTTCCTTTTGATTTCAAAATACTACAAAACCCCGACAAAAGGGATTGGAGGGAGGTTTGGGGATGGCAGTCCTCAGACGTTGCTGTCCATAAGGCAGTGACACCACACAGCATTCCCTCCCAACAAGTTATATGGATCGATATGGATTGAGGCAGAGTCCCTACTTGGGTACCTATTCTACCTTACTCCGTACCTAGGTACAGTATTGCCTGCCTGAGGCGGCAGTGTGTGGGCAGTTGCAACTTTACGAACTAACCTATATAGGTAAGGCAGCCTGTTACTAAGGTTGTTCTGGAACCTACCATCTACCTACAGGTACCTGAGGCTCCGCATGGAGTTCTCCGTAGTAGATAGTCCGTATGGAGTACGAAGTACGGACTCACAGCTGGATTATTACTATGGATAGATAGTCTTCGCTTACATGTGTCCTTAGCCATCAAATTTCCTGCTTAGCCTTGGCAGAGGCTCATCATCGTAACTGCCCATCTGTATCAAGTTGCTGCCATCACCTACAACCTGAGTCCAGTATTGCCAAGTGGCCAGTACTAAGATAGCAATCCTACCTCTGTACCAGTTATACGGAGTAGTTTATTAACAAATCCAGCAGGAGAAAGGGGGGCGGGGCCGGCTTAATACTTATTATATTATGTAGGAGATACGGAGTAGTAGTAGGTAGGCACTACCTTAACTACCTACCTCACTATTTAGGTACCCTGCGGAATTAATACATACCTTAGGTAGGTAGTACTACTTACCTTACCAGACACCAGTGGACCTATTTTCCACTACTCCGTAGGTACGGAGTAGTTACTCTGTAATTCTACTTTGTATAGATACTTAGGTTAGAAGTGGTGGTTGCCATCAATCAGCCCGCCCCTTCGCTCCCTATTATTACCCAGGTAGGTAAGTAGTACAGAACCGTATATTGCTGTTATTTGTTCACCTGTGCAGGGTACATTGTATCATGACCAATAACCTACCTATCTATGTGGTTCCAGGGGATACTTAGTACCTGTACTGTAGTTGGTAGTCCGCCCAGTTGTTACCGAGAGCGACTAGTATTACCCAGCTGGATCCGATCATGTAAGCCTTCTTCCTTTGTGTTCCGTATAGTAGTCAGTCACTGCCCCCTCCCCCCTCCCCCTCGTAGACAGATGGTAGTAGGTGGTGAATAGTATCTAGGTAGACACCACCATCACCTCCTCCTCCTCCTCCTCCTCCTCCTCTCCTCCTCCTCCTCCTAACTCCTCCTCCTAACTCCTACTCGGCAGTCTCCACGCGGCTCTTCCTTTTTACCCCCCTCCCCCCCCTTCTCCTCAAGTTCCCGATGACTACGTAGAACCCTTTTATTACTATTTACTTACTACCACTAGTCTGACACAGGCGAATTTAGCTGGTTCTTCCTTTTCCTTCCCCTCCCCCCTCCCCCCCCTTTTTTTTTTTTTATAAAACACAGGTCACATAAAAACAAAAAAGCAGGGGGTGAGTAAAGTGGAAACAAATTAACGAGGAAAAAGCAATCTTACCAATAGCGGAGAATCACGCCGACAATGAATAGGCCACCACAAGGTCGTGGTCAGCCACGGCTGGGCGCTACCTGGTATCCAGGGGGCCAGGACGATTTCTACATGCCAGAAGTCATATCCCCCTCTCCCCAAAGGTGTGAAGTGACCATCGGAGCACTCTCTTAACTCCCCTCTGCTAATCGATTGATTCTCGTTCCGCCAGGGTCATGCCAGAAGTTCCGGAGAACATGCAGGACAATATTGCTCACCTCGAACACGAGGCCCGGAATCCCCATCACAACCACCACTATGACCGCTCGCGCTTCCCTGAGCGAACTTCCTCCGCCACCACTCAGGGACAACCTTCCCCAACCGCCTACGAACCCCCTCATTTTGAGCAATCCACGGCTTATGACGCTACCATGGATGCCCCGAACTTTTCGCCATTTCCTGTCCTGCGCAACCCCCCACCCAATGTACCTCCTACTGATGAGCAGAGGGAAGTCAATTTGGAGCGGGCCCGGATGGCGGTGCTCTCATCCAACGACCCGGATATGCAGCTGGCTTGGGCCCAGGATGCCCTCGCCTATGTCGAGGTTGCTATGCAGAACGAAGCCCGTCTGTCTTTGATACAGCCCCCGCGCCCTCAGACTCCTCAGGTGGAGCGGCAGTTGAAGCTTGATGCAATGAACATCGTCAATTTCCTAGCGGAGCAATATCACCCCAAGGCTGAGTTTATTAAGGGCATGTGGCTGGAATTCGGCAAGTTTGGATACCGTGTGGATAAGAAGGAAGCATTCCGAGCCTACTCGAGGGCTGCAGAGAAAGGGTATGCCAGAGCTGAGTACCGCATCGGCATGCAGTTTGAGAGTTCGGGAGAGCCGGAGAAGGCTATCAGACACTACGAGAAGGGTGTTGCCCTAGCAGACTCGGCTTCTTTCTACGTATGTTCCCTGCCCCCGCAGCAGAGAAACAGCGTGCGCTAATATTTTGAGTGATAGCGCCTGGGGATGATGATTCTTCTTGGCCAGCACGGACAGCGCCAGGATTACCAAATGGGGCTCAACTACATCAGCCTCGCAGCGCAATCCTGTGACGAAAATGCACCTCAGGGGGCATATGTGCGTATCCTTACTTTGCTTGTCTTTTTTTCTGCAGAGGCTCTAACATGCTGTACAGGTCTATGGAATGCTTTTGGCGCGAGAGCTGCCCCAAGTGAATGTCCCCGAGAACTATCTTCCACTTGATCTCAACGCAGCTCGTGTTAATATCGAAAAAGCTGCTTACCACGGCTTCGCGAAGGCTCAAGTTAAAATCGGTGCCGCCTACGAACTGTGCCAACTTGGCTGCGACTTTAACCCCGCTTTGTCCTTGCACTATAATGCGTTGGCTGCGCGTCAAGGTGAACCAGAAGCGGAAATGGCTATCAGCAAATGGTTCCTGTGCGGTCATGAAGGAGTCTTCGAGAAAAATGATGGGTTTGCGTTCACTTACGCTCAACGTGCAGCTCAAAGCGGGTTCCCTACCGCCGAGTTCGCCCTGGGATACTTCTATGAAGTCGGAATATTTGTTCCGGTAGACATCAAAGAGGCTCGAAGCTGGTATGCCAAGGCTGCAGCGAACGGAAATAAGGACGCGACCGGTCGGATTGACAGCATCTCCCGGTCCAAGACTCTGTCCAGGAAGGATCATGAACAAGTTGCGATTGCCCGGATCAAGTCACGTTATGGGTCCCATCAGCGAGGGAGCACGATGAAACCTACTCCCGAGAACCTCGAAATGCCCGATCCGTCCAGGATGACTTTATCCGACAATCCACCATCGTCTGCTGCGCCCTACCCTGATAGACCAGCATCTCGTGCCCGGCCTGTGTATCCCCCTGGGTATTCGATGCCCGACCCTCGGCCGAGCTCTGCATTTGGGATCAATCCCAACATTCGCTCAAACGCGCCCAACTACAACCGCGCCGCATCGTATGGACCCAGTGCCATGGGGTACCGCTCACCGGGCCCTGGTACGCCATCCACTACCAGCCCGTCAAGCCCAGCGTCCGCAGCACCAAAGGTCGACATTGGCTACTCGGCACCGCTTGAGAACCCCAACCCGGATGCCCGGAGACGTCCCCAGCGGCTGGACAATATGCCTCCAGAGCGTAGGCCCGTGAGAGGGCCTGTTTCCCCTCACTCCCAAGGTGGCCAGACAGGTTCTCCTAGGCCCCCAGCCTCACCTTCCACATCGATGCCCCCCCGCGTACTGAATCCATGGCGCCTTCAGGGGCCCCCTCAATGTCCAACCCCCCTTCATCTACATCGACGCCCAAGCCCCCTCCCTCGAACTCGACACCCAAACCTCCTCCCACCGCATCGACCTCGGCCAGCCAAAAGCCTGCAGCGCCATCCAAGCCGCATGGCAATCTGCCGGGCAAGGGTCCTAAGACGTTCGAAGAAATGGGGGTACCGGCTGTCCAGAAAGACAGTGATTGCGTAAGTATTCTTCTGTACTCATCACACATTTCCAGGGCTAACTTTGCACAGATTGTCATGTGATACCCAAGGAGATCCTTCTCTGGTCGTTATTCATTTGTGCCATATTGGACTAGTGCGGGGCCGAGCATTTTCTTTCCTGTTATTGCTCTTGTTCTTTCCTTTTCTTTTCTACCTGTTCATCGGCTACCTATGTCTCGCTGTCGTTTGAATATCCAACCTGCGATTTGATGTGATGTTTTGTTCCCGAAATATCATGAGCTTTGTGCCCCGGCGTGTAAACGCCCCGCTCTCTGTTCTCTTCTCATCTTCCCCTCACCCCCTCCTTCTCCCCCCTTATCCGCATATCTATTCAGCCCCCCCCCCCCCCCCAAACAATACATACTGTTTGCATAGGATCCTATTTGGATCACCGGTGTACTGTACATACGTCGCTCTTTCCATAACCCCGAGATAAACCAACCCGAGGCCTCCGTTGGTCAAGGCAGCTGTCGAAGCAGCAACCATCTGTTCTCGTATCCTTGGATTCTCTCCACATCGTTTACTCTTGACGGCCCGTCTCGTCATGACCCAGAAGAAGGGGAAAGGTGATAAGCATCCGTGCAGCGATGGTGGGCCGCCAAAATCTCCCGTGTCGGGGCTTCGCGAAACTAACCTTACGAAGTCACCACTGATGATACTACGCTGATTCTTGATTACCTTCGTGAGTGTCTGCCTTTGATCTACTTACCTGCCTTGGGCATACATGTGAAAGGCAGTTGCTGATTTACTTAACGGCAGGGAAGCAGAAGTATTAAATACCCTATCCAGCCGAGCGAATTGGCTGGCCCCTTCCCGTTCCCTTCGAGCCACCCCAAAGCTAACCCCCCGTGGCTGCAATGCGACAGTCGTCCGTATTCGGTTGGTGTCTCGCTCGATATGCAAACGCTGTAGACTGACAGTGAGGTTCCTCTCACGGAAATCGGGTGCAGGCCAATGACATATCAACCAATCTGCATGGTGAAGTCAGCAAAGGTAAAAGCTAGTCATGATTGGTATCCTTACTTACCTCATGCTGGAATTGAACATCCCATAGCACAAGCCATCAAGGTTTTACGCGAACTGCATCAGAACAAGAGAATTGAAGGGCGAGTGGCCGGTAAGTGGAGGTCACCAGCTGTGCGCGAAGGATGGGCGGCGAAGTGTGTGAAGACTGATTTCGGTGTGACAGGGAAACAGGTGGTTTATCATGCTCTACAAGAGACATCGAGTGCGCCAGAGACCCTTGCCGCTCTGGAAGAGATGATTGAGCAGCTACGGGAACAAATCAGCGGTCTCCAGTCCACCGAAAAAAAGACACGAGGGGAGCTGGCAGCTCTCGGTGCGAAACCTTTGCTGTCCGAGCTTCGATGTGATATCAGTCAATTCGAGCACCAGCACGATGCAACCCGCGCACGCCTGGAAAGGGCACAAGAGCGCGATTCAACCCCCGTTCCTCCCCACGTCAAAACGAAAGCCGAAGAGGACTGGAAACTCTGGCAAAACCATGCCAACGTACGCGGTCGGATCTGTCGTGAATTGTGGCGACAGTGCTCAGAGGTGGTGCCAGATGGGACTACTCGGGCAGAGCTCTGGGTAAGAGGACCTTTTCTGTGTGTGTGTGTGTGTGTTGCTAAGCGGATATTGACACAGGAGTCCTTGGGGTTGGAGGGGCCTTTCCTCCACTAACAATTGCGATGGTGGCCCCCCATACTGTGATAGAAGAAGAGTGAGACCCTTGGTGACGATGGTGTGCCACACCCCATTTACTAGATATGTACTTGTGACCAACATGGCAGATCCGTGGGGACGGATGGAAAGCAGAAGGACGATCGGCGACCAGCCCACACTGTCTGGATCAACCCCGATGCTACATACCACAGTATCTTGGTGATATGATGATAATAATGACAATACGGAGATATCTAGCACATGGACAGTAGATGGGTTATCTATTGTGGATGTATGTACGGAGTACTTTGTAGACAAGCTACTAGTGGTACTAGCAGTGGTGGTGGTGGTTGTATCACTATCTACTACCTCCGTACTGCATACATATCTTGACCGACCGGGAGCCACTGCTGAGGAAAGCTAGGGCCACCGGATGGAACGAACGATCAGATGAGCAAGTAGTAAGCAATAATCAATCAATCCGAGCAGTGTCATCCGAGCGGGTCGTTGGGAGGATGAATTGTAATTGGTAACAGGAACCCCGGGCCATGAATAGGTTTTTTTTTTTTTTTTTTTTTTTCCCACCACTTTGGATGACGCCACCAGGGCTGGCTTCGACGACGCATCGGGGAGAGGGAAAGAGATCATGTCATGCGCCCGGCTTATCTATAGGACGACGGACAGACGGACTACATATATGTATGTCATACTACATGGTCATGTTATGTTATTTACTAACCAAGTACTCCGAGATACCGCACTACCTAAGGTAATGTCTATAGTAAGGTACCTAGCTGCTAGTACAAAGTGGAAGTGAAGTATGTATGTATGTATCAGCTGCTACCATTCCGTGGTCTCATCAGTGGTCTTCCCTCGTGCCCATTCTGCCTGGCAAACAACTCTTTCAATGATTCAATTCAGTCAGATACCCCGTAGTTGAATCGAGAATCTGATAAACAATAATTAAACCCGTCTGGATTTTGTCTGCTGCTGCTGCTGCTGTCCGCCGCTGCCCGCCGTCTGTCGCTGTCGCCGCTTTCCTCCCCTCTCGGCGATGCCGCAGCTGTCGGCTTCTCGCAACCCTCCGCCTAGTCCTCAACCCCCTCCTCCTCCTCCTCCTCCTCCTCCTCCTCCTCCCGCTTCCTCCCCTCCTCCTCCTCCTCTCCCCTCCCCCTCCCCTCCCCTCTCCTCCCCCTCCTCTCTCTCACGTCACTCGCACCCCGACCCGTCCGTCGGGTGAAATGAAAAGTCGCGCTCCTCTCCCGGTTCCCTCCGGCCCTCAATCCCTCCAGAACGGCCATTCCCGCAACCTCTCCTCCTCCGGCTTCGACATGGCAGCCCGCAGCCCTCCCAACCAGAGCAGTGAGTCCTCTGTCGCCCTTTTCACCCTTTTTACTACCCCGCCTGCTGTCTTGCTTGCTATGGTGACTGCCATGGGTTCGGTCGCCGGGTGCGCTGGGAACCGATCGCTGACTGACGGTTTACTGGGTTTGCGCAGACACCAAGCATGTGCCTTGCAAATTCTTTCGTCAGGGAGCCTGTCAGGCCGGGCCTGCCTGTCCCTTCCTGCATTCCACTGATGCGGCAGTCGATTACGCACCTTGCAAATATTTTACAAAGGTAGGGCGCTGGTGGTTTTCCGGCGATCGCCGTTCCACGCGCTGCGCTGAGACGGCGCGATCCCCCCCCACCACCCCATCCAGGCCAACGGAGGCTGACCACGTGCGTGTTGATGATCCCAGGGTAACTGCAAGTTCGGAGCCAAATGCGCCCTGGCGCATATCCTACCCGATGGCCGACGAGTTAATCGTCCCAGCCCGGCGATGGCAATGGGTGGAAGCCATCTCAATCTAGGCGGGCGGGTCAACCCACAAGCCTATGTCAATCAGGATTCCGCGCTGACGAACTCGGTGCTTTCGCAACAACGGATGAACGGCCACGATCCAAGATACGCCTCCCAGGTCCCCACTCAGGATGAATTTGTCGCGCTACATGCCCAGCAACAACCGCCTTATGATGCCATCCCCACCATTGACACCGGCTTGGTTTCCGATGCTGGCTCCAAGTACGGGTCTCCTGTGGATGACTTGCGATTTCCAATGTCCCCAAACCATCGTCACCTAACAGCTCTCGATGCCCCGCTTCCTGCGTCCTTCGATAGCCAGGGGATCTCACATGCCGCTCGCTATGGCCCTGTTGCGGCCTCTATGCCTTCGAAATTTGGATTGGAACTCTCCCCGCCAGCACAGCGTATGGGTGCCCCATTAGATGCCATTCGGAATCTCCGAGACACGGCATATGGCCCCGATGTGAAGAAACTATCTTCTTTCGTCGCCTCGTCGCCCCCTGGCCTTCCGGAAGATGGCATTGGTCCGCGATTCCTGCACTCCCAACGGCCCATTAAATCCCGGGTGCTTTCTGCTAGTGTGCCCCGGCCCACGGCTTTGGATGACTGGGATGATAGTAATTTTCCCATGGAGGAGGATTATCTGCCAATCAACTTGCATGACGATGTTCTTACGCCACAGGAGCGGCTCCGGCGTCTATCGCGTACCGATCACGAACTCAGCTCAAGCCATCGCGATCTGAGTGGGTTGGGCATGAGCGGCACTAGTCTTTCGAAAGTTGGCTCCCCCTTAGCCTCCAGTCCGTCTCGATTCGGCGCTCTATTTGCCAAGCAACGACAAAGGAAGGAGGAAGACGCCCACGGTACCTCCCTCACACATGTCGGATCGCCGCTTCGCGAGTCCTCATGGAATCTGGGTACCAGCCCCGGTTTGGGTCCCATTGGAAGCCGACAGATGTCCGGCGATGTCTCGCCGTTCGTTTCGAGTCCCTCTCGCCAACCATCGATGTCAATGATATCGCAGCAGCTCAGCGGCATGTCTCTTCACCCTGGCTCGGCTCGTCATTCGTCATCTGTAGGCGCCAGCAGTCGCCTTGACCGCACTGTTTCGTCGCCGGTGAGCACAAGTAAAATCGACGAAGAACAGGGCGATTTGGTCTTTTCCATGGAAGAGGAGGAAAACAACAAACGAAACAGCGCCTCCTGGAGCCCACATAAGCCTGATTCTAACGACGAGGCTTCAACGCCAACAAGTAACTCAGGTTTCCAGCCGTAATAATTGTTTATACGGTACCGATCGAAGCCGGCACCTTACTATTGCTAATGGGATCGTTTCTTGAAACAAAAAATACGGAGCAGAAAAGGGCGACGGAGCAGAAAAGAAAAGGGGGCGTCAAAAGGCACTTCAGGGAACTAAAATCAGCGAGCAAACGACGAGAGGGGGGGGAAACACCACAGGTTGGTACCAGTCCACGATAATGTCCATAAGTCATCACCAAAAGAATATACCGAATGCTCTAGGCTCCGGCGCCATTGGAGGGCATTTTGCATAGAACGGTTCAGCGATCAATCTCTAGGAGTTATACAACAGCTCTCTTTCTCACTTTTCTGTCTATTTCATTACGTGGGTCATTAGATTGTCTTGGAGCTTGTTTGGAGGGACTTGGTTTGTGATACAGCTGTCGAAGTCCCCATCACTCTGCATTCATTTGCCGTGCTTAGGGATAAATCGCCCCGGGCGTCCTCGCCTCTACCGGAAGGTAGCAGTCGCGTTGATTGACATTTTTAATTCTTTGTTTTGGAGGCATGTGTACACTCCGTCTAGGGTCGGTCTCACTCTCGACCTATGGCTGTCGTCTTCCCCGGATTTATTGCTTTTTTGTATCTAGTTTACGAGTCAACGATATGCGTTTACTGTTGATCCCCTCGTTTGGCTTTGATTAACCCCTGTCGGTCATTCGATACTCGACACGAGTGGCCACATTGGCTTTTTGGTCAACTATTGATCGTTATGGAAGATGCCCGGTAGGCATCTCCGATCCCATTGTCTTCTGCTTCATGGTCAATAGTATGGAGAAAATGGATTTCATCTACGAAAGCCATCAGAAATATATAGACAATCTCATACATTGATCAACCGCAGATTAGCATACATCGAAAGATGTTTGCGCGGACCCCGGAGGACTAATATCAGAAGATTGTGTGTATCAAAATTAAGACGCCATTTATCCACCCTATTTAGGTTGCGCTATAATATGGCTTCGGCAAATCCGCCATGCAATGGCGCAGGGATTTCTTCTCATACCGAAAGATGATCCGGCAGAGCGATCCTCACGACCTTGCAACCCCTAGGTCAAACTCTCGGGCCGGCATCGTCCAGATACAAAGCGCTACCTTTGAGGCTTACAAAGGCCGCTTGTTTCGAGTGGGCCAGAATCCGGGCAGTCTCATATTCAGAAACCTGACCAGCAAGAATCCTTTGCTTGCGAGCCTTAGTATCCACTCGTCGGATATCCCCAGCCTTGTCCCCATACATCATCTCATAGAGCTTATCTGTGCCATCCGTGACCTGACAAGTCAGGGCCTCAACAGCTTTGGCCGTCAAAACATGAACACGTGCGGCAAGAGCTGTCGCGTCATCGGCTCGCTGCCGCTTGACAGCCACCTCCCGCTCTTCCTGTTCGTGGCTCCCCTTGCGCTTTTGAGCCTCCGCTTGCTTCCGTCTCTCCTCCTTGGCAGCGAGGTATTTGAGCGAATGGCCTAGCTTTTGCTGAACTGGCGGGACTATATCAAGCGGTGGGCAGGAGAAGAATAACACACGGCCATGATCATCACAGTGGAACTGTTCACGAATATCTGCTGGGATCGCGGCATTCGCGGCATCACTCAGATGGAAGACTTCGATCGGGCGAGGAGCGTTGGAGTTGTACATTGCTGCAGGAACTGGCAAACGGCTTCCTTGATATGGAGTGTATGGCGTTGGCTGGACAGCCGCATAAGGATGAGAGACAGCTGGTGTCTGATAAGTAGCCGGGTGGGGCGTCTGTGGGATGAACCCGCTGGAACGCCTTTGCAAGGCAGGCTGATAGACCTGAGCAGGAGGAATTTGAGTTTGATGGTAATTCACCGGGGGAACTGGTGCTGGTGAGCTCTGAGCAGGAGGGATGGGTGCAGCTGGAGACCGTGCCGCGCCAGGAACTGTCCCACCCGTCGCGCCGGTGCCTGGGTTATCTGTGCTCGCTCGCACAGAGGCCAGGTTAGTCGACGTCTGCCGGGGAGGGGCGGGCAAAGTGGGTGCTGGCAGCGACGGGGGTGGTGACGGTGTTGGTTCGGGGGGGGGAGACTCCTGAAAGTAGCGTGTTCAATCAGTAACATGCGCTCCTGACTATGGCTATGGTGTGCCTGAGTGAACAGAGGAAGAAGGGGCGGGGGACTCACGTTTTCATCTCGTGGGCGACGATGAACTGCACCAACAACGGGTGGAGCATTGTCCGCTCCCCAGGCCGGCTTCGGAAGGTCATCGGTTTCTTTTGCATCGCTATTGAGCAGGTGCTTTATGGGACTGGGAATCTTCTTGATTCGCCGAGGAACATCAAAAAGATCCATTTCATAGTCTTTTTCCCGAACCTCGTCCGGAAGACAACTCGCCCACGTTTTGATCTTATTCAGCTTATGCTTTTCCTCGTTGTATCGAGCTTCACAGACGTAGACATCCTTATCAGGGGGGAGACCTCTTGGCCGACCACGATTATAGCGAGTGAAAAACATCACGAAGCAGCGATCCACAATCTCGTCTACCCGATGATCCCGATATTGGCCGGTTTTGACCACCTCGTTGGGGTAAAAGTGTTTCTCAAAGTGATGAACGGTCTGTTCGGGGCGATAGTACCAACAAGCGTTGATCCACTTCTCACCCTCGGAATCTTGCCATGTACGGTAGATCTGTGCCACGACCGGCTTCGTCACGTCATTGGGGTTTTGGATATGAACCCAATCCCCTACTTTCCAAAGCTCGCTCTTGTACAAAATGCCGTCGGGTAAAGGCAAACGTCCATCTTCCATCAAGTACTCACTGTCTGGCTTTTTCTTCTCATGCTCGGCAAGTTTTCTTGCTTCCAGTTGCAGGTCCACTGCATCCTTGTAGATCTGACTCTCGGGCTGATTGTAGGCCTTCGCGTTGTTGAACATAAGATCCACGTCCCTCATGAAATGGTCCACCGAATTGTACTTCTTCCGTTTTGACTTCCGCTTGATAATGTCGATGGCAATGGGTTCCCTGATCTCGACATAATAGTCCGGATACGTAGCCTTGTCGGGCAACCGCTCGAAATGCTGCACCTTGAGTTGACTGGTAGGTCCTTTCAGCTTGCGAACCCCCTTTAGAATAGCCTTAATTCTAGCCTCCATCGGAGTGTCAACACGCGGCGGCCGGCCTCGCTTCTTTCTCAACTCGGGATCGTTCGATCTTTGCCCATCATCCTTACCACTGTCACGTTTACCACCTGGCCGAGAACCCTTTTTCTTCTTTCGTCGACTATCATCATCGGAATCTTCCTCGTCTTCTTCATCATCTTCATCCTCATCCTCCTCTTCGTCTTCCTCAGGGAGAGGGTCGGCTTCGGGGATTTCTCCGAGGTCGGGAAGTTCTGCCTCTTTGATGGTGATGATCCCCTGGTTTACTAATTTCCCGAACTGGGTCACGAAAACATCCTTTAGTTGCGCAGGATATAATCAGTAACAGGAAACTTGGATGTAAGAGAATGCAAGAGCCTATCTATCAGATTCAGAGCACATACCTTGATCACGAGAGCGTCTTCATATGCTTGGGATTTCGGGCGGTTGTAAGTTTGCGCATTGTGGGGGATCTAGGGCACGGGTGATCTCAGCTTCCCATGTTCCTGACCACAAGATTCATATGAGTGTGGGAACAAGTACATACTAAAGAACAATCACGCACAAAGTCAGAAAACTTGTGATACTCGCGCTTGTTTATCTTCTGTTTCAAAATGCTCAGAGCCATGGGCTCCTTGATTATATCGTAGTAGTCAGGGACATTGCGCTTGTTGACACTTCGTTGGAACAATCTTGATGGGTCATGACCGCTGTAGTTCAGTGAGGGCAGATACTGTTAGCCATTTTTAGGGCTTGAAGGAACTTCCAGACAGGATGCGATTCAGGGCGCGAGAGCGGCCATGCCTCACTGTTTCTTCATGAACTGTGATGGGAACAAAAGACTTACTCCTCCTCTCTGAATTCATATATGGCCAGCACAACATCCATCATAGACCTCCATTGCTCCTCTGTGAGGGTGCCCGTAGCTGCGGAGCCATCAGCCTTGCCGTCATCCTCGATCGACCTGACGAGCTCCTCAGGAGCAGGTTGCGCTTGCGACGGCCCCGGTATCTTTGTCTCCATACTGTAAACAGCCGCAGCCGCACAGGGAACGTAGCGCAGATTAAGATTCTGGCCCAACTTGATAATTAATTTCAGGCTACCTCAAGCACATCGGCAAAGGGAGCAAACATGGGATGTGAACTAAAGCAGAGTTAGCAAAACAGTGACAAGAGGTCGAGATTCGTGTTGCCAACTATGCTGACTCAGCTTTACCTGATTTGTTACAATAACTGGTGACTGTAATTCTGTAAATTACCATACTGTATCCAGGTCGCGCTTCCGCTGACCTTTATTCAAGCATGGGTTAGGCGGTAAGAGATTAATATTCCATGTGATTGGCAGCACATACAGTAATTCTCTCTCTCTTATCTTATCTCCAACACAGATCTGTATTACAGTGGTTAGTATGGTACTTAATGAGTACTGTAATGTATCAGAGCAGTAAGAATATTCTGAGTACTATAATTATTACAGATAGGCAACACTTATTAAATAATAATAATAATAAAATTATTTATAAGTAATAAATTATTACTAGACTAATAATATTAATACTAGCTAGAGGATAAAAATATAAAAAATAAAGTTATCTAAATCATTAATAATTAGATAGTCACTCACTATAGTAAGACTAGAGTGGCTAACAGCCAGATCAGATCAGATTAATTAGAATTTTTATATCTAATCACTAGATTATAATTAGATTAAGAAAATTTTTATATCTAATTATAAAATAATTAAAAATTAGATAATTAATTATTTTAATTATTTTTAATATTAAGATTTATCTGCTATATTTTTTTAAGCTTTAATATAATTAAGATATATTTAAATTAAATAATTATTAATCTAATTATTTTTATTATTATTTAAAAATATATAAAAAAAAGCTTTTTAAATTAAAAAAATATAATTAAAAAAGAAATTAGTATTTTTTTTATTATTATTTATTAAAAATAATAAAAAAATTCTAATTATATTAATAAAATTTAGTTTTTTATAAAATTATTATTCTTATAGTAAGAAATATATATAAAAATATATAATTATTATTCTATTTTAGCTATATATTTTAATTATATTATAGAATATTAGAAAAATTATATATTAATTATTAATTAAAATATTAAAAATAAATATATTATTTTTATTTTATTATTTCTTCTAGGCTTGTCAAAATACCGAGCCTGAGCAGGTTGGGGAGGATCAGCAAGCCGGCTCAGCCGAGCCCAGAACTTATTAAGACCAGGCCCTGTCTATCTGTAAGTTCTGTAACTAAAATATAGCTTATTTAATAAATTTATATTAAAATATAATTTAATAAGATTTTTTTTAATTTTAATTAAATTAGATTAAATTATAACTTAACAGCTTACTAAGATTTTTATATAAATAATTTAATATAAAAAAAATAATAAATCTTTTTTTATATTTTATTAATATTACTTTATTATAATATATAAATATAAATATAATTATATATTTAAGATAATAAATAGATTATTTATTATATTATTATAAAAAAATTATTCAGAATTATAGATAATAGAGTTTTAATTAAATATTATATTATATATTAAATAATTAATACTTAATTTATAATATATATATATATTTATTATAAAGATCTATTATAAATTTATTATAAATTATAATAAATTTCTAAAATTTATTTAGAATTAGATTTAAACTAAATATAAATAATTTATTTTATTTATCTAATATTTCTTTTTTTTTAATTATTTAATATTTTTTATTTTTAATATTTTCTTTATTTTTTTATATTATATTAATCAAGTTTTTCTGTCTTTTTATATTACATAAATTAAATTTCTTTTATTTTTTTATATTATATTAATCAAGTCTTTCTATTTTTTTTATTAAATTTATTAAAAATATTTTACTATACTAGATAGAAGAATTTAATTTTTTAATTTTAATTAAATTTAGTTTTTTTAATTTTAAATAGATTATATCTACTTCTCTGTAAAAATATTATAAAAAAAAAATTAAGATTATAATAATAATTATTAAAAAAAATATTATGAAGCTGATTATAATTTTAAATAATAATATTTAAAAAAATCTAGATATTATCTATTTAGATATAATAATTATAAATATCTAATATCTAAATTCTAACTAGTCTAATAGTTATAATTAAAAAATTAATTATAATTATATTATTAAGCTATAAAGTTTAATAATATCTGATATTAAAAGATTAAATTAAGAGATATAAATAATAATAATTTTAAGAAAGAAGAATTAAAAAAAACTATTTATTTATATTATAAAATAAATTAAAAAAAGTAATATATTTTATTTTTAATCTTTTATTTAAATTAATATTATATCAGAAATTTTAATAATATTAATAAAAGTTAGTAAATTAAATATATATAGCTATATATTAAATAATAAAAAAAAGATTTTTAATATAATTATCTTAGTATAATTAGATAATATAGATTATTCTTATTTAAATATTAAATAATATTATAAGAGAGCTTTAAAATTATTATTTTATTAATAAAATAAAAAGATAGCTGAGAAAATAAGAGCAGATATTTTAAATTTATAATAAAAATTTTTAAAAATTAAAATAAAAAGAAAATTATTTAAAATTAGTTTTTTATTTATATTAATAATCTTAGAACTATTACTGAGCAGTAGATTCTTTTAATTTTAAAAATTTTATTTAAAAAATATATATTATTTTTTATATAAATTAGAATAAGATTTAAAATCTAGATATAAATAATATTAATTTATATAAAATAATAACTATATAATATATAAAAAGTTCTGATAAGAAGAATTCTCTGATTAAAATAATAATATTATAATAATAATTTAATTAAATTCTTAATATTAATATTAAATAAATTAATTATATTATAAATATTTTATATTATATACAATTTTAGAATAAATTCTAAAAATATTATTAAATAATATATAGAATAAAATATTTTATTTTTATAATTATAAATAAAATAATTATTATAAATCTTAATAAGATAAGTATAATAAAATATTTTTGTTAATATTAAAAAAACTAACTTTAAATAGATTTAGTTTAATAAGATTAATAAATTTCTAAATTATAATTTTAAGATATTTAATAAAACTACTAATTTAATAAATAATAAAGATTAAAATTAAATTTTTATATTAAAAAAAATTAAAGATTCTGCTATTTTATAACTATTATTTTTTTTAATTATAAATAATTATAATAAAGACAAACTTAAATTATAATTTTTTAAATTATTTATATTATAAAATTATAAAATAAATACTTTTCTATTACTAAGCTGTTAATTCTTTTTTTAATATAATATTAAAATATATAAATCTAATTTCTGAAGAATTTCTTATAGAATAAATATTTATATATTTTTAAATATTTTTTTAATTATCTTTTATTAATATATTTATTATAATAGAAATAGATAACTAAGATTAAAAAAATAAAAAGATGTATTTATTTATATTCTAAAAAATATATTTTATAATATAATTTAGAATAAAAATATTTAAAAAAGTTTATATATATTAAAAATATT